TTTCTACTTTCAAGACTTGATAAGCAATCTTTTCGCCTGATGTGAAGAACCTAATCTTTGTATACATTCAGCATACCATTAGCCTGTACTGAGGGGTTCATTCAACTTGCCATCGAGCAATTACCAAGTCAATTATGTATGGCCCAGACGTGTGGGTTCGAAACTGGCCGTCCGTGCAGACATTGAAAACGTCAAGAGCGGCCACGCTGCGTGTGCGAGCAGGTCCAAGGACCCACTAGAGACCAACCCCGAGGGGTCACACAACTGAAGATAGCCCTAAGAGCATCTCGGATTAAGGACTAGTCTTCGAGGTTTGTACATCTCTTCTATTCGAAATAATGGTGGGGATTGCTTGCTAGGTTCGTGTCTGATCTTTTTTGGATATTCTTCGCTACCGTGGAAGAACTCCTATTGGGCATTTCACCTTCTAGTATAGCGCCAGATATAAGATCTATGTGTCTAACATATATTAGTCCGCTTGTGGGCTCTCTGATGCAGACGAGAATGAATCATTCGAGGTCGTATGTCAATACTTCCACAGGATATGTACATAGTTCTCTACGTTCCGAACACCAAATGTCTCAACTTCACTACCCGAGAGACTTGATCTTTAAGACTGATTAAGGAAGAACATTTAATGATCATACCGATGTCCTGATTTCAAAATCTACAAGCAAGCTACCTGGGTAGCGCTTAGGTAGTCAGTCATGGCCCGAGTAAATTCATGCCTCAGGTGTCAGTTATCCACCCTAACCCGCTTGGGATAGCTGACTGATTAGATAAGCCATCTCCAAATTCTCGCGGCCTTCCCCTCCATCGGAGATTAGCACTGGCGACGTCGACCAGCAACCTTCATCACCCTGGAAATTGAGTAGCCTGGGATCGCTGAGACTTAATCTCTCCAGACCTCAGACTCCACACCACAATGCCGCTGCGCAAGAGGCCGCAGGCCCCTCCTGCAGCGAAGCCCCGACGGCCCTCGGAGGTACCAAAACTTTTTTTTTGTCAACGGCGCGCGAACCACTGAGCCGTCATGCTGATTTGATTTTCTTTCTCTCGTGATAGGCTGGCCAAAATGCTGCAACCGAACCCCTCAAGAGAAAACGCTCTTCTATCGCCAAGGAATCAACCCAGGCAGAGCCTACTCAAGCCCAGACTCAGACCCAGACCCAAACCGATCAGACCGAAGAACCTGCGTCAAAATACAAGCATAAGGATCCCTTTGATGCGCTACTAGAACCATTCTACTACAACAAATCTCTCACCGATCCCATCGATACCGCGAAGGATAAGTGGAATCTGCTGCCGGCGTTCCTCAAGGTCAAGGGTCTGGTGAAGCAGCACATTGACTCATACAACTACTTTGTCGAAGTGCAGTTGAAGAAGATTGTCGAGTCGAGCTCTACCATTCGCAGCGATGTAGATCACCAATTTTACATCAAATTCACGGATATCTACGTTGGTTCGCCGAGACGTGCAGACGAGACCCAGGATGCTGGAATCGAGTTCCAGTCGGACGTGACTCCCCAGGAGTGCAGACTTCGAGATACTACATACGCCGCGCCGATCTTGGTCGACTTTGAATACGTTCGTGGTCGTCAACGTGTCATTCGTCGAGGTGTCTCAATCGGTCGGATGCCGATTATGTTGCGTAGCTCTAAGTGTGTGCTTGCGAACAAGACACCCGCGCAGATGACAGTTCTCAACGAATGTCCCCTGGACCCTGGTGGTTACTTCGTCGTCAACGGAACAGAGAAGGTTATTCTGGTCCAAGAACAGTTGAGCAAGAACAGAATTATCGTTGAGACGGACCCGAAGAAAGAGATCGTCCAAGCTTCGGTGACTAGGTATGTTTAAGGTTAATTTTCACCAAGACCTGGAGCATCCCCACTGACTCATTGTCTCTAGTTCTTCCAACGAGCGTAAATCGAAGAGTTATATCGTCCTCAAGAAGGATAGGCTCTACGTGAAGCACAACGTCCTGAGCGATGACATTCCGATTGTCGTGTTGCTCAAGGCCATGGGCATTCATACCGACAAGGAGATCCTGCAGCTGGTTGCTGGATCCGACAGTTTGTATCAGGACGACTTTGCCATCAACTTCGAAGAAGCACTGAATCTTGGCATTTACACTCAACAGCAAGCTCTCGACTGGATCGGTTCTCGCATCAAGATCAACCGCAAGACAGGTGCATACCGCCGAACCCACGTGCAAGAGGCCGTCGAAGCTATCGCATCCGTCATTATCTCCCATATTGAGGTCAAGGACATGAACTTCCGGCCAAAGGCAATCTACGTTGCTCACATGGCTCGCCGTGTGTTGATGGCGAAGAATGATCCGGCTCTGGTGGACGACCGTGACTACTTGGGTAACAAACGCCTAGAACTGGCGGGTCAGCTGCTGGCTCTACTGTTCGAGGATCTCTTCAAGAAGTTCTGCTTCGACATCAAGATGAATATTGACAAGGTTCTGAACAAGCGGAATCGGGCAGAACAATTCGACGCTTGGAGTGTCATGAGTATGCACGGCAATCACATCACGCAGGGCATGAACCGTGCTATCTCCACTGGTAACTGGAGCTTGAAGCGTTTCCGCATGGAGCGTGCTGGTGTCACCCACGTTCTCAGTCGGCTGAGTTACATTGCGGCTTTGGGTATGATGACCCGTATTAGCAGTCAGTTCGAGAAGACCCGAAAGGTTTCTGGTCCCCGTGCCCTGCAGCCCTCACAATTCGGTATGCTTTGTCCCGCGGACACGCCCGAAGGTGAAGCCTGTGGTTTGGTCAAAAATTTGGCTCTCATGACACACATCACCACCAACGATGAAGAGGGCCCAGTGCGAAACTTGATTTTTATGCTGGGTGCTGAAGACATCTCGACCGTCAGCGGAATGCAGCTTTATGCTCCTGGCAGCTACACTATCTCTATCAACGGTACGCCAACTGCGTTGACACGACGGCCCAAGTACTTCCTTAACGCCTTCCGCCGACTTCGCCGCATGAGACGAATCTCGGAGTTTGTTAGTATCTACATCAACCACCACCAGCGAGCTGTCCACCTCGCGACTGATGATGGCCGAATTTGCCGACCTCTCATCATTGTTGAAAACGGAAAATCACGGGTCCGACGGCACCATCTGCAGAAACTGCGTGATGGGCGAATGCAGTTTGACGATTTCCTCGCTCAAGGACTGGTTGAGTACCTCGACGTGAATGAGGAGAATGACTCGTACATCGCAATCTACGAGAAAGACATCAACGAGGCTCACACTCATCTCGAAATTGAGCCTTTCACGGTTCTTGGTGCCGTCGCTGGCCTTATTCCCTACCCTCACCATAACCAGTCGCCCCGTAACACCTACCAATGTGCCATGGGTAAACAAGCCATTGGCGCTATCGCTTCGAACCAGTTCCAGCGTATCGACTCTATCCTCTACCTTATGGTCTACCCTCAGAAGCCAATGGTGAAGTCCCGGACAATCGAGTTGGTCAAGTACGACCAGTTGCCCGCCGGTCAGAACGCCACTGTTGCTGTGATGAGTTACTCTGGATACGATATTGAGGATGCCCTGGTCCTAAATAAGGGATCTGTGGATCGCGGATTCGGTCGATGCCAGGTCTATCGCAAATATGTCACAAACCTCAAGAGTTATCCCAACGGCTTGAAGGACCGTCTCAACCCACCGGAGTACGAGAACGATGCCCCGATCCGCAAGCACGCTCTCCTAGAGAGCGATGGTCTCGCTGCAGTGGGTGAAGAAGTCAAGAGCGGCGAGGTCTACATCAACAAGGTCTCTCCCGACGCGGCACACACGAGTGGTCTCGGTAGCGACTCAAGCAAGCCACTCACCTGGAACGCCGCCCCCATGACATACAAGCTCCCCGACCCCGCTTACATTGATAAAGTCATGGTCTCAGCTACCGAGGGCGAGACCCAGCTTCTCAAAGTCTTGACTCGACAAACCCGCCGCCCTGAAGTTGGTGACAAGTTCTCTTCTCGCCACGGCCAGAAGGGTGTCGTGGGTATCATCGCCGACCAGACTGATATGCCCTTCACCGACTCCGGCATCAATCCCGATATTATCATGAACCCCCACGGTTTCCCCTCTCGAATGACAGTCGGGAAGATGTTGGAGCTGGTTGCCGGCAAGGCAGGCGTGCTCTCTGGCCAACACGGATACGGTACATGCTTCGGTGGTAGTCCTGTTCAGGAGATGTCTCAGATTTTGATTGATCACGGCTTTAGCTACGGTGGCAAGGATATGCTCACCTCTGGTATCACGGGCGAGCCACTGCCGTTCTACGTTTTCACTGGCCCCATCTACTACCAGAAGCTCAAGCACATGGTCCAGGACAAGATGCACTCGCGGGCCCGTGGTCCTAAAGCTACACTCACCCGCCAGCCCACTGAAGGTCGTTCGCGTGACGGTGGTCTTCGTCTTGGTGAGATGGAACGTGATTGTTTGATTGCCTACGGAACCAGTCAGCTGCTGCTAGAGCGTCTCATGATCTCATCCGATATCCACGAAGTCGATATTTGCGAGAAGTGTGGCTTCATGGGTTATCTGAATTGGTGCCCTGGCTGCAAGTCGTCTCGTTCGGTCGTGAAGATGTCCATCCCCTACGCAGCTAAGCTTCTGATTCAGGAGCTGATGAGTATGAATGTTGCTGCTCGTCTGAAGCTGGATGATGAGTTCCCCGAGATGAAGGGCCGATAAAGGGTGTATTGCCTGGGCTAAAGAATGGACTGGTGTTTGGAAAAATAATAGATTTAGGGTGCATGGCTTTTCAGGGTGTGAATAGTTCTCTACACGAATGGCATAGCGCGGCGATTTGAATATATGAGCCTAAACAAACTTTGCGTAGATCTTGTAGAGCAGAATACGCACGCAGGTGAGAAAAATTGCATTTTGAAAGACGAAAGTACCCTAGATCAAAACTTTCACAACAATCCAGTAGAATTGCTGAATTCACCAATTTTCGCCGTTGCATTTTTTTTTTTTAAATGTTCACGACCGGTGACTCAAACGCGACATGCTGATACTTGGTAAACTCGATCATTTCCTCCAAAAACTTGTATCTCATATCCAGTGCCTCCGTCAACGACATGGGCATCGGTCCCTTCTTGTCCTTGTTATCCAGGGCCAGACTTGCCATCGTGGCCTTCAAATTTTCATTCGCTCCCTTGACATCGAGCGTCCAGTCCAGTCTTTGCGGTGGAATGTTGGCTGTGGAGATAATCCGGAGATTTGGATCGACCAGGAAGAAGACGAGGGCACGGGTATACCCCTGCTTCGACTTGTCTTTCAGCTCGAAGTGGGTCACGCGATGCTGTACGGTACTGGGGAATATCACCGTTCGGCCGAGAGTGCATTTGATTGACCCTGGGCGCTGGATTGCAGGTTCACCATTCATGAGGCCAAAGACCTGCTTCAGCCAGATGAAGTCGTTCGGGTCATGCTCGATATCTCCAAGGGTCCCGGTTTCGACGATGTTGCGGAACTCCATGACCGGGTCTTCCATGTTCTCGTTGTCGAGGGTGAGGAATGCTGCGGCGCAAATGTGTTCATTCTGTGCTTTGCTATCAGACTTGCTAACTCTAAACGTTTGGAGTTGCAACCTACCATTTGGCCTTCGACGTGCCAATCGGTTTGGAAATAAGGATCTTCCGGGCTAAGATCTACCCCAAGAACACGCGTGATGACCTGCAGACCGCGTTCTTTGTAGTCCCTGTTGAGCGAGACTCCTCGTTCAATGCGGACGGCACTGGGCAAGTCCTCAGGGAGTTTGGTCATCAGACCGGGAGGCACAGCCCAGGGAATGAATATGCCAGCATCGGGCTGGACAACTTTGAAATTCTCCAGTCTCCACTTCTCATATCGCTCATCAAACTCGCTCTGCGCCTCTCTGGGTCTGATTTGTGGCTCCTTGTCAAGAACTGACTGGGGGATGGGATGATATTGAGCCTTGTGGTATTCGATTCTCGCGCGGGAATGCAGCATGTCCTTGAGTGGAGTCATGGTCATATTGAATTGTGGGACCATACAGTTGAACGCGTCCTCAATGACTTTGTAGATGTTGCGATGCTTGACGGGGTGCAGATTGTTGATGTACGAGACAATATGCCAGCGGTCGTCGTCGCCCAGCTCAAAGTCAGATGGCAGGGACTGGAAGTTCCGACTGTACGGCCTGACCTGAATGTCTGATCGTGCTGCTACTCGCCAGGTCATGTCTTCTCGAGTAATGCCCGTCTCTCGAGGTTTGGCAATCACTTCGCCCAGCCCAGCGTGCCGCAATGCTTCATCCAACCCGATAGTATCATTTGGGAGGATGCGAGTTTTGCCGTACACAAGAGGGTATAAAGCCATGGCAAGGAGATCACGTTGCTTTCGAAGGGTTCCCGGCAGGTAGAATTGCAGGTCGGCGTCACTATAATTCAGTACCTCGGTTTCCTTTTTCAATCTCTCGCGCAGTGCTTCGGGAACATTTGTGTCGGACTTGGTCATATCTCCGTTGTATAAGCCGACAGCCTGGCTCATTTCGTAGATCATGGCTTTGAACCTGAGCTCGTCGACGATCCAGTTGGCCATGTTGGGGGTAATGTCGGCATCACTGTTCAATGCGATCTTTTTCCAATCGTCCGCAATGCCAGGATCATAGATCTGGGGGCGAGGGGTGAGAAAGTCAATTAATTTTCCTTTTTTTTTTTTTTTTTTTTTTTTAATAAATGTGTGGCTCTTCTGTTACCTTTTTCCACCATTCAGGAATATCAGTTAACTCTTCCATGATGCTGACCATCCCGATCTCACGAAGTGACTGGACTGGCAATCTGTTTGATAAAGTTAGTTAGCTTACTTCCATGAAAAAGATCGCAGATTTCTTACTCTGTGTATCCGTTCTCAATATCCCTGTCATCCAGGGCCGATGGGAACATGCTCCGACTCTCCACGCCATAAATGTTCTTCTCTACCGGTGCATAGTCCAAAGGGAGGCCATATCCGGGGAGAATCAAGCGGGAATCCTTGTTCCTGCTGGCAGAAAGGAATTCATCCTCGTTGGCACGATGCTGGAACATAACTGCAATTATCACGAAGGACGACTGGAGAGATCTTATGATTAGTGATGCTGTTGATGGGCGGTGATGATAATTCACCTTAATCAAGCAATGTCAAGATCAGACAAAATGTACGCCAAGGAAGAAAACAGCGAGGAAAAATAGATCTGAGCTACAAAGCTGTGAAGGTACACAAAATGTGCCGGCCCAACGAGAATAGTATATGATGATGTACGGCTGTCGTCGCTACCCGCGGCAGTATCCGCCAGTGCTATTACACCTGGCAATGGAGAACACGGAATGCTCTTCCGATTGTTGATGATTAGTAGTGCGGTGTTGGTCATAGTGACCAAACAGTCCGAATTACCATGGAAAGGGACAAGTCAATTGCCAACCAAAGAGCTCATGGCCAATAAGACGGAACAAGTATTTCGCACACGACATACACTGTACAGCAGCTTCAGAGGCTCAGCTGCAGTCCCATTTCTTTTTGACACGACCGTCCCAGGATAGACGGAGGGCATGATATGTCAACATTTCCAAAACTAACCAGCGATCAAATATCCTCAGAGTGAACCGCGGAATCACGATGCGGCATCGTCCAGGTCCAAATACTCCTTAATAATGGACCAGTACCGCTCTGGCTGCGCCCTCATATGGCCAACATGCGGCGTTCCTTGAAATTTCTCGCGACGCACCACCCAACCCGACGCTTCCGACTCAGTCGCATGCTCCTCCACGTCACGCCAATCCACTAGTTCATCCGAGTCAGAATAGATATAGCAACGAGTGAGGACCCCCTTAGCATTGGCGGGTTGCACGAGGCTCGTGTCATTGATCGCTTTGCGGGTGAAGCTGATCGCGTCTGGGGACCCTGTGATTGTCTGGTAGGTCTTGATCAGGACCAGGGTGATCCATAAGGCAACCTTGCCAAGCAGGAGCAGTATCCATAGCTTGGGCAGCGCGTATGAAAAGGCTTTCATAGAGCCGGACATCGTTGCGGTGCCTGGGGCACTGTCTATGATCATTGACGAGATAGGCAATGATTTCCCTGCAGCTTGATGGTAGGCTTTGAGCACATGGGTAGCACTGAAGAGACCGCCATTCGAGAAAAGGTGCATAAAAACGGGATTCTCAGAGGTCACAGAGGCGCGGAGGGCTGCCACCGCTGGTGCAACTCGGGTCCGCTGCGCCTTTGCCGCGGACCCGAAGATGAAGTCATTTGAGGAGCTGCGAATGAATATAATTCGTGCAGAGGGTATCATGCGTCTGTATTCGACGACATACTTGGCGAGTGCCCGGGGTGGGGCCTCCATCCAGAAGGCGATGAAGATCACCGGGCGAGCATCTTGCGTGGTTGTGTCTTCTGGGTCCGCTATGTACACTGAAGGGCCCAGCTTGGTGAAATCCGCCAAGGGATTTGTCCGGGAATTTGTAGCGTCTGCTGCCATGACGGATGCTGTACACGACTGTTTGAAGCTTCTGGGCGTGGGCAGACTGAGAAGGACTCCGAAAATCAGCGGGACCCCTTGAACTATGGACACTTTTGTGATCGCTATCACGCCTAGAGGGGCTCACGCTATCCTCCATCCTGGTCCATAAGCGTGCCTTCTCGCCGCTTACGCCGAGACTCACATGGCGCTACACCATTGGACGGCAATTTGTACCAAAATGGACATTATTACAAGACAGTGGAATGATAACTAACTAGTTCACTAGAAGGCAGAAGGCTTTGTAATAATATTTTGCAAATTTAAGGACCCATCACCCGAAAACGCCTGCTCCTCGCTATGCCAGCGTAAAAATATTTCCCCCAACCACGCATTTAGAGGCTCTCATATCTAGAGATTTTGATCGTACCGTGCAAGGTTGATAGTTCATGAAACATTGCAGTGTGCAAGCAGATTTAGCGCTTGGTGCTCCCGAGGGTGCGGCCGCTAGCCTTGCCCTTCTGGCTGTCAGCTTCGCTCCCGGATGTGGGAGTGGCTGATCCGCCACCATCCTTTCTCTTTCCGCGTAGTGTCTGTCCGATTCCCTGGAACTTGGGCTGATCTTCAGGAACGACCTGCCCATTCTCATCGCGAGGCTTGGCTGGCTTGATCGCGTATCCAAAGAACAGCTGGTTGGGAGGTAGTCGCAGAGGCTGAGGGCCATTGGTTCTTCGGACAGGCGGGGGGTGTTGAGGGTTTGCAGTACCGGGTGTGGGGGTGCTGGCCTTGGGAGTTGGGGCTTTGCTGCCCTTCTTTGCATTCAGACGCTGACCCTCAGATAAGAAATTGGAAGACACAGCCCGTGCGCCAGCAGCAGCTTCAGTTGACTCGGGCGCGATGGCAGCATAGTTAATAGACTGCGCCATGGTTCCCTGATGATGCAGCAGGCCACCTGCAGGAAGCTTGCCTCCACTTATGGCACTGCCTGGTGTGCTAGTCCCACTGGTTCGCTGTGGCTCTTCGTATCCAACTGGAGCGGCGAAGTCAACTTCCAAGTCGGTTTCCAGAACTGAGATCGCATTCTTAGTCCCAGAAGGCTTGGTCTCCAGGACAGCCATCTCATAAACTTGATCATTATAGGAAAAGGTGAACACATCGCCCTTGGTAAGACAGGAGAAGTTCCGGAACGCGTTTTCGAGAACGGCTTTGGGGTCGCTGATGTCAAGGAACGCAGTGGACTGGGCTTGAAGCTTGATGAATTGGCCAGGGGGAAGATCTGTAGACTTAATCTGAAGAAGGTCACCGGGCTCCAAGAGCAAGGTTTGCATGAGCTGTAGGAACGAAACCATTGTCAGTGCTCGTCCAAAGCCAGCAGCCCCGCAATTTCACCGCACTCACCCAGAATGGTAGATAGATCTTGCCCTCCTCAGCGATAAACTCAAGAACACCCGCATGTGTCATTCTCTCCTTGGCACCATTGTGAAGCTCAAACAGCATGGGGTATGTAATGTGAAGGCGAGTAAGTTTGTCCAAAGCACTGGGCGGCATGATCACTTTGCCACCATGGTTCACATTCTCACGCTCGGGACCGGGCAGCATAGCTACAGGATAGCAGCGGTAGTACTCATCGAAGCGACGGGGTGCTGCACCTGGCCGCATCACACCGGCACCGAGGACACCATCCATGGGGTCGTCGGACCAATAGTCGGGTCGAAACTGAAGGTATTATTAGGAGCTCACAAAAGCAGACTCAAATAAATGAAAGAAGGGTTGGAGCTCACCATGACAGAGGAGCTACCTGGACTTGGAGAAGAGTTGAAATTAGGAGCTTGCCAGCGAAAGAAAGGCTGTCGAAGGATAAAGGCCACGATGGAGAGTGTAACTTGCGGAGTTGGGTAACTCCCCGAGAGTGACGCAAGTTCGGTCTGCCAAGATTTTCCGTTCCGACCCCGGATGTGGCAAGCAAATCAGTAGTGTCGCAAGCTCAACAGCTCCAGCTCAACTTGTTCCTCGTTGATAACACTTGTTTTGAGGAATATGGCAAGCTCACATCCTCGCCCTAAACGGGCTGGCGAAGATTTTACTCGCACCCATCACTCCCAAGATGACCTCGAAGGCCCAGAAAGCAAGAAACCCCGATTCGACCTTCGCAACCCCTCCGCGCTAGCGCCCGACACGCTCGACGAAGATCAGTTCCTAGACGCCGACGAGATCGGAAAACGAGGCCAGAAAGTGCGTCGCAAAGCTGTCAACATTGATGGCTACGATTCGGACAGCGAGAATGAGGGGTTCTCCGCACGCATAGAAGAAAAGTCGAAGCGCAAGCGCGAGAAGCATGACGCCGAGGACGACGATATGTTCGCCGAGCTGCAGGAGGACTTTGGGGAGGAAGAAATCGACGCCGACGAGGCAATGCGCAAGAACAAGAAGAATGTCCGTTTCTTGCGAGATGATGAGATTGAGGGTCAAGTTGCATCCTCAAAGAGTGGAAGAGCATTGCATGCGGATTTGAGCAAAGGCGCCGACGAAATCGATCTCGAAGAAGATGAAGAAAGTGGAAGCGACGTTGGAGAGGAGGAGCGCGCCAGGATCGACAACGAATTGGACGAGGAGCTCGGTGCGGGCGCGAAGAAAAAGAACGCACCTTTGCTCGATGCTTTCAACATGAGCGCCGAGCAGGAGGAAGGTCGGTTTGACGACCAGGGCAATTTCGTTCGCAAAGCTGTTGATCCAGATGCCGTGTATGATACTTGGCTGGATGGGGTTTCGAAGAAAGATATCCGAATGGCAAGAGAAGCCGCTGAGAAGCGCGACGAGGAGAGGAAGGAAAAGGATCGCATGAACGACAGTGTTCTGACAGCAGATGCCTTGACAACTATCATCACACATCTTAAGCGTGGTGAGACGATACTGGAAGCTTTGGCTCGATTAGGGAAAGGGCTCCAACGAAAGCCGAAGTGGCAGAACAAGAAGAAAAACAAAAAGAACGATGCTACGGAAGACACCGAAATGACAGATGAGAATCCTGACGAGGCCAACAGGAGGCAGGCGATCGATACCCTGACCGGTGCTGCGGACATCCTCATGGGCCGGGGACAACCTGAAATCTACGACACGGAGCGCGAGCTGTTGACTCGACAATACCGCACTGAGACGGGCGAGAGCTGGGTCGATCCACCAGCTATTTCAGACAACGGCGAAACCGAGCCAGGACCTACGATGTGGGAATTTCGGTGGGCCGATGCTCGCGACGGCGGCGATCCCCATGGCCCTTACGATAGCGCCATGATGGAATCATGGAAAGGTGCTGGCTATTTTGGCGAAGGCGTGGAATTCCGCCGAGTCGGAGATACAGGACCATGGAGTCAAGCAGTGAGCTTTGTGTAAGACTAGATGTATGCGAACAGGGTTTCAAGTCATTTCAGAAAAAAAAGCACAGATATCACCTCAACAAGCGCCAGTCCTATCATACATCATTTGATGTGGCAGAAAAACAAAGAAAGCACCCAAATCCAGTGTAGTTTTGGTTGGACCCGTTCAAGCGACGGCTTCGGTTCATATTAAGCCAGTGAACCACGCGTCGCGGAGAAAAGCTAGTATCCGCATATTATGAAATCTCCATCGCGTCACCGTTGGCAGTAGTAGTGAGGTTGACCACTCCTTGGTCTCCAATGAAGCGTTGCTCGTACTGGTTCACAAACTTGACACTTCGACCTGGGTCGTAGAAAAGCCGGAAGCTGCGTTGGACGTCATCGATGCTGACTTCCTTGGCCTTGCGCTTTTGGCTCAAAAGGTGAGAAGTGGTGATGATGTTGCTCGCATAGCGGAGATTTGATTCCTGGCCGATCTTAGTCAGAAGGGCCAGAGCATCCGGCGAAACATCAATCTCCTCCTCTTGGGCGCGAATAGCCAAGATTTGGCGGATCTCGTCGCCAGAGTATGGCTGGGTGCTGACGATGACTACCCGGTCGAGGAAGTCAAGGGGCAGTCCGTGAGGGGATGTGTACGTAGTACCACGAATCTTAGCCTGGCCGCGGTTGCTGGCCATAATGACGATGGGTGCGAGCTCGGCCTCCAGGGCGCGGTTGATATAGGAGAAGCATTCAATGTCCAGCATGTGGACCTCGTCGATGAACAACACACCGGGAATGATCTCTGCCTTGCCCTCCTCTTTCCACTCTGCCACCTTGGTGTTGATCTGGTCACGAACCTCGCTGCGGATCTCACCAGTGTCGCCAGAGAACAGAGCCAAGAACCCCTGTGACCGTGAGTTGATCACATCAATCTCATGTAGGCTGACAGTGTGAACAATCTCCTTGCGGACCTGCAACTCTCCCTCGGGGCACTGGACAAACTTGGTGTCGGCGCCCATCGCGTCGTAGTCGCGCGAGCGAGCGTATGATCGGCCGAGCTTGGTGATCTTGCCAGACGATTTATCGATGGAGATGACATCACCAGCCATCACACGTTCCTTGGTCATTGAGTCGATCATCTTGGTGCCCATGTCGTAAATCGTTTCCATGTCGGTGGTCTTAATCGTGAGCTTCCCTTGTTTGTTGCCCTACGCCTGTCAGCATGCGCCAGTACATTGACAAGTTCAAAATAAATAAAAAATAAACATACCCCGGTGACGCTACGGTCAATTTGAATCTCCACGACCTCGCCCTCGATGATCTCGCTTTCCTCCTTGATCCGCACTCCGATAGATTTCCGGAAGGCCTGCGTAAGAGCCTCTGTTTTCGACATCTCCATTGAGAAGATCTCCGACGATGCGAGCATTGTGAATGGAACATCGGATCCCAGTGACTGAGCCATACCCATCGCGATTGCAGTCTTGCCAGTGCTAGGGGGTCCAGCAATCAGCACGGCGCGACCCGCGATCTTACCCTCCTTGACCATCTGCAGGATCACTGCCGCAGCTCTCCGGGCCTTCTCTTGGCCCACGAGGCCCTGGGAGGTACCCCGAGGCTGTAGAGAGTCCACATCGACACCGAGACCTCTGATATGCGAATGGGCGGCGATGAGGTTGAGACCTCGGAGCTCCTTGCTATCCGCGACTGTGGAAATTGGCTGTCCGAGGTGAACAAGGTTAGCATGAATAACAGAAGAACAGGATGAAAGATCCTACAGCGGCCATTGTAACTGAGTCTTGGAATATCCGACTCTGAATTGGGGATGGAAGGCTAAGATCAAAAAGCACCAGAGCTCCTCCGAAGAAACAAGAGATCGCCGATCAGGACGGCCACCTTTCTCACCGCCCGGCAGTACATCTCAAAGAACTGATCTTCACCTCACCAGTCGAATGAATCTCAGGTTTCAGCTCCGCGTCTTCACAGTGGATCCGTTGTGACGAGTCGAATCTTGACACTGGCAGAATCTACATTATTGCGCCGGTTTCCGCCAAGTTCAACTGTCCTCTCACCGTAACCTGCATTCTTAAAGACTCGTTTGCGTTGTGTTCGTCCAGCGCACCATCCTCCTACCGATAAGCATCGTCAGCCTGTCTGGGATCCTAGAGGCTTGAGGAAATCATTTCCTATTGACCCAGGAGCTTCTGTTGGCTGCCAAGTGAAACCATGAAGGCTATGACGTGCCCTCCGTGACCAGCTCAGTATCCAAAACACCATGGATATTGCCACAACAAATCAACCTCCTTCAATTTCTACCACTGGACCACAAGCCTCTTCAGTAGACCCTCGGTTGGGTCGTGCTACTCAGAGGCCGTCCGTCGTCACGCCACGCCCTCCTGTCCCTTCGCAGACGCCGACCCCGGCGGATATCCCAAGCGCGTCGCGTATCTTCGAGCCTATCGAACAACCGGTGGATCGAACACAGAACACAGATGTCTCAGATCGGCGCGGTGAATTCGGGCGACCCCTCGACCAGTATGGTCCCACCGTCGATTATAATCATATGGTGCCAATCCTCTTGCGATTTACGGAGCTTGCCGCCATCAAAGGACTCAAGGAGGAGGAGAAGGCGGTCTTACAGGATGAAAGTGCTTCCATCAGACGACGCCTAGATAAGGCCAAAGCAAAAGACATGTTCCCTGCTTTCATCGAAAACATACAGGCCGAAGAAGCAGCCTCTCGATGCAAAATAGGGAAGCTTCAACAAGAAATCGAAGAGAATGAAAAGACGCGGCAAACTATGGCCGAGTCTCTTCGTGGATTTCTGTGTCGAACACCGCTACCTATATCTGCTACGAGTTCTACACCGGCCTCAGCGCCCATTGGCGCCCCAGACAACGAGAAGATTGCGAAACTGGAAGCTGAGAATAAGGAGATCAAGGCTGAACTGCGGGAGCTCAAAGAATTGATCCTGCAAAGAAACTCTCAAACTCCTACCGGGATGGAGGTTCAACTGTTGAAACTCGAGAACTCCGTTAACAGCCAGTCCATGAGTAATCATGGCACAAGCAAGAGACTTCGAAAACTCGAGGAATGGAAAGAGGGAGTGGAAACCGGAGATATCAAACCATATACACTTGCCCTCGAGGGGGGCTCGTCTCAGGCTCCAGATCTGGAACCATTACGGCGAGACGTGAAGGAGGCTTATGGGAAAGCTGCTGAAGCGCGGGCAAGAGCTCAAGCGTTGGGTGACAGCGTTTTGATTCTCCAACGGGATTTCAAGTTGCTTAAAAACACCCTTGATGGAACCATACTTTCTCAGCGAGAACTTGAGAATACGCTGAAATCCATGGGACCTTCTATCGAGCAAGCGTCAGATGTTACGCACAGGCTGGAGACTATTGAAAGGGAGCGCCTTGAGCTCAAGGGTGCAATCGCCACTGCCAGCGAGGCCAAGGCCAAAATTCAAGACCTGGACACGCGATATACGGCATTGACCGACAGGTACAACGGCAAGATAGCCCATCTGGAGTCTGAAGTTCGACAGTTGGGAGCAAGTGACAAAGCGACCACGACCAACGAACCTTCTCAACATGCAGGGGCCCTTTGGAGTGTCAAGGACAGCATCGAGAAGGTGGAAAGCGGTCAACGTTCACTGTGGAACAATGTCAACAAACTGATCCTTGACATACCTCAGTTCCATGAATCTTCTAAGGAAGTACAGAAGTGCCTCTCTAAGACCGACTCGCTGGTGACTGCCGTTCGATCTTTGGAACTCCGATATTCCAACATCAACTCTGAACGTCTGGTGAAAAACATGGCCGCCGCAATGATGGAGATGTATCCCTCTGTGCCACAAATTCAAGAGCAAGTTAATCAGCTCCGGGCCTATTGTAACAAGGAGCTCGCTGCGCTCAAGGAATCTACCCAGAATTTCGACCTCGTATCCTTGGATTTCAAGATGAATCAGCTCCGCGAAGAAGTTATCAAGAAGCTATCTCATGTTCAGACCAACCTTTCGGCTCAAGGCAAAGCTCTCAGCGAGCAACTTGAAGAGACCTGGGACTTGAAAAACAAATTTCAGACGCAATCTGACGCTTTCTCAGAACTCGGTGAATCTATTCCACAGGCCCTTCAACAAGTAGAGAGCGTGACTGAGCTTTCAACGAAGCTGCAAGCATTGTCTGAAGACCTTACAACCCTGAGAGATACTCTGGGGGGTCTGAGCGTCTCAGAGACGATGACTGGACTCTCAAAGCAGCTTGAAACGTTATCTGATAGTGTTGATTCCCTCCGTTCAAGGCAAAGTGCTCAAGCGGAGGTGGAGAAAAACTCTGATATCACGGAAAAGCTCACTGGCTTGGCTGCGAACTACCAACTTCTTGAAACCAGGCTGAAGACGCAGGAGGAAACCGACTGGCAGGGGGTGGATGAACTCAAGTCTGGCCATCAAAGTCTCCTGGAAGAGCTCAAAGCTGTGAAAATGAGATTGGAAAGTCAAACTGGGAAAGAGAAGATGAACGAGCTCTCTGGGCGACTCAAAACTCTTTCTGGCGACTTGCAATCTTTACAAACCAAGTTCGACAAGGAGTTAGCGTCACTGAAAGTCCGCGTGGATAGCTTCGGGCACGGCGAGGAATTGAGCCGTCTCAAGAGTGAGTTGCTTGGCCGGATTGAGAAATTCCAGGCGGCAGTTCAGTCTGGTTTGAACCGCAATCCTGCGACTGGAGACGACGCGACCAACGGTATCTCCGGCTCCGTTGGCGATCATTATCGAATCCTTGGCAGTGCAGCTCAAAATCAGACCGAACGTGGGCATATTCAAAATAGGTTCTCCATCTCACGTCCCGCGGGCGATGGACCAACCACGACAGCTGAATCGTCAGGGCCCTTCTTTGACGCTGTCTCAGAGCGAGTCAATGATAGTTGGGGGGATCAATCGAGCTATCTGGGTGCCAGTCCACCGTCTTACTCAGAAGACAACCCGGAAACATCTGCGGCCGGAACAGGAGATAGACCAATGGAGTTACGGATCTCGGAGCACGACAATGGTCATCTCGAAAGCCGATCGGGGAACAATCGCGCTCATCAAGGAAGTCCCTCGGATGTTTTGTCTTCTTCAAATGATTCGGTTGATCAGCTCTCTCCCAAACGCGCGACGACTGAGGTCCCCATGGCCCGTCGGATCGCCGAGAACGAGAACGGGCAGTCCGAGAACGGGCCTCCTAGGAAACGGCCCCGTCAAGGAACATTCTCGGATGATGGGCGTCGCCCGCGGCCCGCAGGTCCTGGTCGCTTCACCAACGGCACTGGGTCCTCGGCTTCCTCCGACATGGCAATATCAAAGAAGGCAAGAAAAAAACAAGAGAAAAGGGAGAGGAAGGAGCAGAGGAAAAGACAGAACCTCCCCCACTGATTTTATATTCGTTTTTCCTGTCTCGAAGATTCTATCGCATTACTAACTGGTCGCATATACCCACCTTATTTCATGTTGTATCATTTATGAGAACCACATTGTAGTAGATATCCTTTAATCACTATGTTCTTTCTCTATGATCTATGGTACATCGTACACGTAGCACTAGGACGGTCCTAGGAATTTAAGCACCGCTGCACGCACTGTTAGAGCTCCGTGGTAACAATTGGGAATGAGAGTCAAAATTACCTTGTCGGAAGGCCTCCGGGTTCTCGGAAATGAGCCAATGCCCAGCATCCACATCTGCAATCTGAGCATTCGGGAAGAATTTCTTGATCGCTGGGATGGTCTCGTCAGAGACATATCGGGATTTGGTGCCTCGGACGAAAAGCGTAGGTCCCTCATATTGCTTGCCGTCTGCTTCGGAGAAGGGGAAATCCGCCATGTTATCCAGCGAGTCTCCGATGATCGACAGTGGCACGCGGAATTTGAACGTATTGTCCTCCTCCGAGCGGACGAGGTTGGTCAGAAGGAATTGCCGAATCGGAAGAGACTAGGTGCTATTTTAGCAAAGGAAGACGTCCAGGAATTCGTGACACGAATGCTTCATACCTCCTCGTATTCCTGGAGGATGTTGTTGGCGTCTGATTGCTTGGAAACCTTCGCCTGTTCCACGTGCTGCATGCCGCGGACATACTTGGGGAAGTCGCTCTTCAGGGCAGCGTTGACAGGCGCATTGTCAACGGGAATCAGGCCCGAAACACGCTCGGGCGAGCGAAGTGCCACTGTCATTGCAGCTTTGGCACCCCTGGTCAAAGTCAGTGTCGGGGCATGATAGGAAATTGGGTATTGGCGACATCTCGTTTAGGTAGATGTTAAAGGAAGACTTACATGGAGTGGCCAATTAGAACGCATTTGTCGAGCTTCTGTTGGTCGATGAATTCTTGGACATCCTCAGCCATGACACTGTAGTTGTGCTCTGGCGCATGAAAGGACTGTCCATGATTGCGTAGGTCCTGAAAGAAGACCGATCAGCCAGGCCAATTCTCGGTGATATCATTTCCAGGGAAGCACTCGGACATACAAGGTTGTAAATGCGGCACTTCAAGTCTCTGGCCAGTGCTCTATCTATATATTAGCAAGTAGTTCTTCCTCGGCGGGTCTATCACGGACATACTTGCTAATGCTGCGGTTGTTCTGCTTGGACCCGAACAATCCATGCAGGAACAGAATTGGATCCCGGGTCGCGGCCTGGTCATTCTCGGGGCCATAGACCTGATAAGCAAGTTCAGTGCGGGATACTCTCGCCGTTGAGAATGCACGAAGCCCTATTGAGCCTCGCACAGATGCTCGAGCAAATAGCATAATGTAAATGGCGATGTTCAATGTTTATCGGAGGACGGAGAGCGGAGGCCGTGGATATTCTCGCGATCGGGAAACCAGGCCGAGCTGACTAAGGGCTCCGATCGGCCCTCTATCCATCTACAAGATGAGATAGTACCGCAGATACGATTTCTTTTCTCCATGGTGAAATTCCGTTCATAATCTAGAGCAAAGATAAAATAGCTACGTTATTGTCTATTGCGTATGTCTCGATGTTCTGTGTGTCAGGGTCTAAGGGAGACCCCATGGAATGAGCCCGTGTTTGACGAGATCAAGATATATCTTAGGCCATGAATGAGCGAGGATTGCTCCCAGAGCAATATTTAAGCTTGGTCTGCGCCATACTTGCGGACAATGCAGACCTGAAATATCTGCCAATATCACCCGGTACGCATTCATTCTCCGCGAGTAAATCTTCATGCATCCTGCCTGATCCATATCTCTATTTGCTGCTGGACTTTGTGAAGCCTGAAAATGCCAAGACTCCGCGGGACCAGGATTCGAAGGATCGCGGCCTGTGCATTGGAGGAGAAATAATGAGGGACCTGCGGGATGACATCGACGATGACAAATGCTGTTACAGAACTATAAAAACATGTCCAAGTCGAAGACCTGGAAAGTGACCATAATCATCCCTTTCACTTCAGAATGTCTAACCAGGTGCAACCGTACACAATCGCAGTGCCCGTTGCAGATTTGCAGGATCTCAAGCAGCGCCTTCATCTGGCCAAATTTGCATCTCAGCTTGAGTCACCGGAGCAAGACTCGTGGGAATTTGGTGTGCCGACCAGCGAAGTTCAGCGACTTGTGAAATACTGGAAAGAGGGCTTCGATTGGCGAAAGGCAGAATCTCATCTAAATGAACTACCGCAGTTTCATACTGACATTGAAGTTGATGGATTTGGGGTATTAGATATCCACTGTGAATGATCTCTGAAGTTTGGGTGATCTGATATCATGCTAATGCTGTCCACTACAGTTGTTCACCAGACCAGTCCTGTCAAGGGTGCTATTCCCCTTCTATTTAGTCATGGATGTAAGATACAGCTCACTCTGCATATGCCGCAGGTGCTAATTTAACACCAGGGCCTGGATCATTCGTCGAAGTGACGAAGCTTCTGTCGAAGCTTAAAGGTGAGGATGGACATCCCGCATTCCATGTCGTGGCCCCATCGCTTCCAAACTTTGGATTCTCATCTGGAGTGACTCGTCGCGGATTCGGCCTGGGCCAGTACGCTGAGGCTCTGCATAAGCTTATGCTTAAGCTGGGCTATAATCAATACGGTAAGTTTCTTGTGTAAGTTTTCCATTGATTCAACTGATACTTATGTCGTTTGCTGTAGTCACGCAAGGTGGAGACTGGGGCTTTTGGATCACACGAAGTATTGGCCTTCTTTACCCCGAGCACTGCAAAGCCTCCCATGTCAACATGATCGTGGCTCGGCCACCTCGATGGAGTACTAGCCCTTTCCTCGCTTTACAACATGCTTTCACGCCTTACACTACTCGAGAGCGGGAGGGACGCAAGCGATCCGAATGGTTCGATCGGGAAGGCTACGGATACAATACGCTCCAAAGCACCAAGCCGCAAACGATTGGTGCTGCACTTGCAGACAGCCCAGTCGCTTTGTTAACCTGGATTTACGAAAAGCTCCACGATTGGACGGATTCCTACCCCTGGACCGATGACGAGATTTTGACTTGGGTCTCGATCTACTGGTTCTCCAAAGCGGGACCAGATGCAAGTGTGCGCATTTATTATGAAGCTCTGCATGCCGAATCAGCCTCCGGAATCACGTATGATCAATTGAGGTCTTACATTCCTGATGTAAAGCTTGGTTTGGTTCACCTTCCACGGGAAATTTCGGTTGTTCCAGCCACATGGGCGGCGGCGTTGGGTCCGGTTATACGGCAGAGTGAGCATAGTCGTGGGGGTCATTTCGCAGCATGGGAAGTTCCGAATGCTATTATTGAGGATCTCTGGGCAATGTTTAGTGAGGGAGGTCCTTGTCATGGAGTGATACCTAACAGGGATGGGCATTGAGTAAAATTTTGGTTTGTTAGCCAGCAATGAAACAAAGTTCAATGAACGATGGTGATTTATTCTTTTCAGTGCTCTTGTATCAAGCTTCTTAACTTTCTGGAAAATTGACTTCATATCCGTAGATACTAAAGGTGCTACCGTAGTAACAAACCCCCCTAGTATTCCAGCATCCATTTGGGTCATCCAAGATAAAAAAGTATGCAACTGGGCATAACCTTATATAGACAGTGGAATATTCCAGTACGTCGGGATCTCCAGGATTTGCGACCAGGCTCCAATGGTGACGCTAATTCAGCCCGAGTGTCTAAACTCCTTTGAGAAGGAGCCTCTAGAATGCCCAGAAGAGCCTTGCATAACCCTGTATCTCCATCTTTGCTGAGACGATGCCGTGTCTGCCGAGTCCTAGAACGTAGATTCGGCAGTGGTAGGCTGGGAGCAGTGGTGGCTGTTGATATTGACTACGGTAACAGAGAGCCGGCCCAGAATCCCTGCTTTCGAGCCCACTCAAGGGCGCAGCCACATATCATAATCTGATTCTCTATTGCATATCTTATTGTGACTCGGACCTGTCATAGCGTGGGGGTTGGACCCGCCGGGCCGATGGGAGGCGATGTCAAAAAGCGCATACAATACGACAACGGTCCGTCCATAACACCCCTGCACACCACGGTAGAGACTCCGCTTCCATTAGGAAATTTAGTTGCAGTAAAGCCCGGCTAATATGTCGCCCTCGGGGCTCAAACGACACAAACGTGTTGCTTATATTGAACAAGTTACTCGATGCAAGTAAATAGCTTTCAATTGGGATCTTACCGTATCCGTGGCCCTACTCACTCATTGTAGATACAAAGGATAATTGAATTAAATACAGCGCTATAAAATATCCCTGTTTAATCATCAAGGTTCATCCTAGAGACATGGCTACCAAAGTTGATAGTACAGTAGCGGGGCAGATCGACACAGCAGAAAGATCTGCAATGGGACAACTAAACTCGGATCGCGAGTGATCATAGTGTAGCTAGACTGATCTCGCCCTGGGGAGCCCGGGGGGACGATCGCGGAAGACAGGATCGATTCCGGACGTGTAACAGCATCTTCTGTTATCCACCGCCATGCAATTGAGTGAGAAAAGTTGAGAAACCTGAGATCCATAAAACATGGGGTGCGATCTAGGTATCATATTGACAATATTTGTATCGGACTGGTCGTCTTCGGTTGCGCACGGCTGAACCTGCCGAGCCCGGCCACATTTACGCTTTTGAGGACTTGCAGTAGATATATCGCTATACAGAGCCATGATTGGCTCCGGTAAGCCCGAGATGCGATGCATAAAGGGCGCCGTGGCCGCCGTCGGCATTTGGCTGAAATGTGGGGTTGTGAACACCCTAAGGCTCATGCGACTTATCGATCGTCCTGGGGAGATCTTGTTGTTTACCCGGAAATGTATCTTGTGTTAAAAGTTTCTTCTGAATAGCTCTATTGGCCCCTTGCGGGATCTATTCTATAGGATTTTCCGGAGGAACAGGGTCTGACCGTTGGGTAGGCGCGCTCCTTGCATTCATGACTCGACATCACGACATTGAGCAGGATGCTTTGATTGCAGCCATTTCGAGCTCAATGCTGCTTTTCGATCGGGAAATACCATTGCCACAAGAAAATGATTGTTCTCTATCAACTGATGCATCCTTTGCGCGATAAATGCGCAATAAATTGCCGTGCAGCAAGATAACGAAGTCTGCGGGCGCATGATGTGATATGTCCAAGAGCCGCGGCCGAAAGGTCCCACAGCCTTCGTTGGTGACATGATGCTGGGGACAAGATAACTATTCCACGGTCAAAGCACACAAAATCAGGTAAAAAGGCGATACTGTGGGCTTTAATTGATCTTGAGCTCTCCCTTGAAAAGTTTGTCTCACTTCTCCGTCTTCCGATCGACGTACAATTGGTGGATTGGTGGCTTTTGCGAGCCCACCCATACTATTCTCCTGATATGACAGATCTAGAGAACAACAACAGCCTTTCACCCCCACCTTTTCTTCCTCTCTAAAGGCACCTTATTTATACTAAGCTTAAACCAATTCCAAATCTCGCGGATGATTCCAAATCATTTCACCCGTGTTTGCCCCTCCTCTGCTTCCCCCGCCGCCTGTCATGTCGTCGTCTCAGCAATCCTCCGGTCACACGTGGACTGAGGGTGATTTTGAACATCCTAATGAGAAAATTCGCCACTCGTTGATCGTGGCGCTCGTTTTTGCATTCACGTTGCCCACGGTCGCTGTTGGCCTGCGACTTCTGGCTCGAAGGATGACTGGGAGCAGGCTGTTCCTGGACGATTATTTGATTCTTGTTGCTTTGGTACGGCTTATAGTATTGTATCTATACGGAAAAAAGCCACTAATTTGGTTTCATGGCAGCTTTTCAAATATGGATGTTCGACCGGCGTTGTCATTTGTGAGTGAAGTAATTGCTCCGGCGAAAGCTGAAGATGGTACTGACAGAATGGAAAGTGCTTTACAATGGCCTCGGCTCTCATATCGAGACAGTTCCAAAAGAGAATGTTGAACGTTTCTTCAAGGTACACCAGCACTCGGCCGCACGAGGTATACCGCAGTGAATCTAACTTTCGACAGATCGGCTGGGCGAACCCATTCGTCTACACTGCCAATGTGATGTTCATCAAACTGTCAATCCTGGCTCTGTATCGGCGATTGTTCGCCATCAAGTATATGCTGTTTGGCGTCTATTTCATGGGCATGGTAGTCATTCTCTGGACTGTGAGCATCTGGGTCGCTGCTACTCTCAACTGCATCCCTGTGCCCAGGTTCTGGGATCGATCAATTGAAGGCGCCTGCATTGATCCCGACACGTTTTATTATGCCACGCAGATTCCTAACATCGTCTCTGACGTAATTCTCCTGCTTATGCCACAGGGAGTTGTTTGGTCTCTCCCAGTCGCCAAGTCCCAGAAGATGCTTTTGTCCTGCGTATTCATGGTTGGCGGATTGTAAGTTTTCCTGCGTTTGAATGGCGCCATTGAGTACGTGTGCCAATGATTTTTGTAGGGCTTTGATTTTCGACATCGTTCGATTGGTGGCTATGCTTCGCCTGACCCAGCAGGGTGATGACATTACTTGTAAGTGATTCAGAAAACCCGGAATGCCTGTGTATACTGACGATTCTGGCAATACGTATAGACTACCAAATGCCGGTTGTCATGTGGACCTGCACCGAGGCCGGTGTAGGTATCATCGCCGCATGCCTGCCAAATCTGCGACCACTGTTCAAGACTGGAAGCCGCAGTTTCTGGTCCCAGCTCCGATCTTTCAGCCACGGATCTTCAAAGGCGCATTTGAACAGCGATATCTCGGGTACGACAAACTCGAGTGGAAACAGGAGTTTCCAAAAGGGACCTGTCGATTCCTGCGTCGCCGAGGAAGGTATTGAGGTTCATCGGTACAGCAGTATTATTGGAGAATCCGAAAAGTAAGACTTTAAAAGGGGTCTAGAGTGTCGCCAACGAGGTGATGGCAATGCAGAGCACTATGAGAGATGGTATGATATTCAGAACTGGAAAACATGGCCGGCGTTTCTTTCGTTCGTTTCTTCCGAGATACTCCCTTTAGCAATACTGTTTTAATTTCGCTATAAATTTCGTTAGTTAGTTCACATATACTATTGTCCACGCTCACTTCAGTTGGCATTCCCTGCGCAGGCCATATGGAGTGCTTTACTCCTGCTTTCATCACCAAAGAAGGAAAATAGGGTAGATAAAGCTCGTCCAAGGAAAAGTAGACCTGGGAGGATGTCACAAACCCAGGAGAAAGTGTGCAACTGTTTGAATCTCCTCTTTCATAACTTGACGGATCTCACCTTGCGGGGCATAGAGTAGACTCTTTTCAATTTCATATTCGCTCTAACTCCACCCGTACCAATACAATACTTGCAAATCGCTTGGCTTCGCAGGCTTCGAAGATGTGGGGTGATGAAGATCGGAGAATACTTGTAGGCACAAAATTGCGTGGTGAACACGATATTCCTCAATCCATGAAGGTTGTGCCAGTCCGTGAGTCTCCCACCCTGGAGGCAGAACCGAATTGGATCCACCGGCGAGGCGCAGGTTATCAAGCATTATAGAAACACCAGCACAGGCAAGGCGTTGCATATGAGCGGCCACTTCAATCATGCCCTGGATTCTTCGAATGAGAAATATTGTCATCTTTCCGCGCTTTGGTGAAAGCAGGTGTGGATCTCGTGCGCTCATCATGCTCATCATACTCATGGAAAGAAGCGCATTTGAAGCTTGGGTGCATATCAAGGCTGATGTGTGGAAGGGCGAGTCAGGGCTCAAGTATTCGGCGACAGCCAGCCAGAATGCCTTCAGTGATTAGAAGCGTGTTTGCTTCGAAAATCTCTCGCACACAAGGTGAAACATCGAGGAGGCTGTCGACACCGACAAAATCGACTGTGTAATGCAGTATACAGAGCACGATCTCGGTCGGCGATTTGGTGAAAACATCCATGTCGCGCACGAACAGTAGTCCCACGTCAGACGGGAAGCCAGATCGAGTTTTCGCGATGTGATTGGATAGTATCTCGTGAAAGCTTGTCGTTGTCGTTGGGTTGTCTAAAGCAATGCCTTTCGGGGAATGCAGTTTCAAGATTCACCGAACCCCGAGATGCACGATTGTCGGGGAACGGGCCGTCGGGTTAACATTCCACTGGTTCTGGTTTGTTTGTCAAGTCTTGGCTTTCGCGTCAAGAGAGCCGCCGCCCCGCTGTTGGAAGCTAGTGAGAGCTGCCAAGTCATCAGCCACAGGGCTTTTGTTGGATGCCATCTTCTTCCTATCATGGTAGACTGACAGTCGTTACTCATGAACAGGAAAGAAAGGATCAAAGTCCTCCCAATTCACGTAACCAATGGAGATATCTGGGGGGAAATAATTAGCACCTCAGACAGGTTTTGAATGGTAGATGATGCTTCCTGGTGGTAGATGAACACCAACGGTGAGGCTCAACTGAGTCGTGCTTGACGGAGTTTAAGTTCGGCTTCCGAGCATCTCAGATGTAACTTCGGTTTTAAGGGTGTACTAAAGACAATTTGGCCCCTGATCGCGGATTTTTCTGTTCCTCGGAGATAATCTGCGTGCGCGAGATATCTCCGCACTGGGATCCGTATGATGCAACTAATAACGAGGGATCGAGATGGACCCCGGAAATACTTTAAAAATGCCATGTTCCCTGATATAGTCGAGTGGGACTTTTGCAATTCTTATCTCTGTATCATCAACCGTTAAGCACACATATTCACCTGGTGACTGCCTCTGTGGATTTACGTCCGTTCAATCATGGCTTCCAACTATATCACCAAGGTTGCCATCGTCGGAGTATGCCTCTCCAGTAACTCCTATCACAGCATACCTCAACCTCAAACACTAACATCTCCCCAACTAACAGGCTGGTGGCAACAGTGGTAGCTTCATGGCCGAAGCTCTGCTAAAGACTGGCAAGCACACCGTTACCGCTTTGACAAGAGAGGGGAGCCAGAGCAAGCTGCCACCCGGAGTGATCTCAAAGCCCATCGACTACAGCAACATCGAGACCATTGTCGAGGCCCTGAAGGGTCAGGAGGCTTTTATAATTACACTCCCCGGTCAGGCTCCTGAAGGAACTGAGCTGAACTTGGTCAAGGCTGCCGCCAAGGCGGGTGTGAAATGGATCCTGAATGACTGGTGCCCGGACACCCTGAATGAGGAGTTGGTTCGGGATGTTCCTATCTTCCAGCCTAAAGGTGAGTATCAGAATGCGATATTGAATGGGGACGCTTGTTGACCATGGATTTGTCTTCTTTTGTTGCAGTCGCCATTCGCAAGTCTATCAGCGAACTTGGAGTGAGCAACTATATCAGTATTTCGACTGGTTTCTGGTATGAATGGAGTTTGGCGATCCCGGCAGCATATGGTATCGATTTGCTCAACCGCACTGCCACACTCTTTGACGAGGGTGATGTCAAGATCACGACGTCGACCTGGCCCCAGGTATGAAGTTTATACCCATGTTACCTTGTTGGAAGATGTCTTCTAATGTGTGATAGGTTGGTCGCGCCGTGGCTGCTATCCTCAGCCTACCAATCAAGGCCCAGGGCTCTCTGGCCTCCCTTGAAAACCTCAAGAACCAGGTCGTATACATCAAGTCTTTTACTGTCAGTCAAAAGGACATGCTGGAGTCTGTCTATCGGGTGACTGGTACGAATGAGGCAGACTGGACCATCACCAAAGAGTCGTCCAGCGAGCGGTATGCTCAGGGTACGAAGGAGATGTATGGGGGTAGTCGTGAAGGGTTTGCCAAGATGCTCTATACTCGTGTGTTCTACCCAGATGGATGTGGTGATATCGAGCACAAGGGTACGATCAACGCACTGCTCGGTCTGCCGGTTGAGGACATCGATGCGGCGACGTTGGTTGCTATTGACCGAGCTAAGAACTATCCCTGGAGCTGAAGGATTGCAGCTATAATGACTGCGCACTCGTTCTTTCAATGACATGGAAACAATGGGATCGCCTCTGGGCTCTGGCCAGCCATTTCTGCGGCGGACATGAAAGAACTTTGAAGAGGTGCTAGTATGAACGGTTGTACTTTTGAGAAACCCCTTTTGATCATCAGACATGGTATTCACAACAAATATAACATCAATCGCATATTTCTATACATATATATGGTATCCAGCATCTAGCTGTCCAGCAGCGGCGGGACCTTCTCGCAGAGGTACTCAACAATGGCATCCGGGCCACGCTCAACCTGCAGACCGGTAGGAATGGCATGCAACTTGATGTTGGGAACGATCGAGCGGGCGATGTCGTGAATCTGCTTGGCTTCCTCGTCGGTCCACATGGAGGCACTGAACTGTGGGGGATGTTAGTCGGAGTTCTCGCCGGGGGCGTTGTCGGAGACATCGGGGCAATTGGGGCCGTGGCTCGGATATTCCGAGGAAATTGGAGATGGAGAAGAAATGGAGGAACATACCAGAACGTCGGGCTGGTGCTCCTTGACCTTGGCCTCGACCTCGTCGATCTCTACATAGTAGTTAATATTGCGATCATAGACGATACAAGTAGGTTTGTGGGCTGTGGCAAGGAACTACTCACTCTCGCAGTTATCGACGTGGAGAATAGTGTAGCGGTCCTTCAAGCTGTCCGCAACACGGCCGATGAGACGCTTAGCGCGCTCGGGCGCAGTGTTGACAGTAACCAGGCGGAAGGGACCCTTAGGAGCAGACATGGTGAAAATGTGAAATGTCGAACAAAAAATCCAGAGAGCAGTCCCGTTGCGACATCGCGGGGGTTTTATTCTTTTCGCCAGCCCGAGCCCGATTGCGTCGCCACTTTTCCCCACATTCCACTTTTGTGGGTGGACTGCCCCTCCACGTCGGCTTTCCCAAGTGCCCAGCCTGACCCCGGGGTAGAAATACTCCGCGCATCGCGATAAAGAATCACTCTTTTCCTGTTACTTCTTGTCGTCCAGGATCTTCCCTTTTCATAATTATCTCAATCATGTCGAAGATTGCATCCACTTTTTCGCGTAAGTTGTGCCCTTTGAGTGCGGGTGTGTAATGATTACAATGGCTGAGAGACTAATTGACTGCTACAGGCCTGGTGCGCTTCGTCCCCAAGTCGAACCCCGCAAAGGTTCTGATCGGTGAGCCCGTCGATCCGCAGCTGGACGTGGGCTTGGCCGTGTATCAGGGCAAGGAGGTTGCCGTGCGTTCTTTCTCTGGCTCATCGGTCCTGAACCCCGGCCAGGTCACCAGCACAACCGAGACCATCGACCGGATTCTGTCTCCTCTGTCGCAGAGCGAGGTTGGATCAATTCGATGCGTCGGTTTGAACGTAAGGGGAAACTACCCGCGATGAGAATGTTGAGAAACCCAACTAACCCTACGGTAGTATGTTTCCCACGCCAAAGAGATGTCCCTCCCGATCCCGGATGTCCCGACCCTCTTCATTAAGCCTTCCACTGCCCTGGCCGATCCTTTCCCGGCCCCGACGGTGTTGCCCAAGATCACTCAGAAAGATGGCACTGGTGACTATGAATCCGAGATGGTCATTGTCATTGGTCGCGATGCCAAGGATGTGCCCGAGTCTGAGGCACTGGACTACGTCCTGGGTTACACTGCTGCCAACGATGTCTCCAGCCGCACATATCAGATGAATCAGAGCCAGTGGTGTTTCTCCAAGGGATTTGATGGCTCCTGTCCTATTGGTGAGAGCAAGGAATGATTCCGATTGCTGGGAATATGGCTAATTCGAAAATTACAGGCCCCGTTTTGGTCTCTGCTGCCCTGATCCCCGATGCGACCAAGCTCCACATCCGTGGCCTGAAGAGCGGCCGTGTCATGCAAGACTGCCCTCTCACGTACGTTAATATATGCCTAACGTGGTATCTATATATGAAGAAAAAAGCACAAGCTAACATGACCTGACAGCGACCTGATTTTCAACGTCCCCCAACTCATCAGCTTCCTCTCCCAAGGCACCACTCTGCCCGCCGGTACCATTATCCTCACCGGCACTCCCCCCGGCGTCGGCGCTGCCAAGAACCCCAAGGAGTTCATCAAGGCTGGTGATGAATTCGCCGTCGAGCTGCTGCCTCACGTGGGCACCCTGATCAACAAGATTGAGCACCAATGAAGTGCCTGAAATTAATTGAAAACGATCAGTGAGCGAAGCGCAAGCTTGAGATGTACATATTCGTATATATTGGATAGATATGGGTCTATAAAAGAGATTCTTGGAAAGTATTTTGTCCGAATTGTAGAATTATACTCGCATCCAAAGCTATACTTTAATTGCATACTGGATGCGATTATCGAAAAGGCCCGACATAGCCAGTCAGGGCACTATTGACCGCTCAAATGCCACGCCTCGGTCTTTGATCCGCCACACTACGGCGGAAGAGACTTGTTTCGTCCATACTCTGCACCATCCCGAATCACGCTTCTCGCGTATAGAGTGTGAGAAGCTAGCTAAGTAACATGCAATAGCAACAGAAAATAGCTAATCAGGCGATGATTCACGACAATCAAGGAGTTGTTGTCCTAGGCATGTCCACCAATCAAAAGTACACTCGGGATATAGTATTTTCCACTTACGGAGTAATTCTGTTCCGGCTTTTGATCGGGACAGTCTTGGCAGAGAATTATTTACAGAGCGAGCTGTAAGCTAGCAGGTCGCTGCAGGTAATTGATGTAGGCGATTGATGTGTCATTCTCATGCATCGAGTTCATAGAAAATTGTAAGATAAAAATTGACAAAGCTACCAATCCTTTCTGTGGTCCAAAACCACATCGCCTAGTCGTTATTCAGCTTGTCCAGATCACTGTAGTCCGAACCAACAGCCGTGATCACTTGCAATTCATTTAACTAGTCATGCACCTCGTCATTAGTCTAACTAGTAGCTCCTGGACAATAAGTCTAGAGCGGTAGCACCCGACCTCAAAAGCCGGTCATCGCAAGTCAGACCAGCTCGTATGACCCTTTTCGGACAAGCCCAGAGGCTCGTCCCGATGGTCGCACTACCGCATGTTTTCGGCGGCTCCCGGTAGGCTTCCCGATCGGCTTCGTTGCGAGGGATCGTGCTGCGGCTTTTCATTTATGCCTGGGCTCTGGTTTCTTTTTTTTCTTGAGGTGTTGGTTATTTTCTTTGCTTTGAGCTCCTTTTTCCTTTATTTCGCTTCTGTCTTTCTCTTTTTCGGCTTCTTTCGTGCTTCGTGCTCGATATGTCGATTTCTACGTGCTGTTCAGGCTTGAGATGAGCAAGGTGCTTGACTGCAGTATGCCATGCATGCTGCTGACTCTACTAATCTGGCAAGTTCAAGTCGCACTTTCGCTACACGGATTTCTTTCAGAATGCCTGATCATCTCCGAAACGTTATACATTGACACCAACACATCGATCTATATACAGTTGGGCGGCCCCCTTGAACCGCATGCTGTGTCCCGAGCCGAATCCAATCTATCCGTCCCGATGCCGATTCTATATGCAAAGTTTATCCTCCGACCGACCCATCTATAACCAAAACAAAACAAAAATTCCCGTGACAAGCATTCTTCGAAACCGGATATACCATACCCAGTCTTGACGAGAAGTCAAGTCGTCACTGGATACTCGTCGTCATTTACTCTTCGTCTGCGTTCCGACGCCACATGGCTCCCCGCCATTGAAGGATGATGGTCGGGACAACGCTGACAGCGAAGACCATCGCACAACCAATCCCTGAACTGGGCGCCACGCCAACATTCTCGAACATGGGCGAGAACCTGCAGAAGGGGTTGGGTTAGCCGCGACATTGGAATGCGCAAGATATTGTCGGGGGAAGGACTTACCAGAAAGGACCGATGAATCCCCAAATCTGGCGCACAAAGGTGATAAACACACCCACGCTGGCGGCCTCTTGCGGGAAACAGTCTACGGCATAGGTGATCATCACGGTGGTGACGAGCTGATTTCCAGCAGCGCCAATACCCGTGCCAATGATGGGGGATACATTCCAACGACCGGCAGGCGACTGCTGCGTACACACCAAGAAGACAACGATACCGACGATGATCAGGGCAAAGCCAAAGTAGCTCAGCCACAGACGGAACTCGGGATCGGGCTTACTGCGCAGACGGCGCTGTCGCTGCTTCATCCAATAATCTGAAAGTGCACCGCCCATCTGCTCACCGATCAGGGATCCAATGATGGCACCCAGGAACTGCAGACCCAGCTGTTCGGCGTTGAGTCCGAACTTCTCCTGCAGGAGCTGGGGGACCTCGACGGTTGCGAGGATGTTACCCCACAGGAAGCACATGGCGTATGCGCAGGCAGGGATGGCGATGGACGGGCGGCGGACCATGGTCAACGGGCGCACAAACTCGAACCAGGTCAGCGGGGTGGGATCAATGCGTCGGAGAGACATATATTCTGTCTTCCAGGTAGGCTGCTCGCGATCGACGCCACTGCCCACCCAACGGGTCTCTGGTCCGAAGAACAGATACAAGATAAACTGGCAACCATTGATCTATCATCCGGGATACACTGTCAGCCACACTAACTCTTACTAACTCAACTTTGATGCAGCACTTACAATAGCCAGAATCCAATAGATCCAGGTATAATTCAACCGGTAGGTCACGAAACCAAAGATGAACGGGCCAATCGGAACTCCCAGAGTGACCATCAGTGTCCAAATACCCATGTAGCGGGCGCGGTCCTTCTTGAAGGTCGTCTCCATCACGACGGCACTGCCAATGGCCGAAGCAGGCGAGATGAAGAAAGCCACCAAGGCACGGCACGCCGCTACAGATGCATAAGTCGTGCTCTTGGCACAGCCAATGTTACACACCAGACTGAGGATGAGCGAGAGCAGGAAGATAGGCCGACGACCGAATCGGTTGGACAAGGGCTTCCAGAAGAGAGGGGCAACTCCTATGATGGCAATCTGCAGCGAGGTCAAGTAACTGGCCTGCTGCAGGGTGACTCCCAGGTTCTCTGCCATGTTCATATAGGCGGGGATGATGCCGGCGGCGGTGAATGTAGCCATGCAGGCGTGGAATGCCACCAAGATCAGATTGACCATTTTCTACAATGATAATATATCAGCTTTCTTGTTCATTTCTTCTGATCCGTTATCGTCCAGAATTGTGGTCCATTATGGACATGGGTTTTGGTTGTGTCCGTAACCCTCCGCATAGGCCAGTAGGCTAGGGGGGGGGGTTACTCACCTTCCATTCAGGCCAGTTGTAAGGGTCGGCAGGCCCCATGCTGGGAATAGGGTCGAGTTCCAATGTGCCATGGCGTTCGAGCAGATAATCTCGATGAGCTTTGGGAAGACGAGCAGCCACAGACTCCTCGTAGGTAGCGGCCCGGCCAGCTCCTGCACTCTCGACGAGATCAATGTCGGCTTTGGTGCCGGGGTTCTCCTCGACCTGGTCTACGGCCCGAGACGACGATGGTTGCAATTCGAGAGACGGCATCTTGGCGATGACCCGGAGGCGATGTTCGGGATAGGAAAAGGATGCTGGCAAGCACTGAATGTGCCTGGAAGCCCGTTTGCACGGAGAGGATGAAACAACGGCGTTGTCAAGATTCTGCTATCAGGTCGTGGTTCCCTCTTAGGGCTTGGGTGGTGAAGATCAAATGTGAAGAAAATGAAGAAACTACGAATGCTACTAGAGCCGAGGAGAGCGAGGATAGCCGGTGAACCAAAGCAGGGACGGAATGAAAAGAATAGTCTCGGAATTGAATCCAATGGGGGTCAATTGGGTGTATGGAGTGTCCAGGGCAGGAGTCCCCCGTAGCAGAATGGTTGTTGGGAATGGAAAAAAAAAAGACCGAATGGCTTGGCGTGTCGCCAAACGGCCGGTGAGTACGCATAAACCAGAGACCCGTCGGAGACAATCTTCAAAGTCGGGCCTATCCCAGTCCCTCCTCAGGCCCATTCGTCCCGTTCTTCGACTTCTCCGGGGGTCGGGTCTTGCCCCCGGGGGTATCCCTACTGTGACTGTCCAATGCCGGACGCATCGGGTTCATCTGGAGAGAAATGCGGAGGGTCTCCAGTGCTCCACGGCACCCCGGTGGTCTCCTTTCGGACTCGGCAAGTGACAGTGTCTGGCAAATGCCCTTGGATGTCATGCAGATTGGTCAAAAGGCCCATCGTGGTCCGTCGCGGTTCCATCGGTGGCTCATCCGGACCCATCCTGGCACTTGAGGACGGCTACCCGAATGCTGTAGTCGCCCGTGGATTACGACACGTCCGGCATGGGTGGCCCGGGTCAAGTACCGAAAATCTCTTGCCAAAAGGTTATTTCTACCAAGAACCCTTCGGGTCCGACTCCGTTCCCCATATCCGATTCTCCAATTCTCCAGCGCGATGGACTCATGGAGTATGGACCCTGTGCGGAACTGTTGCGCACGTTTTTTCTCTGGGGATTTCTCTGGGGGGTTTGTCCGATGGTTGATTAGTTGAATAGCCGATTTCTGGTGGATTTGTCGCTGATTCCGAGGCTCATTGGTCATCTCGGGGAGGAATCGCGCCTCGATCGTCTCTTTGCAAGTGACTGAGGAGTGTATGTCTTGTGTTTTCTGATCCTGTAAAGGGGAGGAGGCGAGAAAAGTCTTCGGACCACTCACTTTGGGCTGTTAATTCCACATCCCGCTCTGGAACCCTCAGTTCCTCGTCATAGCATGCTTCATTATCCCCCGCGCTATTATTGGATCGCACATCGCATAGCCCATGATAATCTGTCCTTTGCAGACAGAATTCCGTCGGACATCACAGGGATTCGTAAGACTCTCAACAGCCCCACGAATGTGACTTGCAGATTGGCTGGGCGTGTCCAACTCATCCACGAGGGTGCCACACCCCACAATCGCCTCTCCACACGATCCTCTCCTCATCTCCTCTTTCCTCCTCCCACATCTTTCCCATCGAAGATGGCGTCGCTAGAGATCATGGCAGGGCCGCCGGTCTCTTCTGCATCGTCAGCAGGGGTCAAGAAGTTGGTGTGTCGCGTGTGTCAAAAGGCATTCACCAAGGCTGAACATCTCCGAGTAAGTCAACATCTCGAGTATGCCCATGTCCCCACGATTTTGAGGGGCCGTTATTCCAAATGCCAAGGCGATGCAAGGCGACTATCAGACGATTATCAAGCTAATACCCAATTGAAAAGAGACATGAGCGCTGCCGTAAGTCATGCATTCCTGCACTGCTATTCTTTACTCCGGCGATTATATCTCTGCCGGATTCCCCTTATTCCAGTATGGGAATCGCCAGAGCAAATCAACATGGGACCATCAAATCCAACCAAATACCACCCCCATAGACTCCGTCGGCTGACCGGAAGTATGCCCTAGATACCGGCTCCAAGCCTTACGTCTGTAAAGAATGTCGCCGGCCCTTTGCCCGCCAAGATGCACTCACCCGTCATGAGAAATTGCATCTGCGGGACATGAATGCAAAGCAAGGCCCTTCACCACAGTCGGTGCCACCCCCTTCGGCTTCATTGGATTCGATGACCTCGTGGGATGCCAGCAGTGCCTCTCCTACCACGGGTCCGGCCTCGACCTCGGCCACCAGCCGATCGTGGGATGAGCAGCAGGTAGCTCAGCATCAGGACATGCACAATGTTGCTGCTGATCTAGATTTCGCCCTCATCTGGCCGGATTCTGAGAATTTGTTCCAGACTTTGATGTCCTCGGATAGCACAGACCAATGGCAGATGCCCTTGGGGACGTTGCCCTTTCCGCCTGTAGTGCAAGATGTGAATGGCATGAATTTCGGGTCACCCAAGTCATTCGATGATCGGAGTTCATCCGTGGGTACCATCCCTTCCGGTGGAGGACATCAGGCTGTGCGAGATGTGACAGAGATGATAACCAGCTCGGTAAGTAGACGGACCTGCCATGAATCGGGATCATGGAAATTGTTCTCGTTGGTGATGCCCAAATTGAACGACCATACTGACATACATCAACCAGTCCTCGAGTGTCACCGCTGCTGTCAAGGCCACGTCAATTACATCAGTCTTCCTGGACGAATGTCTGCACATGTTCTTCGTCAGGTTCATACCGACATTCCCCATCTTGCATCGCGCTACTTTTGTCTTCCGCGAGTGCACTCATGCACTCCTCCTCAATGCCATTGCCATCGGCTCCCTATACCTAGGTCCCTCCGACTCCGTTGCCAAGGGCGAGGCATTATGGCGTTTGGCCCACACAGCTGTTGCGACGTCATGGCAGTCCTTGATCACTCACAACGGACCTTATGATGCCTGCAAGGGAGTCCAGTTGATGATCACTGCATTGCTGGGCCAGATATACGGGGCCCTTTCGAAGAATCGAGCTGTTCGCACCACTAGCCAAGTCTTCCGACCGCTGGGCTTCTTCTGGGCTCGGCATTGTGGCATGTACGACAGCGAACCATACTCGATGGAGAACCTGCCTTCCGCCGAGGCTCCCCAGGCTGAAAAAGAACACCAATGGCGTATATGGGCTGCGCGAGAGATTCAGCAGCGTGCTCTTCTCGCATATTACGTCCTTGATGGGCTGGTGGCACAGATGTCTGGTGATGGAGCGTCTGCCCGCCACGTCTCCAATCCGTTGAGTCTTCCTAGTAGTGAAGGTGCCTTTGACGCGAATACCGCCGACGAGTGGCTGGCACACATGCACTCGCAACAGCCTGATCAATCATCCTTCCGTGTCGTCTTCCGGTCCTTGTTTCCACCGGTCGGTAACTTCCGAGCACTAGACTACCAATTCTCCGCGTTTGCGCTTCGTGTAGTCCTGGAAGGCCTCCAGTCCCTTATTTCCGACTGCGATGAACACGATCTCGCAGTTGGTGTCCCGGGCCGCTCTGACGTCCGCCGGGCTCTGGCCCAAGTGCACGAGACCATATCGATGAGCATTCATTTCTCCTCCTCGGAACGGTTAGAGATTCTCCTCCGCTGGCACACCGTGTGCCTAGACACAATGATCAACTCCACTGTTCTCTCTCGACATGTTTGCTCTCGCTATAATATTCCACAGCACGTGTCGGGGGGTTGTCGAACTGTCCGGCCCGACTTTGACCTACTCAAATGGGTCAATACGGAAGATGCCCGCCGTGCCGTCCTCCATGCGGTCGCTATCCAAGACATAGTCGAGCAACTACCACGTGGACGTGCCCATGTCGTTCACATGCCCAGCTCTCTATTTGCTGCGGCCACCGTCTACGTTGTCTTCTCACTGGCCGGTGTTGCCACAGTCAATCTCCCCCGCACGATAGTCTGGCAAGATGCGCTCCTCTCCCACTCGGATCTTAATCTCGGTCACGACGACATTCGACCCCCATCTGGCTCTGAGACACGACGCTTTGTGGAAACTGAGCAGGGGATCTCCCAGGCTCCGATCGGCGGCACCGTTCGGAATCTTCTGTATGAATTGAACTCCATGCAGAAGCTTTTCCGTTGCCTGTCATCCCAATGGGGCATTGCGCATGATATGGAGAATATTATTGCTCAGTGGATCCAATTGTGCCATTAGTCACCGGAGCTGGACTCTGTGCGGGAGGGCGTTTGTACGTGTTCGATCTTTCGATGTATATAGTTTAGCGAATGTAATGAGATTATGAAATATGATCGAGTATAAGTTTTCGAACTGCAGACTATCAAGGCTGAGAACTTGAGCGATATACAAGTCGAAGGATGAAAGAAAATCAGCAACAGTTTCAATGAACAACCAGGAAATGGAGGTCCATGAGCCACGTTTCTCATTTTTGAACGTATCCCCAAGATACGACTGCTCGCCCCGGCTGCGCTGGGTCGAGAAGTAGACATGGAAACGAGGCATGCAGGCTTTGTGGCTTCCCTTGATCTCCGCGAAAGTTCTTTCATTATCTATCAATTTTGGCAGCATTCTGAGTGCAGAGCTTCCCATTTTCCTCGCACATTCTGATTTCCATCATAGGCTGACTATCTAAGACTGACAGGGAAAATATACATAGCACGTGATCAAGACCCGTTCTCGATGACCATTCTCACCGCCCTCAACGTCTTACCGCCTATGATTATGCCGTAGGGTTTTCGCGACGCATCCCGCGGCGGACGCTAAACTCAAAACAATTTTTCCGCTGGCCAGAAGCTTCCCCTGTTGATCTCCACCGACGCCAAGGCCTCAACCCTGATCGTCAGAAACTCCGTTCGTTCGGTAAGTTCTTGGGACTTCTAGATGGAAAAATGTTCAAGAGAAGGTCTGAGACTAACAAGCATGCATGAATGATGCAGTCAACATCATGAACAGATCGCAAACGTCCGCCCCGCCTGAGAACGCTGGACTGCCCCAGACCAGTACCGTCCAGGCCAGCCCCCGCGGCGTCCGCGGAAAACCACTCACAGCCAATGACGAGCTGGTTCTGGTGGCATTGTGCAAGGCTCGCAATCAGGAGGGCCACTTCGCCGACAAACCCAAGCGGTTCTGGATCGAGATCTCCCAGATCTTTCATATTACCACCCACCGTCCCTATTCCTGGCAGTCGTGCCGCCGTCGCATGATCAAAGCGGAAGTCGAGGAAAATTCTCAGCAGTCCGGTGCTCAATCAGCTAGTCCCTCGCTTAACCCGCCTGTCCAAGCGGAGCCCACCGAAACCGCCCCTATTCCTAAGTCGACCAGTGTCGAGGGCGACAATGACCTGGACAGTGACGACGATGACCTTCCTCCTGGACTTCCATTTGTGCGGGGTAACATCACCAGTCCGCATGGCCAATGGGATGCCGAGAAGAATGCTTTCATTCTCAATCTTGTTACCTATTTCAATGACACTGTGGGTTCTTTCGAGAACCAGCTGCAGGCGGTCATGGATAGGCTTATCAAAGATGAGGATGACCAGCGTAACATTGACGAGGCATTCTCCAATTTCAAGCAGATTTTAGATCGGGCACTGGAGAAGGCTGGTTATGGCCAGAAGGAGGAGGAGGACCAGTGATTCATCAATCACTCTATGACATGCCGTCTCTCCAGTCCTACGGGATGCATCCCTCACTGGCGTCCTGTTCACGATTCCATGATCTGAATGACTTAACGATAGATCGAGATACCCTTCCAATGATATGAAATTTCATGATGCTTGCAAATTTCTGCTCTTATTAAATTTAATAAACACTCCTCTACGTAATGTGCAGGTTTAGAGTGTAATGGTGCTTGTACAAGCAAGCTCGACTCAAGCAGGGAAAAGGCGTGTGGTATTCCATTAAACTAGATGCCAATGCACAAAGGAAAAATCCGGCTAATCCAGACCCCTCTATGTGCATCATCTCACCGTAAGCAAATATCCATCTGGCTATGTTCATTCATATCTTGTAGCATGCAAATGATAGGAAAGCGACCCAATCAATGCAGCTACGCGCTGAACACAGTAAAAAAAAAAGCAAAGATCCCCCGCGAACGCCTGTGTCACATCTTTGATGTCATCTCCTTGCAAATTTCTTGTGTCTGGTCCTGGCTCTCATGCTTCGCTGCCAAAGACAGAGTCGTAGGCAACCGAGCCGCGGACCAGGGTGTCCAGATTGGCCAGAACATTCTCGTGAGCGTCGGGGGCAGTCACCGCCATGGAAGGAAGAGAAAGGTCATAACCATTAGACTTGCTGTCAATACGAACCTCTCTCTCCAGGTCAATGACTGGCAGCTGGGTGGGGACATCATCCCTGTCCAACTCGGTCTTGAGACGTTTGGTCACGTGCTCATCCATGCCCTGAACATCATCGTCGTCGGCATCACTGTCGGAGGCGGGGTAGCTCTTGATACCCATCAGGGATCGGGTCATCTCATTCTCCTGCTTGATCTCGGGCTTGATAGGGCTGGTCTCGTCGCCGGAGATCTCGACAATATCAATGTTCTGTTCGGCGGCCTTGGAGTCGGCGAAGTCGTCGGCCTCGGCGGTCTTGGTAGCTTTGTCGGTCTTGCGCTTAGAGCGAGAACCTGCTTTCTTTTCACCAGGGGTAGGAGTGCGAGGAGTCTTCGGAGTAGTCTGGGGCTGACTCTGGGGATTTCCTTCACCAGCGGTGACGCGCAGATTCTCGGCGGTCTTGCGCCAAGCCCGGAATCTGTGCTCCATGGTGTTGTACTTGGCACCCTGTCCGTACATTTTAGCAATTGCGGTGTAATCCAGCTAATATATAAGCTTCAATTAGCTCTTGTTTTTTTCTTTGAGTAGGATTGATCATACAAACCTTCAGCTTTGGATTGGCAGCGATCAGCGCCGCAATGGCTCGCTCGGGATCGACCTTCATTGTTGCGGTATGCGGTCGGTATGGATGGCCTGGGAATCTCGTGATGAGTCAGAATCAGAATAAGCAGGAAGTGAGAAAAGAGAAAAGCAATCGGTTGCACCGATCGTACTTCGGGAGGCTCGAACGAAGAAGTGATCGTACGTTGCGAGGTTGAGAGTTGCAAACGTCGAGGAGGAGAGCGAGGAAGTGAAGGGAAAGAAACGAGAAAGAAGCGGAATTTGAGACTTTGGGGCAAGGAGGTAGTGTCTACTTACACGAGAAAGTTGAGTTTGGTTGAAGGAAAAGATTGCTCGAGGTCAGAAGATGTTCGAGTCCAGGGGAGGGTTGGTCGGGATCAGACTTGTGGAGGAAGAGTCGAGGGGGAGTTTTGAGCAATAGGCGGCAAATAAGATAGCATGGTCTCTCCTGTTGAGAAGCCCTTAAATGACTACAGCTGTTCCCAGTTGAGTAACTAAGTCAACTTTGGCGCTTCCTTCTACTACCTGACGTGCAGGAGATGCAGACTTCGTTGAGCGTCCTCGCTCGCCCGCATGATCCGCAATTTATACGACAGTTGACAAGGAGTTTCGTCCTTGCCATTCAATGTAACTGGTCAAACTTGTAAGGTTCAGAATACTCTAGAGCGGAGTCTCTCGGTCTACGGTCTCTGGTGCTCGGCTTTGACCTGATTCCATGATTCATCCGGCTCTAAAGTGTGGCCTTGGAGAGACCGGTTTACAAGACACATGCGGTCTGTAAGCGTTTCTCCATACGATCCTTTGACAAAAGCTTCTCATTTAAAAGCAGACAGCTATTGATATTATTTTCAGACCATGTCGGTGGTTACTCCCCGGGTTCTTCTCTAAAAAGACGCCAGTAAGTCTGAGAAATAGCACATGTGCATCCAATCCAATGCCTATCCCCTCGATTCATTCTAGTCATAATAGGGTAAACCCAGCAGATCGTGCTACCCAAAAAAGAGAACTGTGGTGATTAACTCGTCCACTTCCACTTTCAGGTTGGACAGAGCGGCCTTGCACGTGTAGTCGAATGGTAGTAGACCAGCATGTATGTCAATTTTACAATATTATGGTCAACCAAGTTGAAATTCAATAGATCTAGGGGATAAATATAAACTGGGTGCGTGGATAAAGTCATCGCTCAGATGACCAGTAATCCAAAAATGGAATAAAATGTGAGCTGTCAAACTCGAGCCAATGGTGGTCCTAATAGAACATACATCTCGAGTGTACAACCCGAGCCAACGCAGCCAGAATGACTTCCTATGCGTGATATTCCTGCTAATCTTCCAGGAATATCGTATCATGAGTCTACAGAATAGATATTTCCGTAATGCGGCCTATTAACAGGCCATTACACTTTAAAGCCTCGGACAGGCGACGACCATTCTTGGCTACCAACAGTTAAACAACATCAAGTATACTTTCTCTCTTTCCCTTTCTTGCTGTTCTGATCAATTGGATCGTTGCTTCAAGATCTCACTACATCTCACAGATGTATGGCCTAAGCTGGAGAGAATTTTCTACTTTGTGTCATACCGTAATGGATCATTGTTAAGGGTAAGTTTGATCTGAATCGATTCCTCTGGAATATTGACTCAATCATTCTGTACTTCTTTAGGAAGGCACGTAAAACTACTTGTATTCCAAACGGAAGGTGCGACCTTGATTCGAAAGAACTATTGTTAAAATCACGTGAAAATATGACTTGGCACATGATGAATGTTTTAATCAAAAACTGGAACCTTATTATGAAGAAACTAAATTATACTTAAATAGTGTATATAATAGGTTTAGAACGGAGATTGAACTTGAATAGTAAACCTCTGAGTAATGAAGAAAAGTCGAAAAAAATTGAGCTAAAGTAGAATAACATCTACTCCAGGAACTATAAGAACCTTATCTTGAGACTAATATTTTTTTCGAGGATATTGTTTATCCATACAAATACTATATATAATACCGAAATAATTAAAAATTATAAGTATCTCTCCTTTATGATCCAGTTTCTTTAGATTAGAACTCAATTTAGTATAATTCTTCTATTTCTCCTCCTAAAGTAGCCGTTTGAGCCATCTAATTTAATCACTATACTTCAAGACTAGTAATAAGTAAGTCTTAGATAATACATTTTAAGTTATTAGGATAATCCCTACCAATACTATCCTAAAGATCATCGAGTAATTAACTTATTCTAAGGTTTTGAGATTTATTTAGTACTATAATTATCCGTATAGAAAGCCAATAAAATTCTCTCTTTTTAAGTAAAGGAATAGTTTTTTAAAAGACCCGTGGTAGAATGAAATAGAACGTGCCGACTTTTATAGTATCTACTTAAAAGTTAACTCGCGACTGGGGATACTATTGTAGAAAATTTATAAAGAAATCCAATTCGTATATTGTGAAGATATTATTTAACACAGAAATATTAACCTTAATATATATACTATATTAAAGGAAGTATAAGAAGGTTGAAATATTGAGCTTACTTAGCACTTAATAGAAAAGGACGAAGAATAGTGTAAAGGTAGACATAACACCATCGTCCTAGGATCAAAGAAAATAATGGGTAAACTGAATAATTGCTTGGGAAGTATGTGTTGCGCATGTGTGAGATAGATATACTTAATATTACTTATGCCATACCTACATATTAGGGATAAAAACTCCTGATTGTGTTTTTGGGCTCGATTTTTCGAGGATTAGGCCACTTGCTCTAAGATTGGAGATTTCTAATGATTATACAGCATTATCACGTGATCCTTCGACGTATACTTAGAGCATTATATAAGTATTTATACCTTGTATTTATACGCATTCATCTGCGTTTTTAGAGGCGAATCACGGGAAATAGGGCCCTATATTTTTCTAGCTAATAATACAATGTTTAAATTAATCATTTTGGGATATTTTTACCCCTTCTCCCGACTTCTACCCTCCTTTCCCTTTACACCTACCTGACTCATCTTCACTCTGAACAACTCACCATACTCTACTGCTAAACACTACTGCCTTTTGAGAGACCCAAACACAGTCTACCAAAACAATACTCGCACCTAACTCTCACATAGCTCGCATTTGACCAACTCAAACGGTCAAGATGCGTTGGACTCCCGCCGCAGATCAACTGGTAAGCACACAAGTTTATGATTCTACGCTTACACTCTGACATAGTGGAAATCTGCTAACATTTTCATTCTCACTAGCTCCTGCTCAAGATCCTGGAAACTCATGATCTGAGCGTCGATACCACCAAGGTTGCTGAGGCATGGCGTAAGTAATCCCACTGATTCTTCCCTTCTTCCGACTCATTCTTCCTGAATTCTTCCCACTGCTCCTTTGGATGCCGGACTCAGCTCCACTCTAGGCTGTGTCTAGGCTGTGTCTAGGCTGTGTCAAATAAGAAATCTGCACTCAAAATTTCAAGTTGTTCTTTTCTTTGCGCCCTACATCTTCGTGGCAACAATTGCTGACTGAAGCAGCTGAGTCTACCGACGGCGAGCCAGGACCCACTGCGCGTGCTATCAAGGAGCGGATTGCCAAAATCCGTGACCTGGCCAAGCGTGCAGCAGGAGCCGCCCTGGACTGTGGAGCCCCCTCTCCCTCAAGCAAGCGCGGCCGTGGAAAGAAGGGAAACACCTCCAAGAACACCACTTCTTCGACCTCTACCTCCACTCCCCGCAAGCGCAAGCGCAAGAACGCTGATGCAGAGATGGAGCAACAGTCTGATGATAAAGCCACTGCAGAGGCACAGCTTGATGAACTCCTGGACTACCCTAACGAGACTCCTAACGCCCATCACGGTTACATGTCTCCCGGAAATCCTGTTTTGTCCGACGACGATGCTTAAGCAATGAACTGGATGTTTGTCGCCGTGGCGATACTCCAGTTCGGCGAAAGGGAGGTCATGAAGGTTTACGTTTTGCATTTTTCATGAAGTGTTTTCTAGTGATGGGATTTGCGGATTTTCAATCAAACATCCTGCTGGAATAGCTGGCACCGGAGTTTGAGGATGATGCCCTGCTGTTTTTACGTTTCATATCTGATTTGGTTCTTGTGTTTTTGAATCCATTGCGTGGTGCTTTCTGGCATGGGATTACGCGCTGTTTTTACGTTTCATATCTGATTTTATTCTTTCCCTTTTGAATTCATTGCGTGACATTTCTGGGACGGTACTGTATGCAGGGCCTTGCAAATTTAGTTAGTCAGACGAAGGAGTTCGTTGGTTGATGCTCAGGCTACGTCCTCCGTTCTCCTTCACCCATGGAATATCAGAATCATGATCTCTTCATCAATCGGACCAGTCCAGAGTATTTTGAACAATGGAATCATATTTTGAGGCCCCGCATACTCTACTGGAATGGCGCACTTCATTGTGCACTAACGCAAGAATACCCTTTGAAGGTCTATCATAAGGAAATTTATGACCTTATATGGTGGTAAGAATACCCTCGAGGGTAAGAAGTGATACACTTTGTACATGACACAATGCATGGATTGCGTGGCTGAGTTACAGGTGCGTACGTATCAGGTTTGAAGCCTTCTGCTGCATGTGCCCACAGTTTATCACGTTCAAATATGGAATCGAGAATTCTCAAGATTCCAAAATAGTATAGATGGGCGTAACTCTGGAGCAAATCCGACGCAAATGAATTAACTGGAATTGGGTATTAATTAGGGGAAGACAGCAATGAATGGTATTGAAGGTAGATTAGGTACCAGACGTGGGCAGCAAGACTCGGCACGGGGTCACTGGATCTTTAATGGAGTCGAAACATTCGAAGACCTAACGAGAGAAGTGAATTCCGACTCTGCAAATCACTCTCCCCAGAATGTTTCCAACCGATTGACTGCACTGACAGGACATAATTGATGTGAGGCACTACGAGAACATGGACAAATTTGAACTGGGATATATTGATATGCCTATTCTCCTCAATCTCCTATCTCCAAATGCAAATGAATCTAGCTAAGACTGATGTCAATGTTTCGAAAAACATGACATAGTGGGCTGAATGACCGGATCCAGAGGATATGCCCTGGTGCGGTCAAGAAAAGCAAAAACAAAAGCGATAAAAATCTCAAAAATCTCAAAAATCCCAGTTTCCAACGCGTGAATCCAGAGCAAACAAGATGTAGAAGGAGAGCCTTGTGTCATCGACGCTAGGCAACACAAGGCTAGAGGAAGTGACGCAGGCGTCTAGACGTACTGGGGGAAGGAATCGTCATCAGGGAACTCCTCCTCCTCGTCGCTGTGGTCATTGACGCGGTCCAAGCTGTCCTCGTCACCAGCGTCCTCGACCTTAACCTTTTTGTAGGTATTGGTCTTGGTCTCAAGATTTGACTTAGCCTTCTCAAGGTCCTCCTTGGAGGCCTTCATAGAAGCCGCACGCTTGGTACCAGTCTTGGAGGTCTTGGTCTTGGACCGCGGGGTAACTGGCATACCAGCCCTGTCCTTGAGCCGGGCGACGCGGTGCTTGAGGGCACTGATTGTGCATTCTGTGAAATTTAGTCAACAAGTATGTCATGCAGCAGTCAATCTGGCATATGAGAGAAATTTTCAAGTTTGGAGTGGCGATATCAGTAATAGTGCGGTGGGAAGTGAATTGCTTACTTGGATCAAGGAAAGCCGCCGCCGCCTCCCAATTGATGTTGGGGGTAGTGTTAATGATGGCAATTAGGAGCTGGCCAGGGTGTTAGCCCATTTTCTGAGACTTCAATGTGAAATAAGAGAAATCGAATGAGCACAAGGCCGTGTGGTTGGGGCTTGGAAATCGAGATACTGTTATTCAGTCTCGTCCGGGCCAGCTCACTAGGCGCTTCGAAATCAAACCAGAGAATGATACTTACCCGTGCGTCGGTCTCCTGATTCCAGGTCATAGGCATGTTTGCGGTGTTGGTCAATAGTATTTGCGAGTTGTGTCCGGAAGAAACTTTGAGAATTTCGGATTTGATGAAACCGAATTGCGGGAGAGTTGAGGAAAGAAGACGGTTGAGGAAGAGAGAAAAGAAGATTAAAAATGTGACTCGCTAGCAAGAGATCGAGGAGACAGCTAACTTAGCAGGTGTGCAGTCTCATTGACAAGAACCATATTGAATCCGAAATGAGGCAAACGTAGGTGCGCGGTTAACGAAAATCCATATTTTACGTTATAAGGAGGGTGCTTGGTAACCTACTCGTATTTGGCATACGTGAGCACTTCTATACATTCTACGCTTCTAAGTGGACTAACATGACGACTTTTGAACGTAAAAGAGAGAGATGCATTCGTTGAAGTCATTCTATCAAAGGTAGCTACGTTCCCACTTTCATGTCCCCTAAGTATGGATGTCATGGAGAACTAAGGAACAAGAACGGGAGGAGCACAGAAACATCTAGCTACCGCGTGACTGATAACGGAAAAATGAGATACATTTGATCTCAGAAAATAAGCATCCGCCGTAGAGTGACATGACGATCTCAGAAAAGCAGGTTGCGCTCAAGCCTCCTCCTCGTCGTCGTAGCTGTTCCAGAAAGTGCCACGGCGACGGCTCTTGCCACGGCTTTCAGCCTCCACACGCACCTTGGAGGCCTCCTCAGCAGTGTCTGTGCTGTACCAGTCATTGGCAGGCTGCTTTTTCTTCGAGGGGCTCTTCTGACGAGCCTGGGGGCGGCGGTCGTCCTTTGTAGCGGGAACTTCATCAGCGGAGGCAGTGTCACGCGAGGGGGAGCGCTTGGAGCGGCGTTCACGGGCACCCCTAGGCTTGCTGTTGGCACTGGCATCCGACTCGTAACCCTTGTGAATATCCTCGATACGCTTCAGGGCAGACCGGTTGTAGCCCCATTTTCTCTTTGCCTTACCCTTGGCAACACTGGCAGCGCGGGCGGCGTGGGACTCGAGGAGGATCTGGCGCTGCTCATGACGCCGGTCCGCAGCCTTGCGGGTCATTGTACGGAGGTGCTGCATGATGGCCTCGGGGGTGCAGGCTGAAGGGGGTGTTAGATACCGGAGTGTATTGTCTTGAGAGAGAGAGAGAGTACTTACTGCCACCCATAATCTCGGCGGTGGTCTCCCAATCGAACTTGGATCCACAGGTCTCCCAGATTGCGACGAGGAGCTGAAAAAACGGGGGCCGTCAGCGTCATTTGTGTACATAACTGAGAGCTGGTAAGTCACTGACCTTGTTGTCCCACTCGGGAGTCCAGACGATGACCATGATGATGATAAGTGATGATGAATACCGTGTGTGGTGGGGGTCGTTTCAGAGGAAAGGTGATGGGAGCGCAAGGAAAGGATGTGTTGCTGGAGAAATAGAGAAGGATGTTAACTCCAGGTCTTCGATTTGTTGATTTCATGCCAACTTTGCTTTGTTTGGTGGTAACTAGGGACCCGGTGAATATCCTTGTTTGTGGTATACACATGATTCTCACGTGTTGTCCATCAACTCAAGGGGCCTCTGGAATATTGCAACCAGCGATGACTTGACAATTTCCCTACACTCAAATCAAGCAATGATTTTCGATATTTACGAAGGGGAATTTACGTTCATATCTGGCATACAGTCTCTTCGGTCTCTTTCTAAACCCGAGAGAAAGGTCAGTGATGGTGACTCTATATTCGGTATTCTCGCCCCAATTTTACATCCCAATCCATTGTTTTTGATCATACATACTATGGATGGATTTTTCATCGGAATATCTCTCATTCTCCTTGAAATACTTTCTGAGATGGGGTTTCCAATTCTATTCACGGAACTATTAAACAGTTCAGGATAAAAGTCATGAAGTTTGAAGTTCTAATCCCATAATCCAAAATCTACTGTGTGGTAGAATATGGTATAGCGCTGTGATCCATCAGTTTGCCTTTGCTCGGAAGCTTTTGGCAATGCTCGTTCGCTCCCATTGCGTTTTGGAATGACAGGACGGGTTGCTGCAGGACGGATTGCTGAATTCACCAAACACAGCAAAGAAGGTTGCAACACAAGCTACGAGGAGTAAATCGGTCATTTTATGCTGTTAATATGTATTTTTGACCATAATGAAAGAAATCAGCGACGATTGTTGGTCTATCTTGTTGACTGGAGTTATGTTGACGTTAGATCTAGATACGTCGCGTGGAACAATTCGTGGGGGCGAAACAGACATTGGATCTCTCGTCCAATTGGTTAATTGCTTGAATTGTGCCCTGCCCGTAGCGGCAGTACAAAAAGCCCATTGCTTGGGCACTTTGGGTTCAACTGATACTCGCGAATTCGAGAGAAAAAAAGGAAAGAAAGCATGGATTTCTCCGACATACACAGAATCATAAATGCCTGCTGGACACGAAAACAAGGAAATCTATAAGAGGGTAACAATACGTCAAAAGTCCAACAAACTGTGGACCCATCGATCTTTCTGTGGAGCAATTTCCTTCAACTCATCATCCTGCATAGCTCAATCATAATGAGGCTGCTGGGGTGGGCCAGAGGTTGGTGGCGTTGAAGACGCCCAAGGACCGCTCACAAACTGGATATCAGAGGCTGCTATGCGGGAGGCGCTTGCTGAGGTGGTCCATTGATCTTGATGAGGAGGTAGTTGACTGGTTTGTGGATGATAATTCGATCCACGGTGGTTGGTCGTACCGTTATGCATGCTACTCTGCGGTTGGTGGGGAAGGTAATGATGCACACCCGCCTGGACAATAGGGTTCTGAAAATATTGGGCGCTACCATGGGCGCTTGGTGCGGTGGGAAAGACCATCGAGTTGAAGCCAGGTCCAGGCTGCGTTTGTAAAATAGTGTTATTCTGATAAGAGCTTTGAGTACTTGACCGCCGAGTACCGTATTCATGTAAGGGAGGCTGTACTTGAGATCCAGCCCCAAGACCGCCGTGTTGGTCGTGTTGGAACCCCATGCTTTGCTGGGAGTGAGATTGGGACAAAGAATGACCTGGTATATTAGTGGCTTGATTCGTATTGGCATGGGACTGCGCAGGGACTAGGCCATGGGAGTGTTGCATTTCCATCTGATTGCCGCTGTAGACATTTCCCGGATGAGAAGGAAAGGATGATTGTGTGGTACTCAATGGAAGCTCTCCTGGATGCTGTCCACCAGTCTGAGCAGTAGTATTGGAGCTATAGAGGGGTTGAGACAAACCCGGCAGGGTATAATGAGTGGACGAAGCCAGAGAGACATGACTTGGTTTGGCGTGAGGTCCTCCGAGTTGCCACTGCGGCTGGGGTGGCTGGGATGGAGGGAACCCAGACTGATGAGAAGTAGAATTCGCATTCCCAGTATAGGCTATCGAGGGTGCATATGCCGAAATTTGAGGCTGCTGTTGTACATCCATACGAAAGCTGCGATACTGCTCCGCACTAGGATCGGCAGCCGACCCGATTGGGTGTGGCTTTGACATCTGGCCATGGTCGCCCCAGGGTTGTGGATGATTTTGCACCAGATATTGACCTTGGTCGGAATAATCTGCTCTCTGATTCGGGATCCCGGGAACAGCGTGGTGAAATTGATCCTAGGAAGCTATTAGCGATATGCGCCCGCGTCAGCCTTCCAAGGTCCAACACACTGCTGCTTTACCCCCGGTCCCTGATGCAAATTGTGGTGCATAGGGATGAGATCTATGCTGGATACCATGGGCCGAGTGCCACCCGAGTGTGTCCGCGGCCCCGTGTATGGGAGTGCTCAATTGTCCACTGAGCGGGGAGCTTAGGGAGCTCTATTCCACCATCAGTGCCACTCCTTCAATGCTTGTGGAGACATGATGCGCGCGATCCCCTACGGAAATTCTCGTTCTGTCCGCCGCCGACTCCATTCGCTCCACGAGTGAGTTTCCAGTCGTTGTCACGCTGGGGCTGTTGGTTGACGGTCGTGAAGGGGGCGCTTGCGAGGGCCCTGTTCCGATGGACGTCGGGGTTGTAGAAGGCGATAAAGCCACCGGTTCGGTAGGTATATCCCATTGTGACTTTCCCGTCGCTCGCTGGACATAGTACCACTGGCGCTGAACGCCTTCCCACTGTGGGAGCCTGGACGCGTATTCTGTTAACATCGTGCACAAGGCGCGCAAAGATAACGGTTATTCGGGCTCTCTTACCAGCCCTCAGGCAGTCGAGGCGGAGGGGACGATGGGCCTGCAGTGTCGGCAGGGGCATCTTGCGCCATTCTGCACAGAGTCAGAGGATGGGATGCAAGTTACAGAAGACAAAAACAACCCGACGGGGAAGGAGAGGCTATGGGCGGGATTGGGGGGCGATCCTGTGGGGGGCCCGGCCTTGGCTTGGCGATCACGCTCCATCAGCGTGATCCATCAAGACCGACCAGAAGAAGAACCCAGCAATCGCAATCATTGAAGTAAGGGGTTGTTATGAGAGAAGCTTTGATACATTGCTAATATTCTAGAGAGATACTTGCCTAGGTAAAATATGACATAACTTGCCAAATCCGAATTCCAACCCGAAAACACTGATAAACCGTCCATGTTCACACCGCCAGCATAACGAGTCGTCCTTTTCCTATAACCTTATCACTTAAACCCCTGGCGCCGAGAAAAATGAAATAAGCAAGACCGTCAGTAAGAATAGACAAGAGAGAAAAGTTGTAAGAGAAGCAAGAAAGTCAGGAAGGAATACTGAAGAACGTCGAGCACATTGAGCATCACCAGGCGTGACGATCTGGGGGCTCCCAGTCATCGCCAGCCCAGTCCTCATCACCACTCAGCTCATCATCAAGGAAGTCACCTTCATTGAACTGGGTTTCTGTCGGGCGTTGATTGTCAATACGAATGTTCACCACGTCGCACATCCCCTGGCGGATGTCTTCATATGGCGAAGGGGACGGAGATCGCGATAATGAATCTTTGAGTTGTGCGAGCCGTACACTTTGGCGCTTGGACGGAGTGGAAGGCTCACTACCAGCAGAGCTAGGACGTGCTGATTCTCCACCAATCACAGATTGGTTAGAGTGGAGAGGGCGCTTTCGCAGAGAACGAAGATTTGGGTCAGGCGGTGCGCTACGACGCAAGAATGTTGTCTCCAGCCGATGGATCCATCTTTCACGGAACGTAGCGCGATCGCGCCAGCCAATCTTGAGAATTGCTGAGATGGTCAGACATCGCAAGTCCCGCAGCCTAGGCGCAGCTTCAACCAAGGACATGAAGAGCGACTCCATTGCGGTCTCGCTGAGCTTTGTGAGTTGGATAAGCTCAATATCCTGAAGTGTTTCCGGCCACATTGGAACTTCCGAGTCAGACAGGAGTTCCTTAAAATGGAGTTCATTGTCATGGAAGCTGGACCAGTCATGCAGAGAAACGTCCATCTTGAATCGCTCCAGGTTGGGGCAATGCTCGCCAAGATGGGTGATGAACGACATATTGAGATGACGATTATGACTGAGGCTCAACTGCCGAAGCTGTTGTCCACGAGACTTCAGATACGCCCCTATACCGGGAGAGAAAATGCGGTTGCAGTTGGTCAGAGTAAGAGAGCGAAGCGTTGATGGCATATGCGGTAAACTGTGCTTGCCCACAAGGGAGCATTCGATGAACTCCAAATGCTCCAGCCGAGGGAGTTGCTCTATCACTGCGACAAGGCAAGTCTCCAGTGAAGGAGGGTGTTCACGGGTACGGTCATCCACATGGACCAAACGGAGATGTCTCAACCGCTGGAACGCTGCTCGTTGATGCTTCTCGAGCATAAAAGCAAGGATGTCATCAGCGTCTTCCATGAAACGACCATTCCAGTCCCATCGGCGAAGAACAATGCCCGCTTCATCAATGGCTGAAAGTAGACGTTCAGGATAGACCCACTTCGAGGGCTTGATAAGGTGAACAGGGATGCCGATGATGAAGTCATCTTTGTGAAACAGACGCATGGTGTGCACTCGCGGTACTCTCGCAATGAGCTCGCAAAGGTCAAACCAGCCAAGCTGTGGTCCATTCTTGTAGAGTAGCACCGATTCTGCATCCACGTGAAGCTCTTTGACCTTGGCAGCATAGTTGATCGATAGCGACTCCTGCGGCTTTGATAGTAGATTTAGAAGTTCGAAGCTCCTAGGGGCTGGAACTAGCGGCGGAGAGTAATAAAGGGCTGCCAGCGCGGGCTCTAGGAATTGTCGGCACAAAAGAGCCATGTCAAGAAGCCACTTGGATGACTTGGTCCGCTGCATCAGCTGCTCGTCGACAAGTGGATAGGACGCTCGCAGGAAGATGTCGAAAAGTATGTGATACGGAAGTGTTGCCCACGGCGGAATGACCCCCGAGGTCAGGAATATCTCTTCACTTGCATCGATCCGAACACGCTTCTTCAAAGGTTGGCCTATGGCTCGTCTCGGGGTTTTCTTGTGCGCTGTCTTGGTGCGTTGGGGTTGCGAACGTCGGGACGGTCGATTGCGATCGTGCGGGCCGCTGTGGCGAGTATCGTGGGAAGATGAGGGGCCGGGGCCTGGGTCGGGGTGAGAAGAAGCAAGAGTGTTTTCGGATGGGGGGATCGCAGGGTTCAAGTCCGGCGAACTCGTGTCGCTATCGACGAGCGAACCCTCGGAGACTGTATCTGACGACTCCTCGCGATAAGATCGACGTATCCCGGATGAAGTGCGTGGACGGAGAGAGACGGAAGAACGTCTCGAAGGTATATCATATCCGTCTCCTTCCTGATTTGAGTCCTCAGCAGAGGTGCTGTCTTCATGGTATGTCTTGACCCTGGTGCGCGTGGATCGGACAGGTCGAGAAGAGCTCGGCCGTCCACCTGAGCGACCGGGTGCCATGGCTGCTCAAGTCACAATAGGGATGGATTCGGTGGACAACCTGTTCACATCTTTCGCTTCCAAATCTGAGGCCTGACAAATGAGATTCGGGGTGAGGGCGGTGTACCGAGGACAATAAAGGGAAGAAGTTGCGACGAGTCCAACGAGGGCTGGTCGATGATGAGACGGCAGCAGCGATCGACCTTATCGATAAGCAAAGCAGCCCCGTTGGGCTAGACCGTAAAGGGAATAGTGCAGCCCGTGACCCGCCCAGGCATCAACCCCCGCCCTCAGGCATTAACACTAACCCAATTGAGGCACGCTAGAGACAGTTAAAATTAGAACTCAGCTTGAGCTAAGATGGCTCTGCCAGCCACCCTGGGGGGATCCTCGTGGGTGGTTCCTTCGTGAACTTCCGGAAGTTCATCATTCAGTCTGGGAGAGCATGCTTCAGTTTGAGATTGACCTGCCGCGAATTACCATGGTTCACAACGATTGAGAGGATCCATATAGTCAGCTTAGAGTCAACAAAGCTGGTCAGCTTTCGCCCCCGCGGCCTGGTCGGGGAGTTGTCCGACTCCTTGGGGGGAATTCAATGGAGACCTCCTTCCCGGTCATGATGGACTCAAACGAACGCTCAAATCAGGGCGGTATCGGGGCGTCTCAAATGGTAATCCAGCAGTATGCGAGATATCCTACAACATTAGAGACCACGCTGCAAAGCGCATCCTCACTGGGGAGCGCTCGAAGTCAACTGGAGACTCACAGGTCACCTCCGCTGCATCGAAAGGGGACTCCTCGGAGCATACAGTCTTCTCCTCGAGGAATGCGCTCAGCCCTGCCACCATCATCAACTGTGCGGTCTGGTCCGTCCATGTCCCCACCTGTCTTTGAGACTTTGCGTCACTCGCCCATGAAAGATGCAGACCAGGCCGAGTCTCGAACTCTGCCATCGCGGGATATCACTGATGACACCATTGACGATGCTTACGCTTTGTTTATCCTATACTGCAATCCTAATGTACCTTCTTCTGTCGATACCTCGGAGCTTCGCAAGACATTTCGCAGCCCTCCGCGCAGTGATGGCAAAAGCTTTAGTGTTTTTACCTTATTTGAGCTTATTCGAAAGCTCGATAACAAAGAGCTCAAGACCTGGATCCAATTGGCAATCGAACTGGGAGTCGAACCGCCTTCAATGGAAAAGAAACAGAGTACGCAAAAAGTCCAACAGTATGCTGTTCGACTAAAGGTAGGCGCCCACTATCTTATCAAAGTATCTTGTATCTCTAATAGTATATTAGCGATGGATGCGTGCTATGCATGTCGATGCCTTTTTCGAGTTCTGTTTGGGCCACCCCCATGCATACTACACCCAGCTTCCTCCCTCCGGACCGTTTGTTAGTGAGTCCCGCGACGGCGTGCCGCTAGAAGAAGATCTTGCTCTTCGGGCCTTGGTTCCACAATGGAAGCCTAAACGTGGCCGAAAGCGAGCAGATGAACGAGAGCATGAGGAGGAGAAAGCAGCCAAGAGGCCGCAGCTGGATACTTCGGTAGCCGGTTTGCAACCCCGAGGGTTTCCAAGCCATTCGATTCCTTTTCCTCAAAGTGCCATTCCCTTCAGCGCCTTTCCCACTGAGGAGGATCCGTGGTTGACAGCGGCATCATCGTTCCCACCACCAGGTGCTTCGGAGCAACCGGGCCACGAGCTACACTGGAGGCTCACAGAGCGCGAGACATCACCAGCGGGCTACCCACAGTCCGCAATCCTGCCCAGAGGAACACAACCCTCAGACGCACTCATGTCGGCCGAGCCTCGCTCTGCGGTCACTCCATCATCAGGGGAGAAGACACGCGCTAGACGGCGACATGGGCCAGCAGTGTCTTCTGCTTGGCCGAGCAGCAATGGGTCGGTAACTGGAAAGGGTCGCGGAAGACCACCCAATAAGGCTTCGACGTCGGGTTCATTCTCCACCTTCCAAGTCAACTCGAGTCGAGATTCCTCTCAGGTTCCCCAATCCCATGTCGTTCGATCTTCCCCACCTGCTGTTCAAGAGGACCCTTCGAATGCTGTGTCAAACTCGTCCCTCGGCCAATCGTCAATACCCATCGCCCACGCGCGACCAGGTAAACTTCAATTACAAGTCCCCCAACATCAAGGTGCTCCAGTGCGGCTCGCAACTCCTCCAACACTTCTAGTCAATGGCGTCAACGGCGCGCTTGTCCCCCAGGCTCAAGGCCTCCATGAGTCTCAACCTGCAAATGGCCTTGAAAACGTCCAGCACGTCGGCCCTTTCGCGGAGCAAGCAATCGCGTCAGCCGACACGAGAATCTCCTTAGAGGACATTATACACACTTTATCCAATGAACTCGTGCACGCACGTATCTTAGGACGACCAGCTCCTATCAACCAGCAAGAAGCCCGGGTTCTGGCATCGGCGCTGGTCATCAATTTGACTAATATGTACGCACGATTGCCATTTCCTCCCCCTCCCAACTTTTTGGCCTTCCAGCTTGGTGTCGGACGCCATTTCGGTTTCCCTGGAACTAGCCAGCATTCAATATCCGTAACGACCGAGCACGCTCCCATTAACCCCACGGAATCCCGTCGACAGGGTTCCACGGAACCAGTAGGGTCAACACAATATACTGTCACCTTCGAATATAATCCTTCTTCTCGTTTTTCCATGCAAGCGGTGCTTGCAAACAGCGATACAGGTACTGCGCCCACTCGCACCTTTAACCAAGTGGCCATTCCTCCCCACGCCTCCAGTGAACTCGATCAAAATAATGATTTGTCCAATTATGGGCTTGAAGATGATGATCTCGATCACCCCGTCTCAGAGGCTACCTGGAAACAACGCTATATGAGGCTCCGAACACAGATGCAGAAGAAGGAGCGGTCACTATCCGCATATAAGCGCAGAATCGTCGAATCAGTGATGGCGGATATCTAAGTTGCATTCATGATGATGACGATTACAGCATTCACGCCATGTTTCCAGATTCCTTTGTTTTCGAGCGTTCTGCTTCTTTCTCGATACGATACCCAGCTACATCTTACCATCAGCTTCTTTATGGATTTTCTTCATGAATCCTGACATTTTATACTTCTGTTCATTGATCGTCTGTTCTACAAATGGGTGTTTCTTGTAGAATGGCTCGCCCTACCTCACGTAGAATTGCCATAGCAAATGTCCCTATTGCATATCTCTGTTGCATGTCTCCAGGTGCTCATACCGCTTCACACCAGCTCGCGTCATGCATTTTATATCCTTCAATCCAGCTTAGGGGGATAGCTCAGGCTGTACTCTTTGGTGAGCCTCATCTTCTGGGTGAAGGTCTCCCAATCTTTTTAGATAGAATGAGCCAATGTTAGCGACCCGTCAGATCGGATTTTGCAGTTTGGATGGCGCAAAGGCGAGGCGAGTGCTACCCTGCTGACCGTCGTATTTGGGCATTCAGTGTGCATGATCATATTTGAACATGCATCAAGCTGGATGTTTGCCCAGGTCCTTCTTTCAATCATTGAAGACGTTGTGACAGTGATCGAGTTATCGGTAGCCAGGTGCTCAAGACCAAGAACATTCGTGGGAAGGTCGATGGAGAGGATTGAGGATGAGGAAAGCAATATGTCGAAATAGAAATGGGAGCTAATTGAGGGACAAGAACACTGGTATATAAGGGTGGCTCATCTGCTTTTGATCTGCGGTATATACAAATTTGCTTTGATGCAGACGGTGGCAGTCAGTGTTGAAAGTCGGAAGTATGTGTGCCATCCATGGTGGTGATAAACCTATTAATACTGTATTTCAAGATGTATTTGTGCCCTAAGGGTTTACATTCACAGAGCGCACTACTTTCTGGAAACTTCCGTTGAATTTGAAGTATGTGCTTTAATCTTGTCTGCAAAGAGCATCAGGGTGATTGTTTATACAGGAAAGAGAACCAAACGTTTGGATAGAAATGAGATGGAAAATTATGACCTAGCATTGCCCTTGATGTGCAGAATGAAAAGACTAGAAATAACAAAAACGAAGATCTCAAGAACGGGGTGCATTTGCATATGACTCAGCATTCCCTCGTAACTATGGGGGCAGGGAGATGCTAAAATGGCAAAAGGAAACTGCCCATGTAGAGAGATCTGCAACAACTAAGCCAAAAGTTCAAACGCTTCATCCCTCTTTAGAGACGTTCCCAAGTTCAGCGAGTCGGTTCTGTCGTTTAGATGCCGACTTCGTCCTCGAGGGACGCGGGGACCTCCTTGTCATCCTTGCCTTCATCGGCTCCGTTGTCCTTGTCGACGTCAGCACGCTTCCGTTTCGGGGCCTTGCGCTTTCGTGCTGGGGTACTTGGGCCCGCAGCAGCATTCTCGCCCTGGGCAGGTCCTGGAGCTTGGGCACCCGGCTTGGGGACGTAGGAGGTTGTCAGCCCGTATGAGGCCAGAAGGCGCTCATATCGCTTCATGCTGGGCCAAGTGAGCTTGGAAAACTGCAAACTGGATCAAGTAACTTACGCGGCTCCCTTTGTCTTTATGTCCATTTTCTTGCTGAAGGCGTCCCAGTCGATCTAGATTGGAGTAAATGTTAGTGGCTTTCCGATGACATGTCCGGTGGGTTGGAGGGGGAGTTGGCGTACCTTGTCGAGCTTGCCGGCCTCCGTGTGCATGATTGCATTGATCATGAACCACATGGGGTCCTTGCTGGGATCCTTGGTGACGTCTTGCTCCTTGGTGGTTGTCGACATTTTGGCTTGGGTTGATTCTGGTGTAGCAAGTGAAGTGTTGATCCAATGTGGGTGTCGAGGTAGGTGTCAAGATGGATGTGAAGTTTGTTTGCGAGGATTTGAGAGAAGTTAAAAAAGGAAGAGGGTGAGGACGATATAAAAAGAGACTGATAAGCGATGTGATCGGTGGATAAGGGTCTAATCACATGCGATGACCATCATCATCTATTCTGTGTATATTCTTCGAGGTCGTTCTCCGTCCGACTCGATCGGTAGATTGCTGTTGGTAGGAGAACACTTAGGGTTGATCCACACACGGGACCCCAATGTACCTCATCATAGCGACATAGCACAGGCAACATGTACCAAATCTACAGATATCCTGGCCTACCATAGCACTGCCCATACTATCTACGGAGGTTGGATGCAACGTAAACGAACGGGAGAGAGTTGGTGTGTGAGAGATCAAAACGCCCGTGTATTTGGCCAGGTGAGTCTTCTGCGAAACAGACATCACATTAGCAGGATATTCTCCTCAAGAGCGGAACTGTTCATCTTCCCCTCCAATATTTTGGTCTTGATGAATTCTGCATGCCTCGGTGTCGTCGGCCTGGCCATACTTCTCGGAGACCTCACGTGTACACTCAGAGAACTTGCTGTTTGGAGCAGCGTTGCTTGGCCCAACGGCAGGTGAAGCCTCAGGTGAAGTGTCTTCCGCGCTTTGATGGTACTTCATGGGTGAGATAAGATGCTGAGCTCAGAAGTCGCTAGTCGCGTTTTAGGCTGGGGCGAGTCAGCTGATTTGAGCACTCGAGTATAAATGAAGATCCCTTACGCCGTTTTCTTGGTGATGCCTATCTTTTCCTGTTTACAGATAACGTAGTGTAAACCAGGGTGGGGGGTTAGGAACCAAGACGAAGATGTCGGTTGTTCGCTGGACAGGACCAAGTGGGAGAGAATTAAGACAATATGAGACCCAAACAGACAGAAATACCCACAAGCAGTGATACCAGTGTATCAGGGTGAAATCACTTGATATGGAGCTGTGCTATATGATATGCGGTGTGCCGATTAAGAAGGTGGCAGTGGGTATTTATTGTGGACCAGGAAGTATTACTACCCAAAATGTAAAACTCAAGGTCCGAGTCTAACTTTCGAGTCCTGTTAACGTGCATGTACACTTAATTCATGCGTGTAAGTGAGCACGCTATCGATATTTTAGTGAAAGTGAAATCGAGGGAGCCATGCTGATATCCAGACCATTTCTTGCTGAGTTCGGTATTGTAAATGATAGCGGCAATCCAAATCTTGGCCCCATCCATGTTAAGTAAATCTGTCGATGATGTTCACAGTATATGATACATGCCATGTTTCGAAAATATGGGCGGTGTATCGGGTTTTAAATGGCGTAAATAAAGGCTCTAAAACTGACGGATAAGCGCCACGATCACCAAGGAAGTATAATGTACGTTAACCTTCCATCAAGGTTATTACGCCAAGATGTCAATTTAATAGACATTTCATGGCCTTCATTACTGAACTAAGCTGGATAGCAACCCACAGTATACCATCTGTGGGCGATAACTTAGAGGGATCACGTCCTCAGGTTGCACCTCTTTCCCTGATACCTTGACACCAATCAAAAAGGCAGTACCAGCACGTATTCTTTAGAGAAAATATTAGTTTAGAAACATTGTAAGTCTCTGTTTTCATATAGAGATGAGAATGTTGAGCGGGCATCCCCATTTTAAGGCAGTTAATATTAACCTAAACTAAAGAAATCATTAAGGGGATTGGTATGTTACAAATTTGTAGGGAACTCAGAGGAAATTTCATGCATTTAACACTTTGATAGCAAGAAAATTCTTCCTTGCTAGATACAGAGCATGGCTTTTATGAACATACCAGAGCGACAACGAAGAATCATTGCCGTTCAGGAGCTTGCAACAGATTCACAAAATGCCTGGAAACTTTGTCATCAAAGGTACAATTCCAACAACAAGGATCAGTTCGTGAACACCTTCCCACTCTTTTCCCACTTCCAGGACATTGGGACGCCATTTAGGCGGTTTCAAACTGGGCTTCACCCTCGGGAGCCAGCTTAATCTTGTTCTCAATATCATCGGCCAAATCCTGGGTCATGGTGTCTGGACGCTTGCGCTTGTTCGACTTCCGCTTTCGCTTCGGAATGGTCGAGGGTTCGTTGGTTCCATTCTCAGCATGGTTGGAACCAGAGACTTGCTCTGCCTGGGAGGTGTATGCCCTGTTCAGCCCGTAAGATGCCAGCAGCCGGTGATAACGCATTTGACTTGGTCAAGTCAGTTTATTTGGACACTCCGATGCACTTCAAGGTACTGACGCTGCGCCCTTGGAGGGGACATTCATCTTCTGGGCAACCGCCTCCCAGTCAATCTAACGTAAACTGTATGTCAGCAGCATTATCGAGGGGCATGTAGGGGTCTAGTGAGAGGCATAGTAGGGAGTAGGGCCTGTTTGATGGGAGCTGCATCATACCTTCTCGATTTTTCCAACTTCACTGTGCATAATACAGTTGATGAGAAACCAAGTGGTATCCTTGTCAGGGTCCTTCTCCTTCTCCTTGGTGGGGGAAGACATCTTGCTTGTGCTTATTTGAAACAGGTGGGTGTTAAATTGGGTAGTCCGTTTCGAAAAAGTACAAAGGTTGTTGGTTGCTGAAAGGGGAGGGTGGTGAAGAAGGAAAAATAAGAGAGGGTGGGAGACAGATAAATGAAACCAGTGGGTGAGACCATGAAGGAAGGCTGTTCTTGGTGTTTGCTCCAGTCCAGTAAGATTGTGGATCAGGAATAACCCAGGCCTCAAGTTCAAATTCCCATTCTACTTGTAGAAATGCGCAAATACTTATCACTGAAGTCACAACGTCTGTTCATTTCACAATCTGGCCGGTTGATGGCAGGCTGAGAAGCATGGAATTAAAAATTTAGGTATATGATCTTCGACCATGTCCAACGTATAGCTCACCCCCTACGTTGAACTATGATATGCGGTGCCCGTAGCTAAATAATATCTGATGCATTTCAATATTGTACATTAAGGACCGTGTCTATCAAGGCCTTGGCCTTTTGTTAAGCCATTGGGAATCGGTTCAAGGATGATGGTCATATCTCAGAGCTGCATCACCGCGGCACCAGTGGTTATCCATGCCCCCCAAATGCATCGAGGCGCTCCCAAGTGGGGCCTCAAGAAGGTGATGTCTACAACGAGGTTAAATAAAGAGGATAGATAGACTTGGTTAAATTCCGGCTCCCTGAATGTATGTTCGCCTGGGATGCAAATTACAAACCATGGCTATCGAAACGTTCATCATCATAATCGCTCGGTGCGAACCTACTACACCGGCGCTAAATTCCACCCCTGTCCCTTACCAAAAGGAAACCAAGTATCAAAACGCAAAGTAGCCAGGTGTCCTGCACTGGTCAAATGGTTAGTTTATCAGAGTCAAGATGAGCGTGTTGTAGAAGTCCCGACGTACTTTGACCATGGAGGTGCCTAAGCTTCATTCTCGCTGGTCTTGTCCACCTCTGCCTTGTGGTCGTCCTCGTCATGCTCCTCCTTGGCCTCAGGCTCATCCTTGGCCTGAGCCTCCTTGGCAGCAGTCTGTGCCTTGGGCTTACGGCCGCGCTTGGCACCGGGCTTCTGCACCTTGTTTGGCGAAGGCTTGGGGCTGATGGGGCTTCCGGGACCCTGGATGCTTTTCAGTCGTATACCATCAATATCAAAATTCGGTACTCACATCAGAGCGGGCATAGGTGGTTTCAATACGAATGTCGTATTTCTTCTTCAGAGCGCTGAACCGGTTGCCAGCAGACTTCACATTGCCGTAGCCGAGGGCATCGGCAACCGCACCCATGTCGACCTGGAATGTCATGAGAACGCTGTTGTCATCGAGATTCAAGTCCGCACCGTTCAGTCTCACGTACCTTCTTGGAGTCGGGGTCAATATTCCGAAGGCACATGGCCAGGAATGCATTCTCCTGGTCCATGCCAGAGTCAGATCCCTTGGCAGACTTTACAGGGGACTTTGGAGGCATTTTGAAATCTCGTCAGGTTCACCGTGTATGAAGTGAGTTATGCGGACAAGAATATGAGTAAATGGTCAAGTTGGGTGACGTGGGAAGGAAAAGGAGGCAAGTTTGCTGGGAGAGAGGAAGTGAGAGAAGAAATGGCCGGGGAAATCGATGGCACCCTGCTCAACCTCAGGGCAAGGGTCAACTTTTTGGAAACTTCCGGCATGCCTTCCAAATCAAATAACCAGTACATGTGATGCTCCTCCAAGATCCAAGGATTTGGTCGCTGTCAAGTGCTCCACTATCTTCCACAATGCTATCGGGACCTTGAGAGACTATCACGATAAAATAGAAACCACGGACCAGGAGAACGAACGTGAAATACCTTACATCCACAAGTGGCATACTCTTGGATGCTTGGTTGATACGTTGAATATGTCTTCGATACCTGAATCCTGGAAACACTGGCTCGTCAACCAATCCAAGCAGGTCCTGATACCTCTTTAGCAGGTTTTATCCCCAGGGCCCTGTTTTACAATACATCATTCGGGTTCTGTTAGGTCGATGAATTCAATGGTTTTGTCCCTAATGCCCAGAGCGTTGACCAGATCTTAGTAGCTAGGTATTTACTTCTTGCCTTCATCTTGAAAGGGTTTTTCTGGTGAGAGATTGCAGTCTTTTTTTGTTCAAGGATCAGACACAAAGAACATCCAACTATCTCACACTCTGAAATAAGTCCAAACCCCAAGTAGCTTGAAACACATGCTAGCTAATGCAGATTTTGTCCGTCGAACCTTGCTCCATCTTGATCTCCACAGTCTCGATTGTCTTCTCGCCAGACTCTGGTTCCTGCTTGATCCTCGCTGGAGGGGGCACATCCTCCTTGGTTCCCACTGGGGAGGTCGGAGATTCGTTTTTTTGCTGTAGTACTGGCTCCCAGGTGATCACCGGACCACTGTTGAAACCAGGTGTTGGGGAGGGAAAGTCTGGCATGTTGATATCATGGGCCAGGGGAAATGACGGGTACGTTGTAAATCCCGATGGAGTCGACATTGGCACCGGGGCATACGTGCCCAAGGGTAGGGTCATTGACATACCGCTCGCAAGATATTGGTGCTGAGGTCCATGCGAGATCGGATCGAAATTCTCCAGGTACCTGGCCGGCATCATTTGTGGGGACGGCATGTTTGGTGCGGGTGACATGGCTTGTGAGAATGGAGAGTAGAAGCTGTCTTGGGAGTTAGATGGGCCTTGGATGCCATACACATTTGGGGTGCCGGGCTCGTATTTGACGAATGGGTTGGAGTTCGGCTGGAATGTTGACCCAGTTGGTTCAAGTTTTGGCACAATCCCTGATTCCGAGAACGACTGGTGTTGCATGGCCTGTGATGCCTGGAGATCTCCCTTCAAGTCGCCCTTGCCTCCCTTCTTGGCGTCCTTTTTCTTGATCGTTCTTGCCGATGGCGGGTCTATCTGGGATTTGAATCGCGAGTAGCGCATGCGTGCGGCATGGCCGTTGGAAATTTCAAGGTCAGATGCAACTTTATTCCAATCAATCTGGAATGGATTAGCATCATCTTTGGCCAACAGTTGAATGACATGAAGACGATGGCCTCACCTCCTTCAAGTTCAGTTGTCTGATTATGGCATAGAGAAACTTTGGTGTCGGGCCTTCTGTGTCCAACACTTTGCTTCGTTGACCCATGATGAACGGTCCCAGGGTCAGACTTTGGCCAGTAACACGAGAAGATCCTGTCCAGGTAGATGCCCGGGTTGGTGGGAGAGGCTGGAGGTTGATATCTGTTCAGAACTTAGTGCGTCGTAGTGAACACCAGACCGGTATATATCTACGTCAAAGCATGAGTGCCAGACAAAGCCGAGGGCTATATTTTCTCTGATTGTAGGGATCAAACCTCACTCCATTAATTGACTTCTCATGATAGCAAGGAGAATGCTTGAGTGTGCCTTTAAGAAAGAAGTGTAGTTGGTGGGTCATGTAATAAGCCAGCCTAGCCTCAATGGGAGGCGCGATATTGATGCTGCGTGGAGCTCTGGCATCATGTGCGATTATAATGGAGAAAGGCGAATTATAAATCTCCAGCAGCTGTGATGAGGTCTTCCATCATTGCCGTGTACAGGGTCTTTGACCATCCATCCGTGTTCAACGATCTCTTGTCCTAAATCTGCATTTCCTCACGTGCCTGTCCTTGCCCTAGCATCTGCATGAACAATCAGGGCTACTCATGGAACAAAAGGTCCTCAAACAGAAGAAACTCATTTCAAAGTCCAGTTGAATCAGATTCCACAGCCTGGAGCAAAGCATCATGGAAGTCAAGTAAAGGAAAGGCACGGGGAGTGTAGGGATCCATTATTGTTCGACCTGCCCGAGCTGTAAGTACTTCCTAGACTTTTGTTGACTGCCCTAGAATGAGCAGAGATGAACCATATCGGCATTGAACATTCCTAGCATAAATGGGTAGAGCCAACGCGAGAAGCATGAAAGAGATCTGCCATGAAAATTAAATGAGGCGAGGCATTCACAAAGCGTGGGCCTAAATGACCTTGAAGTGACCTGGTTGGACAGGCTGTCCAACCAGATTAGATTCTGACTAATCTCGATGGGCTGCCCCTCGGCAGGAAGTAGTGGGCCATGGAGCAGGTCAGGGCCGAGACTACAGTGCTGTTACCTTGCTATACTCATTTTGATAATTCAAGAGTCGCGATATTCCCCGACCTGAAATTCTGCGGTAATAAGCATGTTGGTCGCGGTAGGAGCATGCTACCTAGACACTATTCTAACGTACGCCGAGTTCCTGGTGTCACACAATTATTGAGAGTTGAATATCATCGATACTAATCGTGCTGCCCATATAGAACGCCATATTATCCTGGAGAGGATGAAAAGCTGCGGGCAACCAATGTGACTCGTCGGAGGGGTGGTAACTGCCCGAACACGCTCGAAGTGCTGCAACAACTGACATTCCATGAATCAACGGAGCGAGGGCTTCCATTGACTCTGATTACAATATTACCAGCCAAGTCCTCAATGGCCACGCAAAAGATCAGATCGTCATTCGGATCGCGCGTCAACTTGGATCACTGCATTTACCGAGAGGGGCTGGAAGAACCAGCCTCATGCTACATTATCAAGAGTCAATCTACTGGGAGCCGCACTATTGTCAACTACAACAATCTCCTTGAGATCACACTCGAGGAATTTACCGGAGCGGCCGAGAAGCTCGGTTCAGAAGCAACTTGGTTTCATTTTGAGGTATGACTGGAACGGAATACTCTATATACGCACTACTCATACTCGCGCAGGGTCGAACGCCAGAGATGACTCTCCAGTTTATCCTTTATTTGCGAAAGCAATTTCCTGCAATTCAAGTGAGCGTCGAAATCGAAAAGCCGGGCCGGCCAGGTCTTCAGGAGCTTGCCGAGGAGGCCGACGTGGTGTTCTATTCGAAGACCTGGGCCCAGGTAGGCAAATCGTTTACATGGGCTGGCTGTTGAAAAGGCTCTGACACCCGAATAGGATCTCGGATATCACACAGCAGAAGAGTGTCTACGGGAGCAGTCGAAACGGATACACAACGCGTGAGTAGCCCTTGTCTGAGGCGGGAAGCGTGGGTGAAGTGTTGAGTAGAGATCTAGATCATTGCTATGTTGTACTTGGGGCCAGGATGGAGCCAGTGCTCTACAACCGCGTACTGGGGACTTCGAACATGTGGCGGCTTATACAACGGAGAATTTCAAAGTTGTCGAGTGAGTTGAGATGTCAAAAGGGATGTCAAAAGGGAGCGAAGGTATGCTAACACGTATCAGTCCGATCGGAGCTGGTGATACATTCATCGCTGGAATGCTGTATGCTTTGAATTGCAAAGAAAAGGACTGGGATCTATCCAAAAAGCTTGCATTTGCAAACCGGATTGCGGGCTTAAAGGTGTCCCAGGAAGGGTTCGCAAGTCTGGATCGTGCATTAGCATCCTTTGTTTGAATATTTGATCATGTGGTCCTGTCAAGTGTTGTCACTAAATGAGATCAACATTAGTCAAACAATTGGGAATTCGTCTTCCATATGAATGTTTCTTTTTCTCCCTTGGAACGGGAACGACGTGGTGGTGGATTTGATGTGGATGAGAAAGGCGTGATAATACCACGTGACCATAGATTGTTGCGGGCCTGGCGGTGAGAAACAAAAAAATATTCTGCCACCAACTTTTCTCGGAAGCTTCTGCATCGAACACACCTGCTGCTCGGCATTCACATATCACCATGGCTGCAGTTTACAAGACAGTTTCCAAGAAGAAGGCCCGGCAATTGACCGAGGATATGGATGAGGACTCCGATGTGCCCATGGACGAGCTCCTCGAGGATGCAGACGACACCACCGACAGCGAAGAGGACGAGGAAGTGGAGGACCGGATCGCTGAAGCCAGGAAGCAACTTGCGGCTGGTTTCATGCCCAAGACTCGGGTTCTGATCTTGACATCGCGCGGTGTCACACACCGGTCAGTACCTACGATCAATGCGCCGAGACCCAATCTACGGCACTTGCTGACCACGCATCTAGCCACCGACACTTGATGTCAGACCTTTGCGCTCTCCTCCCCCACACTCACAAAGAGACCAAACTCGATACCAAGAAGAAGACCGCCGGCTACAACCTCCTGCTGAACTCTCTCGCCGATCTCCACTCGTGCAACATGATTTTCTTCCTCGAGGCCCGCAAGAACGGCCAAGATCTCTACCTTTGGCTTTCGCGCCCGCCCAATGGTCCTACAATCAAATTCCACCTGAACAACCTGCACACTATGGGCGAACTCGGTGCCGGTTTCGCTGGCAACTGTCTGAAGGGTGGACGTGGCATCGTGGTTTTCGATCGGTCATTCGACGAGCAGGGTCCCGACATGAGCGTCCCTGGTGCTGAGTACCGCGGCCTGGTCCGTGAGATGCTGCGCGGTATTTTCTGTGTTCCCAAGCGTGGTGTCAAGGGCATGAAGCCTTTTGTGGACCGTATTATCGGTGTTTTCGGCGTGGACGGCAAGATCTGGATCCGCGTCTACGAGATCCGCGAGTCTGAGGGCGGTGCCAAGAAGAAGGACGAGGAGACTGCTAAGACTGTTCCCAAGGCCAAGGACACACAGGCCGAGGTTTCTCTGGTTGAAATCGGTCCTCGCTTCGTGCTGACCCCCATCGTCATCTTGGAGGGCAGTTTCGGTGGCCCTGTTATCTATGAGAACAAGGAGTATGTCAGCCCCAACCAAGTCCGTCGCGAGGCACGGATGGGCAAGGCTGGCCGGTACGCCCAGCGTCGGGAGGTGCAGACCGACCGTATCACCAAGCGTACGGATCTGGGTCTTTCGGACAACTCTTCGCGGAAACCCGATGCGCTGGAGACGAGGAAGTTGTTCGCATAGAGGGAATGGCTGTTTTCATGTGGGCCATTCTGATGGTTCGAGTATTTTGTATATTTGGGCGACGATATCATTCATGGTCTGCTTAGGCGTCAGGGCAATATCTCGTAAGGGTTTATTTCAGAAAAGTATTTTGCACTTGTTTTCACTCCTTGGATGTAGTCTTTCCATTCTCTAAAATTATTATGTCGCTATAGTTAACTAGCTCTTGTTGCTTGGTCAAGTTCTGTTCCCACGACCAAACTTTATCCCCGATTCTCGCAAGTCACAACCCGCGGTGGAGCTGCAGGTGGGCCCGAGGCGTCGTGGCAGCCATCTGGGCCGTCAATGGCACCAGCAGCTCCCCCCCCTGGAGCTCAAATACACTTTACAGACTAAAATTATTTCGCACACAAGGGCCATTGTTTATTGGAATATGTTGATTGTCCAGGAAAGGCTTTCATACACAATACCACGTAGCCACAGTGACGCCCAACCCATTTCATTGCACCGGCGACCTTAACAGACCAACGGGAGGAAAAGAGCAGAAACAAAGTCTGGTGGAAAGGAATCAATTTAGGTGGAACCACCCAGAGCACAAGCACACATTAGAAAAAAGAGATGAAGTAGGAAAAGGGGAAACGGCAATGATCCGGGTATTTGGAGCTATGTCTGGGATGTGGGAGCTCCTCCATTCTTCTCGGGTTTCCTACCGGGTCCAGATCCTGCCGGTGTATCGTCTTCGCCTCAAATTACAGACTCCATCACAGATCATGGCCATTTCAAAGTCACATTGTAAAAAGGAAGAGTCGTTGCAAGTCCGTTTCGTCGGCCCTTTAGCAGCAGCCCTGCTTCTGCTCGTTGGGCTGCGGGGTGAAGTCGATAGTGCGGCCCACAGGTGGGTTCGTGCTCGACTCGCCGGAGTCCAGAGCCTTGCTGGAAACGATGCGGTAGATTTCTGGGGAAGGGGGTTCGAGTTAGTTGTTGCCTGGACGGGGGTCCCGTGCGTGGATCTAGAACTGGGGTTGACCCTACCTGTGAGGATGTTCTGGAAGGCAAGTTCGACGTTGCTGGCGTCAAGGGCGGAGGTTTCGATGAAAGAGAGGTTGTTCTCGCCTGTTGCATCAAGTCAGCCCCAGAGTCCTTCCCCATGTCTCCCCTAGCGAAATTAAACACATACTGGCAAATTGCTTGGCCTCCTCGGTGGGGACCGCACGCAGGTGCCGCAAATCACTCTTGTTACCGACCAACATGATGACGATGTTGGAATCGGCGTGATCCCGCAGCTCCTTCAACCACCGGTTGACATTCTCGTAAGTCTGGTGCTTGCTGATATCGTAGACGAGGAGAGCGCCGACGGCGCCACGGTAGTAAGCCGAGGTAATGGCACGGTAGCGCTCCTGGCCAGCAGTATCCCAGATCTGTGCCTTGATGGTCTTAGAGTCGACTTGGATTGAACGAGTTGCGAACTCGACACCGATGGTGGACTTGGAGTCCAGGTTGAACTCGTTGCGGGTGAAACGGCTCAGCAGGTTGGATTTACCAACACCCGAGTCTCCGATCAGCACCACTGCTCATATGTTAGTATTGTTGCTCTGTGCGCCTACATTGTGCTGTGGAGGGTTGTGGCAGAGGCACAGGTGGGTGAGCGGAGGGAAGAGGTAAGACGAGTCGAGGCGATACCCGCGCGAGGCAACGTTACCTTTGAAGAGGAACTAGAGCGGCCGTCAGCGAAGAGAGTCAAAACAACAGCTGTGTGGAGATAAGGCTTACATCATATTCATCGTTGGCCATGTTGAAGGTAGGGGGAATGAGTCGGGGGGTGGAATGAGGGGAGGAAAGGGAAAAAAGAAATGGGGGTGGAGGCGAAGTACTGTAGGCGATAGGAGAGAGAGATGATGCTCAGGGTGGAGTGCCTCCTTAACGTCCGAGTCACGTGCGGGTGTTTGCTCAGCGTTTCTAAACAATGCGGGAAAAGATACGCAGTAGTCGTGAACCTCTTCATAAAGTATCTTTTGTCAAATAGAGCTTGGGGATCAGGGTGTTACCATATCTATGCCAAATTAATTCGTGTCAAGATCTCCGGCACGCGTGCAGCTATCTTCAACCCCAGTCGCAATGACCTCAGGCCTGTTCGGTCTGGAGATTTTTCTTTCACCCCAGCCCCTGCTCAAACAGCAAACTCAGCACGCATCTCCTCCTTCGCAGTAGTTTTGATTTGCCATTTCCCAGTTTCTGTGATTCTCCCTACCTCTTGCCCCCTGGTGGTGAGGAACCTGCTGATGCTGCGGGCCCTCTGCAATGGAGGCAGACACGGAGATGAGAGATGCCGCCACTCTCTCAGATGCGGATTCTCTGGCGTCTACTGCTCCAAGTGAGCAGGATTCAGAATATGAAGTCGAAGAGATTCTTGCAGAGCGCTCTTCACATCAAACGGGCAAGAAGAAGTTCTTACTTAAATGGGCCCACTATCCCATCGACCGAGCCACATGGGAGCCAGCTGAAATGTTCCTAGAGATGGACGACACCATGCTTACGTGGAAGGAAAAAAGACGAAGAGTTGCAGCGGGCATGGAACAAGATTTCGATGTGGACATCTGGAGAAGAGCTAAACATGACCGCGAACGTGAAACTCGGAGACGCAAGGAAGCTCGCCGGAGGAAACGTGCCGAGAGGGCTGCTCGAAAGAATGACAAGCCTCTTCCTCCCTCTGTGTCGAACGGGCTGCCCGATTCTCGAGAGTCGTCATCCGATGCTCCATTGATGCAGGCATCTCGCGCGTCCTCGCCGGATGTGCCACTCATTCGGACCAGCGCAATTTTCCACAAGCCTGGTCAACGGTCTAGCTCCTTCGCTTCAGACATATCGTCTCTCTTTGTCTCATCAGATGACCCAGAGCCAGAATCCCACTCCTCCAAGGGAAGTCTGCCGCCTTCGACCTTGCCTACGGCTCAGTCTCTGCAGGATTCGTCTTTTAATCGTCTGCGGGTGGGCTTGGGTCCTCAAAGCTCGTCTAAGCCGAGCAAAATAGAACCAGGGCCACCTGAAATCCCTCGATCACAACCTTCCCAGGATTTTGCTATTCCGGCAAAGAAGACTCAACCAACTCAACCAACTCAACCACTTCCACAAACTTCCGAATCTGCCGAAACCTCTCGGGCCTCCCACCCTGTCACTGAGATCTCGAAGACTGCAACCTCGAAGTTAGATAAAGCCTCTGACAAAGGTCCCAGCCAGAACACTGGCGACATACCAGCAACTGGAGCCAAGCAGACACGGGAGTCTCAATCTCAACGATCACAGACCTCATCAAGCCAACCTGCCAAGCAGCTAGCATTAGGGCCTCTTTACACTGCCTTTGCACCCCACAAATCCAAGGATCCAGAACCTGACATAACCCAGCTGGATCTGCGCAAGCCCACTGAATTTCCTGCCAGGACAGCTGCTGGAGTGCCCGTTCCATTTGCTAAAATGACAGCTTCGGATAGTTACCGACGGGGCTCTCAGGGTGGGATCAAAACTACTGCTGCGTCGTCTAGAGCTTCCCTAACTGGGTCTTCCGAAGCCCATGGCCCTCCCTCGCAGGCGCCTCGGGTCCCTCAAACAGAGAGGCTCGGTCGATCCCCTCCTATCTCGCCCCGCGGTCCCCCTCTGCGATTTGGTGACTCCTACAGACCGAGCCGTTCTCGCCGTAGTCCTCCCCCTCGGCGCCCAGGCCCACGCGAAAGGTCGCCAGATTCCCGTCGGAGATCTGACTCGCGATCTAGATCGCCTGACCGCTCGTCCAGACCACGAGAGGCTCGTCAAAGATCTCCAGTAAGCCGGCGGAGATCCCCAGATCATCATCGGGCAGCCGACTGCTATCGGCCCGCTCCTTCCCCCTTCGTGACCGTGACGCGTCCAAAGTCAGCCTCCACATCTACGCGGTCACCTCCTCCTCCGCTTGTGCCCATTCCAGCTACCATCACTGATACCAGGAATGACACCCCTGTGAACGGCGATGCGCTGGTTCTGTCCGCTAGGCCTTCAAGTCCATCTAAAGAACCTCCGATGTCTGCAAAGGACCAAATCAAGCGTATGCCGATAGGTAAACGCGAGCCTGGCTGCATGACGTTCCGAAAAAATAACTATTTTGTCAACCGCGGTGAAGTTCTGGCACACATATATTTCGGCACAGAAAAACATCTCGTTGGGGCTGTACGGTTGTGTGGGCTAACGGCAGAGGTGAAAGATGACCTCCTGGCAGCCAAGGATGCTGGAGGACGAACTACTAGGTTTGAGATGTGGTTCAAGGATGTGTGCACGCCCGATCAGTATGCCACTCTGTGTCAAGCCGAGGAAAGTGTAGGAGGCTCCAACAGAGTCTTGCGCACATGTTGGATGGAGGGGTTTGCTGACACCAATCCGGAGTTATTCCAAATGTCGGAACTCCTCCGGTGGGAGAATAAGGTCGGCATCTATTACCCTCCCAGAAACGTCGGTTATGTGTGGCTTGCATATTCCCCCAAGTCTCCTGAGTTCACTTACCTCACCCAACCATATCCCGACATCGATCCTTGGGTTCCCATCCGCCTTGCTGTGCGAACACCTTTGCCATCTCTTGATAGCGTGAAAAACGTTAACCTGAGACAACTATTGGGCCCTCGACAGCTCCAGTCTCCAGCGTTGGCCATGGTACCCTATGGCCCGTCAAACCCAGCACCAACAGGGGCGCCTGGCTCACTCGATGAGATCGTTAGACGCTTAGCACAGACTTCTAGCCCTAGCAATCTAGACAGATCCATTCAGAGCCCCGTGGCAGGACCTCCAGACGGACTCGCTTTTGATGGAGAGCCGGCTCGAGAGAGTGAATCCGCGAGGCCGACTGCTCTTGCTCAGGCTACAAGCACCCCAGCTGACCCTCGCATCAGACGTTTGTTGCCTGGGGCGACAGGTACACAGCAACCGCCTCAGGGGCAAGCTAGTCCGGTAGGAGATGGATTAGACAAAAGCAACAAGGAACACCCCCAAGATGCCAACACGAGAGTGCCATTTGATCCCATGGACACTGAGCCGGACAAGACAGTACCCATCCACGCGGTCTCCTTCAATGCGGCCACTCAGAATAGCGCCATGAATCAACTGGCTGACCCTAATTCAATGCTCAGCGAATACTTTGAGCACAATCTCAAACTGAATTTCAAAGAACTCGCAAATGTCAATGGAAAACGGGATGGTCCTCAGGCGGACGTCTTTTTCCTGCACATCCCCGAAGGCGAAGAGGCTCAAAATGACTGCACTCTTCTCAAGGCATGGCTCGAAACGAAAGGGGCGATGATATGGTCTGACTGGGCAAGATTTGTCAAAAACAGCAGCAAGTGCAATGTGATTCTGGTATGTTTCCTTTAGCGATCCAACTCATACTTCTTCTCTACACCAGATCATCTAACTGAAGCCAAAGTTTCATGAATCCTTCGGGAGATACGATGCCCTGCGGCCTAATATTCGGGATGCTTTGGGGAGCTCGTCGATGGGCTTCTGGACCTTCCGTATCTCGAGGCCGCTTGACTACCCTGACGTGCGGTATTGCCAACAAGGAGTTTATTTCCAGCGCATCTTCAACCGTGGTGGCGCTTATCTCTTGACTGAGGACGTCCTTCTCTGTTTGAAAGAAGCAATCGTCATCGTATACTTCTTCCATACGATTTCGCGAAGCAATCCCGGTCTGTGGAAATTGGCTTGTTGGCCAAATCTGATAGAACGTCTCGAGGAAAGGCTTGAAGATTCCAGCGTACCGAAAGATGAGCAGAAACTGTACGGTTCCGACCTTATCCTAAGCTCATATTCCCATACTAACCTTGACCAGTCTTTTCACTCTCGGCTTCTTGATCAGGAAATGCAATTCCATTGATCCCGAACTGCCGTCCTTCCACCCTGATAGCCTTGATCCCACAAATCTCGACAGCGCCAACAACAATGTTGTTTCTCTCAAAGTAGCCGGCTATGGAGAGCGCTCCGCAGATGCGACCCCCAACCTGCCGGCGGATCTCACCCAAACTGAGCGCAACGCGGATCATCTAGCCGAAGCCTTTGCAGGCTGGACCATCGAAAACGCTGCCCGCCTTCGCAAGTCAAATATAATATCAAACTGCAAGAACGAAGTCTTGCTCAAGAGATGGGCTGCCTGGGGCCACGTCACTCTCTACAGTGTCGAGTCCTTCATCGAGAAGTACAAGATCAACGTGAACGACATGCTGGACCGGATCCAGACCAAGTTGAACAAGCCAAGGAAACCGAGCAAGCCATCCCAAAGTGGACCATCGAGTGATAAGGCTCACGCCGACTTTTCGTCTCCCACACAAACCCCCCAGACTCCCATGGTTGGAGGAGGCGTCCCAACTCCGAAGGAACCACATGTCGATCCTTCGACCCAGCGACGACCAAGCGAGTGGAAAGCACCGCAGCCACAAGAAGGTCATCAGTATCAGGCGCCCTATCGTTGAAGGTTCCATGCCCGAACTTAGAACCGCTGTACTTGCGTTTACATTCACGTGAGATATCTCAAACGTGAACTTGAATAACGTTACTTCTTGGCGCAAATCCAACTGGTTAAATGATACCCCATATCTTTGTGCATATCTGCCCATGGCGTTTCAGTGTTTTCATAGGTCGTATGAATCTGTCTATCTTCGTCTTTGTAGGAATGTGCTCCACGGATCCCCTGAATTTAGATACGAATGTGTCTCTGGTCGTTTTCTAAGCACTTAAGGATACTTTGATGGCGTTGACTTCAAAGGTCGCACTGTATGAAGAGGGAAGGGACAGAAACAGAGTCTAGGGTGTACCCAGGTTGGAGTCGATTCTACGCGGATCTAACCATTCGATTTAAGGGGACTTTCAGACCGTGATACACAGGTCCCATTCGTTGATAATGGAAATCATGTACATTAGATATTTAATAGAGAACGCCACCTGCAGGAATAATAAACATGTTCAACCCAATCAAGTCACTAACCAATTGCTCGCTTGCGATATTCCTGAAAGTTCGATGCATGCGGTGCATTGTCAACATCAGCCTGCGGCTTTGGTTTCTTCTCTTTCTTCTTATCTGTCCGCATCTTCTCTTCCCACTCGCTCTCCTCCGCGGAGATCATAGCGTGGAATTTGCCTCCCTGGCCGCGGGCAAGATATATCGGCTGTTCTTGGCGGTCGGCCACAGCCTCAGTTACCAGGACGAATTTTACGCTGGAGCCTGGGGCTTCGAACATGGCGTCGCTAAGGATGGTTTCCATCTCTGTGCGGAGGGCGCGTGCCCCTGTTCCCATCTTGAATGCGTTCGCTGCGATCTTATGTAACGCCGGCGTTGTAAAGCGCAGCTCGATACCTGAGAGCGAGAAGAGGGTTGTGTATTGGGCTAGGAGGGAGTTGCGGGGTTCGGTGAGAATGCGTAGAAGCAAGGGCTGTGTTAGTGTTGACAGAGCGGCGGTGACGGGTATCCGGCCAATCAATTCGGGAATGAACCCGTAACTTTGCAGGTCTGCTGGAGTTAGAAGGTCGAGGGCATTGAAGTATGTGGGCTCGCTGCTTTGTGAGGTTGGAGATGCTGAGGTGAAGAAGGGGAGGTGTTTCTTGTATAACGCTTCTTCTTCGGATCCTGGTAAGATTGGCTTGGCCTCATCGGGTGACGCATTAGATGTGCCCGGTAGGCCACCCAGTATCGACGATCCCCGAACCGGTTGACCGAATCCCATTGAGCCACGCGAGATTCGGTCCATAACTACTTTGTGCAGCCCCACGAATGCGCCCGAAAACACGAACAGAATGTTGTCTGTGCGCACATTGTAGACCTCCCCTTTAGCCGCTGGGGTATTGTTGTGCGGTTGGAAAGGTGTAGTGCCCAGCGGACTATTCGATGGGTACGAGTTTGGAGGACTGGTCGAACGAGGGTTCTTCTCTGGCTTGGCCTGCACTTGGATTGTGGTGCCCTCGATAATCTTGAGGAGAGCTTGTTGGACTCCCTCGCCGCCAACGTCCTTGCCGTGGCTCACTTTCGCTGCCGCAATCTTGTCCACCTCGTCAAGCACAATGATACCTCGCTCCGCCTGCTCAACGTCATAGTTCGCAGCAGCCAGAAGCCGGTGCACGCACGTTTCAGCATCTTCTCCAATATAACCAGCCTGCGTAAACGGTGTGCAGTCGGAGATGCTGAATGGAACGGATAAAACACGGGCAAGTGTTTTCGCCATCAGCGTCTTGCCCACGCCGGACGGCCCCAGAAGTAAGATGTTTGACTTGTCGAGTTGCAGTGGGGACGTGTCGACTAGTTCCCCATGATCCAGCAGGCTATTCGGGCGTGGTTTGGAGCTATTGGGGAGACCAACGGTTCGTTGTTGGCCGGGAAATTCATCTGTATCATTCCAAATGTCTCAGTTAGAATACTTGCTTTCGGGTTCTCAAGGATAGGACTAGAGGCGTACCTTCCAAGGGATGGCTTTCCAGTGCTTCCCTCCGTTGCCTTTTCGCTAGCAGCTCTTCCGCTTCCTCCTCGCGACGCTGGAGCTCCTGCACTCGCTGATAGTGATTGTAGACCGCGACGCTCAAAACCTTCTTCGCGCGATCCTGGCCCACGACATATTGATCTAGATACTGCTTTAGCACCTTCGGTGTAATCCTGGGGGCGCCAAAGGCTGGCGTGGAGCCCAGGGGTCCGGTCGTCGGCAATCCTGTCTCATAGCTCCCGGTGAATGGCTGTGTTGTGAAATCTGACCGGTTAAATTGCGAAAAGGTTGGGAAGCTCGTGGAGGAGGTCGAGAGCATGCGTGTCTGGCTGACGAACGATAGCCTTGGCCGACATCGGGCATACCGATCAGGCCGGACAGCCTCGCGATGCGCCCGGGCAAGAAGGAGCCGACGCTGGAGAGGCTGCCACAGCATGGCCCTGAAATAGCAGAGGACGGGGTGAGATGCAGGAATGGGGATAAATGCGACGAGGAGAGCGTGCGGAGGGATAAATCAGATACGGAGCTTTCCCCGCAGGAGGTGGTGATAACCCACTCTGGATGGAGCTTATCGGCTGAGTCATGGCCTCAGGGCGCCATCCATCCATCCAGCGTGCGGGTGTTTTCCGTCTTTCCCGATCGGCTTTAAAGGGAGCACAAAGATGTGTATACATGTGGAACCTGAGATCCTAGACGATAATATCACATAGCAACCAGCAGGCAATGTTTTCATCTATATTTGTGGTATGCTCCCCATATGACGGATTAAAAGGCGTGTACTCCATACTCTCGTTGGGAATAGTGGACTCTCAACACTTGATAAGCATCCCCTCAAAGAGTCAAAGTGCAATATTATCACTTTGTTATTGTGCTTACCTGCAGCTAGCTTGCTAGTACATGAAACTATCGATCTAGGCTCAGCCATTCATTCAGGCTGTCCATTCCAAAGATGAGATATTGATGAGGCTTGTCATACCATCTACGGAGTACTCCGTACAGTTCGAATAAAATAGAGTAGGTGCAAGCAAAAAGAACGAAGACAAACTAAACTCCACAATTTCCCTCCATTACTCGCCCTTAATCATACCAATTCGTCTGTTGGCCATTAATTCATCCCCGTGCGAACCGCGAATAGAGAGAAATAAGTGCCGTACTTTTGTCTAGGTCTAGCCCAGTTTGTCTCGATTTCAGCCACAGTTGCATTGTAGTAAATCCCTAAACAAGCCACAATCTACGAGGGCTTCACCGTCTCCATAGTTCCATCAGGATCCTATGGTTATGCTTTCCATTCCTCACCCAAGTGTTTTCTCCTTCAACGTGAGCTATTTTGATTGCCGTTTTGGGTCAATCTCGCGAGATCCACTCCGGGCGTGACGGATGATGTCAATCACCCGGGCCAATACGAAGGAGATCTGCATGCTGAGCCATGCTCAACTGAATCCAATTCTCCACCACCCAATCGAGTAATTTCGTATTCGCTGTCGAAATGGTCTTTCTGCACTGCCTGCCCAGGAAATGAAGGGCACTGGAACCGGGCAGGCAAGTATATATATAAAGCCAGGATGTCCGTTCACTCGGTGGTCCCCGGGAGTTTGATCAATCTGTATAATAAGGGAGAAGTCAATCATGATCAGCCCACTTTTACTTTCTCTTTTTGCAAATGCAGCCATTGGGGCTCCGCAGTCTGCCAATTGTCGCTGTCGCCCTAGTGACAGCTGCTGGCCATCCGTGAAAGAATGGTCATCATTAAACAAGACCGTCCACGGGAACCTGGTAGCTGTCCGTCCTGTGGCATCGGTCTGTCACCAGCCTGGGTACAATGCCGATGCATGCAAAGTCGTGACCGACAGCTGGACGGACTCTGTCTGGCGCTCCTCGCAACCAGGTGCTGGTCAATGGGAGAATTGGGAAGCCTGGCCAGAGCGTAACCAGTCATGTTATATCGAGTCACCCGAAAATGCCGCCTGTCAGCAAGGCCGCATCTCGCTATACTCCGCCATAGTTCAGAGTGCGTCTGATATCCAACATGCTGTCCAATTTGCTAGCACTCACAACCTGCGACTGGCTATCAAGAACACCGGGCATGACTTTTTGGGACGTTCGACGGCCCCCGAGTCCCTGCAGATTCTCACGCATAATATGAAGGATATCAAGATTGTGGACAGTTTTGTGCCTAAGGGATCGTCGAAGAGTGAGGGTCCCGCGATTACGATTGGTGCCGGTGTGCAGCTTCCGGAGATGTATGAAGCTGTAGCTCAGCATAATCGCACGGTGATCGGGGGTTCCTCGCACACTGTGGGTGCTGCTGGAGGGTATGTCCAGGGCGGCGGCCATTCGCCATTTGGTCATTGGAAGGGCCTGGCGTCGGACAATGCATTGGAATTTGAGGTGGTGACAGCCGACGTAAGTATCTTTGATGAAAAATACTGCGGGGACGTCTGACTGATGACGTTCAAACTAAAACTTTTGACGTAGGGCAAACTCGTCACTGCGAACTCTTACCAAAATACAGACCTCTTCTGGGCCCTGAGAGGAGGCGGTGGTGGAACCTTTGGCGTGGTCACCAGCGTCACCCTGCGTACTTTTGAGGAAGTACCAGTCGTCGTGTACAATTTCAACATTACCACTGCTGGCGGTGATCCTCGCTTTTGGGACGCATTCGCTGAATGGCACGCCGCACTCCCATCCATCAATGATGGTGGAGGCTCTGGCTATTATTTCAGTCTCCCAAATTATCCCATTAGTGCAAGTGTGAGCGTGTCAACCATCTTCTCCCTCCTGATGTTCCCTGAAAAGACCGACGTCGCCCAAATCGACTTGTTGTACCAACCGCTCGCCGCAAAGCTACGACAGATTGGCGGCGTCCAGGTCGTAAATGAATCCATTCCCTTCCCAACGATGAGCTCGACCATCTTTACGATGCTCATCGGTGGCCAATCTGATAGCACAGGAGGGATTTCAATGCTGGCGTCCCGTCTATATTCAAAAGATCTCCTGACATCTCAAGATGGACCGGGCCGTCTGGCCAACGCCTTCAAGAGTATCAAGTGGAATCCATTCGCCGAAATCATCGGCCACGTTGTTGCGGGTGGTGCCGTCGCGGCCAACGCTGACAAGGTTGATAGTGCTGTCAACCCGGCCTGGCGCAAGGCCATATCGCATATGCTCTTCTCCCGATCATGGGCGGCTAATGCCACTCTGGCAGAGCAGACAGCGGTCATCAAGAACATGACTGATGTGGAGATTCCCATTCTGCGTGCTGTCGAGGGCGAGGATCAGATGGGTGCGTATCTGAATGAGGCCAATGCATACGAACCTGGCTTCCAGGCTGCCTTCTGGGGTGCCAATTATCCTCGTCTGTACATGATTAAGCAGAAGTTGGATCCTAAAGGTCTGTTCATTTCTCGGAAGGGTGTTGGTAGTGAGGACTGGGATGATGCGGGTTTGTGTCGTACTTCAGGTAATCACGATTGAGCTCTTAGATGAGTTACTATGGTGGTAGTATATGTTATTCGGGATCTAGACTGAACAAGGAAAGGATTATTTTCTGCTATGTATTTAGAGATCTCATTAGTTAATATTGTACTGCTTGCCATCATTTGAACACGCCTCCAACGCCCACAGTCCCAGTATCCCACGCTAATTTAACCCCATTATCCGCCGGAGACCAACATTCTTCACCAAAACACTATTTCCATGCATTTCCACGCCCTCACCCTTCAACTTCCCATCCCAAGCCCCCACCGGCAGCCCAGCCAAGAATTCTCCCAAAGGCTTGGTCGGGCTATGCAGGCCCTTGAAACAGGTTCGAATAACGGGGGCTAAAGCAGCTCCTTCCAGGCGCTTCCAAAGGGGCACTGGCGGTATCCATGGAAGAATGGCTTGGTGATCTTGTGGGTCGACAAGCGCAGGACGCACAATCATAGCGCGGAAATGAGGGTTCTTTGCCTCCATCTCCATCAGTGCGGTCTCTGTTTCGCCCTTGACGCGGCCAAACAAAGCAGTGAATCGACCAGGCTCGCTAGTAGCGCCCTCGCCAGAGACGTAGACGAATTTGAAGTTGTCTGACTCGTCTGATTTGAGCTGCTCAAAGGCCTTTGCCGCTTCGAGTGTCATGGTCTTGGTGATGTGAATGTACTCGCTGAGGATCGATATGAGTGGGATTTTCAATGTGCATGAGGTTTTTGGGTCCATTCAGAGGAAGAATTACTTACTCTTTTGATACAGCGGCCTGACTGATTCCCAATGCCCATACGCACGCTTGAGCACCGCGTAGGCGCTCCTTCAATGCCCTATCGTAATCCTTGAAATCGTGAACAATCACTTGAATACGATCATCCTTATTCTCTTCCAGCATGGGCACTGGGCGGCGGGTGATAATGGAGATCTTGGAGATGTCTGGTCTGGCTCGCAGCGCGACGAGGGCTGCAGAGCCGACCAGACCGGTGGCGCCTGTTAGGATGATATGCATTTTGGAGTTTGAAAATTGATCAATCTGGTAAGATTATGAAAACTGAACCAAGGGCATACTTGCTATTTATAATGGTTCTTTTCCTCCACGGCGTAACTTGGGCTCCGAGCTTAATTCCTTAATTCCAGAGGGCGAATGTATTTAGTGGGGCTCGTGTAGCCTCAGCTGAGTTTGATGACAGCAGGCTAACCGGAAAGAGACATCCAGCATGCCGTTCATTTAACTCCAGGTTCGGGATCGGGAATATGATCTATACCCGTCGGTTGAACCACGCCGAATGGCTGAGGCTGGGCAACACCGCTAAACCCGAATTTTGGGACCTTAAGAGTAGTGTGATCTACCATTCTACGAGGTTTGGAGCGATCGTTAGTGAACTTGGATATTGGATTGATCATCGTTTCCTGGAAAATTGGTTAGTGATACTTGTTTGACCCAGTCTCCGAGATACGTTCCTGTCCTTGTGGCACTGATGTCGAGCAAAATAAAGACACCCGACACCTCCGTGAATCGAACCCCCGACTTTCTCGTTCCCTATGTACTTCACGACGATGCTCCCTCGCGTTCCCACGATGCCGAAGTACATCAAAGTCCGCCAGCCGCTACCGACCCGATGCCGTACCCCATAACACCTCTCTAGCCCTCATTATACCTTTAAATAACCTCATGAAGAGGTAAAACAGTATGAAATGTAGAAATTAAGGTAAAATCTTACTATAACCTCAATCTTTAAAAAAGTTATATTTAAAAATGTTGAAAAAATCTTTATCCGCGAGGGGGTGCTGCCACCACCTCGCATCCCCACCCGCCCACTCTCCCCGCCTAATGATGTGCCCGGCCATCCGTGGAGTTATACTCGACACTGGAAGTCTGTACCCATCACATATGTTTGCCCATTCCCAAGGCACACCCAAAGGTCGTTAGACTACTAGGCCATATGAGGGGGGAGAGTGACTGGAATACTAATACTGGGATTATATCCCATGTTGATGGAAGCCAATACACGGTAACAAGACGACCGCATTTTCTATCATTGCAAGCTTTTCTACACCAGACTGGGATTGAATAGGAGTATGAAGGCTCCTTCGAATGTGATGTATTTGTGCTTTTGATTTATCTCTAGATATATCGGTGTATGTGCTCGACTGAGCACCCCTCGGGAGCTCACGCTCCCTGGATCTGGCATCTGAAGGCCAGTCTCCATATCGCGGTGCGTTCGTATCAATTTTGTGACAGCGCCAACAAGCCCATTGAGCATGCGCATCCAGTAGCGTGTACTCGAGCCACCCGTTGGTGGCTTCCCACTGTCACATAGCTTCAAAGGAAGCCGTTGTCAACGTAGCTTGTTTTGTATTCGGTTCGTGGGTATCATGCGGTTATGCAACATATGTGTATGCAAAGTATTGGGTTTCGGTTAGGGACACGTCGAATCCCCACTCGTTGAATCCTCATTTGTTGGTCTTGAAGACCGGCTGTTGTTCCATCGTCTGCGAGATGAAGTTACGCAGAGCAGACCAGCGATTGGCAGTCGGGTTGGACTCGGGCGTAGCCTCGCTGGCATTTCCAGCAGCAGCCGGCTGTAGGCTCGACATCTGAGCCATGTTCTTCGCGAACCGGTCCCGTTCCAACATCTCCAGCTTTTCGCGACGCTTCAGTGCCCCAGGTTTATGGCGGAGGGTCTTTTGTTTGATGATATTCACTTGACTGGCGGCATCGTGGGAGTCATCAGCGGCCTCTGGCAGGGCATCGGCGAGAGATTCGAGGTTGGCGACCAATTTCTTCGATGGGCGACGCTTTTTGGGGGCCTTGGAGCTTTTCGCGATCTTCGACATGAGAGTCGCATGCTTGATCTGCCGCTTGTCTTTCTTGCTAGTGCGGAACTCGTCCCCAAACGGGGCAGCCTTGATCGGACCAGCCCTCCCGGACTTTGTCTTCATGATGTGATGTGGTGGAGTATTGAAGAGGAATCACAACGAGAAAGAACCGGTGCGTGGAGTAGTCCTCGTTGCCCAAGAAAGCGGTCGAGCATGTGAAGAGAGAGATCGGCCAGCAAATTTGTCGCCCACCAACACGGCCCCACATGACCAGGACCCCCCTTTCACGGTGGCCCTTGATCCCTGTTGGGCCTACCCAACCATCCCAATCGAAGCAAAAAAAAAAGTCAACCATCTTGGACCACTCAAAACACTCGAATCGACTGTACACGAGAATGCGACGCCGCCCTGTGACGTGAACACCCCCAGACCCCTTTGCGCAGATCCACATCCCACCCTCCCTCCGTCCTCCTTCCCCCGTGCAAAACTACTGTACTCCTCGCCCCGGCTCTGACATCAGATCAACGCTGAATACATCCGCAACACCCCGTCCAGCCCACACTGAGATCATTATTGGGACCATACACAGTGCATGTCCTTGTCAACGCGCCGTCTTAGTCGGATCTCCTTTCCTGGCCAATCTCTCGCGGCCCTTTTGCCTCGGTCGCCTCTAGCCACTCGGATCCAAACCCCAAGCTACCTCCCCCGGTCGCCCCCGTCGGCTTCCCTAGCGCTCTTTAAATCCGCTGCCCTCCCCGGTCAACCCGCCGTTTGCAGATCATTTTCCTCGGCGTCGCTTTCGAAAATGGGATCTCTCGGCCCGTATCAGCGCAAGCACAAAGTGGCAGTGGTCGGCTCCGGCAACTGGTAAGTGGTCTCATGGGCAGCAACACCACCGCTGCTGTCTATCACTACACTGCCCTACCTTGTCAATAAGAGCAAGAACTAACGGCGGGAACGTTTTTCTTAACCTAACAGGGGCACCGCCATTGCCAAGATCGTCGCTGAAAATGCGGCTGCCAACACCGATATTTTCGAAGAGAAGGTGGAAATGTGGGTGTTTGAAGAAAACGTCGAGATCGCAAAGGACTCGCCACACTACGATCCCGCTCTTACGGGACCCCAGAAGTTGACCGATATGATTAACCGCACTCATGAGAACGTCAAGTACCTTCCAAAGATCCGGTTGCCCGTCAACCTGCACGCCAACCCCTCGATCGAGGACGCCGTAAAGGACAGCACCATTCTAGTCTTCAATCTCCCTCACCAGTTCATCCTCAAGACCTGCCAGCAGATCAAGGGCAAGATCCTGCCTTATGCACGCGGTATCTCGTGCATCAAGGGTGTTGATGTTAACGAGGAGGGTGTCAGCCTCTTCTCCGAGACCATTGGCAAGACTCTCGGCATCTATTGCGGTGCGCTTTCCGGTGCCAACATTGCCAACGAGGTCGCCCAGGAGAAGTGGTCGGAGACCTCCATCGCCTACGACCCTCCTCACATGGACTCCAAGGCACCTACTCCCCAGCGCTCTCCGACCTCTTCCCAGGTCGACCTGGTGCAGTTCCAGCACCGGGATACCTCGGGCGAGATCTCCCAGGTGAAGCTGCAGGCTCTGCCCTCTGAGTACCCACCCATCAACCATGATATCCTCAAGACTCTCTTCCACCGTCCTTACTTCCACGTGCGGGTGGTGAACGACGTCGCTGGTGTGTCCATCAGCGGCGCGTTGAAGAACGTCGTTGCGCTGGCCGCTGGTTGGGTGGATGGTATGGGCTGGGGTGACAACGCCAAGGCTGCCGTGATGCGCGTGGGTCTGATGGAGATGGTTCGCTTCGGTGATAAGTTCTTCGGCGCGACCATTGAACAGCGCACCTTCACCGAAGAGAGCGCCGGTGTGGCCGATCTAATTACTAGCTGCAGCGGTGGCCGCAACTACCGTTCCGCCAAGCACAGCGTCGAGCGCAACCTGCCCATTGAGGAGATCGAGAAGACTGAGCTCAATGGTCAGAAGCTTCAGGGTACCTTGACTGCCGTTGAGGTCAACAGCTTCCTGAAGAAGCAGGGCATGGAGGATCAGTTCCCTCTGTTCACTGCCGTTTATCGTACGTTGTCCCTGCGTTATCTGTGAAGATTCGCTAACCGGTTCATAGGTATCCTCCAGGGCACTATGCAAGTCGCGGATATTCCTTCCTATATCGAGCGGTAATTTCATTATTCCGGTCTTTTTTTTCCTTCGTGTCTATGGTGTTAATTTACCGGATGCATTTCCCTTATAGCCCCCCAGTGTTTCGTGCCCCGACTTCTACCTCCAATGTTGTTTCTCAAGGTGAGGATTGCGATGGCGTCCGGCATGCGAATGCGCGACTTTAAGTTTGAATCATGATTTCTGGATTGTTGGGATTTGGCTTGTTGATAGATTTACGACTTGTACCTATTGCATTCTATACGAATCGAAATTCCCCGATGAACTATTAGTACTGGCCCCCCCTCTTAAATGCTCATCCGAATAATATTTACTTGCCCGGAACCAAATTATCAAGCTCGATTAAGTTTTATATTCCATCGCTCAATCCAGGCCCGGTCCAATTGCTGTCAAACCCTGCTTTTGCGCCAGTGCGGTCCAGACTTGGCGCTAAAAATACCCTGCCAAGGCGCTCCTGACGCCCGCATGCATGATGTCACCGGCGGACACAGCTTTGGAGGGGGAGTTCTGTCCTCCGCGTTTCTCATTTCTCTTCCCAACTCTTCCTTACGGCCATATATTAGGCCATTCGCTCGCTGAGCAACATCCAGCAGCTTCGCTGGGTTACAGCAGTTCTCGGTTGTTCGAAATCGTTGCGGCCGACTGTCATCCCCCGCAGTCAACCCACCCTATTCGTGCCTGATCACAATGGGCCCCTCTCGCCAGGTCTACTTGCTCCCATTGAAGGATGACGGCTCCCCCGACGTGCCCGGTGGATACATTTACCTCCCACCTCCTGGTGACGAGGGATATGTGCTGCGATTCATCATCGAGGGTACGAGCTCCATCTGTCGACAGGGTAGCCTGTGGGTCAACATTCCACAGGAGGGCAAAGCGTTCAAGCGCCATTCGTTCCGCGAGTTCAGGTATTAATTGCTCTTCTTCTGTGGAGGAACACCCACTGAACTGAAGCAGATTAAAGCCCGATTTCAATTGCAACATCCAGATCGATATCCCTGTGTCCAGTGCGGGTGCTTTCGCGTATTACACCACTTTCACCCCGCTGCCGGAGTTCTCGGTAGACCCTGTTCCTACACCCGAGCCCACGCAGACTCCTATTCACTACATAGACGTCGCCCCGAAATTGACCCTCCAGGGCAAGCATCTGCCACTCAATGCACTCTCCATTTTCTCGGTCATCTCAAAGTTCATGGGGGAGTTCCCTGTGGACTGGGATAAGCATCTTCATGGCATTAGTCAACGGAACTATAACATGGTTCATTTTACTCCTCTCATGCAGCGCGGTGCCTCCAATTCTCCTTATAGTATCTTTGATCAATTGTCCTTTGCTCCGGCGCTGTTCCCAAATGGAGAAGAAGACATCGCCTCGTTGGTGTCGCGCATGGAGAAGGAGTATGGACTCCTCACTTTGACCGATGTTGTGTGGAACCATACCGCTCATAATAGCAAATGGCTGGAGGAACACCCCGAGGCAGGATACAATGTTGAAACTGCTCCCTGGCTTGAATCGGCCTTGGAATTGGATACCGCACTGTTGAAGTTCGGCGAGGACCTCGAGAGCCTGGGTCTACCCACGGAGTTCAAGTCTACCGAAGATCTGGTAGCTGTTATGAATGCCATGCGGAAGCAGGCCGTTGATGGTATTCGGCTGTGGGAGTACTATGCCATTGATGTGAAGGCCGACAAGAAGAAGATTCTCGAGGCGTGGACAAGCGGGAAGACGGACCCAGGAAGCATTCAGCAGCCTGATCTGCACAAATTCGGTGAGTTGACACCGAAAGAACAAGCTCAACTTGTTCATGAACACGGCATTCCGGCTTCCAAGCAGGTCTACGGAAGATTCGGTCGTTCAGTAGATGCTACGTTTGGTGCCGCGATCCTGACCGTACTCCACGGGGACTACAGTCAGGATACCTCTGAAGCCGAGGCAACTTTGTCCAAACTTCTCGATGCTGTGAACCTGCCTCTTTACGAGGAATATGATACAGATGTTGCAGATATCCTGGATCAACTCTTCAACCGCATCAAGTACCTTCGGATTGACGACCATGGCCCCAAGATGGGTCCCGTCAGCAAGGACAGCCCCCTGATCGAGACATACTTCACTCGCCTTCCTCTTAATGAGACCACTAAAAAGCATAGTCCTAAGGCGCTCGCCTTGGTTAACAATGGCTGGATTTGGAATGCCGACGCGATGCGCGACAACGCTGGACCCGCCTCCAAAGCCTACCTGCGTCGTGAGGTGATTGTCTGGGGCGATTGCGTGAAGCTTCGATACGGAAACTCGCCTGATGACAACCCTTTCCTCTGGGACTTTATGACCAAATACACCGAGCTCATGGCCAAGTACTTCAATGGCTTCCGAATCGATAACTGCCACTCCACTCCGCTGGTTGTTGCGGAATACTTGTTGGACAAGGCACGCAAAGTTCGGCCCGACCTGACAGTCTTCGCGGAACTCTTCACCGGCTCTGAGGAGGCCGATTATGTCTTCGTCAAGCGCCTGGGTATCAACTCCCTCATTAGAGAGGCCATGCAGGCTTGGAGTACTGCAGAGTTGAGTCGACTCGTTCACCGTCATGGTGGGCGTCCCATCGGTAGCTTTGACGTGGGTCTGCCCTCCGCTGGTAGCAGCCATGCCATTGCGTCTGCACAATCCGGTGTTGCCGCTGAAGAGATTATCCATATTCGGCCTTCCCCGGTTCAAGCATTGTTCATGGACTGCACCCACGACAACGAAGTCCCTGCTCAAAAGCGCGATGCTAGGGATACCCTTCCCAACGCAGCTCTCGTTGCAATGTGTGCCTCCGCCACTGGTAGCGTCATGGGTTACGACGAAATTTATCCCAAGCTCATCGATCTTGTCCATGAGAAGCGGCAGTATACTAGCCCATTCTCAGGTACCCACAAGCTGGAGGTTGGTGCCGGAGAGGGCGGTATCGGCGGCGTGAAGCGCCTGCTGAATGAGCTGCACACCATGATGGGCGTTGAGGGTTACGACGAAACTCACATTCACCACGATGGTGAATACATCACTGTTCATCGGGTTCATCCGAAAACAAGAAAGGGAGTCTTCCTAATCGCTCACACTGCGTTCCCTGGAAATGAGAATGGTGCAGTCTTGGCTCCAACTCACATCACGGGCACCCAAGCTAAGCATATTGGATCTTGGGTTCTTGAAGTTGACGCCAGTGATGAGGCCAAGGCTAAGATTTCAGGAGATGATAAGTACCTCAAGGGTCTTCCAAGTCGCGTACGCGATATCGATGCCACTAAAATTGAAGGCGATGGTAAAGATGTGGCCATCTCCGTTCTGAATACCCTGGTACCTGGATCTATTTCACTGTTCGAAACCTGGATTCCCGGCGCAGAACATGCCATCGGTCTGGACAACTTCCTCTCTAGTGGTGTCGATGAGGCGTTCTCGGGCCTCAGCTTGGTCGATTTGAACTTTGCTCTGTACCGCTGCGACGCCGAGGAGAGAGATTCTAGCAATGGTGAGGACGGGGTGTACGACATCCCCAAGCACGGTCCTTTGGTCTATGCTGGTCTACAAGGCTGGTGGAGTGTGCTTGAGGATATCATCAAGTACAACCAACTAGGACATCCACTTTGCGACCATCTTCGTGAGGGTCAGTGGGCCTTGGATTATGTCGTTGGGCGAATGGAGAAGGTCGCTTCCAAAGAAGGCTACTCTGCGCTTCACAAGCTGGCTGCATGGCTTCGTGAGAAGTTTGACGCTGTTCGTGGTTTGCCTAACTTCCTGCTACCGCGGTATTTTGCGATTATCGTACAAGTCGCCTACAATGCTGCATGGAAGGCAGGTATTCACCATTTTAGTGACAACGTCCGTCATGGTCAGGAATTCATTCATCAGCTGGCTATGGTCAGCGTTCAGCAAACCGGTTATGTGAACTCGGCTTCTCTGTGGCCTACGAAACAAGTACCTAGCTTGGCAGCTGGGCTCCCCCATTTCGCAGTCGATTGGGCGAGATGCTGGGGTCGTGATGTGTTCATCTCCATTCGCGGTCTCTTCCTCTGCACTGGTCGCTTTGACGATGCCAAGGAGCATATTCTTGCTTTTGCAAGCGTGCTTAAGCACGGTATGATTCCCAACCTTCTGAGCAGCGGCAAGTTGCCTCGGTATAACTCCCGTGACTCGGTTTGGTTCTTCCTGCAAGCTATTCAGGACTATACCAAAATGGTTCCAAATGGCAGCAGCCTGTTGCAAGAGAAGGTTCCACGAAGATTCTTGCCTTATGATGACACGTGGTTCCCCTTTGATGACCCTCGCGCGTACTCAAAGTCTCCCACGATCTTGGAGGTCATTCAAGAAGTGTTCCAGAGACATGCTCAGGGCATGTCATTCCGTGAATACAATGCAGGACCGGACCTTGATGTTCAAATGAAGCCCGAGGGTTTCCAGATTGACATTAAAGTCGATTGGGAGACCGGTATCATCTTTGGCGGCAGTCAAAGTAACTGTGGCACGTGGCAGGACAAGATGGGCGAGAGCGAGAAAGCAGGCAGCAAGGGTGTTCCTGGAACCCCCCGTGACGGAGCCGCGATCGAAATCACCGGTCTTGTCTACAGTGCTCTTGCATGGGTAGCGAAGCTGCACGAATCCAACGTGTATCCTCATGCGGGAGTCGACATTGGCGACGGAAAATCGATCACTTTCAAGGAATGGGCGGAGAAGATCAAGACCAACTTTGAACGGTGTTATTACGTCCCCGTTGACGCCCAGGAGGATAGCCAGTACGATGTCGATGCCAACGTTGTGAACCGCCGTGGTATCTACAAGGACTTGTACAAGTCTGGCAAGCCGTTTGAGGATTACCAGCTCCGTGGCAATTACCCTATCGCCATGTCTGTAGCCCCCGAGCTGTTCACGCCCGAGAAGGCTCTCTTGGCTCTCTCAATCGGCGACTCTGCCATCCTGGGACCTGTCGGCATTGCCACCCTTGACCCATCCGATCTCAATTACCGCCCGTACTACAACAACTCGGAGGACTCCACGGATTTCGCAACCTCCAAGGGCCGAAACTACCACCAAGGTCCAGAATGGGTCTGGCAGCGGGGCTACTTCCTGCGTGCCCTGCTCCACTTTGACCTCCTGCGTCGCAAGACGGCCGAAGCGCGAACTGAGTCCTTCCAGCAGATCACCCGGCGACTTGATGGGTGCAAGAAGGCTTTGCGGGAGAGTCCGTGGAAGGGACTGACAGAGTTGACCAACAAGAATGGAGAGTACTGTGCAGACTCGGTATGTTGATCTATCACTTTTTGCTTTGGGGGGACGTTACTAATGCGTTTGTTTTTGGTTCGTTAGTCGCCTACCCAATCGTGGTCCGCAGGTTGCCTGCTTGATCTCTATTATGATGCTTTGACACTTTCTTAGAGATGTGCGGTGAGGGATAATATAGGGACTTAGCATAAGAAAGCGTCTGATTTTCCTGTACCATTTCCCGTTTGTTGATTCTTAGCCTTTACATGCATAATACATGTGCGGTTCTAAGTACTCCCTTTCTTATCCTTTGTTTCGCATAATTGATCCAATTTAATGACCTAGACACGAATATTTGAAGAAACTCAAAGATAAGATCCGTTCTCTGTAGGTGGGGACCATTGGATGCTAACAATCGATTACAACCCACTGGCGGTCCTCGACCGACTGAGTCCCTCAAGGCCGGGGCTGGATTCGACTCCGACTTAAGTTCCAGAATCCCAAGCTCAATTTGCCTCCTTTAAAATCTAGAACATCACTCTCCACGTGCCAGGCGACAGGCAGTCATGTAAAGTTAGATTTGGCCCCTCAAGATTGGCCACATTCTTCGCGTTTCAGCTGCCATGGGGAACCAACGTGGCAGTGTCCAACGCTGAGATAGGACGATCTTGTGATGGATTTAAATGAGATAAACTTTCTAACTGAGAAGAGAACGAATACTTTCATGACTGGAAGGTGGCAGTGCTGATGGTGTTGTAGAAGGTATACTAGAGTACTTTGTACAATAGAGGTAGTAGTAGTACAGTAGTAAAAGGATTGCGGGCTCATAACTCAATAGAGTAAAGATTTTCCGTGCCAGGCACCGTGGCGTGTCCGGTACTAATCCTGGCAGTCGAGATTGTCGTGCCGTGTTAGTATAGCCTTTGGAACCACAGGTTCACCTGTTCGCTTCATAGCAGGAGCGCCTTCTTTTTTTTTTCCCTTTACATTGATCAGGACTTGAATCAAACTGTTGAAATCCAGCGTGATAGTCACATGGCATCACGTGACACATACTTCTTGTATGAGCGGACCTTTAACTGGATATCCACCTTAAGAAATACCTGGCTATAGAAATGCTGGTAAAATGATGAGTACAGTCCAGTTTAAACCCGTTATTCATCATGCTCAAGACCAATCAGCTAGTTTCTACCGTAGTAAGTATCAATTTGGGCATGGAATAAAGCCAGCCGTCACGTGCTCTACTTTGTCCATCCATTCTAGTGATCCTGACTGAACCAGGATAGGTTTTGGTCTCGGCTGCAGTGGTAGGCCCAACATGCCAATGGAAGCACCTCACTGCATGCTTCTGGAAGAATCCCAGGATATTCAGCAAGAATTTCTGATCTTTTGGGAAATGGCCCACATGGCGGGTGCATGGAGACGGTGATCCCCGCGCATTCCCCGGCCTAACAGAGACTCTGGCGATCTTGCACAACAAAATACAGTATACAGCAGCACAATCTCCTCGATTCAACGCACTTGACACTCTGCACTATTTTGCAATGAACATCACCGTCGATGGATGACCCCTGAAACAAATGGTCCAAGGAGCCTCCCCTTGATGTGTCTCATTTGGTGGATCCCCCTTTCCTCCCCAAGCCCTCAAACCACTCAGCTGCATCCGGTCATCGGGGCCACATTCTTCGCTAAGCGGTTTCACCTTCCCAAATCTCTCGATGGAATGCGCATGAACCGCGGGGGGTTGGTCACCACTGGACCACTCTCGATGCGATAGTCGCATTTTCCCTCGTTGTCAGACCGCGCGACTCAGTCTGCCGGGGATGGCCTGAACGTGAAGAGTATGGCCGTTGCCTTCCATTCCATGCGCTCCATCATACTCGATCAAGAGTATACTCCGTTACGCCCCATGTTGTACGCCGTCCTCGTCGCTGGCTTGCCAAGCAACCTGTCGCCATGCTGAGAAACCGTGGAACCGGGCAAGTCTATCGCCGCGATAGCCTTTCCGATGGCTAAACTTCTGGCTGGAACGCCGCTGACAGCTCCACCGGTGCTCGAAAATACCTTGTGCCATCAACATGGTCCATTTTTCAGCAGACCTTAGCGACGTCAGCCCGCGATGGTGGACGATGGCGAATAAAAGTTTCGCCCCGAAGTATACGATCCTCAGCCCTCATGCAGTAGTAGAAAACCCTTGCCTCGCCGCTCATTTCCCACTCCATCCCCATCCAAGCTATCAGGTTTTGGTTTCTTGCCTACTTTGTTTTCTTACTTGAACGGCTGGACCACCGCTTTCGCGCTCGCTTCCAGTGACACCGTTTCTTCCCGCTGCGGATACAACCTTGCACCTACACTGGCACTTTGCACATACTTCGCTTGCCTGGTCAGATCCCGACTACCAATTGGCGATTTCAAAACTCCATCATCCCGGTTTAAGGTAGCACCACCACGTCTATCTCCATTCTATGGGATTTTAGCTGATAGATCAGATTAAACCGCTTGTTGCAGCGCAGCGAGTGGCCGACCGATGCGCTGTTAAGCTATCCCCACCGGCTTACTCGATCTGCATCGGCCAAGTGGAGCCCGCTCCGATCATTCCGTCGTTAGTCGACAGACGGATTGGGCCTTGTAGACCACTTTTATCGACTCTTTCTACCTCAATTCATTGCAATCGAGTTTTTATCGCTGTCGGTTTTGATTTGCCGTTCACATTTGAATTACCTGCGAATTGAGGTCATTGTGGCAAAAAAAACAGAGGATCTATCATACATGTTGAGCCACTAGATCCTCTCGACATTTTGTCGACATGCCGTCTTTGAGGTCTCGCAACGACAGCTCCGGGCAGGTTCCCGAAGGTCCAGCTGCTAAGACCCGACAAATACGACACTCAGATGAGACAAAAGCTGCTGTACGGCAAAGTTATCAATCGATTCGCAGCTCAACATCTGCCACCGACCCCGAAGAACCCCTCGCAGTATTCGCGCAACATGATTGCTCGAAGATTGCAGACGGCTCAACACCTCCGGCGGCCAACATCGCTCCCGCCGAGATTCTACTCCAGATTTATTCCATGCTAACCCCTCGGGACTTTGACAATGCACGAAGAACATGCTCACAATGGATGAGAGTCAGTCTCAACCGCAAACTGTTGGAAGGAATGCTGAAACGTGCCGGATGGTGGGATGCGTATCAGGAAGATGCCGAGAAACAACGAGCTCGTCGCCGCCCGTCCATCCAAGAGAGTGATGTTTGGAGAATGAGCAAGCGTTTTGCTACCGAATGTCTACTATCGGGACGAAAGGCGAATGTCGAAAAGTCAGGATTCATGAAATCAGAAATTATCGACTTTTCAGGACTATCCAAGGGAATGACCTCGAAAGCTAGAAGATATTCATCTAATGGATCATCCAAGACTGCTCGAAATGGGAATTCCCATGCTTCTTCGACTTTCAGTGTGAGCAGTTGCAGTAATTATGTCCTGGCGACTACTGGCTGCGTGATCTATGTGTTTCGATTACGGGGAAAGAGGACGCGCTCTGTTTTCTCAATGGATCTGGCAGACACAGACCTGGAACCAATTTCGAGTATTGAATGTCCGTTCGAGGTTCTATCTGCAACTTTTGATACGACCACGCCTCGATTTGTGGTCGCCGCATTGTTGCAGAATCGAGTCGGTATGGTTTGCGACGTAGAAATACCTGACTGCGCTTCGCCTGCTGCTGGTCCAGCAACGAATACGCTATCACCCAAATCCGTGGGGGCCGAGCACTATCAGCCTAGAATGTCGAGAACGAGTCACTCTACTCCGCACTTCTATTACAATGTCTGCTCGGAAGATCACCCTCCTCGAACCATTGCTCTCTGCCCTGGCCGCCGATGCGTGGCATTCGGATGTGCAGGAGGCATTGAAATTCACTGGGTCGACGAAACAACCCATCAAGACCAACGAAGACACTTTCCCATGTCCCAACCCTCAGAAACCCTCCATTTCCTACCCAGCAGCCGGGAGAACCCCGCAGAACTACGCCTCATCTCGTCTCTCGCCGGTCCAGGAGCCCACGAGTGCGCATGCCGACAATCTCCTTACCCAGACCATCCCAAGAAATGCCAATTCCACCTTCTCACAGACGTACATTCCCTCAATCGTCGCAGCCCGCCCAATACATCCTCTCTTAGTCTTGTCCGAGCCACCCACTGTCATCATTACCGAGCCGTCCCTATTAACGACGGCTTCCACATTATTTTCGTCGAGCCACGCACCGGCCTCCTCTGCATTGGATCCGACGCACCAATCGGTGGCCCTACAAGTCTAACCCGAGCCTTCGTCTGTGTCCCGCCCTTCGGCAAAGATCCAACAGAAAGCATCAAAGAAGCCCGCGTCCCGACCGTTTTCACCGTCGGCTCTGATCTAAGTTGGGGTCTCCGCGTCGTGGCCGCATATCAAGACCGCATCGTACTATATTCCGTCCCACTGGACGTCTTCAACGTGATTCGCAAAGAACGTGAACGCCAAGGCGAAGGTGTCATGGGTGATAGCGATCTCGCACGGGACTGGTTCGTCGATTCTGAGCGCTTCCGCAAACGTCGCGAGAGTCTGGTCCAGAATCAAAATGGGGATTGGGAGTTCTTGTTAAGTGTCAGTTACCGACCTACTGCCATGATGTGGCCGTTTAAAATCTATGGCAAGGAGATCGGTCGTGTGGACAATTTGGTGGAACTTGCGCTTCAGTCTTCGAATGGTGGTGCGCGCGTCTGGGCTTTCAGTGCAGCGGGGGAGGCGCACGTCTTTGATATCGATACTATCGTATCGACTAAGCAACCTGTGGCTGATGTGCCCTGCAAAATGGTGACTGTAAGTTCAGACGGGAGCTTGGAGTCCTCTCGGCTCGTTGATCGCGCCGCGCTGGGGACTACGCCGTTGCAGGGGTCTCGCAAGCGCAAGTTCACCGAGCTACGGGATGAATTTGTTGGTCGATATGGGACGACTCGATTTGTGCCGAGTATGACTTTGGATGGCCTTGAGCCTACTAGTACCGTTGCAGCGGCACTAGCCCAGCATGAAGATTCCTCAATCAGGCGACCCTCGTTCGCGGCGTGCATTGTCGATTTTAAGATTCCCGAACTAGGGCCTCGAGAAGGTCTGTGGAGAGATAGTGTGATAGGGTCATGAGTGTGAAAGGGGCTTTGATCTCTGCATAGACTTGCATTTGGAACTCCGGTCATGCGCCCTGGATTTTGGTTTGATTTGTTGCATATATTGTCCCTCATTGTGGTGAATTTGAACATAGAGTTTTATTTTTTGTCTTCATATACTGAGCTTTAAATGGAATTTATGCTGGTATTAAGCATTTTGAACCTTATATCTGGCAACATTAGGAAGGGACCACAATACTCATCAAGCAAAACCATCGATAACGCATTATGAAAGAGGACTCTGGGAAAGAACAGAAGCGAATACGCTCTTTCACGAGACTCTACGATCTACTTCAATTTGTTGAAGTAGGGGGGAGAATCTACTTTATTCTTATTCTCCTTGAAAGGATTACTTGCGAAGACCAAAACTTTTCCTTGATACTCATGGCACAATACGCTCGTAAATGCCTCAATATTACATCATGGTGTCATAAAAGGCAGCAAAAGACAACGCAGGAACGCAGCTTAGTTAGCCCCGCTCAGTTTCTGTCTCCGGGCACGAACGGCTTGAGCCAATGTCTCCAATGTAGTCTCAGTGTCCTCCCAGTTGATGCAGGCATCTGTGATGCTGACACCGTACTTGAGACCGGCCTTGCCCTCGGGGGGAACCTTCTGGTTGCCTATATCGAATCAGGTCAGTAAATTTTACAAAAGAAAAAACTCTATTCGCTGTTAGAAACTCACCCTCGTTAATGTTGCTCTCGATCATAACACCCATAATAGCGGTCTCTCCAGCGGCAATCTGCTCGCTGAGAACAGCGGCAACCTTGGGCTGGTTCTTGTGGTTCTTCTCAGAGTTACCGTGGCTGCAGTCCACCATCAAGCGGGGAGTCATGCCCTTGGCCTCAAGCTTGGACTTGGCATCCTTGATGCTGGCAGCGTCGTAGTTGGGGCCCTTCTTGCCGCCACGCAGGATAACGAAGCAGTCAGGGTTGCCGACAGTGCCTACAATAGAGGCAACACCGGGCTTGGTGACAGAGAGGAAGTGGTGGGGGTGTCTAACGGCGCCAATGGCATCGACGGCAACGTCAAGGGAGCCGTCAGTGCCGTTCTTGAAACCGACGGGGAAGGACAGACCGGAGGCCAGCTCACGGTGAACCTGGGACTCGGTGGTGCGGGCACCGACTGCACCGACGGAGAGACAATCAGAGAAGAACTGAGGGGAGATAGTGTCGAGCATCTCGCTAGCAATAGGCATGCCCTTGTTGGTCAGGTCGACGAAGAGCTGGCGGGAAACACGCAGACCCTTGTTGATCTGGAAGCTGTTGTCGATATCGGGGTCGTTGATCAAGCCCTTCCAGCCGACCGTGGTGCGAGGTTTCTCGAGGTACGAGCGCATGACAATGAGCAGGTCATCGGCGTATTTTTCCTTCATCTTCATCAACCGGTCACAGTATTCGAGGGCCATATCGGGATCGTGAATTGAGCAGGGGCCAATGACCACCATGAGACGCTGCCTCTCCGCATCAGTGCCATGCACAATTGCCACGGCCTCCTGGCGGCCCTTCAGGACGGTTTCCCGGGACTTCGCGGTCAATGCGAACTCATGCTGGAGGAGGTTGGGCGGGGTGGGGGGGTTGTAGCCGCGAACTGTATCAAAGGTGAGCTTCGAAAGGCCATTAGTAAGAGGCAATCTGGTTTAAGCGTACTCCTTGAATCTTCGAGATGGCTGGTATTTCCCACATTGGGATTTTCAATGAAGAACTAGCGATTGGTTAGGCCAAATGCCACAACGGACTTTTGGGTTACGTATGAGGGGTCAACTTACCGACATGGCGGGGTAAGGAGAAAGAGGGAGAGCAATTGGGCTGGGGGGAGGACCAGGGAGAGGGGAAAGGGTAAGAGATGGTTAATTGAGTATATTTCTGAGATATCGAGAAGAGAATAAAGCTCCGACTTTAAAAATACGAACCAGAAAGTCAATGGCCCAAGTCAAGGGAGGAATGACTCAACCCGAAAAACAGCAGACACGTGATCCTCGGTGAGCGGCGCCAATGTGCGTCACCGCAGAAGAGGACAAAAGAACTGACAGCTCACGCATAACTCCTGTGGCTGTAAAACCTCATGCAGCTAAGATGCTGAATTTTGACGCTTGGATCTCTGAAAACGCACACACACAATGTCACCTTCCTACGGATCCTGTTGCACCCGATGGTCTAGCTCTTGCAAACCCTGAATCAGTTCCTGGCAGATCTGGTTGTGCTGCTCCTTGACGGACGACATCTGCTGACGATACAGCTGCATTCGCACTTCGTGTGCTCGGGATAGGCTATCGAGAATGCGATGACACCCTTGTTGGTAGATCTGCAGCACTTGTCGAATACTGTCCTGCTCGGCCACAAGCTGGCTTGACAGATACTGTAATACTTATTAGCTTTGGCCCACCTTGAAGGTCAAATGGCATTGCAACTCACCTGGTTAGTTTCCAGCAAAAGTCCGTGCGCACTTTGTTGCGCAGCCTGTAAATCTGGGATCCAATCCATATGATCTAGGTCGCCCTCCAAGAGTAGACGATGTGACCCGGAACCAGAGCCCCCTGTAGATAGTCGCTTCTCATGATTTTCAAGATTATGAGCATCATCCTCGGCCTCCATCCCTGGCTCGTCCATGGACCTCGGGATAAAGCAAGGTGCGATTGTCGATGCTCTATCATCATGGGCGACGCTCCTTTCAATCAAACTGCATTCTTCATGCTTATCTTCATGCAGTATGTCGGTGTTCTCGTCAGTAGCGGCTGCGTGAGTTTTATCCGCACAGGAGTCAACTCTCACGTCATCACCGAAGAGGCTTGATCCCGCCATCACCGGTGTTAGCTCTTCGGGCCCAATCCCATATTCCATGAACATGTCGCGTTTGAATCTGGACCATGTCTTTCCAAGTTGATACTTGCTCTCAGAGTAATAGTCACCGGAGTCTTCATCGTATTCACTCGAACTGGAATCAGCGATTTTGATACTCTGAGGAAGGAAGCGGTCCAAAACCAGATGTGGTTTCCCGACCCTCTGTGGGCAGAGTCGAGGACTGCCATTGCGGTCAACGATGCTGCTACGCGTGATGGATTTAGGAACTGCAAGGGAAGCAGCCTTCTGACAGGTGTGTACGCTCAACAGCGGCTTCTGAGATTCTGGAGTATGCTCGCTTTCCCTTCCTTGATCGGGTGACATCGAGGTTCCATCGAGCATGAACGTCTCTGAGCCCTGTGATGATGTGTCAAGGTTGCCTTTCAGCCACATCAGGCCGCCTCGTGGGCTAGCTTGACCTGTATCGTGCAGTTTGATCTCAATCTCCATCATGTCCGGCATGTGTGCGGCCTGTGGACTGTCGTCTGGTATCACCAAAGGATCATCGGCCTGATCACCGCTTCGCTTTCGTTCCAGGTATCCAGTGCTATTCATCAGCTTCCGTATGTCTGACAGGTATTTGATAGGCGAACCAATTATCTTTGCAGATACATTGGTCATCTGCTGTGTGTGGGTGTTGGTCATTGAGATCAGTTCAGATTTGTGTGGGCCATTCTGGTCTCCAGCTGTGATAACCGGAGATAGTTCATATTGTATCATCTCCGGCTCCGAGCTGAATGGATTCTGAACCCGGGGAGCCTGTGTTAGTAGTATACCACGGTGCTCTGCAACCTCGGAGGCTGTCCTGCCGACAGATCTCGAAGAGAATCGGGAAACGACAGGTGGGCATTGGGCATGCAGTCCGGCATCGCGAAGTGCATCAGTAAGCTTCTGTGCAACGATGACTCCCCTTCCATGCGATTTCGTCTGCGCCTTGTGTTCATTACTTCTTGGTGAGACGGTGTCTTGTCTGGGGCTTGACAGGTTGGATGGCAGCAAGGAGTCGCTCGAGAGCTCTATGATTTCATGTCCTCGACAGGCGGCTTGGTGTTCATTCGGATCACCCTCATCGAGAACAGGCAAAGACGGTGCTGCCAAGTCAATAGCATCCCATCCACCTGCGTTGTCAAGCTGTTCATCCTGGAGATTGGTTGCCGGATCAGCACTAGGTTTGACTGTCTCAGGCTGGACCTTTTCTCCGATATCAGCGGCCAAACGCAGCTGGGCACTGATACTATCCTTTGTCTTGATAGCTTTCTGACGTTTTCCCAACCGTGGTTTGGCCTTTGCCGCCTTGCGTTTCTTTCTTGAGCTTTCATTTGATTCGGCCTCCAGTGAAGAGACAGAGGTTCCCTTCGAGGTTCCTCTCTCAAGTTTTGGGGATTTCTCTTCATCAGTTGGTCGGATGTCTTCGCTCCAGTCAACTTCTGCCTTAGGGTGAGAAGTAGATGCTTTTCGACCCGAGCGCCGTGGTCGAGGCTGCTCCAAGGAAGTCCGCGCAGATGGCTGAGATTTTCTTGCATTACGGCGAGTATTCTTTGACTTAGAAACACCGTTTCGTACTTGAGGGGGCTAGAATTGCGTTTGGGGCTGCTTTGTGGGGAGTTCACTCCTGTGTCGACGGCAGCCGGGGGTTCTCACTGCGATCAATGTCTGATAGGGTAAGAGCAGCATATGGTTCCACAGCTTGATTGTCTCCCTTCTTGATATCTGTTGACGGATCGTTGATGCCTTCCGATTGGATCTGTCGGATGTCCGGTATGGCGTGCTCAGTAGCAGCCTCATTGGCGTTCGTGGCACTAGCCCTGCGCGTGATCTTGACTGATTGTGACGAATCCTCCCCAGCTAGCAACGTCTTATAAAGTGAGGCTGCGTCTGCTTTCTCCACGTATTTTGAGTGATCGCGAGGCATCTCTTCTATCCCCGTGCCGACCTGACTTGTGGACTCTTCTCCTTGACCACCCGTTGAAGCACGACTCTCTCTTCTTTTGGCCATTACCCGTGCCAGTGCTTCACGGTCTTTAGCACGGATCACATCTCCTGATTCCAGCTGGAGTACAGTTGTGACTGTCCGAAACTTCGATTTCGACATCCGAGCAATAGCAGTCCGTCCATTAAGGGCAGATGAATTGCTCATCGATTGGTGAAAGTCTGAGTCGGTTGTCAAGTGCACCGGTTGTCAGCTTCATTCAATGGGACAACTAAAAGCTCAAAAGCAGTGTTAGAATGAGAAATCCATCTTTGAGTCTGAGGATGATTCTGCATGGATAGACACCACGAGCCTGAATTGACTTTTGTCCTCGAGTGATTCTTCCCATCACAAACCAATTGGCACTACTGGATCACAGGCGATAACCGTCTTAGCCACCGTGAACGCACCTGCCTTCCTCTGGAATGAATCTTTGAAGCTGGAGCTGTTGGAAGATGAAAAGAGGAAAGTCCGCAGGAACGACCTCGACGGCAACTGAAAGCGTCACATGATGCCTCATGATTCCACAAAGTCCCTGACCAGCTGGACCATCTCTACTTGACTCTTCAGTAGCCCCGAGACTTCGAAGATCGTTGGCATCTGAGACACCGATGCCATGATGTCGGATGATTCGCTCGTGCCTCCTTCATCATATTCTGCGAGGCTTGCTACACTCTACACTTTATCCATTTGCGCACAATGCCACAGCGGTGTTCCAGCAGTTTGGAGCGATATTAACATAGCCAGGCTCTGTGATTCGGCCTCAGTTCTTGAAGAATGGCTTCCTGAGAGTCGATCTGTCCCGAGATTGATGCTTTGACAGAATTCTCGATGTCAGTGGTTGTCCCGGTTTCATGTCCTTTCGATGATTGCCTTCAATCTCTCACCAACTGTTGTTGCCATGCATGACGTTAAGCTCCCACATGAAGCTATACCCACATCTTACGTCGTGGGGAAATCCTTAAATACGGGAATCGGCCCGTCCGAAATCCGCTCGTTAAGCCCGGGGACCAATTGCTCCGTCACCGCGATTATTAATCGTGCGATCCGGCTCAGCATTGGGCCCTGGTTCGCTGCGGCGGAAGTGACACGTCAATTCGTCCGATCAAGGCTTCCACTGCTACCGTACTTAAATATGCGGCCCCGTGTGACTAACCCTGTCAACTAACTTCAGGCCTCTAGCTGTCCATTTCTCTGCGTGAAGACATACCCTCTTTCTCGTGATGACTGTGGACCAACCCCGACGAGTGGGCGACGAAGAAGCCCTGCCAGACACTCAAGGCCGCTTCAATGCGATCGAGCCACTGACCCGGCTGCGCGGTGCTTTACCAACTGGTCTCACTCGATCGCCGAGTCCTGATACACGTCCTCTTCCAACTACCACTTCCGACCGCCGCCGTGCGTCCATCAACGCGGCTTCCCTCGATCGCGATACGCATCTCTCCGAGAAGGTCGCAGAACAACAGGAGAGCGGGCATGGACTGACTGGAACGTCTGCAGAGGGAGAGACCGTCTTGTATCTAGCGTACGGCTCTAACCTGGCGTCACAGACCTTCCGTGGTATGCGTGGGATTAAACCTCTCTCGCAGATTCCAGTGCTTATACCAGAGCTTCGCCTGACTTTCGACCTCCCTGGAATCCCATACGCCGAACCCTGTTTTGCGGGCACACAATACCGGGATCCTGGCTTCGTCCATGGTGAAGAGACGGAATCTCAAGATGATGACCTTTCTATAATCGATGGAGATATCTTGTCAGAGAAGGAACCACTATTGGTCGAGACGCGAGAGGTGCAAGACTCCGAGGCAGACAGGAACCGGTGGCATAAACCCCTTGTCGGCGTCGTGTATGAAGTGACTCTAGCCGACTATGCGAAGATCATCGCTACCGAGGGCGGCGGCCGTGGTTACAGAGATGTGGTCATCAATTGCTACCCCTTTGCAAATGGCTTCAAACCCACCGACACAGTTCCCGATCATCCTGATACCGCACCATTCAAGGCCCATACCCTACTATCACCTAGTGCAGATGATGCTCGGAAGAGGAAGGAAGGTGCCAAGCATGGTGATTCCTCTGTCGCATATAGTTCCTGTCCCAAATCTTCAGTATTTGGTGACATGGGCCCGCACATGCGTCCTGATCCTGAGTACGCCCAGCCTTCGGCCCGCTATTTGAATTTGCTTGTGACAGGCGCCGCCGAGCATGACCTGCCCATCGCATATCAGACCTACCTTTCTCAGATTCACCCGTACAAGATTACCACTTTCCGCCAGAAAGTCGGCAAGGTGGCTTTCCTTGTTCTCTGGGGTCCGGTTGTTCTCTCTCTGGTAGCATTCTCGAGGGTGTTTGCAGGTCCTGATGGACGAAGCCCGCCTTGGCTGGTGACCTTGTCGAATGTAATATTTGCTGCGATGTGGAACAGTTATGATTACTTCTTCAAGAAGGCGTTTGGAGATGGTGAGCGGACATTGGAAGATACCCCGTCAATCTAAGATTGCATTTGTCGATACATACTACCTATCCTACATCCATCATACATGAGTAGATATTAATACTACAAGTAAATAAAAATGTACCTGCTTCCAATCATCTAGTGAAACCTCGGACTTCATCGATCCCGATTTGTTCAAGGACCGAATTTAATTCCTACATATCGTTGAGTGAGGACATCATGCACCAGACGCATTCACACAAAGGAAATTAAATTCAGTTGACTCCTCGAGCACACAGTTTTCGGAAGGGTAAAAAAAAGAGATATATCTAGGATACAGATACACGTGTGCTGGGAGCGTTCTAACAAAACAAAGGGACAGCGACCCTAGACACAAAAACAAGATGACGAAAGAGATCTTTCTTAGGTCAAAACCGACGGGGCAATAATACAGGGTATGCCCAATGGGTCACGTAACCTCGCCAGCCTCTTCCATTTTCCAACTCATACAGGCCTCGTGGCCATCACATTTAGCGGCGGGGACCGATGGGGGGCTGTACACGATCTTCCGGGACTTGATGGGGGCCCACTTGTAGCGCTTGACCCAGATGCTGATGGCGAACAGACCGGACAGGAGGGCGATGGCCTTGACACCCATCTTCTTGCGGTCGTCCATCTCAGGCTCGGCAGCCCAGTTCAGGAACTCGACAACATCCTTGGCCATCTGGGAGGTGGTAGCGGGGGTGCCGTCCTCGTACTCGACGACACCATCGAAGAGGACACGACCCATAGCAATACCTATATCATAACATTCGTATTAGAGATGCCAACGGGACCAATAACAGCAGGTTCTGCTTCACGTACCGGTACCAGGGAAGTAGGGGTTGAAGTTCATGCCCTCGGCAACGCTGGCGCCCGCGGGGGCTCATCGGGGTAACCAGTCAGGAGGTTGAAGACGTAGTCGCAGCCACCGTGACGGCCCTTGATGATCAAGCTGAGATCGGGGGGAAGAGCACCACCGTTGGCGGCACGAGCAGCCTCGTCGTTCTTGTAGGGAGCGGGGATGTAGTCGGACAGCTTGCCGGGGCGCTTCTCGATTTCACCCTGGTCGTTGGGCTCGGTGTCGTACTCGTTCTCCTCAGCCATGGTCTTCATCTCATCAACGGTGTGCATGACACCGACGAACGAGCGCCATGGGACACGGGTCAGGGAGTGACAGCTGGCGCAGACTTCACGGTAAACCTGGAAACCACGGCGGAGGCTGGATGTGGAAAATTCATGTCAGTGGATGCGCGACGGCAATATAGCGGCATTGGGGCAGAACACTCACGCAGCGTGGTCGAAGGTCTTGTTGAAGCGCTGGTGAACCCAGGGGTAGTGAGTAGCGTGCAGACTGGATAGAAAAGCATTTGTTAGTCAATTGGTCGTGCGCGGTCCGGACCGCACAATCCTCGGCTGGGGGTAGCGGAGCGACCATGCTGGTCCACTCCCAATGCTGGAGATAGGAATTGAAGACTCACCCCTCCTCAGCAGGGGTCATAGCGAAAGCCTCCTGGCCATAGAGATGGTAGTACCAGGCGGCGGAACCGGCAGCCGCGGCGGTAGCGAGCGAGGCAGTGAGGGTGAGGTAGAAGGGGGAGCTGGCGGCATCGACACCGGCGGCGGTGGACGAGGCACGCTGTCAGGATTCATTAGCAAAAACCGTTTTCCCCGCAGAATGGAGTGATATCAAAGCGATTGCCCTTTTCGGCGAGGGCCAATGGATTGGACATGAGGTGATGAGAGCGTACCGTGGACTTGCCGACAGGCTGGCGAGCGAAAGCCCGGGCGGCCACGCGCGGAAGGGAACGGCCCAGCATGACGAATTCAGACCCTCCGATCGATTGGCGATGGAGGTGAAAGGGCGGGATTCGCTTCGAGCGAGACGAAGGAGGAGGGGGGGAGGGGGGTGGGTGCACAGGAGAGGTGCTGTCAAGAGGTTGCGAGTTGAGGTCGAAGGTTCAAGTTTCTCGCTGGGGGGAGGATTGGGTAAAACCCTCACGCTGATTGGCTGCGCTGGGGCGGCCGAGCTGACTTCGGTGAAAACCGGCTGTGTGGGAGGCCTGTTTTTGCAGGCAGTAATCACGTATTCCCTGTGATCTGATATCCCCAGAGTATGACATGAAGCTCACTTGTATATCCACAGGTTGCTTCACCATGCACCAAACAGATGGCCAGTGGTTCTCCTGTTGATCATTAGTTCATGAATACCACATCCATGCTTGGTAGTAGACATCAACCACATCCCATCCTGGATCCCGTGACACGTCGCGGGTCACGGGACCATTCACTTTTCGGGTGCTGGGGCTGTTGTTGTCTATACAACCTGAGGCCATGGAGCATGTTCATTGATCGGAGCTCAGTGAAGGAGCAAATTAAGGGCTAGTAAACCTTAAGAGCATTACCATCAATACTCCGCATCCGATGGAAGCTTCAACGCAGCCTCCTGATCATCTCAATGGAATGGATGTGCTACAGTGGTAAAATTATAGGGCTGTAATTCGGCTTTCGGATGCAGCTGTAAGGAATCACTTGCTTTGGGATAGAATTCTGTTCTCTCTACGTAGTTTATGTTCTGTAATTCTGTTGATATGAACTTTACCAAAAGAATTGGCAACACGGTAGCTGTTTACAAGGAAGTACTCAGAAATATATTCTTGTATGTGTTAGTTAAATAACTCTCCCATGACTAATCTCCTCCCAAGAGCAGTACAAAGTCAAAGGGAAGTGGCTCGTGGTTCAATTACAACCGAGAGATGAGAGCCAAGATTTTCAAAACGTACAGGAACCTTAGGTATGTGTCAAGAGTAGTCTTCTCGGTATCTTGCTCAACGTCATCCGTCTAGCAAGCATCGGGCAGCAGACGACTGCTTGATTTTGATACGTGAAGTTCTCATTTGAAAGGTCCAAAGAACAGTGTCTGAAATCAAATAGATCATTTTCGATTACCCAAATAATGCTGTAATGCATAGTTTTCATTTACTCTACATGCGAAATGCGAAATAGAGCCATTGGGTTGGCGGAACTATGGTCCAGGTATGTTGTGGGGCCTTTCAGAACAAGTCCACATACCATTCGAATGATCTATGCACGAGAAGAGAAGAGCGGAGAGAAAATATGAAACACGTTAATTAGCATGAAATACTCCCATAGAGCTTGCGTAACTACTATATTGATTGAAAAATGCCGACAAAGATTCTATTTTCACCTCGCCGCTATCGGACCCGGGATGAGTCTCTTGAGTCATTCCTGTGAACTAAAGGGGCCGATCCATGACCGAAGTCCGAATATATCAGAAGCGTGTTTATACCAACTTTCAAACAGGTAAGGTGCGCTTGCTTGATTCCGATTACAGCCGGGCAGAACAGTGAATCTTTTGGAGTCAATGGGTTTCGAGTGGAATTAGTCTGGATCTGAGTAAGAATTTCAAATGAGCTCCCCCCCCCCCTGTCGGCTGTCATCGGCCTGGCATTTGTACGTAAAGACTTACAGCAATAAATTCGTCGGCGTGACTCATCTCAATCCCTAAATCAATTTAAGATTGCATTCCCCAATTGATATTCACACTCTTCAAGAAATTGAGTCACTGCCAGCAATTGTCCTTGCGACTCCGACTGCTTCGACGTTGACAACTCCACATACTTCAATATGTTTGGAATCATACGTTCGGGGCCGGGAAGCATTAGAAGATGTCGTTTTCAAAGATATTACACGCGACGAGAATTGTCATCGCAAGCTGTTGCAGGGGCTATGCCCCAACCTACAATTACCCTTGACCAACCCATAGCACATTTGGCCGAGTGAGTTCGAATCAGAGGAGATCTGAGTCAAGGAGATCTAATGAATTCCCTCATATAGTTCCCATGAATCTCCGTTCTCCACAAACTTGACTCCAGCGGGTCGTTCAGTGTCAAATCTGCCATCAAATACCTCGTACGTTCTACCTCATGTTAGTAACGAAGGATTGATCATTAATGCGAAACCTATTCAGGTTTGTCGGCAAAACAGGAGGGCAAATATTCCATGACATGATGGTTCACCACGGGGTGAAACACATTTGTTAGTATTCCCTCTGGCTTCCCTCAAATCAGGGCTGACCCTTATCCTTGGACAGTTGGCTACCCCGGCGGCGCGATTCTTCCAGTGTTCGATGCGATCTACAAATCCAAGAACTTCGAATTCATCTTGCCGCGCCATGAACAAGGAGCGGGCCATATGGCGCAAGGATACTCTCGAGTGACAGGGAAGCCAGGCGTCGTTCTGGTTACGTCCGGACCGGGTGCAACAAATCTCATCACTCCCATGATGGATGCTTTGGCGGATGGCACGCCAATGGTCGTCTTTTGCGGGCAGGTCAAGACCGGCTTGATTGGATTGGATGCTTTCCAGGAGGCAGATGTTCTGTCTATCTCCCGACCGTGCACGAAATGGAATATTAGCGTTCGAAGCCCGGCCGAGCTCCCGAAACGGATAAACGAGGCCTTTGAAATTGCGACAAGTGGGCGGCCAGGGCCAGTTTTGGTGGAGCTTCCGCAGGATGTCACAGCCGGAAAGCTACGTGAGAATCTTCCTCTTTCCCCAGTCTTGCCACGCCATCGGGGGACAGCCAAGACGGCCATCAACCAAGTGAAACAAGACCAGTTGATGCGTGCGATTGGCGAAGTCGCACGCCTGATTAATGGGGCGAGAACACCTGTCTTGTATGTCGGCCAAGGTATACTTGCAACACCCGACGGGCCTCGACTTCTGAAGGAACTTGCCGACAGAGCAAGTATACCCGTAACGACCAGTCTTCAGGGTCTTGGTGCCTTTGATGAAGAGGATCCAAAAGCACTGCATATGTTGGGACTCCACGGGTCTGGGTATGCCAATATGGCAATCCAGAGGGCTGATTTGATTATTGCATTGGGCTCGAGGTTTGATGATCGAGTGACTGGAAACATCCAGAAGTTTGCACCAGAAGCCAAATTGGCTGCTGAACAGGGCCGGGGTGGGATTGTTCATTTTGATATCTCACCGAAGAACATCAACAAGGTTGTGGAAGCAACAGTGCCTGTGGTGGGTGATTGCGCGTCGAATCTACGGCTTCTTCTTCCACACATTCAATCAGCCCAGCGACCGGACTGGCTATCGCAAATACAAGAATGGAAGGAAAAATATCCATTCCAAGCGTACAACCGCAGCGGCCGTAATGATCAGATTCTGCCACAGAGGTTTATTGAAAGACTTTGCGAGGCTGTAAGTCCTATCAAAGATCGAACCATCATTACCACTGGCGTCGGACAACACCAGATGTGGGCAGCTCAACACTTCCGCTGGAGATATCCCCGGACAATGGTCACATCAGGAGGACTGGGCACAATGGGCTATGGACTTCCTGCCGCAATAGGGGCGAAAGTGGCACGACCTGATGCTCTGGTTATTGACATAGATGGTGACGCATCGTTCAATATGACCCTCAACGAACTGCAAACCGCTAGCCAGTTTAACATTGGCATCAAGGTGATTCTGCTCAACAATGAGGAGCAAGGCATGGTCACGCACCTCCAAACTGTGTACTACGACAATCGATTTTGCCATAGCCATAACCAGAATCCCGATTTTGTCGAAGCTGCTCGGGCCATGGGAGTGCAGGCACAGGTTTGCTCGGAAGTTTCAGAGGTAGATGAGAAGCTGAGGTGGTTGTTGGAAAGCGATGGCCCTGCCCTTCTGGAGGTCAAGGTAGCCCAAAAGGCTCTGTCTCTACCTATGGTTCGATCGGGAAGTGCTCTTGATGATTTCCAGTTTTACGGCGACTCATAATTTTGTGTGGCTGTCGCAATGGACGTAGCACCTTATTAATGGCTGCCAGAACTAGAATCGTGGTAACAAACGCTATTTGCATGATTAAAGATAGATATTAACAAACAAGTATCTTGATTGAACATGAAATTTGTAGAATATTTGTCGCACTAATTATTTTCATGTAAGCAAAGATCGGATAGAAAGCGTCCTTTAGCGGTCTAGCCGGGGTAAGGTAGTACGCGTGTATCTCATTGAAACCTTCTGTTGGAATAGTAAGAGAGTTAAATAAACTCGGTGCTTCACTAACGAGATGTCTTTTTTTCGGTTTCGTCGCTGTTTCTCCCGGGATTCACTCATTTCAAGGTCCCTGCACCCTAGGTAAGAGATTGCTGGAGAGCTCTGTCTTCCCATTGACATGATTATAAGATTGCTCGTAGAGGACATATAGAAAAGTAGAAACCTTCAAATCAAAATAAATTTGTCGGGATTTGCATAGCCTTACGGTTTCAACAAATGAATTTATAATATACTCAGTACTAACTATGAGAATTGCGCATCTAATATATCTGACCCTTTTTCCAGGCTGGAGTTTTCATTAGTGAAGTGAAGCAACATCATTTTGAACGCGGAGCGGAGAGCAATTGGAGAAGAAAATTATCATTGACCGTGTGTATATATAATATTATATACGTTGGCAGTTTAGAAGGAGACTAGAGACCAAGAAAAAAAGACCATCTAAATGCGCTCCAACTTCTGATTTGTTCGAAAGGTGACTCTGAATGTCTTTTAAGTTGTCTTTCTAGATAGGCTAGACATTATTCTTTAATTTATCTTTGAACCATGACAAATGAGATAATTTTGAACTTGTGATTCAAAATTATGGAACCCACTGTAAGTACTAACTAAATGCTTTTCGTCGAGCTTTGTTCCAGGATTAGCCAAGGTAATCTAAGCTAACAGCTATTATAAAGATAAGATTTCCGCAAGCTCTCTCTACCTACTTTATACCGTGTTCCTATCCACATTGTTCAAAGCCACTCACTTTACATACATGCCTAATACAAAAAATCAATGTTATAAAAAGTGAATACCTGCAGAGAGCAAGGGTACTTGAGCGACGCAGGGATCGAACCTGCAATCTCTTGAGCCGAAATCAAGCGCCTTACCATTAGGCCAGCCGCCCTGACGTAATAATTCTCCAATTAAGGCTCATACACCGCCCGAGGGATTACCGTTAAATGCTCGTCAGGCTGACTTAATCTACCACTCACATGTAACATTGATTGTGTTACACCTCTACCAGAAAATACATATTTAATCGACTAGCCCATAGATTAGCTAGCTATCAAATAGTGTACCAGTGATGCAGATTCAGTGTTATATAGTTAAAGTACATTTACTATTAGTAATTAAGGCTTTTATCTGTGTATTATAAGCATAGTATCTCTAAAGCAGATCACTGAGGGTAGAACTCCTATCCCCTTTTTAACTCTTAGGAGGGACTTGTTAAACCGATAATGTTCTACTATAGAAATAGCTAGTATAGTATAGGTTATGATAGAAATATAAGAATATCTTTTGAGATATTCTTTTCAACTAATCCCTTTTCGTCTTTCTACATAGCCTGAGTAATCATATTAATGTATCTTTTACTCTACGAAGTAAGACGAGAGTGAGTTCGAAGTCAAGTTAAACTGAATTGAAATTATACTAACTACGATACTAAGCTATTTCACAGGTATGGCTTATGACTGATTTAAGGGGACGCCCTAGTCATTTCTCATAGCAAGACCAGTTCTGACCCTCATAGTGCAGCCCGTCAGTTTGCGATGCAAGATTTCTGGGAAACAGAATCAGCTCGCTAGAACCCATTCTAGGTTAACTTCTCACCTAGGGCGGCTGGCCTAATGGTAAGGCGCTTGATTTCGGCTCAAGAGATTGCAGGTTCGATCCCTGCGTCGCTCAGTCTTTTTGAATCCCCTCGTTTTTTCTAGCGTTTCCTGATCGAATGCTATATTTCTGTCTGATATTTTAAATGTCCTTTTTATCTGATATTTTGAATGTTTTCATCAGATGTTTTTCTCATATAGATAACCACGTTTACCTACCATAAACAAGTAAGATCGAGGAAAACTCAGCCCCAAGCAGAGCTAGCTGTATGGAGTTCTGATCAGCATTGCGAAAAAGATAAAGGATCAACCAAACGTATCCTACACAACGGGGTTTATTTGAGCTCATATCTTCAACGGTAGCTTTCATAGCTTTTTCTGGCGAGAATTTCCGGATCACGCAACGAATGTTCTTTTCGTTGGGATTGGTAGATATTCGACTTTTAAAGCATTTGGACCAGCTAGTCGACCTACATACAGTCAAGCGTTCTTGGTTGCCCAACGAGAAATAAATCCCAAACGTGCAACCTATATTTAGGTTGAAGCCTAAGGGACACAAAAGAGGTAGTGGTCAACCATGAATACCAATTGTCATGCGGCAGGCTGTATGCCCTCTATGACTGGGTCGAAATGAGACCTTAGAATCGGCGATCCAACGGGTCAAGCACTGTTCGCCCGGCGACTCAAATGCCCCCCCGCAGCCACGCTAACCATTTTATTACGTACGCACTATCTAGACAGTGCTTTAAATCTGAACTTATTCTCAGGTGCTGCATTTGCTTCAGAGACCCAACCTTGGAAGTACCTTTGAATATCTACTTGTCCTTGCTCATTGAGCAGTTTAGTCATACATATACCGGGAACCCGGAGCGGTGACGGCGTTCCAAGAAACCCCCAAGAAGCGCATACCTCGCTGCTTTACAATATCGACTGGAAATACCTACAGCCGCAAATATTGGGCTAACATCAAACAAAGTAATTAAGTCCACAATTTGAAAGAAACGATTTGGTTTTTTTTGGAGTGTGAGGTTGACCTGTAAAATTGGTACATGTCGGTGGCCAAGTGCTCGGCGACTCGCAAATAGTAGTCGCCGTTCAGGTTCCGTCCAAATTGCCAACAAAGACTCATTTTCACCACGCCCCCGAAGAATTTTGTGGTTCTATGCGTCATTTGCCGCTATTCTCGGCCGACATTTTATTCCTCAAATAATGTGTTCTAGAATGACTGCGGATGTGACTTTTCAGTCATCTCGATCTTCTTCCTTCATTCACTGCTACGCGTCTGCGTCTGGGAGCATTTAAGCCCTTGCACAAGCATACTCTTCATTGGTCTGAGGACAAGAGGTGCAAGTTACGAAGCATCATGGAAGCAAATAATAACCAACCAGCTCAATGTGAGCAGTCAGAAGCGGCTCCTATATCCAAACATGACCGTGGCTGGCGTCGAGTTATTCGCAACTTTACCCCCGCGTGAGTTCCCTTGAAAAAGATAGGATGTGTGATCTATTGCTTCTAACAAACGCTCAAGCTGGTTTTCCGTTAATATGGGGACAGGAATCGTTTCAATCTTGCTCAACACTTTGCCTTACAACGGACGATGGCTATACTATATCTCGATCATCATTTTCGTCTTGAACGTGGTTTATTTTACGATCATCCTGGCCATCACACTTCTACGTTACATACTCTATCCGGAAATCTTCAGAGTCATGGTTACCCACCCAGTACAATCGCTGTTTCTGGGCACATTTCCGATGGGTCTTGCGACAATCATCAACATGTTCTGCTTCGTCTGCGTACCCGCATGGGGTGACGGAGCTGCTTATTTCATTTGGGCTATCTGGATCTTTGACGCAGTGGTGTCCGTGCTGGTTGCTATCGGGATCCCCTTCCTGCTGCACGTTCCCCATATTCCCAACTGATGTTCACAATTCGACTGACTTTGTTCCTCTAGGATGACGAGTCAGAAGACCTTCGACCTTTCGTCAATGACGGCTGTTTGGCTTCTGCCGATTGTGTCGTGTGTCGTCGCGGCCGCATCGGGAGCGATCGTAGCGGATGTCTTGCCCAATATCCATCTAGCTCTGGCTACCATCCTGGCTAGCTATATTCTGTGGGGAATCGGCGTTCCTCTGGCGCTCATGGTTATCTGTATTTATCTGCAACGCCTGATGTTCTACAAGCTTCCGCCGAAGGCGATGCTTGTCAGCGTTTTCCTCCCTCTTGGTCCTCTTGGTCAGGGTGGTTTTGGGTAAGTCTCTCCTGAGAAATCTGGCCATTTAATGACGCTCTTGGTCACTGACAGTTCTATCATTCGTTTAGAATCCAGAAACTCGGCAAAGTGGCACAAAAGGTCTTCCCTCAGACGAATACCCTGAGTGCCACCACTGGTGATGTCTTTTACAGTGTTGGATTCATGATCGGGATCTTGCTGTGGGCATTCGGTTTGGTGTGGCTCACTTTTGCCGTGACTACTTTGATAACTACGAAGAAGTTCCCGTTCAACATGGGCTGGTGGGCGTTGACTTTCCCCCTAGGGGTCTTCACCACTTGTACTTGTACCATGGGCAACGAGCTTCCCTCGCGATTCTTCTCAGTTCTTGGCACAGTGAGTCCTCTTCATATCACCAAAATCTTTGGATTTGATTTCAGCCGCTAACATAGCTATAGATATTCTCCGTCTCGGTCTTACTGCTGTGGCTTTTGGTCAGCTTCCACACGATCCGCGGCATTGCTCGTGGGGATATCTTCGTCGCGCCATGCCTTAAAGATCTGGGAAACGCAAGGTCTCGGTCTGGCGAGAAAGTGTGAGGCACCAACCCGTAGTGGTTAGTTAAAAAAGCAACATCATGTGGAAATAGATGCGCATTTCGATTTCCTTGAATGATGCTCTTTGTAATGTGTGAGAGGTATTTCTACCATCACTTTGACTGACGTCACTGGAGTGAACTGGAATACTCGAGCTAGACATGCTAAAAGAATGCATTCGCCACAGATAGAGCTCGCATTGTTTGGCTTGGCCTATGCAGCAGTCGAGGAGCAAGCAGCATGACCGCTAAGCATGACCGCTACGCAAGGACTCAAGACCGGGACGCCGGTCAATCGCCGATTGACAAGTCCCCCACTTTCATTGGACGATATGACCCCCGAATTGTACATTAGAATAATTAGAGATAACCAGAAAACAGGGACTTTTGAATTAACAGTGCTTCATCTCTGTACCCGTGCGCAACGGCGGTTTAGGGAGATGCGAGGATCCCTCCTTCATGTGCAAGGAAACCAGGCTATACGCGGACTAAGGGCCGGACTGAGCCTTTGAAAGGCTATAATCCGGGGTAAAGCTTAGGCTTGAATGATTTAAACCTCCCATTTTATCAAATCGCAAGAATCCTTCAATCTCCCCCTTCTCCCCTCCGGAAGGGCTCAAGATGGTCGCGGTGGCCCTCAATCACGACGGGGAAGGGCTCATACTTTTCACTCCGGGCGTGTCCGCCTCGCCGGAATTACTGCGGACGCCCGAGTCCCACTTCAATTCCAACTTTGCCCAACACCCTCTCCGTTCTATCATGGCCAGAACTAAAAGGAGCGGTTTGGTGTCACTGGCATGCACCGAGTGTCGGAAACAGCATCTGAAATGTGATGCGCACAGGCCGACGTGCTCGCGCTGCGTCCAGCAAGGTTACTTTTGCCAGTATCTTCCTTCAAGACGAGGCGGCCGCAGGAAACCCCGACAGGACTCCGATCGCCGGCTACCGTCATCCAACAACCCCGATGAGTTGAATACTACATCGTCCCACGATCTTGCGTCGGAGTTGATGAAAGAGATGCAGCCTGGGTATCAGGCTCCTCTCGTCTTGCCCGTTTCCCGGTCGGAACATCCAGATACGCCAGATAGCACCACCCCCCAACGTGGAACTGGGTCAGTCTCTTGGTCGATAACTACTCCGAGGAGTGGATTGAATCAAGAACAATTCCAGCCTACACGGGACCTGTGGTTTCACGATGATCGCTTTCTCCGGCTCTTCTATGAAAACTTCCATGTCGCTCATCCGATCTTGGTGCCCAGTGCAGTCTATCATGATCGGCAGTACCCGGATTTTCTGCAGCTGGTCGTGAATTTCGTTGGATCTCACTACATCCCATCAAGTCCTACTCAAGAATACAAGGACAAAGTTCTTGCCGAATTGACTTGTCATACCGACCGATCACCATGTATGGTTCAGGCTTGGTTGATATACTCAATTGCGATTTACGCCCGTGGAGAATGGCAGGAGGCGCAGGACGCCTTCTCCCATAGTGTGGAGATTGCTTTGGAAATTGGCATGAACCGTCGCGAATTTGCCATGACTGGACGCCCCGAGAATAGTATTGAGTCCGAGAGCCTCCGGAGGACCTGGTGGGAGCTTTACGTGACTGACATCTTTATCGCCGCTCCGTCCAAGAGTAATACCTTCCTTTGCAGCTCAATGGCCCCAGAAGTGGGTCTACCTTGTGAAGAGTCTGTGTATACAGGAACATGCGATATTCCAGCACCCCGGAAAATCCTTGACTTCAAACGCCGCATCTTTGCGCCCGAGGAAACCGTCTTCTCCTCCTTCAGCTATCGCATCGAGGCTACTACCATTCTTTGCAGAGCGCTTGTCTTGAGTAGACTTCGAGACTACCATCGCGATCATCTCCAAGCGGTTGAAAATGCCCTTGTCAGCTGGGTCAATCATTTGCCTCCTAGAAAGCTGGACATTGTCGATTCGTACGGCAACATTGATGAGATGATGTTCCAAGCGCACGTTACGATCGGATATGCCACCATGCTTCTACATCTTCCCCGAAGCGATCTCCAACCTGTCTTGTCCCAAACAAATGACCTATTCTGGCCCGTTGCTACTCGTCATATGGCCTCTACGCTGAATCGTCCGGTTCACAGCATCAAAGCTACCGAGGCTTCCAGACGAATCTCCGATGCCATTTCTCTCTGCCCGAACGTTCTCAAACATTCCCCCTTTGTGATACCAGCTTTGGCACTTTGTGGAATGATTCAATTGGCCACTTCGGTCAAGCACACCGAAGAGTGCTTCGACCATCATTACAATCGAGTTACCCTTATACTCGGGTGTCTGAAGAGTACGAAACGAATATGGGGTCTCGCGGATGCTGCCTACAACCACCTACGCACCTCTGCAGCAGACGCATTGTCAGATTCGATGGAGCGATGGAGCACGGAGCCGCTTCGGAAGTTCTTCCCTACAGATTCAACACCTAGCAGTGCCGAGCGCACGACAGCTCAGCCATCACGGCCTACATCGGCTATTTCAGAGGGCCAGGATTTGATGTTTCCCCCAATTGTGCCTGCCTTTATCGATCCTACGTGCTACAATGATTCATTCTTCACTACCATCCCGGAGTTTGATATTAGCTAAGGGTACATAACGAAAATATAGTAATGATAACACTTAATATATGATGATTCTACGTTATTTGATACTTCTCATCTATACTGCCCAGTCCATCAAAACGCCGCGGAACTATGGGCTTGGTGTCGATGTACAGTAGACTCTCCATATCCCTGCCGGAATCTGGTTTTATTGGCCACCACTCCTTGATCTTCTCCGCGAAGTTATTTGGCAAAAAGAACACGTATATCGAAACTGGCCGATCATAATGGTTTGAATTACCCTATAGAAATCCCAAAAGGGATGCTGAACAGTGCGCGTGATAGCTGGAACCGGGGCTTATCTTTCGGAGATTGAATGAGCGGTATGTAGGGGCAATCGCCGATTGCTCCCAACGTCATTGTCCGTCGGCGATTGCGCAGCACTTGCAATGTGTCCACCTCGATATCTTTTATAAACTGTCTTCAACTTTGTTATAATCCCCTGTTTGTCATAGCGAACTGATCAAATAATCAAGTTATACCATCATTTCTTCCAATATGCTGCCTCTTATGCTTCCCGTGTCCGCTACAAGCGCCACGATCGACAAAGGATCAGCCACACCTTATCGGCGATTTAAGGAGCGATACCACTTAGGGGAACTGGTGCAAGACATTAAGGAACATTTAGGACACTCTGGGGGGATCTCATCCGAAGATGTTGACTCAGACTATCTTCGGTCATTACTGGGGAAGTACATATCGGACCCGAGCGACTGGATCCAGTATTTCCACAACGACCGCAGCAAGAACTATACACGCAATGCGATTGAGAATATCAATCACAAAGCGAACATTGTGAGTACATACACATTCCTTAAAAAATATTTTACTAGACTAATTCTTGCAGCTTCTTCTAGTGTGGAACCCTGGAAAAGGATCACCCATCCACGACCATGCAAATGCTCACTGCATCATGAAAGTTCTTGCTGGGGAACTGCATGAAACCGTTTACAAATCACCCGATAATGGGCCTGGGGAATCTAAGCCATTGGAAATCAAATCTTCAAACACCTTCGGTATGAACGAAGTGACTTATATTTCTGATGATATTGGACTTCATCGCGTTCACAACCCCAGCACCGAGCAGGTGGCTGTTTCGCTACATTGTAAGCAAACAATGTCACAGACTCTTGTATAGCCCAGACTAACAATTTATTTTAGTGTATACACCTCCAAATGCAGCTGACTATGGCTACCATATTTTCGATGAAGCTACGGGATCTGCGAGCCACGTACCACAGGCGCGCTCATATTTGAAGCCCCAAGAGAACTAGGGGAGGAATGATAGTGGAGATTCAGAGGATTTTTGTCCATCATGGGGCCAAATCTTCCTTCTGGAAAGGGTGTCTTTAGGTGATGAGCATTTTTCTATTGGAGTGCATTTCTTTGCGTTTTTTTCATGCGCTGATATCCCCATCTGCGAGTCTCAAGTTTGGATCGTGTTTTCCTTGTTTTCTTTGCGATAGATTGTACACAAATTGAATCCACTAGAACTGAACAGTATCACACTATACCTTGACTTAACTGGGAAGTATATCGCAAATTGTAACTTATCTTGCAACATGGTTATGCCAATGAAGCTTTATACTTCCAATTGGGCTTCTTTAGTAAATACTGCTGAGTCGTGGGGAAGGCGGTGTGGCCACGGACCCTGCTGATCGCCGCTGAAGCCGGAGACGATCGCTCATGTGCACTCACACCACTAAAAATCTCGGTGGATTCTGTCTCAAGTTTTGCTTCCTCTGGTGACCAGCTAGGGCGGCAGTGTGCCTTGTGTCTAGCTTTCTACTAGTGGGCATCAGGGGCCTCGAGAGCGCCTAAAGTGTGCCCGTCACTATTTCACCCCGCGTGGTTATCTCCAAATGAAGATCCCAGGAAACCACAATGCCGAACGGGAAGAAAGAGACAACACCTGCGCGGCCGCGCAGAGATGTGCTGGCCTCGCTGCGAATGGCATCAATGGAGGAGATCGCACGAGCTTCGCTGCCGGCTGGTACGTCATAGGAATGTTGCGATCGATATATGACCATGCACTAATGCCACTCGTCAATAGAGATCATTTCGTCGATTCTAGACTATCTCGACCCCGTCGATCTTATTCGTGTCGCCCGATCGAGCAAACTTCTACATGAAATGGCGTATGACGACACCCGATGGGTGCAGCGATTGAAACGAATTGGGTGTTGGGACGAGGCAGACGCTCGGAGACACATCGAGGCAACTTATGGGACCATTGCCAATCCAGAAATTGCAGCTCAAGAGGATATGTCCGTGGAGACGAGCGGCGAAGTGCCTGTGATTGCTATCGACCAGGCCCCTTCTTCGGATGTTAAGGAGCTCTCTGACGGATTCGATAAGATCGAGCTGGTCAACACCAGCTTACCGCCTGAATCCTCAACGGGTGTTGAAGACGACCCCGATCTAGTCATCATAAAGACCGCCAAATCAATACGGGGTGAGGCGCGTCAGGAATATGGGAGAATCCATGGCGCTTTGGCGCCATTCTACAATGACATTGCAAAGAAGGGGCCTTCAGTGGATAACTTGGTTTTCGCCCAGTATAAAGACCCGCAAGCACGGGCTCAAATGCTGTCGCAACTGGTAGCCTTCTCAAAGTCCGATATGACAGACGGTTGGCAAGATCGGACAGATCGTCTTCAAAATACCGTGGCCATGTTTGAAACTTCGGCACTGAACGAGTTCCGAAGTGCATACGAGTCAGACGACATTGATGAAACTATGCGCAAATTCTCTCATGTTCTATGGACACTTAACGGCGGCAAAGCGGCTGTCGATCTTTTTATACATCACAATCACTTGATGACACGCAAAACTGAGCTCGGGACAGTTGCGGACTGCATTGATGCCTCGGGGAAAGTGAAGTTGGAGCATACACAGGCGTTCTTTACACGACTGAGTGTTGCCTACAACGAGGAAGTGGCAATCATGAATCGCGCATTTCCACCTGAACTAGACGTGGCATCTCCCTTTATGGAAAAGGTTGGGCAAGATGTGCTCTACCCATTCCTCACAACTATCTTCGATGAGCTGCATCGCACTAATATGGAATCTTACCTCACGGCCGTCTCCGTCACATTTGTACAGTGCATGAACCTGTCTGAATCTCTGTTGCCAATACGCAATTCTGGCGATAAGTTTGATCAGTACCTGGATTCTGTTGTGATCAAAATTTATGAGCCACACATCGATTTGTACTTGGCGGAAGAACTCGACTACTTCCGGAAGGGATGCGAGGCGACAATTGACGACTGGGATCGCCAGCTTTCAGAGCAAGCTGCCTCGACTGAGTCATTCCTCATGTCCAATGTCAATCGTCAAGCTGACAAGCGAGACTTCCTCACCTCGTTCAAAAAGGTGATCATGATGCCTGTCAATATTCTCCCAAGTTTCTCGGGTAGCAAGGCCAGCGGGGACTCCAAAGCTGACTCCGAGACGAATGGAAATAACCCATCTGCTGCGAAGAGTCCCAATCGGTTCTCCACTATCGCTTCACCGGCACCTCCAACGTTAGAAGAGGCCCCTACCACGGAATTGGCAGCCAAGGCAGCTATCATGAAAACAAAGATGGAAGGAATCAAGAGCTTGTTCAGCATTGAAATTGCTCTGAACCTCGTTCACTCAGCCAAGTCCAGTCTGGAGCGAGCCGCTCAGTTTGTCCGGTTGGGTGGGGAGTATGGTCGAGCTGCCAAGCAGCAGTGCGAGGCCATTTTCGTAGCCCTTCTTCGTCTCTTGGGCCTTCGCCATGTCATTGTTGGCTTTGACAAAGCCGTGGACCACCTCTCCAACTACCGTCCACGAGAGCAGGATGAGCGCGATTCCTCAGGAGTCGAGCCCCTTGTTACTTTCTTGGAGTTGGTGAACGTGGGTGATCTGATCTTGCAAATGGTGGACGTATTTTATGAGCAGGAGCTGATTGGCACGAGACTGACGGACCGAAATGATTTCCTCGATCCAGCAGTCAAGGAAAAGAAGAAATTCGAACAGATGCTTGATGAGCGCGTGGCAGCTGGGTTGAATAAGGGCATAGATGTCCTTATGGAAGAAGTGGATTATATCCTCGCCACACGACAGGTCGCTACGGATTTCAATCCTGGCGTCTCATCGGATCCTCATCGACAGACTATGGATGTGGGCATCAGTCAAGCAGCCGCAGCAGTGGTGGATGTGGTTTCGTCGCACACTCAGATGTTGGTGGGCAGCACTGACAAGAGCATGCTGGATGTCTTCAACCAAGAGGTCGGCTTGCGCCTGTTCACTGCTCTTTGCAAACATCTGAAGCGACAGCGGATCAGTGTTGAGGGATCATTAAAACTGATCAGGTATGTATCATATTAATTCTCTTTTCCTACTCCACTACCCGTACTAATTCAATTTCAGTGACATGAACCACTATTTCAAGTTCGTGGAAACCCTCCGGAACAACGAGCTTCTCCTCTACTTTAAAGCCTTCTGTGAACTAGCCCAGATCTACCTGATTGACCCGTCTGACGCGAAGGAATTGGCGACGATCATCGCCGACGCCGACCGGTTCCACGGAATCTGGCGAGTCGAGGAAGTCTCTGAATTCGCGGAGCGCCGGGTTGACTGGTACCAAGTGAAAGGTGATGTGGAACGAGCCATGTACGGCATTGGGTGTAGCGTGATGTAAACAGTGATAGATACCCCCGAATTGCATAGCGAATTGGTTGGTTTTATTGAATGTACAGATATTGAGTACCTGATAGACTAAGGTTTCGGTGATGTTCATACGGGCATAAGCTCCAACAAAATCTACTTAACACTAGACTTTTCCTATTTTGCAGAACTTTATTCGCCCTGATCCTGACTCTGAGATAATCTCTTTCTTTACTAGCACTTTCTTTATGAAGACACTATTATCCGCTCTTTCTGCTCCTTCGACTCCTTTCTTGCGCCGGCCCTTCCGCAGGGTAACATCTGACGTCAACAGGGTCACGGCGGCTGCTGGAACATCCCCCTTCTGTTTGATACAGACATCCAGACTTTCCGAACCAACACCCGCTACGGTCCGGTTGCAGCTTCAAACAGTATAGGAATCGACATGAGACCCATGGTTTTATTCGTTGTACCTTCAGACACTATGCCTCTGGCAGATGCGCCTAATCCCAGAAGTCGGCGGGAGTGACGCACCTTCTTCCCGTTTGGGAAGCTACTAAAGCTATGTTCCTGTGAGAACCACGGATCTGGGGAGTAAGGCCTCTAGCGAGGTGTTATATCTTGCTAGCAGATTGCGCTGGAGGTTAAAAGATCCGGAGTTAACTAGTCAGTGCTAATTCTACGATCCGGCGCGTATTGCTACAGGCTGACAGGTCTAACACCGCTGCATCAGAGATTCAGTCCGAATCAACAGTCCTGATTCACAGAGGTTCGTCTGATCTACCCGATTTATAACCGCTTTGTTTTACTGATTGGTGAACCACTTTTGGAAGTCACAGTCTTCTCGCTTATAAAGACCAGAAGATTACCTTCCCGACCTTCCCGAAAGGACTATGGCCTCCGACTCTTGCAGGAGTTGGTTACTACTGATACTTCTTGCGCTCTTCAGCAACTTCATTGCAACTATCGAAGCCAAGACAGTTGTGGTGACAGCCCATACCACAGTGGAAGTGGCATCAACCGTGCAAGGGACGCCCGCCATTCCCAGTCCTGCCTCGTACACATCGATTCCTGATTTCAAAGACACCGTTCTTCGGGTTACGAATGAATATCGAAAAGCCCACGACGCAGACCCTTTAGTCTGGAATGATACGTTGGTCGAATATTCTCGCAAATGGACGCAGGCTTGTATCTGGAAACATTCGGTGAGAGTTGTCCTTCGTTCATAAAGTCAGAGTATATCGGGTCTAGAATTCTGTCCTAACCACATATTTTCAGGATGGCCCATACGGGGAAAATTTAGCATTTGGTTATCCCAATGCTTCTTCAGCAGTAGAAGCTTGGGGCGATGAGAGAGAATACTATAACTTCGACAAACCAACCGGATTCAGTGAAAAGACTGGCCATTTCACGCAACTGGTGTGGAAGTCCACGACGGAAGTGGGATGTGCTGCGATAAACTGTGGAGATACCGAAGACGATAAAGTACGAAGAGATGCTGGCGATAGCAGGGAAAGTCGAATTGTTCCGAGAGAGCCTGATGGTAGCACACGGGCGCAGGGTTGGTACGTGGTATGTGAATATAAGCCAGCAGGTAATGTGGTCGGCAGTCACAATGCATACTTCAAGAAGAATGTGAAGCCAAGCGAGAAATCATCTTCTCCAACAACGTCCGCTACTACAACATCGAAGAACCAACCAACAGGAGGGGCGGTAACGAAGGCTGGGATAAGTTCCACAATGTGGGCAACTTTGCTGGCTCTCGGGACTGTCGCTATTGGGATGAGTCTGTATACTTAGCAAGGAATAGCTACGAGAAAAAACTAGAAGATGAAGAAACCACAGCTATGGCGTTCGTAGGCATTTCTCATGCTTATCCACATTGCACATCAAGAGCTTCGTCGGACACACAGCTCAATCTATTGATTTTTGAGAGTCCCCGATCTTCAGCACAGAAATATGGCTGGATCATAAAACTGGGGCACGTAGAAAGCCGGGCCCGAAAGGCAGAGGACGCCGGCGAGAACAAAGGAAAAGAAAAAGGAAACACATTATATGCGAAAGAAAAAGTGGGGGAAAAAGAAAAAGGGTTCGTCAACCAATGACCTCCTCGGTCTCCTCGATGATCTCCTCCACAATCTCCTCCACCACGGTGTCGCCCTCCTGCTGGTTGCCGACGCGGGCATCCTTGGCCAGCTTGGAAGAGTCGGCATCCTCCGGCAGGCCGAATGCCTCGCGCTCCTCGGCCATAATCTCCTTCTCCCGGCGCAGCCAGGCAAGCCACTCGCTGAGCACGCGCTTGCGCTGCTCGACCACGGCGGTGTTGGCAATATCCACGGCGTAGCGGTCCTCCTCGTCGAATTCCTTGGAGTACTCGCGTAGGTTCTTGCGCACCTGCTTCTGCTCCTCCTTGCTGAGCAAGGTAGGGGGGCGAGGGCGCCAGAGGAACTGCTTGAACTTCTCGGTAGGGTTCTCGGAAAGGGTGTTTCCGGCGAAAGTGTGCAAGTTCCAGCCGTTTTCCATCTACACATATAATTAGTATTAATTCATATAGTTTGAGAACAGCGTTGGATCTTACCGAGTGAGTCCACACACTGGCACTGCTGACCACGTAGCGACCTGTGGGGTCCCACTCAATGTCGGTCACGCCGTAGTGTTCAACGGTCTTCATCAATTGGAGGTTGGCGGCCACATCCTTCTCAGCCTCGTTCTTCTCTCCCTCAAAGTCCATGTCCCAGAAATCAAGGTCGAAGTTGGACTGGGAGTGAACGGTAGCAACAACGACGAAACGGCCCTTGGGAGACCAGTAGATGCCGTTGCTGGTCTTCTTCTCAACGGTACGAATAAGCTTGAAGTTGCCAATAGTGTTGCCCTTCTTCTCGGGAGCGAAGAAAGAGACGGTAGTCTTAGGGAGAACGGCAGCGCCGGTAGGGGCCTCGCCGTTAGCGATCAGGACGAAACGAGAACCGTTGGGCTCCCAAGAGAAGTTAATGACAGTGTCCTTGAGACTGTCAACGACCTCGACGGGCACACCCTTCTCGCGGACCCGGAAAATCTCCAGGTTGGTGGCCATGGACTTCTTAGACTTAGAGTGGCGGTCGACCTTGACGCAGACGTAAGCACCCTGTGATTGCCAGTGCAGCTTGACATCGGACACGTTGAACAGGTTACGAGTGCGCACAATCTCCTTGGAGGGAACACTCATCATAGCGACACGGGCGGGGTTGCTACCGATCTCAGGAGTCCAGAAGCACAGGAGCTGCTCGTATTGCTTGATACCATCGCGGGTGACGGTGGCGGGGGACCACTCGAAGTCGTTAACACCCTCGACCTTCACGGACGTGCGACCAAGCAGGTTCATGTTGGGGACCTCGTAGATGGAAATGGACTGGCCCTGGTGCATGCGCGCAACATACTTCTCGTCAGCAGACCACTTGAAAGCAGGCCACTGCACCTTCTTCTTGGGCTGGACATCATCCTCCCCGGCGGGACCAGCAGCCAGATCGTGGGAAACGAACGACCGCAGAGGTTTGCCTGACTCGATATCCCAAACGATGATGTTCTTTCCATCTTCCTCGAAGGTCAGGATGGGCTGACCCTCCTCGACCTGGATCGGGCGAGAGGACCATGTCGTAAGGTAGCCCTCCAGAGGGGAGAATTCAACGAGTTGTACGAAGGGGTGAGGGAACTGTTTCTGTTTGGAGAAGGAGGCGCCGCCCCAGAGTTGGACACCCTGAGGGTGGACGGAGGCAAGGAAGGTACCCTTGGGGGACCATTGGACGAAAAGTTGTGTCCAGTGAGCGCGATCAACGACATTCTCTGGGGGGTTGGACTTGTTGTTCCAGAACACGCCGACCTTGTCGTTCCGGTAGAGGGCGAACTGATCGCGGGCGTTGGAATCGGCCATCCAGGAGCGCAGGTGCTCCTTCTCCTTGAAAGGCTCCAACTCGGGAGCGTGATACTCCTCCTCAATGCGTCCCTCGCGACCATAGCGCTCAATATCCATAAGCTTGTTGACGGCCAGGGTGTGCTTCTTGTCGAGGGGGACGCCGTGCAGCTGCTTGACGGCGGCGAGTGCCTGCTCGGGAGTCTCGTATTCAACAAAGGCGAATCTAGAGAGAAAAAAAAAACCATATCCTAGTCAACCATTTGATCCACACCACATAGATTTGTCGCCCATTCATCCTGTACGCACCCTTCGGACATGCCCTTGTCGTTCAGCGGCATGAAAACAGCATCTTCGGAGGTGCGTCCCACGGTGTTGAGTTTTCTCAACAAGAACTTGACGAGTTTCTGGCGGCTGTCCTCGGGGACTACGGGAAGGCCGTCGATCACGACGAAAGTGTCCAGGCCCTCCTCGAGCTTGACTTCGTACTGCTCCTTGAGATCTGCCGAGAAACCGATATTAGAGAGGGGCACACACGCCAAAAAAAGTAGGGTTTCCAGGGCGTACCGGAGAAGTCAATCTCCTCCTCCTCTTCCTCGTGGAAATCCTGCTCGGTCAGGGTGTCGAAACTGGGCGCCATGATGGGTGGACTTGAGGCGACAGCCGTAGATCAAGAGCGTTGCGTACTGACTTTGAGGATTTTCGGCCAGAAACAAAACTCGCCGCCAAGCGGGTTCTTTGTGCGCGCTGACTCAGCCGTGAAGAGATCCAGCGCGATCTGCTCACGTGATGTGTCCAGATCATGTGATTCAAGCTTTTGTTGGTATGGCTGAGTCAGCATCTTCCCCGGGCGCGCATCGCCAGTTGGAGTTAGCAAGTTGCTCTCGGAGCTACTGCCGACGTGGGGATTGCCTTTGAGTTCTGGACCTTGCGGACTTGATGCCTTGTAGCTGCAAAGACCAGCCGTGAGGAACACTTTTCTTTGCTACATCTTGACTGTTTCTCTCGCTGCGTCTTCGCCTTGCTCATTGCGCCCTCGGCTCGCCTGTCCTCCCCCGCCGCTCTTAAGCGCCAGTGCGACTATACCCACCTGACCTTCCTCGAAGTACCTACTTGCGCGATCGACACAACTGTTCAAACACAGCAGCCGAAGCTGTATCGAGAGTTGCTCTTTACCTCTGAAACTTGGAAAGCATTTATTTGGAAGCGATTGGCAAGATTTGAGGGCGGGCAAGATGTCACGTATGTTCCCTCGGCGTCGTCCCGGCTTCAATTGCCGGCTCACACCTGGAAGCTTCTTGTCCTTGTCTAACGTGGCGCAATAGTCTCATCTGAAAAGCGCGATGAATACTCGGGGATCATTGACTCGATCCTCTCCAAGAGTGACCTCAATACCGTCTCCGAAAAACGAATTCGCAAGGGTCTTCAGGACGTCATTGGCTATGATCTCACTCCACAAAAGGTCCGCATAGCCCGTGGTTATTGCTTGCGCATTATCACCACCGCGGCGTAGCGCGAATGCTTGAGGATAATGGCTCGCTAACAATGCTTTTGCAGGCTGAGATCAAGCAGCTTATTATGGAACGGTTTGATATCTTCGCGGGCAACAACGGCGTTCAAGTGCCCGAAGAGACCACAGCCAGTAATGGCCATACACACGCCAATACTGCCGCCGCAGTCCCTTCTCCACCACCGTCCTCGTCGCCTGTGAAACGCCAGACACATAGTGAAGAAGCATCTGAACCTGCTAGCGCCTCGCCGCCCCCTAAGAAGCGAAAGCCGGACACCGATGTCGACGCCGATGCCTTGTTCGCCGCCAAATTACAAGCGGAAGAGAATATGCGGGCACGGCCTACAAGAGGCGCGAACACACGACGTGCAGCTCCTACTAAGAAGAAGAGCAAGGCCAAGACCGCTAAACGCGTCAAGGCGGAGGATGACTCGGACATTGAGTCGGGATCGGACACCAAGAAGGAGGTCAATCGAACTGGAGGCTTCCACGTACGTATTCATTTTCCAATATTCTGCCCCATTCAGAACTAATTGCCGTTGTTAGAAACCCCTTAATCTGTCCGCTCCTTTGTCTGCTCTCTTGGGTGGAGAGACTACTGTACGTCTGGTCCTGTCCTCGTCCTAATTCTGTACTAATCTTCGAATCAGCTCTCGCGCCCACAAACTGTCAAAAAGGTATGGCAATATATCCGTGAAAATGAGTTACAAGATCCAAGCGATCGACGCCAAATTCGCTGCGACGACGCGATGCGCGCTGTATTTAAGCAGGACCGGGTCCATATGTTCACCATGACCAAGATCCTCAATCAGAACTTGTATAACCCGGATGAATAGCCATCGTCTGTTCTTGGATGACGGGGCTCTTAGTCCACTTCAACGAATTTCGTCTTGTTCTATCATTTGCTTTCTGCGATGCATGGGGATGCTGGCGTGACGACTCCACCTTTTGCCGCCTATTGAGGCTTTCTTTATGGCGCCTTGTGCTTTCAAGATTTTGGTTCTTTCTTGCTCTCCAGCGGGAGTTGGTGCCGCCCTTGAGTGGTGATATCTATCGTTCTCAGATAATTGCATACTTGAGTTTCGTGATCTCTATAAGTCTTGGTTTGGTTCTGCGGGGTTGGATGTAGCAAAAATAAAGCTCACGCAACCTCGCGGGTGGCGATATTCGTAACAAGACTGTCTCGAGCTTCATTAAGGAATGCCTGATTATTCATTTCTCGAGAGCTAAATTTGAAAATCGCCACATTTCAGTCACTATGGAGAATATGGTAGCAGCTTCGTGCTGGATGACATATAGTTCGCTAGAGAATGTTCGAGTATGGTAGAAACTGCAGATATCTAGTAAATCATCCAATGGTTGTTGACTATCTGTGATTCTGGATAAGCAGGTTTCCTTTGGCGAATGATATCCAGCATGCGAAAAAGCAATTCGTTACTTTGTCCTTTGCAAACGAAGATTCCAGCTTTGTTGCTGGCAGATGCCACCGCGGAGGCTGATCAGTCAGCGAGATCGCACTTTTCCCCCATCCCCCACCAACCTTCAAACCCCAAGAGAGCTCCGCAACTCCCACCTCGTTGCCATTGACAAGTAACTGCAGCGCCGATCTTGACTCCCACGGTCCCCCGCCATGGCTGACAACACCCCAACTGCCCCGTCATCAGGCCACGGTCGTGGTGGTAGCCGCCGTCGTGGCCGTGGAGGGGCCCCTCCCTCTGGCCGTTCTGATGAACCGCGCAACGCTGGAGATGGCGCAGGTCGAGGAGGCAAGTCCCGCGGTCGCGGAGGTCGAGGCTCTGGTGGACGCGAGAAACAACGGAACCAGGATGGACCCGAAGAAACTGAGACACAACCCACGTCGCAGGTTGCGACAGTAGGGACACAAGAGGTCCCCGCCGCTACCGATGATGCCGACGATGGAGAGATCTGCTTCATTTGTGCGTCGACTGTTGAACATACGTCTGTGTCGCCTTGCAATCACCGGACGTGTCATATCTGTGCGCTCCGCTTGCGCGCCCTTTACAAGAACAAAGGCTGCGCTCATTGTCGAGTATGTCTGTTCCTTGCATTTCCTTTTTTTTTTTTTTTTGGTTGGCCGTCGGCTCCGTCGCAACACATACTAATCTGTCCTGATGTATAGACCGAGTCTCCCTTTGTCATCTTCACCGATGATCCCGTGCGACGATTTGAAGAATTCGAGAAGAAGGATTTCGCTCGGACCGATGAGAACTTGGGTATCCATTATGAGAAGGACGAAATCTTTGAAGACACAGTGCTGTTGCTTCGATACAACTGCCCGGATGAAGATTGCGATGTCGCCTGTCTTGGATGGCCGGACTTGCATCGTCATGTAAAGAGCAAGCATGGAAAGGTGATGTGGTGAGTTTTGATCTTGTTCCCCAGATGCGTATCAAACGATTCAAACGGGATTGTAACGACTAAGCGACTGATCCGTACTTTGTGTGACAGTGATCTTTGTACACGGAACAAGAAAGTGTTCACTCACGAGCACACCCTTTTTACCATGGCTGAGTTGCGGAAACACGAGAAGCATGGTGATCACAAACCCGGTGCTATCGAGCAGAGCGGCTTCAAGGGCCACCCAGAGTGTGGATTCTGTCGGCAAAGATTCTATGGTGATGATGAGCTCTACACCCACTGTCGTGACAAGCATGAACGATGCCATATCTGTGACCGCCGCGCTTCCCATCGCCAGCAACAATACTACATTGACTACAATGCTTTGGAGGGCCACTTCCAGAAAGATCATTTCCTCTGTCTTGACAAGGAATGTTTGGAAAAGAAGTTTGTAGTTTTCGAGTCGCAGATGGACCTAAAGGCCCACCAGATTGAGGCCCACCCAAATGGAGTCTCCAAGGATGTGCGACGAGACGCTCGGATTGTCGATCTCGCCGAGTTCGATATTCGGAGCCCATATCAGCCGCAGCGTCAGCGCCGCGGTGCTGGTCGTGGCCGAGATCCCAATGCCGAGCCTCTACCTGTATCTAGTGCACAGCCTCTCGGGCGTGCTGAACAAGCCTTCCAGCGGCAACAAGCTATCCAAAGCTCCCAGTCCGTCACCACTCGCAGTTTCGGTGGACAGCTCAGCCGAAATGAGACCCAAACGGTACAGGCACCCGCTCGGTCAGCAGCAGGTACCCCTAACCCGGCAGCTCGTGCTCGACCACCACCTACTGCAGAGTTGGAGAGTCTTAGCCTTGCGGCCACCTCGGCAACCCTGAGCCCGCAAGACCAAGCTCGTCGCTTGCGTCATACCACTGTGGTGGAGCGGGCTTCAAATCTCCTCCACAATGATGCGACCAAGCTTGCTGAGTTCCGGACGAGAGTGTCCAGCTATCGCACTTCGTCTATCGGTGCTACTGAGCTCATCGATGCGTTCTTCTCTCTGTTTGATACCTCTAGCTCGGAGTTAGGTAAGCTCATTAAGGAGCTTGCCGATATCTATGAAGACGAAAGCAAGCGCACAAGTCTTCTCCAAGCATGGAACGACTGGCGCGCTATCAATGAGGACTACCCTGCTCTCCCAGGTCCCGGTGGTCTTCTGCCTGGCATGTCTCCAGGGACAGTCAGTACCGGTGGCAGCCGTGTCTTGCGGCTGAAGTCTTCTACCGCTCAATCATCTCGCTCCGCCGTTGGTAGAAGCGGCGCCATGTCCTCATCCTCCGCCAATCCATTCCCTCCACTTTCTGCAGCCGTCGGCAGCTCATCTCGCCGAAACAATGCTGCCACTTCTACTCCCTGGGCTGCTGCCGCCCCTCCACCCTCCATCAGTCGCCCGTCATACTCAAATCCACCCAGTCGCTCGTCTCCAGCCATGGGCCCTAGTACCGCAGCCCCCGTCACTGGTGCGAACGCTTTCCCCGCTCTCCCCACGGCCGCGAAGCCAAATGTCATGATGCCCGGAAAGACGCGCGGTTACGTCCGGTGGGACGAGCGTAAAGGCCCCGCTGCTAATGCATGGGGATCTAATCCGTCTTCTGGTCTTGCATCTCCGGCAGAGCCGGTAGATGAGTTTGAGGACGAGCCTAGCGATGGAAAGAAGGGGAAAAAGAAGAAGGGCAAGCAGACCCTCTTCCACTTTGGTTGATTGGTGATAATACCTCAACCGCTTTGTTGAATATTTTGTGAGCGTTAATAGATGGATGAGTAAATAAAGCGAGTCAATTTTGTAAACTGTTTCCCTTGATCTCGGTATCTCTTAAGGATAGAGTTAACATGTAATTAGGTACCAATACAGCTGTAGCCCGGCCGGTTGTATTCTTCTATTCATGCATGATATTAGGTCGTCATTGCTTGACGTATCACGACGTTTCTCCTTTCACTTCCACTATGCGATACAATGGACGAAATGTATACGCTGTAATAAGGCTTGCATATGAGATCAAACGTGGTTTGATCTCCCAGATCATCCTTATACCAACACAACGCTGTCATGTCCAGTAGATTCAGGCTCAGAATCAGAATCGATCGGTACAGGATCCGAAGGAAGATCCCTAGTCGAATTGCCCTCAGATGCTTGGTCCGCGCGGGAAGTAGGGGCAGTGCAGGCAACCTGAGAATCATCTCCGGTTCTTTCTCGTTCATCCAACATCGCAGAATCAGAATCACTTCCCTGATCCGCTTCCTCGTCGATGGCAGCCATGCGCAATGCAAAGTCATCTTGGAGCTTGGCAAGATGTTGACGAAGTGATATGCCATCCATCGTGCCATTTCGAGCGAGTATGAGCTCTTCACGTAAAGTAAGAAGCAGTTTGCGCTTCCGAGCGATAACAACAGCGCGTGATGTGCTATTTCGACGTTGAGTGAGCTGGTCCATAGACTCTGAGACCGTTCTGGCAACCTCCAAAACTGCCGATGGGAGGTCGACTAGCTTCGCCAGCTCGAGACCATATCGCCTGTCCGGGACGGGTCCCTCAGCGATCTGGTATAGCATGGTCATCTTGTTCGCATAGGGTGTGATATCGGCTGCCAAATGGAGGTTTATTACACCGCACCGCTCTGACAGGATGCGCGTTAGGTCATGAAAATGCGTGGCAAACCAGACCAGCGCATTACTGGCGAGAAGAGCCTCAGCTAGAGCGACAGCGATTGCAAGACCGTCAGTCGTACTCGTGCCGCGTCCAAGTTCGTCGACTAGAACCATTGCTCGTGGTTGGACGTGTCGCAGAATAAATGCCATCTCTCGCATTTCGGCGGCGAACGTGGAGACATTGGCGTCAAGATCGTCGCTGGTGGCTACACGTGCAAATAGCTGGTGCACAATCGGGAACGAGGCGTACTGCGCGGGGACGAAACAGCCAATCTGTGCCATTACGGTCATCAAGGCGAGGGATCGGATGTATGTGGATTTGCCGCTCATGTTGCATCCGGTTATGATCTGGAATCGACTTTGTGGTGTGGCACAGGCATCATTTGGAATGAACTTGCTAGAATGGATGCGTTCCCGGATAGGATGACGGCCAGCCTTGATGACCAGAGTGGGCGTGAGCTCGGGGCGTATATAATCGTGGCTTGTTGCTAGTTGTGCAAACGCTGCTAGCATGTCGAGCATTGCGATTGCCTCGCTGATGCGGAAGAGTCCTGCGACCTCGGCACATACATCGTGGAGGAGTCCTTGAACTGTCTGATCGCTCATACTGATTACTTCGTTATGTGCGTCGGTGATCTTCTGGTTTAGCTTGACCAAGTCCAGAGTTTGGCACTCCATCCGGTTCTTCTTGCGGTAAACATTAATGAAGGTATCTGGCAACGGTTCTGGATTGCCTGTTGGGATACAGATGTAGTATTGGCGGGCTGTGTCATACTTGAGATCCAAGCTGATATCAAATGTTTCTGTCAATGATTAGCGATAGGGTAGAAAGAGAAGCGTGAAGCCTTGCCTCCTAGTTTCGTTACCAGTTCTGCTGCATCAGCATTGGCCTCCTTGTAGGTTTGCCGCGCGACATCCAGAAGGCTACTGACGCCAGCCTGCCTTCGTTAGTATTGGGTGTTTAACGAGTGAAACAACCGAAGAATTACCTTCACGCAATATATCCGTTGGTTCCGAAGGTCCAGTGGCTTGCTCTGGTATGTGACATTCTCGTTTAGCGTCTTCTCGATAAGTTCCTCGACAGCACGATGTCCTGCAGGATGACACAACTACTCCATTGTTAGCCCCAGTATGGGTATGGTTAAATGTGACAAGAGTACCTCTCGAATGGTGGTCAAAATCTCGCTCTGCGCCGCACCTAGTGCTTGGTATATCTTTTTGATCGCCGATACATATGTCTTGAGCATAATCACATGGTTGACTGACTGCTCAATATATTGGGCCGTTCGCTTGGTAGGCACGAGAATGATCTTCACCGTAAGTTGGGCCTTAACAGGTGCGACATGGGGCCAAAGGAACATACCGAAGTCAAGACTTTGTCCGCGTCGATGAACCCTTTCAAAGATTGCCGGACCGATACGAGCATGTCTTCCTTTGTAGACAAATCCTCTACCGCATTGTATCTCGCGGTCAACTTGACTCTTTCGGTTGAAGGTTGAAGGATGTTGGCCCGGAGTAACCTGGCTCCCATCGGCGTTGTCGTCTCGTTGAGTAGACCGTACAAGCTATCTTTCGACTTTGCATTGTGAAGATTTTGAATGAGTTCAAGGGAGACGATGGTGGCCAAGTCGATGGTCATTGAGCCCTGCGAGGGTTCAAATTTGATCCGCAGTGAGTGAGAGGCAAATACACGCTGTAGTTCCAACTCGATATACTTGAGAGCCTGAAAATCATTAGTAAAATTGCACGATGTTGCTCAATTGGACAGTGTTCGTACCGCCGCAAAAGCGCACGCTGCGAAATAGTTGCCTCCCAGCGTCACCTTGAGGGAATCCACCTCATCTGGGAACGCAAGACGATCAAGGTACTCATGGCCAGCCTTATCAGACCAGCACCTGCGGTCCACAAAAGTGAGGATTGGTTCGGACAGATTCTCTTCGATGATGTATCGCAGTTTAGACTCTATGGCGGTATTCATGAACAGGATCTCACTCGGCTCGAAGACGCCAATCTTGGTGACGGTTTTGACGTAGGTTTGACTGTCACAGATCTGGCATAAGACAACCTCGGCGGTGGCTAGATTCACGAATGCTAGTCCAACAGTGGATGAGACTCCCCGCGATTCACTGACAGCGCAGACGATGTCCTGAGAGGCGACACTGGTGGCTGTGGTCGTAGGCCGGGCAGTTTCAGCCCGTCGAGTACTGCCCCTGGTAGTCAATGGAACAAACGAATCGAGTGTGGAATGCCGTGAGGATATAGACATTGTGTCGATTACGGTGGGATGAAAGGAGGGTGAGATGAGGTGAGAGAAGAGGGAACCTAGGCCATTGAATCTTCTGCTCTTAACCTGCGGCACTACTTTACTAGACACCTAACTCTACGATGTGCTTACATTAAAAAATGACTTAAATAGCATTGTATATCCCAACTAATAATTCTATGTCAAACCACAACAAGATATTTGATAGATTTCAAGAGTCGATCGAATGCTCGAGTCCTCGGTTGGTCTGTCATAGGGTCCCGGAGAGTGCTTAAGAGGCATCTGAATGAAGACGACGCGTATAGAGGGAAAATAGAATGAAGGCAAGTAGATAGGTAGATATTAAGATTCCGAATACATTTTCTCCGAGATGTGCTTGGTCTCTCAAAACCGACGACCTTTGCCATGCGACATAAGATCAGATCGGCGTTTCCTCCATAGCGGAGATGTTGCCCTAACTCCAGCCGGACAGTGCAGATGAGCACCAGATAGTCACAATGGGTCCTCTTGAATACAATATGATAATTGACCGAATACATGGGACCAAGCATTCCTCAAAATAAAAAACTGCCGAGTATGGAATAATGAATTAGTGAACGGTGTCGATCCCAAAAGTCCCTCCTGCAAAAGTTCCCCCCCCCGGCCAGTTGGCGCTGGTCAAATCCCCCACCCGATAAGATAAGCCCTCCTAAATCAAAATTTCTTCCTCCGTCAACTCCTCCAAAAAAAAAAAAATACCACAATGGCGACCCTCCTCCCCCCGCCCAGTAAGCGCCAAAAGCTCGCTCAGGCCGAGAAGGCACGGGAGCAGCAGGAGATTCAGAGCATTCCCACCGACCTGGGCAGCGTTCGTGTCCAATTCTACGAGCAGGCCACCGGCAATGCTACGGGACCTGCGGTGTCGGTCCCAGTGGCCGATGCGAATATTAAGAACCTCGAGACGCTGTTGAATACCCTACAAGGGAATGTAAGACACTCGGAAAGATTGAGATGTCATATGTCAAGAATTGAACCAATCGCTGACCTACTGCTACTGCTTTACAGGACGACGACGATCGTGTGCCATACCGCTTCACCTACCAATCTGACAAGGAGGACGGACAGACTATCGATATCCTCGCAGACGTATACCACTCGCTGCTCCAACCTGGCATTAAAACGACCGAAGACACTGTCTCCCTCTACTTCACCCCACAAGCCGTTTTCCGAGTCAAGGCCGTTTCTCGCTGCGCTGCTTCCATCGCAGGCCACGGCGAGGCTATCCTGGCAACCTCGTTCTCCCCGGTCAACTCGTCGACCATGGTCTCTGGTAGCGGCGACTCTACAGCCCGAGTCTGGGATTGTGAAACGGGTACTCCGCTGCACACCCTCAAGGGACACACTAGCTGGGTGTTGGCGGTGGCTTACTCGCCAAACGGCGCGATGATCGCGACGGGAAGTATGGACAATACTGTGCGGTTCTGGGATGCGAAGAAGGGACAGGCGTTGGGTGGACCAGTCAAGGGCCATTCTAAGTGGATTACCAGTCTTGCGTGGGAACCCTATCACTTGCAGGAATCTGGACGGCCCCGTCTGGCCTCGGCATCGAAGGACTCAACCGTGCGGATCTGGGATGTTGTGTCGAAGCGCATTGAGCATGTTCTCACCGGACACAAGGGGTCGGTCAGCTGCGTTCGATGGGGTGGTACTGGGCAGATCTATACCGCGTCGCACGACAAGACGATCAAGATTTGGAATCCGAAGGATGGCACGCTGATCCAGACTCTGGCCGCGCATGCCCACCGTGTCAACCATTTGGCCTTGTCCACTGATTTCGCCCTGCGCACGGCCTACCACGATCACACTGGCAAGGTGCCGGCTACAGAAGCGGAGAAGGTAGCTGCTGCGCGGAAGCGATTCGAGGATGCAGCCACCGTGAACAATCAGATCGTGGAGCGATTGGTGTCGGCTAGTGACGATTTCACTATGTATTTGTGGGACCCAGCGGCCTCGAATAAGCCTGTTGCGCGACTCCTAGGCCACCAGAAGGAGGTCAATCATGTCACCTTTTCGCCGGACATGGCATACATTGCGTCTGCCGGGTTCGACAACCACGTCAAGCTTTGGAATGGACGTGATGGAAAGTGAGTGTCACTCCTTTCTCGAATAGCAATTCTTTCTGTGTTACTAACGCCTCTCTTACAGGTTTATCACCACATTCCGTGGCCATGTTGGCGCTGTGTATCAATGCTGCTTCTCTGCGGACTCTCGACTGCTGGTATCCTCTTCCAAGGATACCACTCTAAAGGTCTGGGACGTTCGCACCGGCAAGCTGGCTACAGATCTGCCTGGGCACCAGGACGAGGTCTTTGCGGTAGACTGGAGTCCCGATGGACAAAAGGTTGGCAGTGGAGGCAAGGACAAGGCGATTCGAATCTGGCGGAACTAGAGGGTGTAGATAGTAGAGTCCTATATAGAATGATACCCATTACCTGATTGCACGTCCTAGCATATAGGTATGACATGGAATACTGGACACGAAAGTTTTACAGATCGGGCGCTGCGGTTGAAGTCTGCTTGGGATTCTCATAGGATTCCCTAGGCATGGGGATGTAAGCTGCTGGCCATATCTCTTGCAACGCTTCAGATTTTAGTTCTTCTCCTTGGAATCTACTGTGCTGTGCTGTGCTGTGCTGAAGAATTATTTTTATCCTTCTAAGAGATATCCGAACATAGAGTAGTAGATCTACAGGTTGAGTAGTGGAATCGCAACGGGCCTGAATGGCTATAATGCTCATCTGCTCACGATGTATATTGTATTTCCAAACTCGAGTCGCGAACCCGGAAACCCGAGCGACATGGCAAGCCTTGCGCATACTAAACATAGCGGCATTCGTTAGATGGCGTTAAATACGTTAAAGTCTAACACAAAAAGAACATTGCTGTTCCGAAAGTAGTGATACAGTCGGCATTCGGGATCGAGAATCAATCGAAGAGTACGGAGTATTATATAGGTGGCGACACGGATTTTCCAGAAATACGGTCTCACGATATGATAGTTTCATGTCTTACTGTGTATCCGGCATTTCCTGGCTGCAATACTCGATCACTAATTTGTATTATGGTCACCCAAAACGCACTACTCGCTCGCGCAAGAGTACGACTAATATACAATAACAATGACATGCTCAAAGCTAAACGCTCTCATATCAAATCTAAACAAAGCCCAAATCCAAAATGCAACTTCATCCACCTCCAACCCGACTGCTCCGCTTAAGCATACTGCCAAGCAGGAACATCACCCTTGTACGGCATCGCAACGGCCGAGAAACCCAGACAATCATTGACGTTACCGGAGGGCACGGTCGCATTGGTCGCGGCGACAAAGACCTGCCAGCGCTTGTCGGCGGTCGGACAGGCCATGAATCCGCTTGCGCCCCAGGCGTTGAAGGTATAGTGCGACAAGGAGTTGCCAGTCTCGTAGGCGAGAGCGCCGACGACGGAGCCAGGGGGGACGTTGGCGGAGTGGGCTTGGGTGAAGCTCAGGGCGCCGGTGGAGTCGACATAGACTTCTTGGCCGCCGGGGACTTCGACGTCCTGTAGATGCAGAGTTAGTATAAATGTTACTTTTGCAGATCATAGATTTGTGTGATGTTTGTTTGAAACTGGTGATGCATGTCGTGTTACGTACCAGAGCGTTACCGCCTGGTGCCAGGACGGTCTGGTTGCCTGGTGGGCACTTCGGCACGACTTCGGTCGGGCAGTACGATGAGGTTGAGCCGCCGAGCCAGAACTTTTGTCCGGCGGCGTTCAGTTGCAGGTTCTGGATGGGCGAGGCGGAGCGGACTGCCGTGACAGTAAACGGCGGGTTGGCGTCGGAGGTGACTTGTGAGGCAGGAGCTGCCGCGGCCAATAGAGGCAGGGCGAGAGAAGCGATGAAGGACTTCATGGTGAAGGTGGATGGATGGTCGAGGTAAGAGAGATGAAGAGACTTGCGAAGGAAAGTTGATGGTGATAAAAAGACAACATCTCCGAAGAATGCAGGGTCTCTTTATAGTCCGGGGAGGAGAGACCAGGCAAAAGAGAAGCGATCATCCAGGGACCGTCCTCCTCATCATCAACCCCGCCAAAAGGAATCGGCCGTACCACATTTGCAGGATGCAACAGGGGACCATTGACCACTGCGGGTTCCTGTGCAGATCAACAAGAAGAATCAATAATAATAGGTATCCACGGACAAACCACAGTCCGACAGCTCTCTTAGCGGAGATGCCGAGTGGCAACTCGATTGGGCGTGTTTGAGACACAACCGGCCAACCGCCGTTAGACGGGGCCCTGGCAAGGCAGATGATGCAACTCGAGCATTCACGCTATCTTCTGTGAAGTAGTTGCTGAGAGGGGGGCAGAGTGAGACACTGAGACACTGAGCCACTGAGCCACAGCCGAGGATGGCGCCAAGCTGCTACTAAAGGGATCTGCACTTTCCCATATTCCCATGTCTCACCTGGCTATTATTATTCTTCCTGGAAGAAAGTGATTATTCTTGGCCTCCACGAGCTGGTGGAGGTCGCCATGTGGAGGACCGAGAGGGATCGTCAATATTGAGACTGCTACCATGGTCTGATCCTGATCCTGACCCTGACGATGATGTTCGGATGCTATACTGACTATGATGTTATGACCTGCTCATCTAATATCCGACAACTGCTTACTACTCCCCATTCGTATCAGGTCTCAGATTATCATCCTGGTACCTCGTGCCTGATCAATCACTTCACGGCAATCCCTGCCGCACTTCACTCCGCTCATTCAACCCCCACGCCGAGCCACTCCCATCATGCACCGTCGCCCGTCGCATATCCCGTCGAAACTTGCCTTCAAAGCTTCCCCCGACCGCTCGGTGCATCACACTGGTATTATCCCACAGAATCAAGTCCCCGGCTTGTTCCCACCCAATGCGAAGCACATAGCTGGACTGCGTGGCATGTTGGAAGAGCCGATTGAATAACGACTGCGATGCTTCCGCGTCTATCCCCTCGATGTGGTGAATATGTGCAGCGATATACAGCGTCTCTCGACCCGATCCCTCATGTCGCTGGACCAGGCGATGTCGTCCCATCGGATACTCGTCCGGATTGATGTCGGTGAACGTCGTGGGCGCAGCCATTTTACGCGAATGCCAGAGCGAGTGGGCTGCTATATAGTCCTTTTCTCGCAGTTCATCCTTGAACGAAGTCGGTAGCTCGTCAAAGGCTGTTCGCACGTCGGCGAATTCGGTTTCTCCGCCCATCCCTGCGGGTGGAAGTTCGTGCGCCCGGAGTAACGAGTACCCTGCTCGTCGGGGGTTGAAGCTTGAATCTACGTGGAAGAGTCCATTTCCCTGTTGTCTTCAGCGAGGGACACAGGGATGGGTAGGATATGATGGGAATGCACTCACCTTATTCCACTCCCGACGGACATTGTCCAGTGCAAACACCATTCCGTCTAGGTTGATATTACCCACATCAAACAGGCGGACATCGGAGAGTCGATGCGCGCGACCACCAGCCGTGTAGGGTGTCACATCGTCCAACTCGCCAAATTGCCCTGCAAAGGCAACGTGACGTGCATCGTCGAGTCCCGTATTCCGAAACACGCAGACACCATACTAATTTCAGGTCGGGCAGGATGAGTACATACATTGTCTCTGCTAATTTCCCGTGGTTTATTCCGGGCATAGACCCACCTGTGTGATTGCAGTTAGAATGTCTTGAAAGATTTCTCCCTCCACTGGTCGCGAGAAGTCTACACCGCTTATCTCGACGCCGAATGTAGGGTGTAGCTTGGTGATGGTGATATGCTTGAAGGCGGGGGAGGTGGAGAGGCCAGGCATTATGGTGATCTGGAAAAGCTAAAAGCGGGTCTGTATACTCCGTACTCAGTGCTGGATGTCTCACATTTCAACCATTTGCCAGTGCTCTCGAATCCGTGCTTGCTTTTAATACTTTGAAGATGTTGAGACGACCTCGGCATGAAGAGCGTAGATAGGCTGATATCGTGCGGGGAAGACTCGGACTTCTGTCCTGATCATAACGTCACACTATCCATGTGCTTGATAACACTGTGGAACACGAGAGAGCTAATTAATGGAAAATAGTCTCAATATGTCGTGCCTATCTCTAATTTTACTGGTACCCTCTTCCGTATCAGTCGTCTAGCGATCTTGAGGGTTTCATGAGTAGCGCCAGCACCTTGTCTCAGATCGCGATGAAATTACTTGGAACCTCTCGATATAACCACGCTTTCTTCTGTAGTCATCCCCTGACTCGGGTCTTGATTATTCACCGAACGTATCAATCTCGATGGGTTACAAGTATGTACATGTCTCGTATCGGAAAAGATACCCACGAGCACCTGCACATGATGTCTCACTTAGGTAGCAGTTGATGTACTCGATAAGCCCGGGACTAGCTACCTGACTCTTTCCCAATTTCTACTATTCTAGACCGGTACACCGAGCTCGCACTATACTCCAGATATATACCTATGATAGCAAGCGGCCAGTACTTCTCTTGTGAAATAACAGAGCTGCATATTCCTCTCTCGCTTCATACAAGTGCACAAGTAGCCTCCTCGGGACCTCGGTCTGCACTTATAAATGATCTTTACTGATACAAATCATCTTACTTTTGTTACGTATTAGCATCATGTACCGGTCTTGTCTAGGAACTCCACCACCCCTGCAGAACATGAGATCACGCACACTATTGCAAAGTATCGATGGCGACCGTGTGAATACGCGTGGTATGCCAGTCGAACCCGGAGACTTTCAATACTGGTTCAGTTTTGCGGTGGATTTGATGAACTCAATTCTATTGTACAGCCTTATCCTGGGTTCAGATGCTGTACTTGTGATTTACGTCGAGACATACATCCTAGGTATCGTCATCGTTAACGAGGTGCTGGAAGTGTCACCGTGGACCAGCATAGCCAACCGAGACCAAAGTAGAAAACTTCCCTTATTTCGGGTTACTTACTATTTGCACACTGTCTACCTGTCCCATATCCATGTCAGTAGTATCCCTCCATGTACTAGTGTAGTGCTGTGAGCGCTCTGCTCTGCTCTCTTCGGGTAACGACATCCACATGCCGAGTTCATCCAGACGATCTCAAACGCTCATAAGCGGGAACGTACACGCCGGACATCCACTTTGCCAAGTAAGAAAATTCATAGCTTGAATATGCAATTTCCATATCGGAATATATGCGAGACCCGATATACCCATCAATCCTTGTCATTGGTCATCCGACTTATGGGGACCCTCAACCTTGCAGGATTCCGGGATAGTGGTCCCGTTTTAAGGTTATCTCCGCCACGGGTCTGGGTCCACCTGTGCAACCAGGGTATCCCGACGATGAAAGTGTCCAATATGAAGCAGCAAGATGAAAAGTGAGATAGCCATGTCCCTTCTATTTCAACCAAACAAAACTATCAAGACGCAGCTCGACCCGAGAAAAAAGGATGGAGAGTCACCGAATAAATATATACGAGCGGACGAGTTGCTGCCGAGGTATAAACATGGCCAAGGGGCCAGCACAACAAAGCCAAAAACAAAGCCAGACACCTCCTGCACCGATCCGTGTAGCAATATAAAGATATAAAAAAAGGAGACAAGCGGGGTAAAAAGAGGAAAAAGAAAAAGAGAAGGCCACCGAGAACGCCGTTGAAAGCCAACACGCCTCCCTTTTTTACCCCCGCACATGTTAAGACTTTGATCCGCCAGCCCAAGCAAGAGAACAAACAAAAAGACACACCCATATCCCATCAATCATCGTCTCCAGGCGGGAGAGACTTGAGTCAACTCCACGTCGAGTGGAGCCTCGCTTCGTACTGGAAAGAGGTGGGTCCAACAAAGCTCATTCCAATATATCAGCAACTTTGTTTTCTTTTTTCAGTCCCTTTAGTAATCATCCCCGTCATCATCGTCACCGTCTCCGCCACGACCGCGCGGACCCTTGACACCATCCTTTCGGATAGGAATCTTGATACCCTGCAGCGCAAAACACTTGCTCAATTGAGTGCTTTCAATGACACCGGGGAACTTCTTGGCGGAAAAGACTTGGAAGGGTTCACTAAAGACCGAGGCCAGAACGGGGGCGGATCCATGGTTGATCACGGGTGCCCCGTTGCTGGTTTCAGTGGACTGAGTGCCCACATTGACAAAGCTCATTTTGAGGCTATCGAGTGTTAGCGATCAGCACATCTGCAAAGGTTTCTGGTCTCTAGGCTTACCGGAAAGTGCCTTCTGTGCGCACACTCAAATCCTGCAGAATAAACCACACCCCGATCTTGTTATCCGGGTCTGTTAGACGGAAAGCACTGGCACTGAGACTGCCGATCAAATTCCGCGTAAACATGCCGCCCGGACCACCCGAGACCGGTGGCGCAGGAGACATCGCAGCTGGCATCTGGCCTCCTTGGGGATAGCCATAGGGTGGGTACCCAACTGCCTGACCGTAAGGGTTTTGGTACATCTGCTGCTGGCCATAATAGTTGTTCACGGGGGGATATCCGATCGGCTGCCCGTATGCATTCTGACCATAGGCGGGGTAGGTTGGAGACATGCTCTGGGGTGGAGGTGGGTATGAAGAGGACATGGCGGTCGAGATGGAGGGGGAAGTGGCAGAGTGCTTGACGAGGTTGACCTCGCTCGTGCCATCAGCGTTCCACAGGTCGACGGTGAGCACATAGAAGGATGTGTCGATCTCGCTAGAAACGGACGAGCAAGGTCAGGATTGCCACAGAGAGAGAATAAGCAGGGGGGGGCCAAACGTACTTAATATCAATCTCTTTCTCTGTGTGTTCATCTCGTACGATGAGGCGAATACATGGTGGTGGAGTGATCGGTCGTCGATCCTAGAGAGTAATTCACGTTAGTCGGGGTATCAACGTAGGGTCTACCCTTGAAGAGTTCCCACCTTATCACCGAACCCACACATCCGAGCTCGGATGGGCTGTTGCACGACCTGTAAGGACCAAATCCGGCCTTCGTGGCTGGTCGAGACGGGAGCCAGGTGGTCGGAGGACCGCAACGGACCTGGCCCTGGCGTGGGATACGCAGCGGACGGGCCAGCGATGCGGTCCATTGAGAGCGGTGGTGGTGGCGGCGGCACCGGATGGGCCCTTTCTTGTTCAAGAGCGTACATGGTTCGTGATGTCGAGGAACCGAGGACGAGGTTCACGATAGAAACGACGGGTCCCTCCGTTTATGTGTAAAAAGATAAAAAAAAAGAAAAAGATCTGCTTGATCGTGGACCCTTGAAGTGCTCAGGAGCGGGGGGTCCAATGTGACATGCGACCCCGCGGAATCCAGACGTCACAGTTGAAGCATTGACTTCGGGCGGAAGCTGAAGCGGTCGCGAGCGGTCTTATCGCGCACACGAAGCAGAACCGAGCTCGCACGTTTGGACGGGGATGTGCGAGAGATGGATCAAGACTGCGGACAGGGGTTTAGAGATGTTCAGCCGCACGGAGGTAGATTTTCGTATTTGGGATGGAGGTGAGGATCCGATCGCGACGTGGGCGAGAAGGTGAAAATTCGACCAGGTGAAGATGGCCGATGCCCCAGGCCAAACCCGCGAAATGAGAGCGGGAGTGGCGACTCGAGAACCGAGAACCGCGCTGTCGGGAGGTCGGGCTGTGGTGGAGGAGGAGGGGGGGGGTGTTCGTTTCGAGGGGAAGGCGACTCAGGAGAGAGCTGTCTCTTGATCTCCCAATCGATCACTGTATATCAACGCATTTCTGATTAGGAAAATGGCATTCCAACTTGATCGCATCCATGACGAGTGACGGAATACGGAATGGGTGAGCCACAAGACGCAGCTGTCAGAGTGCGGGAGATTGGCTGGGCATCCACGGATCGCAGGTCCGAAGTCTGCGGTCCACCACGAGTCATTTCATTTGGATCGACTTACCGAGTCACAGGTTGCGAGCGGCGACGAACAACGACGAAAGAGCAAAGAGTATCCGATTTGATTGTACAAAATCGAGGAGGAGGGGGAGGAGGAGGAGGGGGAAGGAGAAAGATGAGAAGGTGAGGGAAGAAGTGGGAAGGGAAGGTTGGAAGGTGGAAGGAAGCCGGGGGAGGGGTGAGAGTGATCGAGTGACGTTCTCGAACGTGGGCCGCTTCGACTGGGCATGAGAATGATTCTTCTTGGACCGAGTTCACCGAGTTCACCGAGTTCACTGAGTTCACTGAGTTACTAAGTGAGTGACTAACTGAGTTCCTCCCAATTGCAGTCCCAACTGGAAAAAAATGTCAAAGAGATCCGCACTGCAGGAACCTCGACCCAGTCCGTCGGTTGCTGGGTTTTTTTCTTGATCGCTCTTGACGAATGGGGTTCCTCTTCTTTTCATGGCCAGGCCTGATGTAACCGCGAACCTGCTCGCCTCTAAACCCTTCCAGCAACCAGCAACCAGCGACAGCAGACTGCGAGGTCCCCTGCTGCACTGATCGACCCTCGACGCTTCTGGGGATTGGGCCGCTTGCGGAAATCGTGGCCCTGCGGGTCCCTCCGTCTGCGACACTGGACTGGACACTGGACACTCCTCACGAACCACAACTCGTCCATTTCCGATGATTCGGCCAATTGGCCAGAACGAACTGGCCATTGGCATGCACCCAGAACCGGCCTTCATGGACACTTTTGTCGGTCGTCGGTCATCCCAGCTGTCATCAGTCATCAGTCATCAGTCATCAGTCATCAACGGTGCTAGTTAGCTATTCTTCGGCAGATTCTCGGAGCCGAGCTCCACGGCCAAAGAAGGGGGGTGGTCCTGATGGCGATTCAAGAGCCCGCCATCTCGACCGCCTGGGATACGCCACGGTTTCCGATCGAGCTCCCTGAACAGTAACGATTGATGGAATCCACAATAATGCAGACTGGATAAACTACCTGCAGCGGGCATCGAGTGGATCCCATTCTTCCACCCCTGTGCCTGTCTGTTCCATTGCCGATGTCTGCTCGGCGCGCCCACCTGCCGCGGTACCAGAGCCCGACAACCCATGTTTTGGGCATGGGCCTGTCGGACCACGAACACGCGAACCTGTCGGATGATCGGGTGGTACAGCCGGAGATGAGGCTTGGTAGGAAGGAGCCGTCCGATCGGGAAGTAAACAATCCTGGTCGCGATACACAAACTCCCGGTAAGCACCAAGCTAGTCTCTAGTGGCTGGTTTATATGCGGGCATAGTTAGATAGAGGTACCCGTTGGGCCCTCCTGTAGCTTCATTCACAGCTCTAGTCTTTGTATGGAGAGCGAGGTAGAACACTCAGGGCGAAGGGGTAAATGTCCAGCTGGAGAAGCTGATACGGGTGCACCATTATAAGCACTGATTATCCGATGACTTGAGTGACAAGATGGTCAAGCGAGAGAGAGGGTCACCACGGGCATAAGAGATCTATACCATTTTACCTAGTCTAAACGACATAACTATCTACACAGTATGAATCCGGACGTTATCCTCTCTATTGAGAAGCTCATATTTAGTCTACAGGAACATATTTCCTAGGGAGCTTGATAAGTCGAGTTTGGAAGCATCTAGACCTACTCTAGCTGGAGGTTATTTTCCCGAGGCACCTTTTATCTCGATCTAAATGAATTGAATTTCGAAAAAAAAAAAAAAAAATATGGAGGTTGCCATATTTGGATAGGGCCTTGGTACCTGATACTGTTTATGTACCTTGCAGTCCTCTGCAGCAACCTCCGACGAAAACTTTTGTATTGACATCTCGCTCTCGTTGGAAATATTGGGTTGACCAGCTTATCAAGCATATTATAGGGAAGAACGGACGGACCAGATTTCGTCAGTTGTCGTCAGCGGATCTGCGTGCACCTGATTATCTTCTCCATTCATGTATATAGACCCAGAGATGAGGGATTCACTGCTCAATATCTGCAGAGACGGCTTTGTTAATATTTAGGATTAACAGCCGCAGTGGGTCTCCCAAGTTGATAAGACAAATGAGTTGCCACTAGCCTTCCTCCGTCCACGTTGTCAAGTCTCTGACGGAGAACCGAGACTTTAACAGCCGGGAAGGATGCGTATAATGGCTAGAAAATGTGCACCGGCCTTTGCTCACTGCCTCGAAAGAGGTTGCTGTCACCACCCATACTATATTCCACTACCGGCTCGTCTGCAGCCTAGGTCTAGCGGTCACCAGCAAATCCCGGTTGATGGAGTAATTGTCAAGTCATCAGACAACCAAAAGCATTAGCGAACAACGGCTATAGGCAGAGAGTAACGCCGGATGACCTCAAATTTGACAGTTCTTCCGTGCTCTATGATTCTCCCGTTACTGAAGGCTGATTGGTCGGATTAGCTCGGCGGAGGTGGGGTAGTTTGGATGGATGCTTGCTAGAACCCCGCACAGCAACAGTACCGAATAATCCACGAGGTGTAGGTGTGTATGTGTGCTGTGATATTGTCAATATATTAGACTCGGCAAAAGGAAGTGGAAAGTAAAAGCAGACGGCAGATGGATTCTTGTAATTGATTAAGTGATGAAGAAAGGAGAATGTAAGGACGGTCTGCAGTATGTTGTGTCTGGTGGCCCGGGCTATCACCGCCACTATGGGACTCCCTTGCTGCAGTCTCGATCTTGGGCTTCGTTCCGAGCGGAATAGGAATACGAAGTCACATTTGATCTTGATGTGTTCTTTCCGTCTCGAAAGAGGATAAAATTGCTCCCTTGTGTGTTCGGTGGATTACTATGGAATTTCCTATGAAATTTCCTGTTGACTCAAAGACCCATTCAGGCCTAGGTCCTCCCAGTACTTAGCAAAGTAGATATTTTGGTCGAGTTGCATGGCAAAAGCCTGCAGTGTCGTCCCTGCAACAATGTTCTAGTCCAAAATGAGGATCTCTTGTCTCATCGCTCCGCGTTTACTGACTAGGTAAGATGGTGTGATGGAGAGTAAGCGGGGAGCTATACCTAATTGACTTGCATTGTAACATCACCCTGTCCATCTCACACCGCTCATGGCACTAGTTACTAGACCCATGATACTTGCTGGTGATAGAGTTCCATTTTAATGCTCTAGTAGCATGTCCGTGGACTTGCCGGACGCTTTGAGATTTTTGGAATCTTATAGTGTTAACCCCAGTGTAAGACCGTGAGAATGTATATCTTGCTCGTGGGAGGATCAGAGAACACATAGATCTAAACAATACGATTCCCTGAAATTAGTCAAGATAAATTCATCAACAAGTGCATACTGAAACAGCAGTATCTCGTCAAGGTTGACCACCAACAACATAAACTACCAAACTGAATCTCCCATGTGGATCCCCATGACGCCATGTCCTGCGGCTACTGAGAGCCAACATCTCCGCTCGGCTCTCGCCTGTCGACTATATGCTGAGGGCGATTGGATAGGAAGACAAGAATATGCATATAATCTCATCCTTCTCGACATGTTAACAAGACCAAGGCTCACTGGGTCTATAATGGCGTGCTTATGGTTGCTAGCACGAGTGCCGAGCCGGAATATCATGCATGACGGAGTATACTGGCGCAAACTATACCCTCATTGTTCTCTGACTGGTAGCAGCGAGAGAAAATATGACTCCACTGCATCAACTGACATCCCGCCATTCTCATTCACCCCACCTTCAATCACTCAACGGACATGTCTGATTTGCAGGAAAGCTGGTCTCGCGCAACGAGCACCGGCCATGTTGTGATCGGAAACCGTTGGCTCGTCGGTCTGCAACCATGCAAGATGCATTCGCATCTCACCCACCGCGTGGGGATTCAGGAACGAAAGGAAAAAAAATAACTATTTGAAGTCGTGAGTTTCCCCTCCGTTTTAAGGCATAGCATTCTTGTTTGGACGGCCCGGCACGCGAGAGCTTCTGTATATAGATAGGCACCGTTATCCCTTGATTCGCATCGTGTGGCTATTCCCCTGTTATTACCCTTTCGATCTGCATACCTGGGCCGAATCGACATCACCCATCGGTCTGGGACTCGACTGTTTGCATCATGTTGTGGTCTCACGCCGGGAAGGCCATTGCCCTGGTGGTCTCGTGTTGGGCGTCGACGAGTGATGCCATTACATACTCTCCGTTGAAGCCTCCATCATATCCATTGGCTGTACGGAGCCCATATCTGTCAGGTAAGATCTAACCGCAGATCAAATGATCGAGCACGGATCGGTCGTTGAATCTTGGTCTCTGATCATTCTGCTTGTTTACCCTTGGCCCACAGTTTGTAGAGTGACTGACCATAATGATCGACAGCGTGGATCCCCGGTAATGAAGTCGCGTCACTTTCCTCCAACAACGCGCAATTCTGGGCCGGCAACAAGCTGATTTGGTCAGTCATCGCTCGAGTCGATGGGGTCGCGTACAATTTGTTTGGCGTGGCCAGCCCTCCCAGTGGCACCCAGTCCGCCACCGTCACCGAGGCGACTTACACCTCCACTCATTCCACGTTCACCGTGACGGCGGGATCGCGCGAATTCACTCTCGACTTCTTCTCGCCGGTATCGCCCAAGAACTATCTGCGGCAATCCCTGCCCTTCTCCTACCTCACGGTGACCCTTGCCGCGGGGGACTCGAGTTCGGTGCAGGTTTACTCGGATATCGACTCGAGCTGGACCGGTCAGACCAGCGACTCCAGCTGGAGTTACTCCACCAGCGGATCAACGGGCATCTTTCAAATCGAGTCGGTCGGCGCGACCACTTACTCGCAGAATAGTGACGGCCAAGCTCTGTGGGGCAGCGCCGTCTACGCCACCCGTCCCTCCAGTTCCTCCTCGCTCTCCACTGCCTCCGGCCCGTCCCTAAGTGTGCGGGAGTCGTTTGTCAACAATGGCAACCTCACGGGCAACCACGCCAGCTGGAGTTCCACAGGCGTCGTTGCACACGCGCATGATTTGGGAACGACGGCAGACGAGTCCACGGTGACTTTTGCAATCGGTCACGTGCGAGAGGAGTCGATCAACTTTTTGGGCGACGCGCAAACGGGCTACTACCGAGCCACTTACTCCAGCACGGTGGATGCAGTTGTGCACTTCTTGGACGACTATAATGATGCCAATGCCGAGTCGGTCAAGTTTGATAACCTGATTCAGGATACGGGTACGTCCAGTTATGGGACCAACTACTCGGACATCCTGGCATTGTCAGTGCGACAAGTCTACGGAGGCATCGAGGTGACCATTCCGAATGACTCGCTGGACACGAGCGAAACGCGTGCCTTCATCAAGGAGATCTCCAGTGATGGGAATATCAACACGGTCGATGTCATATACGCGACATTCCCGATATTCTACATACTGAGTCCTGAGATTATCAAATTGCTCATTGCCCCCGTGTTCGAGTACATGGGCACGAGTGCCTATACCAAGCCATACGCAGTGCACGAGATCGGTGCCAACTACCCCAATGCGACAGGCCACCCGTCAGATGGCGAGGAGATGCCAGTCGAAGAGAGCGGTAACGTGATATTCCTCACTTATGCCTACCAGGCGGCCACTGGCGACACCGACCTGGCAACCAGGTACTCGGCCCAGCTGAAACAGTACGCCGACTATCTCTACCAGAATGGACTTTACCCCGCGTCCCAGCTGTCCCTGAACGACGCACTCGGCGAACTGGGAAATCAGACCAACTTGGCTGTGAAGGCTGCCGTGGGTCTGGCTACTTATGGTGCCCTGTCTGGCCAAAGTAACTACACTTCTGCCGGCAAAGAGTTTGCTGACAAGATCTGGACGGATCGCCTGGGGACGGATGCTGATGGCACTCAGTTCTTGATCCAGTATGGAATCGACCCGTGGTTCCTCGTTTATAATCATTATCCAGACCTGCTGTTTGGTCTGAACGCCTTCCCAGATGAGGCCTACAATGCCACTGCTGCATTTTACCCGAGTGTACGCAGCGCAGCTGGGGTGCCTTTGGACGGGTCCATCGGCTGGGGCCAAACGAATTGGCAGTCCTTTGTCGCTGCTACCGTGAGTGGCGATACCCGAGATGTTCTAATCAGTGACTTGCACACGTATATATCGAATGGTCTGAACTCGGCGCCTTTCTGCGACCGGTATTGGGTTGAGGACAGCGGGAGCTTTGTGGCGGGCCAGGAATTTTCATTCCGCGCGCGGCCCACGCTGGGCAGTCATTTTGCTTTGGCGGCCTTGTCTGGTGCTAACATTTGGTCTTCTTGAGCTGAACTTTCATGCTGAAGGATATTTGGAAAAGATTCTGACTTTAAGAAGTCATCCTAGAATACCCTTTGGGGTTGACATTGCATACTCTGGGGCCATCGGCATTGGCTTGGCCCTGAATTTTGTCACACTGCATACTCGTGTGGTTTGAATCTTGCAGCTTCATCTTTCAATGAATCATATCTACCCATTTACACCTAAAGCCGGCTTGTTGGCCCAAGCATCGCTAGTCCTGAGATGTCTCTCCTCATCTTTCCCCCCTCATCTCGGGATATGGTCCAACCCTGGCCGTGCGGGCTACAGAAGTAGATTAAAAACCTTCTGCTTACGTATGTCACCTTGGCATGAAGCTACAACAAGCTTAGTAGATTGTGGGGGTACCCTCGACTAGGCATTCTCTTGGCGAAGCTTTTATATAGTCGGGATGTGGGGGCCTTTTCCATGGTTGATCAAGTGGTCCACAAGAGCTTCCCTCACAACTCACCTAACCCTGTCAATCGTCTCAATACGATTCTGGCAATACCGTTTTTACTCCAGGACATCTTCTCTTTAGAATCTTCTCCACTTCTTCCCGACGATGATCGTACCCCGTTCGATGCTCAATAAGCGGGGGCTCGTTCCCCATGGGGAATGGACAATTGCGCGTCCAGCACAGCTCTACTTCACGTAGTAAGGCCAGGGACGAGTATATAAGAGGTACATCTGGTCTTCTCGTGGCTCATCCCTGATAAATAGGCTAAGGCGCAGTTCACAATCATCCGAAAGAAAATCCTTGAAAATGGTTTCGCAATCACTCCTTCTGCTGTTCCCAGCGCTAGCGCTGGCATCGATCACTATTGAGGATCCCTCGGATGTCATCAAATCCAAGTGGTGGACTAAAGACAATGCGCTCCTTGCAGACTACAATATTCCGATGACCAGTACTCAGCCTTCGGACAGTGAGTAGTTTCTTGAACATCCATGACTTTCCTCAAAAATTGGGTCTAACACGATTTACAGTCCAGGCAACCCACAAGTACGACGGTTCTAGCGTCAGCGCCAGTGTTGACCATGTTACATGGTCCGCTACCACAAATGACACTAGTGTCCTACTCGTTGCCAATGGTGCCGAGTTCAATGGCTCGTACATCGACTTCAAGAAGAGTGGATACTCGACCAACCTGAACACGGCCAGTTTCTGGGGGTTTAATGCTGCAATCAACGTGGTCAGTATTCAATTGGAGTATTATCGAGACTCAAATCCAGCTCTAATCATGATCATCTATATCTATAGGCCAATGCATCCACTGCCTACTTCGATAATGTCAATGTCACTGTGCACAACGGAGCTGCTCAGTTCTATTCATATGGAACTGACACTGTGGTCCACGTCAACAACTCTTGGCTGTACTCGTCTGGACCTGTCAGCCACGGCCTTTACGCCTCTGGAAATGGTACAATCATCGGCCACAACCTCCAGGTCTACTCCGGTGGATACCGCTCGTCTAGCTTCTCTGGTGACTCTCCCGGCGGCTACATCCATGTCTATGATAGCGTTGCTCATGCAGCTGGCATTGGCTCTGCCACCTTCTACTCCCTCGGTCTGATCGATGCCCACAACGTAATCAGCGTTTCCGAGAAGGGTCCCGTTGTCTTCTCCGATGGTCCCCAAACTACCAACCTGACCAACTGTGATGCCACTGCTGGTCTGCTGGGTGGAGTTGTGATCTTCAGCAGCTCGATTCGTAACAGTGGTGCCAAACTCAATCTGGTCAACACCAGGTTTACCACCCTCGGCAAGAAGGTCCCCGGTCTGTGGTTCGGCAACATTATTGCCAGCGCAAACTTGAACAACGCCCAGCTCAACACTGACTCCGGCATCCTGGTGGTCGCCAACTACTCCCAGGTCACCCAGGACTTCGACTACTATGCTGACTACGAGGACAACAACAGCCTGTCCCCTGCCGAGGTGACTCTGACCGTCACTGAGTCTGATCTGGTGGGTGACTTGGTCGCTTACAACAAGAGCGTCATCAGCTGGACTCTCAACGACTACAGTAGTTGGACTGGTTCTGCCTACTCTGGCTACGGAGAGGCCTACTTCGACGTTGCCCTGGATGCTACTAGCAACTGGACTCTGACCCGGGATACTACCCTGCAGAACTTTACCGATACGCTAACAAGCCTATCTAATATCCACAGCAATGGCCACAATATCTACTACAACTCAAGCCTGAACAGCTGGTTGGGTGGTAAAACGGTTCGTCTGTCTGGTGGTGGTGCTGCGAAGCCAATCTCTTCCAATAGTCGTGTTCCCCGCGGAATTACTCGCCGCCAACTGTGAACTAGGATTGCTGAACTCTGGGCATTGTAGAGATTGAGTGGATCTGTCAATGGATATAGTCTTGGTAATGCGGAGGACTAGTATATAGTGTACTGAACTTGGTAGATGGCATCGCTATAACAATGGACCAGTCTGTGATTATCACACGCGAATTGTTATTTTGGAGTTAGACAGATTTGAGGGGCAGCAAGGGGTTCCCAGCTGATAAACGTGGAGAATATAATCTTGCCATACGTAGGTTCAGTCAACAGCTGATCTAAAATCCCCCTGTCACTCCAGAGAGGCGTCATCTGAAAGGTGAAGGGAATTCCGGGGAAAAAAGTATGCATCATTTCAAACATTTAATCTTAGTCAGCTTTAATGGAGTAAGAAAATCATCACGTAGCTAAATCATGGGGTATGGTAAGCGCACGCTATACTTAGGAAACCGCTGTTGCCGAGGTTGAGTTTTTCAATGCCAACAACAATACTTCACAAACTAAGGATCTAAATTCCCCAGCGTCCGGTTATCGACTGGAAGTTACAGGGACCTGTTACCTGTGGTATTTTATATCCACAATTTGAACTTAACAATAGCTTGAATGAGATATATCGGCTTCAACTATCCCGGCTTCGCATGTCTTTTCACCGAGATTCAAGTATTTGCTGGGTTGTTCTAGCAATCTTCTAGAATCTCGTCCAATCGTGAATAAGAAGTATGCAGTATTCTGCACCCCGCATTTGAGTTTCTTCTTCCATTGCCGAAGTGTAATCACGGCCCTGCGTTAAATGTTATCTCCGTATTTCGTATTCGAGTTCGGATTCTCGTATACTCGTATTCCAGTGCTCTTGCAGGCTTGGGTACCATAAACATTATTAGATAGATACGGATACACCCGGCAGCCCCGTGAAATGAGCGAATACCAGACGTCGGTGTTAACCAAGTCAGCCAGTTGCGTGACGGGATGTGGACCACTACAATTTGGATTAGGGGGTTTAGACTCAGCGCTAGTCCAGGTTCCCCGCGAAGCTGGGGATGGCTGCTCTGCCCCCTTCATAGTCCCTTCGGTCGAGCTCCACCCCGAACAACCTCGGGGGCGGGGGTTAGTAATGCTAATTGGATCGTATCAGGGTCATGATTACTCAGACTAACTGCCCCATCACGAAAACATCCTCGAAAAACCCACTCGCGAAATTCCAGCGTTACGATCGTCAGTGCCTAGGCAGAACTATGCCAGGCCCCACGTCTAGAACCCTGCGAGGGACGAAAGATGGAGATGATCCCCACTTGAAAGCAGTCCTTCTGCTCGGTCTGAAAAAGCCCGAAATCATCTTGTCGATCTGAAGGACTTGTTGAAGGTCGGATATACCGGATCTACTAATATATAGCTGGAATAGTTTGAATGGAAGTTGGAGCATTCAAAGAGTGTCAAGCCGGTTTCACACACTCTTCTCGCTTTTCGAGATGCGGACACCTGCCATCAGTTTTCTGAGCTTACTGCTGCTCTGGCAGCCGGCGCGAGCAGATATCAATGATCAAACCTCCGCAAAGGTGGACCGAGGCACCTTCGATGACCCCGCTGCCCGACTACGTCCGCGATTTCGATATTGGCTACCCGATGCCGGAGTAGATGTACAGACTGTACAGGATAATATCAAATCTGCTGGCGCAATTGGGGCTGGGGGAGTGGAATTCCTCCCATTCTACAACTACGGTGGTCAATTGAGCCCAGAGCCTACGGGTGCCAATTGGACCAAGGATGGATTTGGAACGCCTACGTTCCACAAGATGTTTCTAGGTGCGCTTGAGGCCCACAAAGAGGCTGGTTTGGTGATGGACTTCCCTCTTGGACCGAACCAAGGCCAAGGTGTGCCGGCTGACCCGAGCGATGAAGGATTACAATGGGATTTGGTACGTGCATGCCATACTGATAGTCTTTGCTTGGGACATAATCTGACCCAGGGTCGATAATTAGGAACCTTTCTCTGTGGAATTGACAAACGGCCAATTCGATGGACAGATTCCTGGTTGGGGTGCTGGTGAGCTGGTTGCATTGGTCTCTGCTGAAGTGCTGTCTACCAAGAACGTCAGCCTCGGTACAAGCAGCGGTACATCTCTCTTTGGAGCAGCTCAAACTTCATATCTTTCTCTGGTGCTCAAGAATGGTACTCTGGTTGACTGGGGCCAGAATGTGTCTTCCACAGGACATGTCTCGCTCAGGTTCCCTAGTGGATCATCGCATCGCCTGTTTGCATTCTACCAGTTCCTGACCCATGAGAAGAACCTAGAATATAGCAGTGGCAACGCCAAGACCATCTGGGATAATGGCTCATATGTGGTGGACCATTATAGTGCGCGGGGTGCACAGGTAGTGGCCAAATTCTGGGAAAGGTACATACTGCCCGATGGCGTTAAAGAATTGTTGATGGAGGTTGGCAACTACGGTAAGACGACCTGTACCCCACGTCAAGCATTTTCTGTCCCAAATTGTTGCTAATCTACCTCCACCAGGATGGGAGGATAGTGTTGAGATCAGGTCGAATATTTCCTGGACCCCATCACTCCCGGAGGTCTTCCAGTCAAAGTATGGCTATGACTTGAAGCCGTTCCTTCCGTTGATTACATTCAAAGACAACAATATCAACGTACAAAGCACCAACCCCGGTCAATTCTACTGCGTTTTAGACACTCCCGATCAAGGCCTTGGCTATTTCAATGACTTCCGTGGCGCGCTCGTGGCAGGATACCGCAGCTACTTGGAAGAATTGACTAGGTGGGTGAACAGAGAGCTGAACCTGCAGATGTCAGCTCAGGTTTCATACAACTTGCCAATGGATATGGAAGCCAATATCCCTTTTGTGAATGCCCCAGAGTGCGAAAGCCTTCAGTTTGAAAGCAACATCGATGGATACAGGCAGTTTTCTGGCCCCGCTAACTTGGCTGGAAAGCGTGTCATTTCCAATGAGATGGGGGCTGTTATGATGAAAGCGTATAATCTTCCACACAGTGAGCTATTGGGCTATATCAACCGGGCTGTGATCGGCGGCGTGAATCAGGTGGTACTTCACGGGCAGTCATATACGGGTGATTACTATGGTACTACCTGGCCTGGCTATACGGCGTTCGTATACTTGTTCTCAGAACTCTACTCCGACAAGCAACCTTCCTGGGGCCATGGCTTTGGAGACGTCTTGAACTACACAGCTCGCGTCCAGTATCTTCAGCAATCGGGAGTACCACGCACTGACGTGGTCATCTATAACAAGGTCTCTGGCACCAATCCCAATTTCCCAACACTATACTCGTCAAATGACTTGATCGACGCTGGCTATACCTACACATACGTCTCTCCCGACAACTTTGCACTCCCCCAAGCCCAAGTAAAAGACAATGTTTTTGGCTCTGATGGTCCAGCATACAAAGCTATGGTTATCACCAGTAGCAGCAATCTTACCCTGGAGGGTGTGCATTACATCCAGAAGTACGCCCGTGCAGGACTACCAGTGATCCTCAGTGGAGGTGACCCTGGTGTCTATACAACACACGATAGCAGGGATACACCGGCAATCAAACAGGCTATCCAGGCGCTGAAGCAGTCCCGCAATGTATACAGCGTCTCGACCGGAAAGGTTGCTGCCAAATTGCAGACCCTTGGTATCAAGCCACAGGTTGCCCTTCAGACCGATGGGACATGGTATTCGACCTGGAGAGAGGACGTACAGAACGGTATGGATCACGCATTTGTGTTCTGCGATGGTAATGCGTCGACTGGTACCGTTTCTATTGCCAGCAGCAAGACTCCTATCTTCTTGGATCCTTGGACTGGCCAAAAAAAGCCTGTGCTCGAATATACTCGTCACGGAAACCAGGTCATCATTCCTCTCAGCTTGGCAGCCAACCAGACAGTCGTGATTGGTTTCATCGAGGGTGCTCCGAAGCCCGTGCAACACGCCACCCAGCTGCCCTCGTCTGTACTCGGATACGACTATTCTCAAGAGTCTGGATTTGAGCTGTACGTTTCCGCTAGCAAGGACCGTCAGTCACTAATTCTGTCCAACGGCAAATCTGTTAGCATCTCCGGTACGAACGTATCCGAGCCTTCCAAGCTGTCCAACTGGACCCTCACGGCCGAACACTGGGAGGCACCCTCGAATATCTCCGATGTTGACACGGTTGCGGCCAAGCACAACACAACCCACGACCTCTCGTCTCTAGTTTCGTGGACGGAGATCGAGGCATTGAGAAACGTGTCCGGTCTGGGATACTACTCGACAAGCATCAGCTGGCCTCCAACTGGTCATCGTTCTGCCGATGGAGCCTATCTCATTCTTCCCGCCATTTCACACGCCGCACGGATATATGTTAATGGACAAAAAGTCCCTCCAATTGATTTCTCCGCCCCGCGGGTGGACCTCGGTCAATATTTGAAGAAGGGCTCTAACCAGATCACCGTCGTTGTTCCGACTACCATGTGGAATTACATCCGCAGTATCGCCGGCGAGATTGAAACCGCGGACGTCCCGCTTCAACTTCTTATGTCGGCAGTTGGATATACGACTCTCCCTTCCGTCACTGATAACGGCTTGATCGGCACTGTAACGCTAGTGCCATATGTGAAAGTACATTTGGAATAGATTGTTAGTGACTTACAAGGGATTTTCAGGAGAGAGCGAAGCGGGTGATAGTACTAGTGACGTGCACTATTTTGCATCGGCGTGTTTCGTACGTACATATGAGAGAGAAATAATAATTTTTCTTGTAATGGTGTGCATTGGGTTCACCGTATATGGAAATTAGCTTAGAATGAAAATTATTTGACAAGAATTAGGCTTGTTGATATCGCTCTGAGATTTCGTGATTTTTCCGAGAGCCTTATCTCAAGTACATGATCCCGAGCCGCGCAGTCGAACCCATGCGAGTAGCCTGATTCGGGAAGAGCGAATCTGGGCGAGCCTTGATCGGCCTCACACTGACCATGGCGGGTGAGGGTGATCAAATATATGCGGCCATGTCTTGCAAGAGCTACTAGATCTGCTAAAGAGGAAACGGTAATATCACCGTCCAACATTCCTCCTCAATCGTCATCACAGCAGAGCAGCGTTCTGCCAAATTGCTAACGTACTAAGTAGGCACAAGACCTTCCACATAACCTGATCGACAATCATTCTCTCTCCTGCGTTTTTAGAGACAGCTGTTCCCGTGTTGGAAGTCCCAGCACTCGATGGAGACAGCGAGCTCGTTTCTGAGCTGCCCGTGGAACTCCTGGTAGAGCTGCTTGCGCTGGCGCTCGTAGAACTGCTAGTCGAACTACTGTTTGAGGAGACGAGCGTGAAAACCCCACTTTTTACATACCAAGGGGAACTTTCCTTCGGCAAGTCGGAGCCTGACGCTTGTTGAATATAGATCGCCAGATAGAAGGTGAAATTTCCGGAGAGTGAGTCATAACCAAAGGGCGTCGACGACACATCCCACACTGCATTACCAGATATCCGAGTCAGGGTCAAACCAACGAGCCCGCAAACATGTTGCCAGCATGTGGCAGAAGAATGGGGGATAACTGACCATGTTCTCCAGTATCCGGTATGCGTTGCGCTATCTTCCCGCAATTCATATTGGCAAGGTAGCCATCACAGGCAATTGGCTGATTATCCATCCCGTCGACTTCCGTAAAGGAATACGCCAAGCCCGACGTATCAGTATCCCATACCTCGATCGAGATACTTCCTGAGACATTTGGTGGTGTCCAGCGAATAGTGTACGGAGAAGCGTAGGTGACGATCTCGCCTTGTGTAGGGCGGAGAACTTGACTGCTTCCAGTGGCCTGAGAAATAGGCGTTGTTGTCGAAGATGACGTTGTGGATTGAGCAATAGCGCTTGCTTGAAGCATGAAAAGAACAACAGCAAAGCGACTAAGAGACATGTCGAAGACCTGAAACGAAGAATATACTCCTTGGGAACCTGAGTTTGGATTTCAAGCCTGATTTAGGGAAGAGTGTGGTGGTGATCGACTATGCGGCTGATTGTCGGTTGAGATGCTTTCTGGTAGAATATCGCACTTTAAGACGTTTTGAATCTCCCCTTCATAATAATATCGCTTTCGTATTCTGCGAAGTGTCGTGGACCTTACGCAATATACGGCACCTGAGAGGCTAAGAATCCGCCTCTCGTATTTAAGCTTTAACGATGTGTGATGCGACCACGTTCAGTAACCCAAGTACCTAATAGGTCAAGTTTGAGCTCTGACACAAGAAATCTCGTCAATCAGCATGATCAATACCACTTCTCCACAAAACCCAGCATAAGAAGGACTGGAATTGATCATACTCAAAGGCCGAAAGCATGACCCTTGGTCGCGTTTTGTGACCTGAACCCTGACCACTCATTCATTCACAACATCTAGTTCATTTAGTTTTAATGCTATTTCTCAGGACAGGCAATATGTTCAGTTAACAGACCCACTGAGATAGGGTGGTTTCTCTTTAATTCCGACATCGAGTATCTCGACGTTATCAAAGGTTAGCTGAACAGCAACAGCGCCCGATATATCGTGTAAAATTACCGCATTCTCAAATCTATTATTATCCTGCCACATATCTCACCCGGATATAAGTTCTATTCTCCTCTTTATCAAGCCATTTGGGAGATTCATTCTAGTCATTTCTGTGTGCGTGTAGTCAACGTGTTCTGCGGTATACATCTGCCTCGAATGCTTATTTTAGGTACTTTCATCCTGCTGGGTCTAGCCCACGTGGAGCGGGTTAGATCATCTGTTTTGCATCTGTTTCTGTCTCCACTCTTCGTACTTGTTTTTCTTTTTTCCCCTACCTAACACGACTGAGCGCCCCCTTCTCATCACGCTTCAATCACTAGCCCCCATCCCGGTGACATGAAATGCTCTATGTGATGAAATGCCCAGCGGTTACCTGCACATTCGAGCACCGTCACTCCCAGTCCACTCATTGAATATTGCTTGAGAGCAGCAGGAACAATAATTATTTGATTTCGGATTCGAAAGCAGTTTCAAACAGAGATTACACAATGTTAACGTGGCGGATTACAGGACGACGTGCACTACTAGAAAATCCGCTGTTTACTACTACGATGCTAAGATCGCCCACAAAAACATCTGATTTGGATAGGAAAGACAAGTTTGCATCATTTCACTCAAAGCAGGACACGTCCGGCATCGCGCTTCAGCCATCTTCCATACAGCTCAGAATACGCCCCGAGTTCACATAGATAAAAACGGGAGCATCCAGACCCTTGAACAAAAGAGATAGGGCAACAAAAGAAATTACAAAGGAAAAGACACGATCGGGTTTTGAACCCTAGTCGCCCATGAATGAGTGGTGAAATGGTAGGATTTCCCGAATTAGGACATCCCGAAACAGCAGAAAGGCATATATACGTGGATAGGCTGCGGCACATCCTCAAGGCTCCGCCGATCCCTCCGCTACGCTCCACAAATTTGCGGATTTGGAGGGTAAGATGCCCTCCGCAAATCCGCGCGGAGCGGATGAGGATCTAAAGGCACCCTCCACGCGAGGATTTGCGGAGCTCTGCGGAGGCACAAATAGTGCAAACTGGTTTTATGAGTAATACAGTCAGTATTAGTGCTGTACTGGAGTGTCCGTAGACAGATGTCTAACGTACAATTGGTTACAAAACGGTATCCCATACCCTTCATAGTCGTTGAAATTTTTACAGAAAGTTCGATTCTAATACCCCCTCCAGGTGCTTGCCTCTCCCGCCGAATTTTGTATGCAAAAATATCCCGAACTTTCGAGGTTGACGCGAAGCTCGTGGAACTTGCTCGCTTTCGCCTTCCGTTCGAACAAGATGTCAATCTCGAGATAGCTCAAGCCGAAGGTCTCTGGCAATCTCCAGTAGCACCAGACAAGGCATAGAACTGTCGTTCCAGCGAAGAAGAAACACGACTTTCCCTTCCAATTCCACGCCGTGGTGCTTAGCATATGCGGAGTCATCCAGTTGATGAGAATTCCGGCTAAATTATAGGCTGTTCGAGCCAGAACCACTGTTTTGACACGAAGTCGAGTCGATGGGATTTCCGCGACCAGAACATAGCATACGGGTCCGATGGTCATATTGTATACAAATGTTAAAATCAAAAGCAAAGACCCGAGAGTCCAAAGCTGGCCGTGGGATGTTGGAAGAGTGCCGACAATGCCGCCGACCAATAGAATAACCAGTAGGGCTGAAAGGCCGCAGAGATACAGCCTCCGACGTCCGAAACGTGACAGGAGTGACCAGGAGATAATAGCGCCAACTATGGCTAATCCGTAGGTGCCGACGGAAAGGCTGAAGGCGTTGTCGACACTGAACCCAGCCTGATGGTAAAATGTTGGAGCCCAGCCCATCAAGCTGGTTCCGCATACCTGCTGCGTGATCCAAACCATACTGGCAATCTCGGTTCGTCGGCGATCGACCCCCTTGAAGGCGTTTAAGTATGATATGCCTCCGTCGCCTTCTTTTAAGTACTTTTCAATCTCGTTAGTACGCTCTATCATAGCCATTGTCTGGTCGATGTTGACCTTGCCCTTCCTGGTCAACCTCGTCAAAGACCTTTCGGCATCACGTTGTCGCCTGTGGCGGATAAGCCACCATGGGGATTCCGGGGCGAACATGACCGCGACCAGAATGGGGAGACAAATCACCCACTGAAGTGCAAAGGGGATCCGATATGACCACTGGGACGTGTTGTCGACGAACTTCCTGAGTATTCCTGTAGCCAAAAACTGGCCAAGAATCCAGCAAAGATTGACATTGCTAAGCAGGTAGGCACGTAATGCTATAGGCATCACTTCCGCTGCGTATGTGGTCGATAATGTTTGAAAAACGCCCCATGGGATCCCACATATGATTTGTGCTGCCAGCAACATCCGTATATTCACCGCAAAAAATGCCAACAAAATACTCAGCAACAGGAAAGTCAACGCGGAGACTATGGTCCAGCGATAACCGATCCGATCGGCGAAATAGCCATTTGCAAGTAGCCCGACTATCTCGCCGGCCTCTGCTGCAGTTGATAAGGCAAATTGCCACGTTGAAGAGATTTGATACCCGGAGTCAGGTGTTGGTGTTCCATATCTTTGCTGGAATGCAGGGAAAGCGAAGAGGTTGAAAATAAGAAGTGTATCAAATCCTTCCATTATTATGGTGGAAGACAAGATAACCGACCAGGCTATAGCCTTGGGGTACAAGCGACACCCGCGAAGGAAGGTCAGTTTCTGTTCTGCCCGAGTGGCTTCCCTAGCTGGAAGGTCGAGTGGCCGCAATTCAGGCAATGCCGTCGCGAGCTGTTCGGTGAGGACGGCGGTATCGGTTCGACCGAGTGTCGCGCTGTTGGTGCTAGTTTGCTCCGTGCGCGAATAGGATGGAAACAATGTCGTCCCGCAGAGGGACTCGTTTCCTTGAGCCAAATTTGCAATACGTTCCAGATTGTAAGAGGGATTCACCTCCGAGTCTTTGGATGTCGGCATCATATCTTTCGATGTAACGACGAGTCAAGTTATCCTTGAGGCCAATCGTCGTCGGAGTTGCTCGATTGACCTTCCTGCTTTATTTTCAGGTCAAGTAACATTTGAGCCCCGAATCACTGATAGATAGGGGTAGCAGGCTTGGTGCTTAAGACATCTCAGGCGAATGTGTTGCTGTATTGCACCGTCACCTGAAGATTTGTCGCCACGCCAAGACACAAACGCAACAACTCCCAGCCCGACAACCTCGTACTGTGCAAGCCACACACCTGTCAATTCGATATATCATTCGGGACGTGGCTTGCCTCTCGAACGCCACCAGACGCACAGCCTTTGGTGTCTTAAAAGATGGGTTATACCATCGGTGGAGTCCTAGTCCCGGGATGGTCTAGACGTTGAGGAAAACCTTAATAATGGTTGCGAACCACGGCAGGACCTGAGATTGAACATGAGATCACACACTCTCTTCCTTGAATCCAATCTCGGCCAAGCCATCATTGATACTGTAACTGTGCCCTTTTTTGGGGTCGCCCCACTACCCTTCCGGGTTCGTCGGACAACCCTGGGCTGGCTCTCACCCGCACATTAACCGATCTAGCGGCTCGCACTTCCAGTAGTAGAGGGAATATTACGATAAACGCTTGCAAACTGCCGGTGGTTCCTGCAGATATCTTTGATCGTCCGTTCGTTACTCCGACTATGTCAACCTTTTGAGACGTGTGTAGTGACTGGCTTTGTATGATATTACGAATCAAATGTAGCCTTGTGAGGGGAGTAGTCTCAATGTCATGTTGAGCATACGATTCTACCCAGTCTCGAGACAGTGGTTCTGCAGGACCATGGATGCCAGGGCATGGAGGATGGGCATAGAGGCGCACTGAGATCGGAGTGTATAGGAGTTTCGCGTAATATACAGTATGAGAGGTAATGCAATCGTTCTTGAACTAGAAGGGCTCCATTCTTAGAAAGGGAATATTTACGGCTTAGCCAAGTACGAAGTAGGGCAGTTCCGGGTACAAAGCCGACAAAGAAAGCGTGAGCGTCCATGGGGAATCTGATTTCGACATCGACTGTACATCCTACGTGCATTCGGTTCATGTTCCATGCCGAAAGTGCAGCTCGTGTCTGCAAGCAGGTTCAGCTGAGGGCGATTCGGTGTGAAGCCCACTCGAATCTATATTGTCCCGGTCATGTTAAATAGCCTTGGGGAGTTGTGCGTTACAATCCCCAAGAATCATGTTTGATCTGAATCTGACCCTACAATGTATTCCTCGCTCCTCTACATTTGCTCCTTCTTACCTAGTTGGCGGACTCTTGTCCATGGTACACACCCTTACACAAGATCTCCGGGGAGCAATTAAGTATCCGCCCCCCTTCCAGGGCAGTGCCTCTCTCGGTTCTCCTTGTGCAACTGAACCGAGAGAAATGCGCTTGTCAGCACCGAAGAATCCCAGTCCCTCTCCTTGTGGTGATTTGAGTCGGAATAGCGGAGGGCTTCGTTACAGGGAAGTCAAGGTATCCGGAAAATATACCGAGATCCGAAGAACGACGCACACATGAAAAGGATTATGTCCAAGCAGAAAACGCAGACTTTATAACAGATTAACTTTCCACGTCGGCAGATAAGAAAGTTAAGTTCCAAATGTCTCAACAGAGATGGATGTTAAGTCCGTCATCTGAATCCAAGAAACCAAAATAAATATTATCCTGTACATCATTCTCGCTATCGAAACCTACCACTATCTGAAATCTGCGCTATGAACACTACCCAGTACGCGTGCTTACTAGAAGAACAATACCTCCAGTTCCATATCGATGATATAACTAATAGTTCTACAGTAACTTATCGGAAGTGGTTTGCGGTGAGTAATAGCTTTTTAGTCACAATTCCATCAAACTCCAAAAGCCGACTGGTGGGACGGAAAAGATTATGTCCCTACTTGATAACTTCTGTTGGACGCCCGACATTTTGTTCTCTTCAAAGTACTGCCCGGGATCGTGCAACGGACCAGCGTACGTGGCCCAATCGATTCTTTTGTGGTCATCGCCTGATCAGAGTTGGCTGAGACCTGGGCGCATATTACTGCCTTGAAGTGTGCTGATGCTTTCTTGCCCTCTTCAAATACTATTGCCAACTTTGAATGGCTTTGCAATCGTGCCTCTCGCGGAATGCCACAGCATAACGAATACTACGCAGTTTTTGCTGGGCGTGTGGATGAACCTACAATATTTTCGTCATGGTAATATGCTGTCTGAGATCACAGGTATGATCGGTCCTAACCGAAGTGGCAGGGGAGATGCACACCCTTGAGTGACTGGTTGTACCTTATCGCATGGTGCCTTTGACACCCTCGAAGACGCCCGCGCCTACATGAAGAGGATGGGTGCAACCCAAGCTAAAGAGGTAATGAAGGTCGACGTGGGACAAACAGCACCGTTGAACGGAAATGGATTCTATGCGGTTGCTAATGGGGTAAACCCTGGTATCTATGATTTGTACCGGTAGGCACTGTAGCTGTCTGCTACGGAGAGCATGATAGCTAGCTTGAGAATACTAGCGGTAGATGCGGTGCTGAGAAAGAAGTTAAAAAGGAGGCTGGTTCTTGTTACAAGAAGTTTAGAACGAGGGCCTAAGCTAAAGCTTTCATCGAAGATTGGAAGAAATCTTATGCTGGTATTTAGCGGGAAATAATACAGGAACTATTAGACCAGGGCTTCAGACCTCGTGATATTGAAGCTTTGAGAACCGGCCGTATAAAGTGGATCATTAAATAGTTTATAAGCCGGGCAAATGTACTAAGATAGGCGAACTTACGGACAAGGCCAAGCAGCTTTCGCTGTAACACCTAAAACAGAAGAATTAACGTTTAAACTAATATTAAAGTTCGAATTTAACATCAACTGAAGCCTCTAGTTGCTCTTCATAATAAAAAGAAAAAAAATGAATGAAAAATGGTTATTCTTCTCTCTTCTGACAAGAATTCTAAGGTAGTACGCTCCGAGTTCGCGTGATGCTAGTGATACTATTGTTGAAACAAAGGGTACTATATGATAGTAATAGCAGCGTAGGATCACTAATATAACCGGCATTAGCAGCATCATAATCCATAACCTGATAGATAGGACTCCGTCACTATTTATTTAGACGGCAGACCTAAATGATATTTCAGCCTAATTCTTCATTCAAAGATCTCTTTCCCGAGCCTAATATGGATTGTTTTATTGTCAGGACTGCCGTACTCGCACGGCAGATCCTTGTAAGAATAGAGAACTAGAGTGGAGGAATCCCTAGAGGGTGGTTTTTGATTGAGACTAAACGCTAAGAAGCCAAGCTCTACTGACAATGTGCGGGTATACCGTGTACCTAGATGGCGTGATGTGATCTGGCAGCCCATTCCGTGAACGTGAACTTGGTAGGGTCAGGCAACCTCCGGGCTATCTGTGCAGGCTTCTGGTAGACGTTTGGCAGAAGGCCGTAATATATGTGTTAGTCACCCTAGGGCCTGCTACGGCGGTGATAAGCACCTCCCAAGGAGAACTTACTTCGCTGAACCATGACCATCATAAGAGAGGGTGATCTGGGGCTGGAACGGCGATAATGGATAACCACTTCTACTTCAGTCTATACGGTTAAATTTGGAGTATGTCAACATAAAGTTTTCAGTTAGAGGTCTCGTAGCTTTGAATGTTAGATCTACCTGAGTCGTGACACTTGTTCCTGGCTACAGTCCCGGCATGAGATAGAATCGATAGTTGCGACAGGTACGGACGTGAAAAATTGTCTATGGCACCTCAGAAGCGGAAAATCAAAATCTGGTGGACCCTATAGTAGAACCTTGTCGATGGACGACCGTATAGAAGGCTCGTGCCTAGGGATCGCTACCAATACAAATCCATACTATTCTTTAGTATTTGTATTCGTATCTGGATCTGTAATATGTAATCTCTACGTATCCTGTGTGTGAGAGAGAGAAGAATATTGCTTCTATAGAAGCTTCTAAATTTATCTCGAAGGAAAGGGCAGGGAGAGAGGCGGTGTCATTATCCTATACGAGAGCTCGTACGCTTTACAGACTAGAGCAATCCAAGGAAGGCCAAAGACGACAAGCTAAGCCTAAATCCTACCTAAAGAAAAATGGGATATAGGGGTCTGGGTTCTAGAAGTAGCAGCTTCTGAAGCACGTCAACCGGGCATGTTCTATCTCCTGTCTTTGTAAGAATAGTCTTTATACACTACAAACGAAGAGATCAAGATACTGGGGGAACTAAACTATATCGGGTGTGTTTCACTTCCCTACTTTACTCGACATTGATTAGCCTCATGAACTATAGAACTTTTCAGGAGCAATAAGAGCAGCATAAAGTGTTGGTATCCCTATAGACGCTGGGATGACTTACTGTACAAAGCTTTGGCGCCGGACCTTAGATCGAACCAATGAACACAAAATGTGGAGTAAGATTGACAGTACTAAGTATAGCCACATATCCTTCACTGGCAGGATGCCAATAGCGCTGTGTTTGAAAATCTTACTATGTAGTGAATCCAAGACTATTGGAGTTTGGCTATACTACTTTTGTCTCCGAGGTGTCTTTTGAGTCTCATGGATAGTCTTGACCTATCCTGTCGCTTTCGTTTTTCCCACCCTTGGTTCTTTGGCTCTTTGGCCGCCAGTTGGTTATAATCCCCTGGCTGGCCAGCTTTCGTTCTTCGCTATCTTCGCATCTACCTCAACACATATATTCATCTTCTCTATCTACTCCTTTCTCTCCTGCTTTGTGTAGGCTTCTAGTGCCGAGTTCAGCAAACCCTGAACCCACAATCCCAGCGCCAAAAGGATAGCCTTGTCTAGTTCAAAGATTCTGTTTCTTACCCCTGGTCATTAGGACCCCGTTGCAAACCATCAATCTTGGAGTAAGCTTTAAACTTGCAGGAAAAGATACTAATAATCCACTACTAACTAACTAAGCGCTCATTGAGCACCCATGATGAGTCGCTTATCGATCTAATGACCACCTACACAGACTAGATCACTAAGCATAAGCCCCTATCAATATTTATTTAGTGAGCCTGCACCTGAGCCCTCATTAAAGCGGTGGCAGCACAGGGCAGAGAAATCCTGTGTACATGTGGGTGTCCACCTAAATCAGCGGCCAAACCGCTCGGTACTCGGAGAGTTGATCCCAAAAGTCTCCGACACTTCACGTCGTATCTACTATGGATCCTACGATGCTGAAAAAAGCGGAAAATCAATGTAGTACAGCCGCTTCCTGCCCTTCTGGCCTTGCAGCGATATGATCACCATTTTGGATGAGATGATCAAAAAATCATGATAGTGAGATCTAAGACAAAATAGTGGGTGGAGAACGATCGGATCTGAATCGAATCCGGAGGCTGGTCAGCAGGGGATGGTTTCTAGCCGCCAAGGGGGGGAATTCCGAGCGAGCGGAGAAATGTCATGTGAGTCTCACTGTTACAAATGAGGTTGAGGTCAGGTACAATATACTGGCTAGGCCTGGCTAAGTGTAGCGAGCCTGTTGCGAATAGGGCTAACGGGCGAGAGATCCGAGGATGGTGTGGCGCATGCCACGACGCTGCCAAGCGTTCTGATAGCCTTAGCGAGTATGTCGCTGGCAGCGACTCGGTGCAGCGTACTTCCTTGTACTCCCTGCTCCCTATTTCGATCTTTATGCTTAGATTGATTCGTAATGTTTGTTATTCGACCCCGGTCGCGTGGCGCCTAGACTGGGGTGTGATTGCTCGAGGATTAAGTCTGTGTAGTATTTGCAAGATGTCCTCGGCCGTAAGGTTCGGAAACCGAGTGGACAGAGAGTGGTGGATAGACTCATCAGTCAGAAAGGTAGCTGGATTAGAAATTATTCGGGAATCGGAAGCAAAAGAAGTTATAGTTGGATTCATAGATATGGCCGTGATTCCGGTTTCTTATAGTTGAATCAAATACATATTTGCATTGGAGATACATTTTTTATGTAAGGATTGTGTTCTATAGTCTTGATTTGCAGGTATAAAGCACAGGGTAATCACTATGAATACTGTAGATAGAATAGAATTGACGGTGTATTTGACGGGCTGAGAACCAGACTTATTTCCCTCGCTAGTCAGTTCGCAGTCACCGCTATCTTCCACCACTAGACGCCTGAATAGTGGAATCTCTACGAGGAAGTACAAAATAGTAGCTAATAGGCCACCCACCTCGGAATTCGCGGTTTGCGCTTCTTGCAACATCCGAACACAACCAGTCAAGTCGCCAAGTCTTAAAACCCCCTCGTTTGCCCTGATCGGGAAAACGCATACTCGTCTTGCTTTGCGGCCCCTTCGCACTCTCCACCAATCATCATGGCCCGAGAGCTACAATCAGCAACTGATGGCGGTTAGAGGCTGGTCCCACTCGCGCTAGGAGTCAATCGGGTAAGGCGCACCATGATTTTGTTTCCATTCTATTTGGTCCCCCGGGAATTGGGTGGACTCTCATGTGCCGCGTGTTGCTTGTCAGGTATGCTGCATAGAACAGTCACAAGGAGAGGCAATGTATCCAAGTTTAGCTGGATCATAAAGCAGCGTCCTCCCATCGCATGAATTATAGCACAGGGAGCACTTTCCATTCAAAGTACGGAGTACAGTAATACTGTCTACCGCGGCTCCAGAGCGTTCAAAATACAAATTCAGCCAGTTCCAATGCGACCCGCCAAAAGTGGGCCCCAATGATCATCCTCCGGTCTCATTCTCTGATTCTACTGGCCTCAGTGGACTAGCACATCCTGCACTAATGGTTCATAATTATGTCATTATGGATCGCTAGCTCGGATAGACCTGCACCTGCATTTACCGATTTGGGCCATCTACTGTCTGTCTCTGGCCATTCGTGGTTGCTTTGCTTGCGAGTATGGAATTATTAATTTTTACGCATACAGTAAATGGTTGTACAAGGTTGATATCCTTTTTCCTGTCTTAGTTGTAGTAACCCTTTCAACCATGCACTACTCCTCCCTTCTCCTGTATGCCACAGCCTATAGCTGCAGGGCAACCGACGATTAGTCCATCGAGTTCTTGTATCCTCAGCAAGCAAATGCCCCACTGGCCACCAGGGGGGGCTTGCCCCGGGGGGCCGTATACGAAGATGATCTTTTTTTTTCCATTTTCCTTTCGTGGTTGATCGCGATTTCTTGATTATTGTTGATTGTTTATTATAAGCAGTTTGTCGATTCATTCTTTTATCGAAGAATTCTCAACACTCCTTTCCATCCATTTCTTCTATAGATCCAACCAGCTGGCGAGAGGCTAAAACCAGACCTTGGGACCCTCGCGACAAACCTAAAGACTTTAAAGTCTATAGCTACCCACTTGATCTTCCTTGTGATCTGGGCAAAATCCCTACTCGGTCTCCGGTCCGATCTCTCGAAGCGTCGGTCTGAAACGTCCGCCCCTCTTTCGTCTTCTCCCGCCTTTCCTCCGCTCTTGTCCATATCCATGCTATCCTGGCCAAATAAGCGATCCCGACAGGGTAGCCTGCAGCGTGAATTCCAGGTACGTGTCATTCTCGCTTGGTTCGTCCAAGATGCAATGGAACCAAAACGCAAATAAAGAAGCCCCTCCACCTCCCGAAGTGGAAATACCCCTCAACTCTCTCAACCTCGGAATGTCCAGATAGGCAAGAAGAGAGAGATGGTCCCGTGTGGTTCCGTGGCGCGCATAGCTCCCTGCAGAGCCCCTCCTCTTTTAGAGCCCTTCACGAGACGTGATTCCTAGTCTTCCTGCTAACACCCGCTTCTAGTACTCTCAAGCGAGCTGCCCGTATTGCGCGGACTACAAGATGCTCAGTCGGTATCCGCTGGGCCCTCGCCTGACGCGGTTGGATACCAAGTTTCATTCGACCTCGTCAGTTTCTAGCGCTTCGTCAATGGCCATGTCTGACGTCTCTATCTCCCCTCCAGCACCTTCAGCGATGACTGACCTGGTGTCCACGTCGGATCAACCGGCTCCCAAAGAGGAGAGCCCGTCGCTGAATGCAACGGCTCTGTTTCCTCCCAAAATGGAGGATTCGCTGCATTTGCAGGATCTGGAGTTGATGATGCATTGGTGTACGACGACATATCGCTCTATGGCCCGCCATCCGGCTGCCGAGGGGCTGTGGCAGGTGGCCATTCCTCAATTATCATTACGGTTTCCTGCCCTGCGACATGGGCTATTAGCTCTGTCGGCCCTGCAACTGGCTCAGGATACTTCAAATCCGGAGCAGAAATGGCAATATCTAGTTTCGGCACGCAAGCACCAAAATCATGCTCTAACGGGGATTCAATTCGATGACGTCGATGAGTTTACCACGTCGCAATGTAACGCGTCGTTTGCGCTGTGTTGCGTGTTGCTGGTCTTTCCCTTTGCATACTGTCTGGTTGATGACTCCGACGCGGAGGACGAGGAGGAACGGCCCGAGGTGCTGGATGAATTTCTGGAAGTCTTTGAACTCACACGGTGGCTCGTGGGTGCGATGATACTCACGATGGACCGAGTTGCCAACGGCGAATTATACCCGCTCGTACGACCGGATCCAACCCGGCCTACGATGCCGGACATGTCTCAATTGGTCATTCTGGCGCTGAGGAGGCACAATGCCGTGGAAGCGGAGCGAGATCCATCCCATGAGGAAGATGTATATGACCAGGTACTCGGGCATCTGCGCCATTGCTTGGAACAACTCATGGGCGGAGGCGAACCCACGGATTTCGCGTTTTGCTGGGCATATCGCATCCCCGTGCGATTCCAAGATTTGATTCGCGAGCGGCAGCCATTTGCTTTGGTAGTGCTGGCCCACTACGCCGTGGTCCTGCATCATTTGCACGAGTCTTGGTGGATGGGGAGTTGGGGGACTCGCATCCTGAATGAGATTGTCGACTACCTGGACCCGGAGTGGCGGGAGCTGATCAGCTGGCCTATCGATGCGACGGGTTGCCTTGTGCCGGAGGACTGAGGGAGCCGCGTCGAAAATATCGCGGACACAGTCCAGGGGCGCCCAATTTTCAGGGTTTCGCGAGAGTGTGGTTCCCTTGGGAGACAGATACCGGAGAGCCCGAGAAGAGGTGTATCCCGATGGCCAGGTCAAGACCCCATTCGATCCGTCAACGGTAGTGAATATGGGGATTCTTTGGGAGGAAAGGAAACACGGAGTAATAATAGGCTGCGACCAATGCTGGGTAGCTCTTGCATTAACATTTGCATTCGCACCCAACAAGCAAAAACAGGGCTTGTGACCATTGTCTATAACGAATCATGAGAGCGTGTCATTAAAATAGAATAATTCCGCTATCGACAGAAGGGGGGAGAGTCTGGCTTCCTCTGCACCGAAGTGCTGTGCACCATGGGAATAGAACTGAAAATTGAAGCCCCCCAGAAATTCTTAAAGCAAAACAAGTAAAGACCCAGCGCCTGGAACCCCAAATAAACCCCCGATAACACCAAGCGCCAGTCCTTAATGGACGATACCTCAGACTTGTGGCCCCCAGCCGCCTGTGCGGGAGTCTAGCAAGGCCGTGCGTGCAGTAGCGCCAGAGAAGAAGATAGGCCGAACCAGGAGCGAGAGATAAGAAAGAATTGAAACGTGAAAAAGCAAAGAGCTCCGGATGATAAGATAACCACCTCCTGCCCCTCGTGAAAGAAAGTCTTTTGCAACTTTATCGACGGCACATGGTCTTACCGCAATGTTTGAGACCATCGGACACACTTGAAGGTATTCGGTTGACGAACGGCGCTCGGGGAGTCAAGTCGCATGAATGAGTTTGTGACCCGATCAGTATGTGTCTTGCGGAGGATCGGATGTCACTGTCGCTGATGAAGGATCCTTTCTAGGACGATGGCGAATCCCGGCGCATCTCTTGTCGCTTGTGCTCGATCTCCTTGATGCGATCCTTGGACTGCGTGCGCACCCGAATCAACTCGGCCTCCTCCTTACGAGCGTGTTCTTCCTCCTCCGGCGTGGGGATGTAGGCATTGGCGGCGCCACCTATAATTTTTAACCGAGTCAGCGACCTCACTCTTTGTACCGCACTTCTGTCTTCTCCCACGTTGGGGATATTCATCGCATACCTCGGCCCGTATGGTGGGGGTACTGCTCCCCCCGCAGCGGTGGCGACTCGACATCTTGACTCTCGCGCGCGATCTCCGGACGCTCTGGGTCATTCTGGACCATATTCCCTGATCCTCCACGGCCAGTGGTATAGATCTCTTGCTTGATTGTCGGCGTGACGAGGTCCTTGGGTGTCGTGGGTGTTGTGGATTTCTGTTGAGGGGCGATGTTGCCTGCATTGAGAAGAAGTGGTCGTCAGCAGCCTGGCATAAAGAAGGGTTAGGGGACGTCGTACCGGCGCCTCCCCGGCCGTACGAGATATTTCGGTGGAGATTGGGACCACTCATTGTGAGGGTGGATGTGATTTGGAGATGTTGGGCTCGTTGAGAGGTGCGGGAGCCTTTTTCGATGTGAAGCGGGGAGTGCGGCAGATTCTGTTGCCGCTTGGCAGTCACGCGGTCTCGTTGAGATTTCAAGGACGGGAAGTGATGGACAGTCGAGCTGTTTATCTGAGGAAGGAAGATCTGGAGAAATACACGAGGATGATTGTCAGGGGAAAGAAAGTTTGTCTCCTTTATTTTTCGGTCTTGCTCACTTTCTTTCGGTCTTCTCGTGGGGGGACCTGAAATCTTTTCCGCGCCAAGCAGGATGAGGTCATGGGACCGCCCGCTTTGGGAATCTCCGTCCTGCTGGACGAACGACTAGTCCATCATGGACAGTTGGAGATACAGCTCCACCGCAAGAGGAATCAGAAGAAGTGAAATTCCCAATCATTCGGTGGATCCTACACAATGAGCGACTTCCAGCGAGCGAAGGAACTCCACACTCAAAGACCAGCATCCTTGCATCAAATCCCGGATTGTTTATGGATGAGCAATATTGATCGATTGAGCTATCTAAACTAAGAATGCAACGCCACAAACGACACGCAGAAAGATACAGACAAGAGATAGACACAAGCCAATGGATATCATATTCGCCATGCCCCGAACTCCAATGAAAGCCAAAGCAGATTCAAATCAAAACGGACCAACCACTTAGACAAATGCTAGCTCACCACTACTCGCAACCGGAAGTCCTCGAGAACTGCCACTCTTGATAGGAGGCGGGGGCTCAAGGCCCATATTCCACGATTGATTCTTCCTAACAGCGGCAACTTTGTGCGGACTGGCTTTGCGAGACAGATGCTCTTCGAGGTCGGACACGATCGACGAACTCTGGGGAATGCCCGACCCGGCGTCAGCCCGTAGTTGTTGCGGTGGTTTAGGGTGAGACCCTGATCCAAGGCGGCGGGCACTGCTGAGACTATTCTCACTCCAAAAGCGTGGAAGTGGAGAGATGACACCGCGGTAGTCCTGTGCCAGACTCAGTTGGCTCTGGCTTTTGCCGCCACCCTCGACGAGAGGGAACAGGCCCGGTGGTGGCTGGAGAGGCTGGTATTGGGATATCCGGCTTTCCTCGCCGTACTCGGACATAGACATGGCCGTGGAATAAGGACGGCCTTGGATGGATTGGCGGTATTCGTCGCTGAAGGTAGAGACGGAGACTGTATCAGCACGGCTACGCAGACTGCGAGCGCGTTCGAGAGCTCGGAGTCCGGAAGATGCGCAGCGGCTGATCTGAGCAGAGAAGAGTGGGTTGGACGAGTTGCGGTGCTTGGCCCGGCTGTGGACAAATGCCTCGAGGGAATCAGCCTCGGAGATGGTCGATTCATCTGGCTCCACGGCCCTTAGTGTGACGCGCTTGGCGTTCTCGGGAATACTCTCGGCGATGCTGTGTCTGGCACGGGCAGCGGCGGGAGGAGGTCGAGGGAACAAGGGGGTCATATTTCCCAGGCTACTGTCATCGCTCATAAATGAAGCTTTCGTGTTTTGCCACGACATACGCACAATACCGTGTCCTGGAGGTCCAAAGCCACCAGCACCATGTCCGGCACCACTCATTCTCACGGGCAGACCAGAGGCGACAGTTGAGATTCCACTCGAACGCTTCGAGTATCTTTTTGAGCGGGATGACTGGATCGATTCACGCTTCATGGCTCGTGGTTGAATAGGTTTCAGCGGCTCTCGACGGGAACGGTTGCTAGTCGGACGTCGTACACCGGGGCTGGCAGAGATTGACAGGCGCTGGTTCTGCTTTCTGGTGGGCGACATTTCCAGCGGCTTGTTTTCTTCGATGATAGAGTCTCGCAAGGGCACGAATGCTCTGCGCCTAGGTGAACGAGGTGGCGGGCTAGGCCCTGGGATCGCCATCATGCTGTCTTCCGGTTTGTCAAACGATGCCACGTTCCAGGCAGGACCGAGTTCGAGCTTGGGGAGGTCAGATGCAGGCGAAAGTGGACTCATCCAGTCATCGGAGTTATCATCCTGTGATGGTCTTCTAGTAGCACCCGGTTGGCAATTGGGGAGCTCTGGCCGTGCCGGGCGTGGCGGAGGAACCTTGGTTTCTGATGGCTCTTGTCCGTCCTCCGCCGTCGCTGACTTGCTCCTACGACGCCAGCAGCAGAAGAGGATGATACTGCTAAGAATAACAGCCACCGGGATGATCACGGAAATTGCGATGATTCCAGCCTTTTGGTGTGAAGGGCTAGTAGAGTCCGATGAATCAGAGCCACCTGAGTGAGGCTTTGACGGCTCGAGAACATCAATTTCAAAGTCCTGTCGATTCTCAATTGATCCTTGGGATGCTTTCAAATGAATGGTAAATGTCTCTGGTTGAATGTCCGAAGGAACGTGCCCATGGAGCGTCTTGTTTGCAGAATTATAGCTAAGCCATGGAAAATCATCGCCTAGATCGACGTCAAGTTGCACCGAATCATCGGTCAGGATGGATTGATTGAAGACGAAAGAAAAGTCCTCGCCGATGGTTGCTTCGCAGCCTTGAACGGTTTCCAGGAAAAGCTCCAGAAATCCCAAGCGAACCATAAGCTTCGCCTGATCCTGATAGGTGTCCGTGACGGTGATCGTGATGTTCTGATTAACAGCAGTCTTTGGCGGAGTGCCAATCAGGGAGATTGAATTCTTGTCGAGACTCAGCCAATCTGGAAGCTCCGCGTCAATCGAGATCAAGTCCTTGCTCGAGATCGGCGAGCTGTCCAAGGTAATAAAGCTCTCAAAGCCAGGGCTATTAAAGGTTTCGCCTCTTGTGAGGTTGAAAGTTTGGACGGTCTCGTTGAATGCTAGGATGTGCGGTCCGATGGCGAGCTGAAAGGTCTGGTTCACGGCGCTGAAGCCTGCCACGTCAGAGGCAACCAGTTGAAAAGTAAACTCCTGGGAACCAGATCCGGGGAAGGCTGGCGTGTTTCCAGCGAACTTGAGCGTATTCGGGTCAAACCCGATCCACGAAGGCAGGGGAGCGTTGTTGGGCGATGTTCCGTAGTAGATAGTCGACGGGTGGGTGTTGTGGAAGGTGCTCGGGTCGAACTCAATGGAGACCGGCTCACCAGGATGAACGTATAGCGTCGCGGGATATGAAACAGGCCCTATTGTCTGCAGTTGTGATACAAGAGAAGTACCTACTGTCGGACCTTGGTCTGATGTGACTACCAAAGTTACATCCATCCTAGCAGAGTCTGATTCACTTGACGCGACAAGTTTGAACGTCTTCGGGCCGCTGTCCTGCGAATCCGGCGTTCCTGAGAGGGTACGGCTGGCACTGTCGAGTTCGAGCCATGACGGTGCATTTTTGAGCGAATACTTCGTATTCGAATCGGTGTTGACAAAGGTGCTGTCGGCAAACACGAATCTAAAAGGTTGAGAGACTCGAGCGACGGGTGGTAGTTGTGCATTGACGGGGTAATTGGCGGCCAAAGCTGCAGCATGCACTAACGCTGCAAACCCCAGCGTGATGACAAGAAAAAGGGCCATCGCTGGTCGACTCAATCCGGATCACGTCCGGAGACTGTATCTTGTGAAGAACACAGCTAGCACGACCAGGTTGGATCAGGATGGGAGACAGCGCACTACAGAACCTCAACTAGACAGTTGGAGATCTGGAGAATACGGCCAGAGTGAATTGTAGGAGAGAGAAAGACCAAGATGAGGAGGTGGCTCGTCCATGATCTCCTCCAAGGACTCCGCTCCCTGGCACTCGTGCCAAAGGGACAAGGAGTCATTCAGGGCGTGCCCCGTCGTAAAGCCATGCCTGGATATGCTGAACATCACTGAAGTATGTAGCAGAGTGACAGCCGAGAATGAGAGCGAGGGCGCGCGTCGGGGCTCAGATCGAAGCTCACGTTTTGCCGGAGCTTGGGCCTAAGCAAGGGATATCCATGCTCCTTCGGCGACCAAGGAGCATTGACTATGCCCAACCACATCGATGCTTTCTGGCCCCTCGTAGCATTTCAAGGGGAGTGATCCAATTAAATTGGAAGGGAACGTCCCTTTGGGGAAGGGAAGAAAAGGCCGGCCCCATACATACTAGTACGAGGCCGTCGGATAGCCGCAGGTGGCTTCTCTTGCTTCACCCGGCACGTTCTAAATCAAGGACCATTCTGATGCCCGTTCGTCCAGGGGCATAGTAATCAGGGATCACTTCACGCTCCTCGAATCCACATCTGCGATACAGGGCCCGCGCTGGCTCCCTGGCCTGGTCAACCCATAGCTGGATATACTGGCAGCCCTCCTTTCGCAGGCGCTCTTGAATGTAGGACATGAGCTGTTGACCGACACCTTGGCGGCGATAAGTCTCGATCACGCAGACCTTGTGCAAGAGGGCGACGCCCTTTTGGCGCACGTACACTGCATAGGCCACGAGATCGGTTCCTGTGGTATCCTCGTTGACGCGGGTCGAATATAGAACTCGGGTGTTGGGCTTTTTCCTCCATAGTTCCTCCCCGAATGCGAATGCCTCATTGGTTGGAAATGTCTTTTTCTCGACGCGTGAAATCTGGGCGAGAATCTCTAGTGCTTCGTTCCTCTTCAAGGAATGAATGTCCGAATGGGCTACCAGTGTGGGGGACATTCTTGTCTGTTCCACGCGCCGTGATCACGAATGTGATCCCAGGTTTTCGGGGATTGATCCAAACTGGTTTTGCTTGTAACCCCAAGCTTTTTGACCCTACCAGTATTCTCAATTTGAGCGAGGGCTTGGAACCTTGAATCGGAGGTGGAGGAGATCTGATTGACAAGGTTTGTTCGCGGAGATAAGATCAGTTGGGCCATAGATTTCAGGCATCAACTAAGAATCCTCTGCCAGCGACGGAGAGCCCACTAAGAGTAGGCTCCTACTGTTCGATGGGGAAGGTGGCTGGGCGCTAGAAGAATCACGCGTTCAGGCGGCAACTGATATTGTCCTCACTTCGGTCGCCTAGGGTGGACTCTCATAGTTCTTGATTTACTCGCATAATTTGAAAAATTTCGGGGCATTTAATTTCTGAACCGCATGAATCCTCACAAGGAGAACTTGATTCAGAAGTCATATTATACGTTCAAATATCCCGGTAACTCGTCCAGTCACACGTAGCTTTTTCTTCAATACAATGGCCCACCAAAGTGCATTAGAGATAGCTTCCTTTCGAGAAACGCGACCCGTAATCACTGGCTTTGCTGACCATTTCCCGCCGTTGCGCACTTGTAATCTTTGACCCAACTGCCATATCCTTCTCTCGGTCAAATGCACGCGCACTCGGATCATCCTCTTCCTCCTTCCGAGCAGGTCGCTCTTTCTCAAGGCGTGTGTTCTTCCCCGATTGCTCCTGGATGATCTTGATTAGTACATGGAAGTTTGAAGACGGTCCACTCGCACTCTCCCCTGGTATAGTCGGGCATACATTGAACTTCTTAATCTTTTCTTCCATTTCCTTGTTCCGGGCCACATCCTTTGTGCTCGAAGGGCGTTGCTCTGTGCGGTTTGGAGCGGCACCAACGCCCATCACTTCGTCCTGTAGTCGGCGCATCCTCTCCTCTGGGGTCTCAACCCATGTAGCATCCACCTGTTTCGATCCGGGTGCTCGCGCAGACTTTCCAGTCTGGAACTTCCGATTCCGAAGTTGGGTCGGATCGATTTTTGAGGCCCAGTCGCTCGAGCTGGGTGGTTGTAGCATCCATTGGTCCCGCTGACTCTCTTTCTTGTGAGCTTCTGATACTTGGGGGGTAGATTGAACGGGTGTTTGTTGAGTGGGCTTTGCACCACCGAGCGATGGTGGGAGACCGGGTCCGAAGTCGTCGTCGTCGTCGCTGTCGCTGTCGCTGTCGGAATGGGAGTCCTCGTTACTGCCCCCGTTGGCATCTGAGGGTTGCGGCGGGGGCATGGATGGGCCAATTACCCTTTTCTTGGATGATGGCTCATCGCCATCGGCCTCGGCCTCGAGCTTGCGTTTCTCGGCGGGTTCCATTGTGGTGCGATGGAGGGAGGATGTTTCAGGGAGGAAGGTCGGCAGAAAAGAAGAGCGCGATAAGATATGCTCGTTGTCGATACGGGGTTGATGTCATTGCGCCTGACCGCCTGCCCGACATGGTTATCGCAAGCAATCTATGCATAGCTTTATGCAGACTACCACGGAGATTTGACTGTTCTTTTGCTACTCAATTCCTTTTTGGTGTGAATGCGATATTGTTCCATCCGTTGTGGGCTTGTCCGATGTCTGCACATACAATGTTTGACATCTCCCTTTCGCATCCATAATTCGACCAGGTAACTAGGTAGTCCAATCTACAAGATGACTAAGCCTTAAATCTTTCTCCATCAACGAACCCCACCAGGAATCAAAAAGTGTCGGATCATTCCCTGAAGCCCAGCGACAGATCCTCGCCCTGTTGATACTTCAATCTCATCTGGCCCGTCATGGTCTACTATTTCACATCTAATGCGGTCTCCCCCTCCGCGTTTATCTACGTCGGCAAGGACAAGTTTGAGAGTATGTTATGAACGCGACTCGTTCCTCGAGAGCTTAGCTCCTGACACTTTCGCTAGATGAGGATCTGATCGAATTCGGATTGGACCACGACGTCTGGTAGGTCTATCTTGAGAGAATTTCCTTTAAATTGGGTAACTAACATTGTTCTTCAACAGGGTCGGTCGTCATGCTCCCGGTCTTCCAAAGTCGCTCCTAAATCACTAATACACGCCTACACAGTTCCACGTTGACAACCTATCGAGTGCGCACGTCTATCTGCGTCTCCGCGACGGCGAGACGTGGGACAACATTCCCGAGCCCCTCCTCGAAGATTGCGCTCAACTGACAAAAGCGAATTCGATCGACGGTCCGTCCCCGGTTATCTCATTCTGAACACCAGTAGGCCACGAAAGTCTGACCAGATGTGCAGGAAACAAAAAGGACAACATTACCATCATTTACACACCCTGGTCCAACCTCCAAAAAGACGGCTCCATGGCTACAGGCCAAGTCTCCTTCCACAACCCCAAGCTAGTCAAGAAAGTCCTCGTCCGGGTCCGCGAGAACCCCATCGTCAATCGCCTGAACAAGACCCGCGTCGAAAAGTTCCCCGATCTCCGAGCTGAGAAGGAAGAGTTCCTGAAGAAGAAGCGCCATGATGAACGCAAGCACCGAGATCAGCAGCAAATGAGGGAGAAGCAGGAAAAGCGTGAGCGTGAGCAGCTGAAATGGCAGAAGGACCATGCGTATGACGACATGTTTAGCGCGGAAAATATGGAGGCAAGCAGCAACCAAGATCGCGATGCGGACTTTTTGGACGATTTCATGTGATTGCCATTCGATCTCGATCTCGATATCGACTTTCGCAATTCGCATTCCTACGACGATAGCACATGAAGATATGAACCACGTTTCTCATTCGACGCTTCGGTAAAAGTATGTAGATATGAGACCATTAACAAGCAAGATCCCAACCACATTGCAATTTATCACTCCATCACTCCTCCCAGATCACACTGCTCAGTCCCTCGGCACTACCAACCTTGCCTGGCTCTCCAACCTGCAGCACCGCGATCTCCTCGCCTAGGTTTCCGGTTTCCCGGTCCCGGCGCACAATTGCGACGGTCGATGTGGCCTGGTTTCCAATCGCAACCAGATCACCAGCCCGGTTGATCGTAAACGTCCGTGGCACCTTACCATAAGAGGAAGTCTTATTCCGGAGCGTCACAGCTCCAGTGCGCGGCGAGCGATCCAGAGTGACGATACTATCATTCGGGGCGAAGCCTTGATCAGTGCGAATAGAGACGTAGAGCGCATTTCCGATCATCCGGATCTCGGCCGGGGTCGCACCCTTGGGCATTGTGCCGTTCGTATACGGCACCATGGTCTGCGTCTTTTGGAACGAGAGACATCCCGATCGCGCATAGGCAACGTCAAAGACGTCAACTGTGCCGCCAATCTCGTTCGCAAGGTACATCATCGTCTTGCCGACGGCTGCGACCTGGCGCGAGTGCTCTGGCCGGCCATCTTGGGTACTGGCGGAGTACGTATCGTTGTTCGTTCCATCGGTCCAGAATACACCGTGGCGAGGACCGTTGCCGAACGTGATGTTGACCGGTGGGCATTGCTGCAGCTTGCCGGATCCGCTATCGATCGAGTACACGCGCAGCAGGTCAGCGCCCAGATCGGGACTCACAACGAACGAGCCGGTTGGGTCGAGGAAGACTTCGTGCGGGTGAGGTGCGTCTTGCTGTGGGACGGCACCCGGGTGGGTCAGGTTGAAGTGGAATTCCTGGACGGCGGGCTGATTGTCGCGGAGAGGAAGGGCAAAAGTTGAGATTGCAGAGCCCTCGCTATTAATGTATTAGTTAAGCTTCGAGTATACTATACAGATATCTTGTAACCAAGGCCGTTGAGGAAGAACGACTTACTAGTGAGCGATGGCAAGGTATTTCCCACCCTTCCCACCCTCATAGATGACACTATTCACTCCTCCGCCAACTGTGTTCGTCTTTGCAATCTGGTGCAATTTCCCATTATTTCCAGCATGATACGCCCACAAGGTGCCATGCGTGCTCGAGTCCGCCGTGCCATCCTCATCAGAACAGTACACAGTGCGCGTCTCTGGGTCAAAGGTCAACCAGCTCGGCATGGCCCCGCAGGTCTTGGCCGTGTCGGTGAGGGACAGATCATGGCCATTGAAGGCAAGTGTATAGACATTGCCATTGTAGTGTGTTGCCCAGAGGCGGGTGGGTGCGCGTGGGGGTGTTTGTTGTAGGGATGCGGTTGTGAGGGTGAGAAGGGACAGTAAGGGCGCGTGTGTGAGGCGCATTGTGGTGGTTGTGGACTGTGGTGTTTATTCAGGGTTCAATAGGGACAGAAATGTGTTTTTATAGATTTTAATCCATTCACAGACACGAAATAAACATGCACTGTAGAGCAACAGGGTGTTGGAGAGGGTAAGCACTGAGGAAGAAGTAGAAGAAGTGAATATCCGCAGCGGAGGGATCAGTCCCAAAAGTACCTAATTTGAACAAAACACGCGAGATGATCGACTGCAACCCTGATAAATTCTCCAGGGTCCCAGGCACCGTCAACACTGCCTGGCTGGTCTGGCATCATGCTCCGTGACGAGTGCTTCGGCCGTGTTTCGTGGATAATTGGAATGGATCATCGTGGGGGATTGCCTATCTCAGGACTGGAGTGGAGTCAGCGTGGGAGGGGGTTAGGATTGGGACTCAAGGGGGTGAACAGGATGACGACGTTGATTGTATTTAGGAATTATAGCTAAAAATATTTTATAAGCTTATTAATGTGATATAAATCCTACTTAGTTATATGGCCCTGGAGTACGGAGTATATTAGAATTAGATATACTACTAGGTACAGTAATAATCTTATAAATTATTTTTAGCTATAATAATATGGATATGTATATCCCTATCTATCGCTTAACTCAGATATATTCTTAGTAACTAATGTAAGTAAATAGTTAACTAATCATTTTCTATATGTCTAGTTTCCACTATACTATATTTGATGCTAGGGAATCATAATATACCAAAACATAAAACAAATAATATTCTCGTTGTAGAAATATGAAGTTACGAAATATTACATTCATAGTATGGTGTTGGGGTAGCCCGGTCAGCTAGGTGGCCTGATCAAGCAGGAATTACTAACGTTATTCGAAGTCGTAAGAGAGGTTGTAAACCTTATGTTTTGCTGGAGCCCGGTGTAAGGTGTATATAGTTACTTCTGGGCTGGCAGTCAGGGCTCCAGATGTGGGAGTTTCAGTGCTACCTTGCCACCTCTGCAGAACACAGTAGCATTCGTTTCAAATTAAACGTACGTGTGTTGATGCTGGACATCGGAGGTACTCCGCTGGCCTTAATAGGCATCGAATATGTTTATCTCCATTAACTTTCGTTGTACTTGAGGTTAGACTTTGGCCTATCAAGTACGCAATTTCTGTAGAACAAGGAAGGTGGTCCCCGAACAGAGGTTGGAAGCCGGCAGATCGCTCCCTAACCTTCCGTGCACTCCTCGATTGCTTGACCACGAGATATATATCCAGTTGACCAACGCAAATTAACATTGCTATGGACCTCAGACCTACAAGCCGTGACCAGAACAGTCTATATGATAGGTCGAAGCCTCAAAAATAAAGAGTTTGGAACATTAATCCATTTCCAGAACAGATCCATCACTCCACCGTCAACAATTGCTCGGTGAAACCCCCAAAGCCTCGGACAGTATCGTGAAGATGAATCTCCAGAATCCAATGCCGCTTAAACCCATCCGGCCCAACACAATTCATGGTCTTGTCATTGCCTTTCGTAATATACAACGTCGTCTTATCTTTCGGAATGCGTTCGTGCGGAAAATCACCAACAATATGCCCAGCAATCTCAGCACCAAACTCGAACCCATGCTCCCGCGCCACCGCACACGAAATATCGTATAACTCCTCGCCGGTCATATCGGGATTCTCGCGGAATTTGGATTTGACAATTTCCCAGATCGGCTGCAGCGCATCTCGTAGTCTTTTCTTGTGCGAATCCTCTCCCAACACGAACGTGCGGCCAAAATCGGCTTCCCATTCTTCGAAGACGGGTCCTAGATCCACGATCAGGATATCGTCTTCTTGGATGATTCGATCGGGGGGATTGTCGGCGTAGGGTCTCAATGTGTTTGGACCACTCCGAACAACCCGTTTATGCCAATGCGTGCGGACATTGTAGCGCTCGGCGCCTAGTTTGTGAATCTCATCGCTCAATGCCTTTTCGCTAATACCAGGTCGAACTAGGCTTGTTTCGATTTCTTTGAAGAGGGAGATGGCTTTGTTTTGGGCGTCTAGCAGGAACGCTGCTCGCTCAGCTTCTTTGGCTTCCATTATGTTGTGATCTGGACAGAAAGGATGAAGGTGTTGAGAGAGTCGAGCAATGTTGAAACCAGCGGGGGAAGTCAGGAACTTTATGGCCCATCTTCACGAGCCAAAGCTGCATACCGTCGTATTCCCCCACTTCTCCAACAAATGAGTCAGAATCAATTCCCCAGTGTGGTGTTTCAATGTTTACGATCGTATCCACCCCGATTGGTTAGCCGAGGTGACGACGATGCAATGGGTGTTAGTCTGACTTTTGTCTTTTTTACATCTCTAGCCTTGGAACCTAGGAAGCTCATCAGAGTGTCATCAAAACTCAGCGAATCGAGGTAGCTCTGTCCCCAATTACAATATGCGATACTGCTATCGACGTTTCTCCAGTAAACAAAAACATCCCCATGCATTTGATGCAAAACTGGAAAGTGAAAGAAAGAAATCCATAGTTACAGCACTCGACTCCCCCATTCTATCGTACCCTCAATCCAACCAGCCTCCAACCTCAACCTCATCACCACTCACAAATACACATAACAAAATGGCCCAGCAGTCGTACTCATAATATCCCTCATCGCAATCGACCCCCGTTTAACATACCCCACATTAACATGCGTGTCCAGCGTAGTATTAGGCGACACCGGGTCATTCAAAAAAGTCCCCGTCCCCGAGATCGCATACTTCCGATTCGCCAAGTCAAGATACTGCCATATCCACCAAATACGATCAATCATGGCGTGATGATTCCAAAACCCCGGATCTCCGGGATTAGCATCTGCATCTCGGCCAGGATCACCTCCCATCGCTAGGTGGCCGCCGCCGTGGATGCCGAGAAGCCCGCTGCCTGGCGTGCCTTGGGCGTTGGTTTCAAAGTCCCATATATCATCACTGTTGAGAATTAGTTGCAGGACGTTTGTGTGGTTGTTGTTATCGTGCAGGATGGACGTGGTTAGGTCTCGCTTTAAGCAGCGTGGGTTATAGTCGAGTGGATTGGACATTCGGGAGACGTTGCCGCCAGGGACGTAGAGGAATGATGGGCCCATGTTGACGGTGTAGTTTACGAAGGGCCCGCTTGTTACGCAACCCCCTCCTGTGCCTGTGGGAAGGATGAGGGGTGGGACATCGGTGTGGCCGAGGGGGATTCGAAGGTCTGGTTGATTTGGGATGAAAACGCCATTGCCGGATAGAGATGTCTCGCTTCCATCAAAGAGGGAGATTCCTCCATGGAGTTTACATCGGAACCCCAGTTCCAGTACCTGCGAGTAATTATGTGTTAAAGCTGATCCATAAATCCGTATATCAACAAGAAGGCTGAAGACTTACGGCAGGTCACCGCCGTAGCCACATTCATTACGAAGAGCCTCTTCGAATGTGTAAATGAAATACCGATGCCACGCCAAAAATGTGCCCTAAAATTGATCAGCCTGACTAGTTCTTTTCGAATATCATTCTGATAAGCCACACTTACCGTCCGGTGAATATGCCATGTCTGGTTGATATGCGTAGCCAAAAAGTCATCATACCGAGTCTTGGCTCCAGCAGCAACAGCAGAAGGTGTCTGAGGGGGCAATCGTTGCAGACACAAGATTGAATCAATATAAGCTCTTCTTTCCCTGTGCGAAAGAGCCCTCCAGTCTCGACGGACTCGCAGTTTCTCCAAGGTACAGCTGCCCCGGTCATAGGTTAAAGAACGATTATCGAGACCGTAGAGTGTCAAGTCAAGAGCCGATTGAGCCAGTCTGTTCATTTGATACAGTGCGGTGTCTGCCAAGGAGATTGTTGCATTCCTTTTTGAAGCCACGGGCATGGCCCAAGCCTGTGAGACCAGACATAGTAATAGCAGAGCATCCATAAGGACAGCTCGAATACCGCCACGGGCGTACATGGATGTCTGATGAAATTGTCCACGCGAACTCTTCATTCATGCCAGCATTCGAAGCAGAGAGCTATCGTGAACTGGAAGTATATGTATACAAGGTCTCTTCAGCCCGATACCATTCCTCGGCTATCCGGCTGAACAGGTCGTATACCGTCTTACTTCACGAGTTTCATCAATGGCTCGGGGTGATTCCCAAATTCAAATATATACGAGTCTTACGCTAGACCCGTGATACCCTGCGACCTCGTGGCTGAACTTCGCCGCCATGTCATGCAGGGGTTCGGCTGCTTCCGAGAACGAATGGAAAGGCCTAGATTCATCGTGTCGTTTCATGCGTCGCTTTTGAAGTATATCAGTCCCTGCAGGGCCCGATCGATTGGGAGGCCTGGATGCATCGTGCAACCCACGGAGATCCTCGGTGCCGAACCTCGAGGCGTCTTTTCTGATACGTTGGTATCAGCGTTGGTCAGCGGGTTACAGAATGGAAGATGTTTCATCGGTGGTTGTCTGTTGAATAGCCTACGAGAACTTTAACTATACTTCCTGTCCAATTGCTAGCGTATAGTACCATTGACTCAGCTTTCAGAGTATGACTTCGGACTATGCTGACGACCTCAAAAGCCGAGCTAGTCCACCATGTTCTCGGTTCGGGATCATAATCTTAGTCAAGGTCGCCATGATATGGATGGTGGATCGAGATAGCCTCCGAAATAGTTACTCCTGCCCAGACCGGATAATTTTGTAAATCAGTATCGAAGAGCCTTGTTTTTACGAATCAGAAGTGAGAGTGTATCCTGATTGAGTAATTTCTACCGACAGTCCAAAGTCAAGATTTTATAGGTTCGTTACTAGGATCTCTCTTCCATTGTGTAACTCTAGATCATTTGCCTCATTCCGACTCGTTTCTACATATGTCTATACGATAATGCCATCTACATAATGCATCCCAGCTGATCCTCTAGGCACAACTAACCCTCACTGCTCTGCGGCCAGCAAATCCGAGAGTTTATCAAGATACGCCAGAGGCCGGACAGGCCCAGAAACAAAATCCTCCTTTGAACTCACACCCGTAAGCACGCCCAGCGTACCTCCCAGGTTACCCTCCAAGCCAAAGCGGATATCGGTGTTGGCCCGGTCCCCAACCATGCACGCGCGGCTACGGTCAAACTTGAACTTGCCCTCAATCGCATCCATCATTGCTTGACTCGGCTTACCCAGCGCCACAGGATCCTGTCCAAGCATCATAATGAGAGGCGCACTCATAGATCCAGCACCCGGGAAGAGAGTGCCGGAGTTGGGGAGTGTTGAGTCGATGTTCGTCGCGAGGAAGATCGCGCCGCGCTTCACGTAGTGGTATGCTAGTGCTAGCTTGAGATAGTTCAGGTGGAAGTCCAATCCGACGAGAACGACGCCAACCTCCGGATCCAGAAGGGAGGTATCTCCTGCGGCAATGCGCTTGTAGTCTTCGGGTTGTACGTCGCGACGGTATGCGGGATCCGTGCCGCCGATGAAGGGGACGTTCTCGGAGCGAAGTTCTTGCTCAATGCCAGATTCGCCGATCACGTAGACTTTGCGCTTGTTTTCGGGGAGTTGGAGGATGCGGGAGATGTATATCGAGGAGCTGTAGGAGGAGGAGAATATCTCTTCCTATCTGGATGTTAGGCACGCTGTTCGTCCTGCTGTTGCTTACGCTTCTGGTCCTGCGTGTACTAACCACGGAGCTGGGAATACCCAGACCCTCTAGCTTCTTGCGATAATCGGCGCGCGACTTTGTGCTGTTATTCGTGACGAAGACGACCTGTTTGCCTAGACCCCAGTCAGATCCTCCATTCCTTGTCGCATGGCTGGCGGGGGTCGCTAACCATTCTTGCGTAGCAATTCTAGAGTTTCGACTGTTCCGGGAAAGCAGTGGTCTCCAGACCAGAGGACACCTGAATGCCTGGTCAGTAGGCGGTAATTGGCATCGCAGAGGAGCGTTTCAACAGTGGCGCATCCAGTGCGGAGGGAAGGCCGAGATGGCAGGTACTTGGGAGACTACGGACCATCGCAATCGAAGAGGAAGACCTGGAAGAACACAAATTGTCAATTAGCCCGGTAGATCAGAAGCGTGCCGATCGAGGTAACCAACATCAAACTTATCCAAGAACTCGCGCAGACCAGCCTGGTCTCCGGTTAAATAGCGTGGGGTGTTTGTAGACGCGGGGTGTGGTTGAGCCATGACGATGCGCGGGGAGGAAAAGGTATGGCGCGGTCGGAGGGTGAGAAGACGAGGGAGAGCGAAGAAGGAAGAAAGGTAGAAAGACGACTCACGATTCGAGTACCCCCGAGTCAGAGTGGAAAGACAGAGAAATCAGAAAGGATCCTGTACAACCCGACGGCGGACGGTCGCCCGAAGCGACTCGCCGGTGACTCGCCGACCGCGTGGGGCCGCGGCCAGCGGAGGGTCGGAAGTATAAACTGCCCTGGAAATTACTGATTTAGAGTGACTAGGGTAAGCCTCAATCAATAGAACGATGATCTCAGAAGTGCAGAGTAATGTGGCATTTTCCTGATGGCCATTAGGCCAAAGTATCGAATACAAATAGAGAACCATGTCCGAGCTAAACCACTACCCTCCACCGCCATTTCAACGCCGACCAGAGGTGGAGAGACTGACCTCCAGTAACCAAAAAGATAAAAAGATCAAAAACACAATATATACCAATATACCAACAACCACAGTGGCATTACATTAGGATAAGACATTGCGCCGCCGGGACCGGACCCTGTTTTTATGCCGCCAGATCGCCAAAGCCCCCGTTAATGCCGAAGAATTGGAACCTACATTATAGTCGGTTAGCGATTGCCTTGGGATAAGGAATAGGTGAAGATAAAAGAGAATCAGAACTTACCAGTCTTCCACGTTCAAGGTCGTCGGCGCAGTCGGCCCGCTGCGCGAGCTGCTGCTCCAGTTGTCGTCCTGGCTGGCAGCGTCCAGCGCCGCACCACTCATCGTCCCATCCAGTCCCTGCATGGGCCACGGCTGACCTTCCATACCAAACATCTGCTGAGGTCCTCCAGGTCCCATGCCCATGGCCCCGGGGACACCTGACATCATCTGTGGGCTACCCTGGGAGACAGACATGCTGCGACCGGGTACAGGCTGTGGCGGATTTCCCATCATGGGCCGCGGACCCATATTGGGAGCATGCAGTTGGGATGGGATGTGTAATTGCGGATCGACTGTCCCCGGTGGAGGTGGGGAGGTCAGCTCTGGGAAGATGGCCGTCCCATCGGGGAACAGCTGGTCCGGTTGGAAATTCTCCCACAGTGATGGTGAAAGATTGGGAGAATTACGGGTGACCAGGAAGAAGTCGGGCGGCGTGGCAGGCAAAGAGAACTGCGCGTTGAAGGGTGTGGTCGGCCGAGTGTTTCCTCGCGAAGGGCCAGGTCCGATGATGGGATCCTGAGGCCCACGATGGTTCGGGGAGACTTGACCCAAAGGAGGCTGGTTCAATTCACGCGACGGCGTCACAGCTGGAGTCTGTGGGCGTGACCGTTCGTACGAGACCGGGGGCGTGGGACCACCGTTAGGCAGACCCAGATCCATGTCATCGAACTTCCGCTTAGGAGGGTCTGGCTTGGAGGCCTTTGCAGGGGCAGCGCTGTCGTGTGGCCGACGTTGGTGTCGCTTTCCAGCAGCCTTCTGCAGCCGCTCTTCGAGGACCTTGTTACCAAGAATGGATTCAAACAGAGTGTTGACCATCTTAGCCACAAGCCAAACCTTTGAGACGTCCTTCAAGGCCGACATGCACACATTGATGCGTTCTTGACAGGTCGCGACAATGGAGGGGACCGAGGAACGCATCTGATAGACGTGCATGATCAAGGCGGAGAACAAGCTGTAGACACTGTAGGTAGCTGTCAGTACGAGGTCTAGATCAGGTGGATGGGCTGAAAGGGATGGAGTAAAGGAGACAAGGGAATTCCAGAAGAAAAGGTCAGCATACATAAAGGCAGGGGTGTAGCGAATCTCGTTGTGGGCTTGAAGACCCTCGATGATGGACGTCATCATGCCGGCGGCCTGGAAGGCGATTGTCCGTGATGGGTACGCCATCTCTTCTACCCGGTAGCTGTTGGGGGCCGAAGAGGCTGGCGGCATGTGGGCTCGGTGTAACAGGCATAGGGTGGTACTGTTGAGATGTTAGTCCTGGATGCTGATCATCAGCGCTTTAGAATGGAAATTCTCACTAGTAATTGGAATGGAGAAGAGCCGCCCAGAAGTGGTGACGCGATCGCTGCCAGCAAACTTCCTTGGGGCAATTCTGCAGCCAGTCGGCCAACGCCATGTCCGAGTGTGTAAGGTCCATCGCATTCATGCGCCGTGACTTGGATGCGACGGAGTATTGTTGTGACAGCACGAGACCCATGATCTCGCAGAGCTTCACGTATTGCAGGAAGAACTGTACATGCACCGGTTCCGGCGGGTATTCTGCCGGGATGTCCAGCTCATCCTCGATGAAGTCGTCCTCGGTGACCATCTCCACGTCGGAATCATCAGTGTTGATGCCAATCGGGCGGCCCAGTGCGACGGCGACTGAGCGGTCTCGTGTGAAAAGCGTCCACCAGATTCGCTTCCAAAGTCGCTTATCAGGTTTGTTGAGCTGCGAGGTCTCGACACTGTTTGGTTGTTAAGAGATGAATTACGCAGGGGAAAAATCTAAGTAAAACAGATGAGCATACCTGCGATGCATACCCGAACCCTGAGCAACGACCATCGCGACCCGGGTCCAGTAGAAGACGTTCTTCGTGACATCTATTACAAAGATAGGTTAGTAAGCAAGCTCGTTTCCACGATTCAGTGTGCTTAACTCACCTTCGGGTCCTTCCCAGTACCAGCCTAGAAGCACCAAAGCCTGAACGATAGTGACTCGATCGTCTTCGTAGTTGGCATCGTAAAGCGCCTTCGCCCGCTTGTAGAACGTCATCGCTGCTGGAGTCGTCGAGCCGTTGGCGTCCATAAGCTGTGGGTTCGTGCACACCCGTGAGCCAGCCAGGAGAATGGCTTGCAACAAGAGGAGCGAGGGTGGGTTCTTGGGATCGCGGTAGTGGCGCATGAAGCGGCTGCGGTTGATGATGGGAACAATGGGGGCAACCCATTTGAAGTAGGCGTCGACTAGTTCATCACATAGGGGCTTCGGGGGCAGCAGGAACGCTCCTCGTTGGTGAAGTATATCGATCTCGAGATTATCCAGGTCGGTCAACCGCGCCCTCGACCCACGGATATTGGGAGGCAAAGGATAGTGCACGACATCGGTAGTGCCATGACGGTCTTGGACCAAAAGAGACAGATTGGATGATTCACCCAGATATGCCACCCGGCCAGCCTCCTTGATCGGAGCGCGAGCGAACTTGGGCTTCATGAATTGCGCATAGGCATTGTCGGTCGAGGCTTGCTGGGCAGCCTCCGACTCCGTCAAGGAGGTTATGGGCATGCCCTGGTTGGCCATCCGGTCCTTGCGATATCCAAAGGATGCATCTTCCCTATCGTCCGAGCTAGACTCCCGCGTCTTTCCGTCCGAATCTTGGTTGAATGGATCATCGGGGTTATCCGGTCGGAATTGGGCCACCGCCGCGTCGACCAGCGAGGAGGCAGTGTTGTGGGCTGGTGGACTGTCGCCATACCGACTCTCGTCCTTGGCCTTGGTGGAGGTCTTCTTGCGTTTGGGAGTGGGGATCTTGCATTCGATGGAGAAGGCGACGCAGTTGGTGCAGGGAACTCCTAGACTGGCAGCATCACAGCGAACCTGGTCGTGAGGTTAGATTAGCGACAGCGAGGTGACGCGGGGTTGCGACCGGGCCAAAAAAAGCTTACCTTGCGAGAGTGGCAGGTCTATACCAAAACAGAATCCTTATCGTTAGCTATGATCATACACATGAAAGGCATTCATGGGGTGATGCGCCCGCGGTCATCCTGGGAGGGTGGGCTGGTCGACATGGCGATAAGAGCTGTGGCCAAAGGGGCCGAGGCACAACACCAGCCGAGGCTTCCCCCCCCCTCAAGCGCACCAAATCGCGTCTCCCCTCGAAACAAAAGGGACGTACCTCGCACGCGCGGGATGCACGTTGTCTAAGAGTTAAATTGATCACGTTAGCATGCATCTATAAAGGCTGGATTCCTTCGCAAAACTAATCCGGGGCACCTCTCCGGGGTGCCATGGGGGGTGAAAAAACCCTGTCGATGGCCTCCCCTCTTCTTGCTCTTCCCCCCTCTCAAGGCTGCCACCGTCCATGACCATGACCACAGTCGCATTGATCCCCTCCCACCGCACAGATATATATCTCAGGACTCGGACTATCGCTCACCTTCTGAAACTGAGCGCTTGACCCGCAGGCCCATTGCGCACCGTGATTCCGGACGTTCCTGTCGAACCCGCTGCACTGGGGGCCGGACTCGGCTGGTTGGGCGCAGGCGGTTCGGTGTGAGATTCGATCGTAGTACTCATTGCGTGCAGTCCCTCCACGGGGAGAACTCGGTCGAGGGATGGTCGAAGAGTCTCGGAGGTGGGGAGGAAGAGGAAGGAAGAGGATGGACGACGATGGCGGTGGTGGTGAATGGAATGGTGGTCGGTGCGGTGACAACGTAATAAGGACAGGAACAGAACGGGGAGTATGGGGAAAGGAAAGGGGGGGGGGATATTTGTGGATTATGCCTCACGAACGGGCGAGCCACGCGAGCAATCCTGGATTGATGACTTGGGGAAGGCCAGAAAAAGTACCGGAAGGAATAGGAAGAAGGGGGGGGGGGTTAGAGAGAAGAACGAGGTTGTTCTGGGAGGGTTGGACTTTGGAGTTGGACTTGGTCGATGGGAAGCGGGAGGATCATTCTGGGGAGAGCGTTTGGAGGCTGTGGCAATAGATGATTACCCACGTCAGGGTCCTAACGGGACGGCCCATAGAACAGGACGACTACAAGTGACTGTGTGTATGGTATGGTGCATACAATTTGAAATCATTGAAATCATGTTCCCGGGATATATTAAATTCGAAACTAATGCTAACGAACATCCGAGCGGGATTCCTAACTATTCCGGGCTGACGCTTTACGGCCATCTGGTGTCTAGTACTCCGTAGTAGTACTCCTGTCTAGTGGACGCACCCAATTTCGTGTGGCCGGGAAGGAGGGGAATCAGCGCGAATGTGACTGGCTGACGGCCCACGAGACTTTGGGGTAAGCCCACCACGAGAGACCGTAAAGAGCGTCTTGGACATCTTGGAATTACCAGGATCGATCTATAGTTGTCCAGGTTCTCGCGGATTCTACTTATTATTTACTATAAAACAACACTGCATTGCATAGTCTACCAATTATCAATCCCGGTCTATCCAGCATAGATCTATTCAAAATGCCGAATCTCAACTAAAGTGATCCTCGTGTGGATCATGCATTTGCCAGTCGCCAGTGTAGTTCATCCTCGTTGGTGAGGACCCTCCGGGTCGGCCCAAGCTACTCAAAAATCGACAGTGCGACGGGCTGGGGGCCAAAGTCCCGTCGATCCCGCGGGAAGACCAATGAACAGAGACCAGACTCCGCCGTCATCACTGTCAAAGCCATGAAGGAGCAAGGCACAAGGATATGGCTGGGGGTGGAGGTGGCCCCCGCGCACCGGCTAGCGAGCAAGCCACCACCACACCACGACCTGCCGTCAGAGTCTGGGGATGGCAAGGGGAACGAACGAATGATGAGTTTGGTGCGTTCATGCGACCTGCCTCGGATTCACGCGCTTTCTCTTGTCGGATATGGAGGACGTGCGGGATAGACAAAAGTTGTCGCATGGAATCCCGGGCCATAACGAGATGGTGCATAACCCAATAGCCCAATATGCTCGATCACCTTGGATCACTCTCAATCCTCACATATCGACGGTTTCGGGTAGTTAGCACGTCAGAGGTCCAATGCCGGGGAGAGATCGACAGAGGGGAAGGCAACGAAGAAGGGGGGACCCAAATCTCGGACGATGAGATCGCCCAAGGAGGCTCCCGAGGAGAAAGCTCAAACATAGTTAGTTAGTTATGAAGTTCGAATCCTGACCTGAAGTCGAGCAAGGTTTCCTTTTGAAACGGCACCACCACCAATGTGGAGGTGGCATCAGTCCATGGAAGAGGGTCAGGCACGCTAGGCCGAAATACCCTAAACAGGAGGATCCGAAAGGTTGTCCCCGGTGCTGGGGCCACCGCGTGGAAATATCACTCCCCTTCAGCCTCCTCTTTCCTCAAGCCTCCGCAAGCCTTCCATCGGTCGAGTCGGAGGAATTTGGCGGCCGTTGCAGGTTTGCAGCAAATCGTGATGGTTTGCAGGGCAGCCCGCGCGGAGATTTCTTTCCCGTTTGGGCGTTTTGTGCCGAGTCAGACCGCCCTCATGTGGGAGCTCGGTCACGGGGAGACTCGAGTAGACTGAAGTAAGTACAAGGGAATAGGTAAAATCCAATCTGTGATAAAAGGATACCGGATGTAAAATATTATTGTGCTATAGAGCTCTGGATCTTGAGTGAATAGCTTAAAAACTATTGCTCATAATTGACTCATACACTCTGTGTACTCTGTATACTTCCAGGACCAGGATGTCCAGTATGAGGCACTCGGCCTGACCTGCAGAACTCACATGTCATTCCGTCAGCGTCCAGCTCCCCAAAGATACACAGCCTTGCAGGTCAAAAATTGCAACGTTCGGGCCTGCAGTGGATACTCCGTGTATCTCCACGCTGATCTCCCGATCCATCGCTCTATTCAAGTCTTCAGATAAAGCGACTGCCATTCGCGTGACAACAACAATAATAATACTGCCCTCCTCCCCTTCCATCGACAGATCGGGGGCACCCACATGCCTGGCCCACTAGTGGAAACTCCCTTCCGCCCTCGGCCCCTCTCTCTCCAAACCAGCTCTCCATGATGACCTTAAAACATACAGCGCGCCTTCTGGCGGATCCTGTGTGAACCCCCCCCCCCTCCCCCCAACGAGCAATGGAATTTCGAGACATCGTCGCCGCGGGCGGCTTTGTTAGATATGCTCTGCGACACCCTCTGGAGGGCTTGTCGAGCTTTGGGCCGACCCTGAGCGAAGCAACACTCGGACTGCTGGGTGCGTCATTCAAGCCAGAGCGTGATATCTCGGGGATTGAGGGCAAGACGATCTTTGTGACTGGAGGTATGAATATACCCGCTTCTTGATGCTCGCTGGGGTAGCTGGGCTAATACCCGCTGTCGTATTCTTCAGGCAATGCAGGCATTGGCCGAGAGACCGTCCTCCAACTCGCGAAGCACCAGCCAGCACGTATCTACCTCGCTGCCCGCACAGAAAGCACAGCACAACAGGCCATCACATCCATCCAAGAAGAACTATCATCGCCAGTCGACATTCGATACATTCCCCTCGATCTATGCTCCTTCATGTCGATCCGCGCGGCGGCAAAACAATTCCAAGCTGATAGCGATCGGCTCGATATCCTCATTTTGAATGCAGGCACGATGGGCAATCCAGCCGCTAAAACGGAAGATGGCTTTGAGATTCAACTGGGCACCAACCACGTCGGGCATTTCTTGCTCACCAAGCTGCTCATGCCCACGCTGAAGAAGACCGTCGCCGATCTCGAGGCAAAGGGGGTGACGCCCGACGTGCGCGTTATTACTCTGTCCTCCGTGGGACATGTGATGAGCCCCAACACGCTGGAGGAAATGACCTGCACACCTTCACTCTTGGCCGGGAGTACCTTGGTTCGATACGGGGCATCCAAGGCTGCAAATATCCTCTTTGCCTCGGAACTCGCACGAAGACATCCGGAGCTGCTTTCGGTAGCAATACATCCTGGCGCGGTGAATAGTAACCTCTACACACATGCGAAATCGACCAGTGCCGCTATGAAACAAGCACTCGGTTTCACTACGTCTTGTTTCTTCCGCAATATACCCAGTGGTGCATTCAATTCTCTCTGGGCTGCTAGTACTGCGAGAGAAAATCTGATTAATGGGAGCTATTATACCCCAGTTGGGTATCGCTGTAGTGGAATAGCGATTGTTCAGGATGCCGATGTGGCACGAAGACTGTGGGATTGGACTGAGGCTCAGATTGCGGAGCGCAGTTAATATCATCCACCTGGAAATCTTTTAGGCCGATCTACTTTACACTTTATGTCCTCTGTGGATACATAAGAGCTTATCGAAAGGGCCATGTATTATTCGAGAAAAATATAATGTGCCATACTATGTTTCATGATTGACTTCCTCCAGGCTAGTCTTGAGAGTAAATGGAAACAAGCTAAACTAACGCAAGCAATTCTCGAACCAACCGCTCTCGCTACCGTGTACCATTCTCTCTTTGCCATTTATCATGTATACCCACGATACCCCTCTCATCGCCATCTATGGTATCCTTTATTTGAAGGATCTTGAACGGGAGGCTGGACGGAACTGCCGTCCCTCACAGCCGTGCGCTTGACACGCCCCCGCTGATCGTATTACCTATCTTCGACGGGCAACCGGTTAGGTACGAAGATGCCGAGTTGCCCATTCCGTGGAGCCCGCGTGTGCCACTAGTATAGGTACCGTGCTTTGAGATTGGCATTGGCACATCGTGCTTTGCGCAGTGCCCGTCTGTTGCGAAAAGTCTGACAAACTACTGGTCGCTGAGAGAGAAGCAGTGGTAGTTGCGTATTCCATACTAGAGGATGCTGCGTCTGGTGAGACGAGAACGATTATTCTGGACTGAGGCGAGGCGTTGCTGAGGACTTGGAGGATATAGGGTAATGCGGTTTCTAAAATAGGAGGATGAGAGTTAGCTTGTTCAATGAATTGTCCAATGGATAGTCCTTTGATCGCCGCCATTCAATTTCAGACTCACCGGTCACAGCGTAATATAATGGCTGGCTTGCTTGCGTGGTTGGGAAGCCCGTATAAGACTGTGGACTCCCTGTATTCGACATGTCTGGCATTTTTTGCTCCACGCTATTCCCCAAGAATGGCTGGGTTGTCCCATCGCTCATGAGGTCACAAAGTGTCGGAGTGTAATATGCAATATCTGTCGCAGAAGCACCGAAATCCCAAAGCCATGTCGAATCTCCAGACGTAAAGGCAGATGACTGCGCTGTGGCGCCGGGCCAGGGAGATGTCAGGGAGAATCCATAAGAGGAGCCAAAGGCCGAAAATGGCTCTGTCACTGGCAAAGATGCATCCGATGTGCCACTTCCAAATCCACTATCCTGCTGAAATGCATTTCGACTCCCTAGCAGAGGTGGAGGAGAGTATGGCTGATCCCAGCCATTGAGGGCGGCGGCCGCTCGGAGTTCGTTGGCGATGACTCGTTCCTGGAGCTTGGTAATGCGGTCTCGAATCTTTCGACCTGTATATTATGAGTTCTGGTCTCAATGTGGTCATATAGTGTCGTCATGGAACATTCTTACGGTGGTTTCTTTGAGATAGACGATTTTGAAGCCGCCTTCTCTCCAAGGGATCTTGCTTCTGGTCTGATGCCCCTTCACTGTCTCGAGGCTCGGAACCTTTCTTCACTCGCATATTGACTGTGATATGTTTCTTATTGTCTTGGATTCTCGGAAATCAAGGCACTGAGTGATTCATGATATCTTCGAGAGAATTGGCCTAAAGGCATAGCTGACCGGAAAGCTGGCATGGGTCACACCGAGTTTTCAAGATTTATAGAAACAAAGAGTTAGTCTCCGCGCGGTGCTGGCAGAGGAGACAAGATAGAACGATACTTTGAATCTCACCGTCACACGTACTTGTGCAACGGATCCCCGGGCTCGCCAAAGACTCGGTCTGAGAGTAACGGGACGGTATCTAGAAATTTTACTAAATATTGAATAGGCTTACGACATGACATTCCCGGAAAAACTGTTTTATACACAGTTTGTAGGCGTATAATACCAAAGAACGTGCTATGTCCATAACACTCGGCGAGATTATAATCCTTCCTGACGAAGGCCTCGAGCAGTATACCATGGTTTCCACTCGCGACCCGACGATACTACGGCTGTTCCACAAACAAGAGACACCAGATCTCTCCTTCGGGATAATCCATACTACAGAGACAGTTCATTACCCTAGATTCCCGGTTACCAGCGGTCTGGGGTATGGCGTAACATGCGGCGCAATCCTCTCGAAACGGATTTAACAGTCTCAGTGGTTATGTAGATACCAAGGGCCGCTAAGCGTGGCGAGAAACTTGCCAGATTGTACAACCTCCGGTCTTAGGTTTATGCTCAGCTTGGATTCTGGCTAATCATGTGTCGTTTATGGACATCACCGTGAGCCCAAGGGTGAGTCTGACCACCATCATATTTGTGACGTGTGGGGGACTGTCGGTGTGTAAAGTGACATTGGTCTTGTTGTTCTGGACAGTCGTATTGAGAGCGGTTTTACTCAATTTGGGCCATTATGAAGCCACTGGCGAATGTATTTCCATCATGGGAATAAGCTTTCCTTGAGCGTAATGGCTCTCCTGGTCATGATTATGAGCATCACAACAGCGATTTGGTTCTTAAACCGGCGAGGTAGCAATGTGTCAGGACGGCTGATTAATTCAACGGAGACTTCGCGGTTTATGGAATGAAAAAGCATGATAATAAGATCAAATATGCTCCGGATAGACCATCACCAAGAAGCTCTCTGAGCCTGAGAGACAATGAACTCAACCAACAAGTCTTTGCTGGCCAAGCCAGAGGGAGCGGTGTGAACATAGTCTTAATCAAATTCTGAGCGAATTTGTATAGGCATAATCTTTGTCCAACGTTTACCTCAGCTGGACTTTCAACGAGCACGCCTACTGTAACTGGGGAGTCCCAGACCACGTTGATATCGCGTATTGTCCTTGCCCTTGTCGATGCCATGTGGATCATGCCAGGAAATTAGTCTTTCCATCTCTTATTGGGGCTTTAGGAAATTTCAATATCATTATGAGCTGCGGAGAGACCGGTCTTTTCTTTCTGTGGCTGTGAGCCAGAAGACCCGACACGTTGTGTGACCTCTGAATCGGTTATTGATGGAAGGTATTTTTAGATCGTGACGGAGGGATAGAGAGGAGAGACAGGCTCAGGGAATCTTTTACAAAAGTATAATGTGAATGATGGTTGCTGTAACAAAAAGTACCTTTCACAAGATGAAGGTTCGGCCAGTTTGTGACAGTTGAAAAGGGGAACTACAAGGGTTCGGAGTAAACTTGGATGAGGTCATTGTCAACAAGCAGCTGTCATCCATTGTCCGAGTAGTGTCAAGCCTCCTCTTTCCCACTTTGTGCGGTTTGATTGGGAGTCAACACCTCAAACTTCCACCTTCTTTTAAACACTCTGATCCATCTCCAACGACCAATCACTAAGCACGGCTTTCTGCATTTCCAACGGCCAGATACGCCAGCCTCGCTGACCTACCGGCTCCAATCGAAATTACCTCAGAGCCCCGCCAACACCATCGTAAGCACACGCTAAGCCGCCCAGGATCAGGCCAGTTCGAGAGTTGGAACCCACGCAACTAGATTTCTCTCAGCGAAGCGGACCCTCCAAAGGGACTCATTAGGCTTCGAATCTCCCAGCTTCTCTCATTCTCAGAAAGACTCACAGCATGGGCGGCTTTCTGATGACGGTTGGGAATCTGCTTCCCTACCATCTTCTCTCATATGGCGCACTACTGGGAACCGAGGTGTACCAGGTAAGTGATCAGCACATGAGACGTATCAAGCATCTCTATCTCATATCATGGATACTGGAAAATACTCACTCTGACGCGCTTCTTGCTAGAGCTTTGTCAACACCAAACTTTGCTTTCAGGCCCTCCCAATGCGCGAGTTTCTGACCTTGCAGAAGCGACTGTTTCCAGTGTACTTCAAGTGCCAGGTTGGCTTGGCTGCTCTGACAGCCGCGACACATCCACCATATAGCATCTTGTCACTGGCGAAGGATCCATGGGGTACAATGCCGCTTGTAGTGGTGCTCGTCACCGGCTCCTTGAACTGGTTTGTCTTTGGACCGCGGACGACGACCGCGTCCCTCATTCGACGTGCTCTGAGTGGTGAGTAGTTTTGCGTTGTGTATATTAAACAATCAAAGGATGTTCCATGCCTGACATGCATCACCAGAGAGCGAAGAGCAGTCGGAAAGCACGAACGGGAGAAAGGCTCACCAGGCCAATCGAGATTTTGCTCGTAATCATGCCATGTCGATTCATCTGAACGCCATTGCTCTTGTTGCCACAATTTGGTATGGGTTTTCGCTGGCATCAAGCCTCTTACCAGAGGTCTGAATTGCCCGCGGAGTGCAAGCTAAGAGCGAGAGATAGAAGCAAAAGACCTCGGTGCATTAAGACCGAGTCAACAATGTTCTTACGGGCGATTACCACACAATAAATCTCACTATTATCGGCCCTCTCTCCACTTAACAGCACTCCAGACTTTGCTAACTCCGTTCGCTGGTTCGCTGGACTGGGACACCGGGGCATCTCCGAGACCTGGAGACTCGGCCGATGCAAAGGCTGCCTCAGGCAGAGCCACCGCTGATGACATGTGACCAGCTTCGTCGAAGGTTCTTTGGATCTTGAAAAGGGATGAATGATACAATGCTTGAAAGACATACCTGGCAATGAAATATATGCCATCAGCTTATATTGCCGGATATTTGTAGTTGTTTCTTCTCAACGGTAACTGAACGCAGCGATTGCATTACACCGCACCGAAGTATAGGCCCAGTATAGACCATCCGGATGGTCCGAACGATAGTAGCAAACCCCCAACCAACCACCATAGAAATTAACTAGCTCCCCCATCTATAATCTTCAAATACCGTCAAGGAAAAATATCCGGAGGTCAAAAACCCCAACTCCAACCGGTGGACAGCGACGGCAACTGGATTTCCCGTTGGGCCCGCCCCTCGGGCCAGCAATGCCCCGAGCTCTCGGGGCTTTCCCCTCGTCATCTCGTGTCCCGACTTGAAAAGGTCGCGACATCCCCACGAATTCCCCGGATTCTTTTTTTTCGTCTTCTTTTCACTCTATTCTCTCTGGCTTTATTGTTGCTGAGATATTTGCGCTCTGCATAGATCTCGTTTGTATACCAGATCACCATGGGTTCTACGTCTGCATTCCCTCGCATCAAGGCGATCCGTACCTTCGTCATTGACGGTGTCGGCTCCGGCGGTGATTATCACAATGTAAGTGAGATGCGACTTGGACGGAGTAAAAGAAACCGGCGTATTAACTTCTCCACAGGTTAAGGGTGGTCACTGGCTGATCGACAGCAACATCTCTACCCCCATGACCAAGTGGGCAGAGTACCGTGGCTCGCGGACATCATGGGGTATCAACGTGCTGGGCTCCTTCTGCGTGGAGATTGAGGCTACCGATGGAACAAAGGGCTTCGCGACTGGTTTCGGTGGTCCTCCCGCATGCTGGCTCACTCACCAGCACTTTGAGCGCTTCCTGATCGGCGCTGGTATGAATCCAATTCGAAAACGGGGCGAGTGAATGAACCCATAACTGACACCCCATCTCACAGACCCTCGCGATACGAACAACCTCTTTGAGAAGATGTACCGGGCGTCTATGTTCTATGGCCGTAAGGGCCTGCCAGTGGCTGTGATTTCGGTGATTGATTTGGCGCTGTGGGATCTTCAGGGCAAGATCCGCGGCGAGCCTGTCTACAAGCTCATTGGCGGTGCGACTCGGGAGCGTCTGCACTTCTACTGCACTGGACCCCAGCCTGCATCTGCCAAGGCAGCGGGCTTCATCGGTGCCAAGGTCGCACTTCCCCACGGCCCGGATGAAGGTACGGAAGGCCTGCTCAAGAACGTCGAGTACCTGCGTCTGCAGCGCGCCAGCGTTGGACCTGACTTCCCTCTTCGTGTTGACTGCTACATGTCCCTGACTGTGCCTTACACCATTCAGCTGGTGAAGCGCTGTGAGGCCCTGGGTCTGGATATCGACTGGTGGGAGGAGTGCCTGTCCCCCGATGACTTTGACGGCCACGCCCTGCTGAAGCGTGCCCACCCGACTGTCAAGTTCACCACCGGTGAGCACGAGTACTCTCGCTACGGTTTCCGCAAGCTGGTCGAGGGCCGCAACCTGGATATCCTCCAGCCCGATGTGATGTGGGTTGGTGGAATGACCGAGCTCCTCAAGGTCTCTGCTCTCGCCGCTGCATACGACATCCCCGTTGTTCCCCACGCCTCCGGCTCTTACTCCTACCACTTTGTCGTGTCTCAATCAAACAGTCCCTTCCAGGAATACCTGGCAAACTCCGCCGACGGTAAGACCGTGGAGCCCGTCTTCGGTAATCTCTTCCTCAACGAACCCATCCCCGTCAACGGATACCTCGATGTCTCCATTCTGGATAAGCCTGGGTTCGGCCTTGAGCTGAACCCGTCTGCTCCTTTGATCCCCGCGGCTGCTTTTCTCAATCCTGCGCCTCAAAAGAGCCTGCGTGCTCCGGAGGAGCCGGTCCCCAATGGCTCGGCCGAGGGACATTGAACCTAGACTCGGCGTATATTTTCCTGCAGCTTGTCATGCTTTGTTTTTCTCGTCCCATATTTCATGATGACCCCCGCTTTCCATGTTGCGCTTTGATGTCCTGTACATAAATAGCATCGACTATTCAATCCAATAGACTGAAATGTTCCAAGGATGAAACCCGTGACCTATTAAGACTCTCAAAGCGTAAAGATCGTAGTTGAAGAACATTTAGCCTGCGCATTCCTCTAGATTTAGCCGAGTACGATTGACAACCTGACCATTGGCCGACTGGGAAATTCCACCAAACGCATTGAGTCTTGTCGGTCCTATCGGGTGAATGTCGCTCGGATTTGCCGTTCACTCGGTACGTCTTGCCCCTCGTGGGGAAAGCCGCACCCCACACTCGGTCTAACATCACCGCGAGGCCCCGAAATCTTATCGGCAGACGAAACCAGCAAACCCTCCGCAGCTTTTGGCGGGGTTTTTTTCTCCGACATGACCACCAAAACCATTTCATCGTTTTACTTCTAGAAAAATCACTACTTGTTTGGTAGAGTACGGTCTTTTGGAGTTTGGAAGCCAGCGTTGGATATCTTGCGAACACGAAAGAATATACACACGACAGAATGCCTCTCCCTCAATTACTCGTGGGCAAGGTTGCTGCCATTACGGGCGGTCTCACGGGCATTGGACGGGTATGAAGGCCTTTTACCCCGTTGAAGACTTGAATTTCTTCATGAGATTAGGAAGCTAACGTCCTAATCCTTTTCTAGGCGATCGCCCTGGAATATCTCCGCCATGGCGCCAAAGTCGCCATCAGCCACCTGGGCGGACCCAAAGAGGACGACATGCTGGCAGCTCTCCGCAAAGAGGTTAACGAGATCCAAGAAGGCGCGGATAAGACGAGATTCATCACCGTGACCGGGGATATTTCACAGCCCGAGACAGGCAAGGACTTTGTCGGGAAGACGGTCGAGGCATTTGGCCGTCTGGATGTATTCGTCAGTAATGCAGGTGTTTGCCAATTCGCTGATTTCTTGGAGTAAGCTTGCACCCCAGCATCCTTTGTGCAGTAGGGAGGTACCTAACCTCTCAATCACAGACTCGAACCCTCCCTCCTCAACCACACCGTCTCCACCAACCTTTCTGGCGCATTCTTCGCCACACAGGCCGCCGCCCGGCAAATGGCCCTCGCCCAGTCCCCGCCCGGAGGCTCGATTATCGGCATTAGCTCAATCTCCGCACTTGTTGGCGGCGGTGAACAGACACACTACACTCCCACCAAGGCCGGAGTTCTGAGCCTGATGCAGTCGTGCGCAGTTGCACTAGGCAAATACGGAATCCGTTGCAATTCCCTTCTCCCAGGTACGATTCGCACGCAGTTGAATGATGCTGATCTTGCCGATCCGGAGAAGAGGAAATATATGGAGGGTCGGATTCCTCTGGGAAGATTGGGACAGCCGCCAGACTTGGCTGGGCCGGCGGTGTTCTTGGCTTGTGAGGAGCTCAGTAGCTATGTGGTACGTTATACCGTTTCTTTTCTTCTGGTAATCTTACTAATATCTTTCGAATTAGACTGGTGCGCAGCTTCTGGTTGATGGTGGACTGTTTGTCAATCTTCAGTAAGAATATAATTTGAGCAATTAAAATAAATGCATTATGTCGTCAGATCTCATAAATATATACAAATTCCATGCTACCATACACGGACTCTCATTTCTTGCACGTATCGTCTGATTGAGAGACAGAGCCTGTCCGGGATGCATTATTCCTGCTCATTGAATATGTCCTCAAATTTTCCGTTGTCGGCCTGATGTAGCGGAGAGCATGGTGACAAAGAATCCGCTCCGCTGCGGTCGAAAGTAGACAGTCCAGAACCACTTGCATGGGCCAGTAAAGCGTGTTATTGGCAAACTTGGCACTCAATGTGTCATCTGAAAGAGGAGTGAACTGTCCACGGGAATCCATCTCGCCCAAGTTGCATCTCACTGTGAAACAGATGATATTCACCAGATATCGTATTCGACCCTCAATCAGTTGACGATACTCCGCGTGACGGATTTCCAACGACCAGTGTTTGAAAGCGGGATCGAGAAGATTAATAGTGTTGATACATTTGAGCACTTGCAAATAGAATATAATTTGGGTCGAATGGGTGACTGCTAGGAATATCGTAGTCCATGGATCGGGTGATGCGACACGAAGATCTTTAGATTGTTCTGGGTGATATTGTCGCTTCCAGTTCCCCGGAATGGACGAGTGCCAGGCTTCGATATCCTCCATGAGAGATTTTGACTGTTCAATCAGCGAGTATAGACTCTGAGCTAGTGTTCTGAGCGAGGGAGTAGTTGTGGACGAAGGTTGCTGCTTGACAAAACTGGGCTATCTTGCTATTCACGATGCCCGCGCGAAAAACGTCATCAGGTTTTGGGAGCGTCTGAATGAAGGTTGGTAGCTCGGCATATGGAAAGTGGTCTGATTTGAGTGCGTGAAGTTGCTAGGACATATCAGCATATCCCTTGGTTAATTCTTTTGGAGGATAAAAGCGCCACTCACAGTTTGCATCATCATCCAGCCAATCAAGGGTCGACCATACTTGCTATTCAACTGTTGTTTCCCTCTCAGTCGTAGGAAATGGAAAACACCTGACATGTGGGGATCCGGTAATCTAGTCTCCTCGTGTGTTAAACTCTGATATTCAAGTTAGTCGGGTCTCAAGAAAGGCCAACGCCGGTTCTTCAAGTGACAGACATAAAATACGCTCAAAAGGAGACATGCTGTCAAGATCTTATCTTTAACAACTGATTCTTGCGACTCTAATGCAGTTTTTAGTAGACCCAGCGAAAGTCCATGGTTCTTTCGAGCCTGGATTGCAAGATTTTGAGACTTGTGTTCACGGGAAAGTGTTAGGTATGAAACGCTTAGAATCGCATGTTTCAAGCAGGCATCATCATTTCGCTCCTTGTAAAGTTTGGGAAGGAATGCCAAATATCCTTCACAGGGTGATCGGTGAACAGATAAGACGATCCGATTCATGAAACTGCAGAGAGATTGCCAGTCTGTGCATAATGGAATAGCGGTGGCGGGACGAGTTTTATGCGACATGGACTGTGATCCAATGGAGACTTTTGAACGTCTTCGCGGCGTGACTGTCTTCAATTCTGTGTTTTCTCCAGGCGGCTTGTATTCGCGAAAGCTGAATTTGTCTGGATAACCAGTACATTGGACCCCGTGTTGGATGCACCGATGACATTGGGGCTTTGTCCCGTCGCATTTGATCTTGGTTTCAGTATGCTACTGATGGGATATATGGAGGAATACTGACCTTTACTTTCCTCCTTCGACATACATGACAGCCGGTACCGAGTCTTCCCGGGAATACCATTGTCAAGATGGATCAGCAGGGTTTTGACGCGATATCCCGACTCCTGATCAGCTAGCGAGCGAAATCTCGAACGCTCTTCACAAGTTAGCCTCCTAGTCGTATGTTGATGTAGAAGCAAGGCTATCATGGCCCCCTCCTGTGTCGCCAAGACTACTCTTCGATTCAGGATCGAGGGACTAGCGAGATTTTCGTTCCTTCATCACTTTGTCGCTGGTGGAGGTGGGGCCGAATTGCGCGGCGGGATGGATGCCAATCCCTCAGCTTCCCTCTCAGGGGATCATGGATTTTTTGGTTTGGATACGATCTGTAGGATCATTGTCGTTGAAGATGTGCAAATTCAAAATCCGGTACTGCTAGGTAATTTGTAACAGCAGATAGTCTATGACGTGGTTGCTGTCGGTCTAGAGCCCAGGTATGCTTGCGTGGACGGCGAGATATATAACCAGCATGACGCGAGAAGAAGTGGTGAGGTGCGCTGCGAAGAGCATCAAATTGCAGGGAAGTATGTTACGCACGAAGTTGTTTATATCTTGCAGCCGCTGGCCTGTCTGTATTTTACGTTTTCCTAGAATCAAAGCATGAAAATAGTGAATGCGTGGCCTAGGACAATCCTGGACCTGGATATAGTTCAAATCTTCAAGATTCTACAGAGTCTATCCCCACAGATCACTTTTCCAGTATGGCAGTTTACGTCAAACACATAATTTTCTGGGTGGATGAGGATGATGACACTTCCCTGTAATGCTTCAATACTAGATACGGGCTGAAAAATGAGCAGGAAACCCGCTCGATGCTGATTGAGCGAAAAAGCAGACACGACAAGAACCCAGTAGTCATACATTTGCAGACCGGGCGTTAAGTCATGAACCCACGGACTTGTTTAGTGTATTTGTTAGTTGAACCTGGCGGGGAAGACAGAGAGCCGTGAGTCATTGCAGTGAGAATGGCCCCAGAAGACCGTAGCGGAAATGGCTGCAAATGAAAAGTTGATGTGCCACCTCTTTCCTTGAAGTTAACTGGTTATGAGTTTGTGTAACTCACGCTGTGTTTCACGAAAGGCTGGGATCCAGATACGAATGAATTCGTGTAAGATCAAACTCAATGTACACCCGCCAGTGATCTGGACTGCCGATACTGCTCCGAAGTCGTAGAGTATATCAGAATCCACCGTAGGTAGGAGTGTCGTCAATTAAAACAGACACTCAAGTTGTGATAATGATAGTACCTGATTGGGTATTAGTGTGTAAGTCATATTTAAGAAACAGTAAGAAATTATACCTCGCCCTCGCATTGGTGAAAAGCAATAATATGGTTCATATAGCGTCACATCGACCAGCATCCCACGCTCGGAAGAAGAGCGAGGCGATACGAGACACACGGTAACAGCCGATGAGGGGCGCGTTGCAACGATCGCCGTATAACTCCAACCGGGAATAACAGGGCTTTACCTGACTGGGATGGACTTGTCGCAAATCGGTCTAGTCTCGAATAATTGACCCGCTAGACTCGGATCATCATTCGCATCAAAGCCCCGCGCGGGGCATGCGACCTTGTGCAGGAGTTGGAGTATCCCGCCCAAGACGTGGGGGGATGCGTGGGATGACGATTTAAGATGCAAGGGGGGTTTAGTAATTAGTCTTGTCGGAGGAGTCATAACATCCCTTCTCTCGTTCTTTTTGGACTTTGACTGTGTCATTCGCATTCTTCTGCTCTCCTTCGTTATCATGGCTGTTCCTGGTGTCAATCAACCTCCGTACCCGCTCCACGACTCCGTCAAGCATCTGCTAGACCCCGAGTATGTTGATTTTTATAACCAACATGTTATCAACAACCAACAGGTGCATTTGCAACCGGTCGCTGCGTCGCGCACTAGCGGCGTGTTGATTCCTGGGGCCGGACCAATGCTCGAGGTGGGAAAGACACAAGACCTCACTGTTCAACGCCAGGCTACCGAGGGCCCTGCTGTGCAAGTCCGCGCTTTTACTCCCAAGGGCGAGGTCCCCGCTGGCGGGTGGCCTGTGATTCTGTACATCCACGGCGGTGGTTGGGTCTTGGGAAACATCGACACCGAGAATGTTGTGTGCTCAAATCTGTGTGTTCGGGGGAATTGCGTAGTAGTGACCGTCGATTACCGGTATGAAGGCCCTTGTTTAGTATCAATACCTCGCTGCGGAGAATGTCAACAGGAACATAGCAGATCTAATGAATGACTCTTAGTCTCGCACCGGAAAACCCTTACCCTGCAGCCGTTCACGACTGCTGGGAAGCCCTCCTCTGGCTGCTTCAGCAAGGCCCCTCCGCGCTCTCAATCAACCCGTCCAGAATCGCAACAGGCGGCTCCTCAGCCGGCGGCAACCTCGCCGCAATCATGACCCACAAGGCCCTAACTCTCTCGCCTCCCGTGCATTTCCAAGCCCAGCTACTCTCAGTCCCGGTGACTGACAATACCGCTACCGTGGCTAACAACGAGTCTTACCGTCGCTATGAACATACCGCCGCCCTGCCTGCGCCCAAGATGATCTGGTACCGCGACCACTATCTTCCCAATGAAGCTGATCGCACCAATCCCGAGGCAAGCCCGCTCTTTTACACTGGCGACTGGTCTAAACTTCCCCCGGCGCTGGTCATGGTTGGCGAGTTGGACGTGTTGCGGACGGAGGGTGAGCAATATGCCGAGAAACTTCAGAAGGCTGGTGTCGAGGTCAACCTCCAGGTTATGAAGGGGATGCCGCATCCTTTCTTGGCTATGGATGGTGTTTTGTCTGAGGGGAAGAGGTGCATTACGCTTATGTGTGATGCCCTGCAGAAGGCCTTTTGGAGTTGATTGAAGATATGAGGGGAGTGATAGAGTCATGATATGATAGATACGGAATATAGATTATATTCATTTTAAGTAATTTTCAACTTTAGGAATGGATAATAGTTGCAATTATCAAGGACATTCATCATCTATCACGAATAGGTAGTAGACCTACTCGATAGCTACCAGATAATACCGTGGTCGCTATCCTTGATTCAATTAGAGTCGTAAGTTTTGAGGAAAAGGGGTTGAAAGAATTAATGATCTAAAATTGTCCCCGACAATCTCAAATACTCGATCCATATAACCTCACGGACGGAGAAGCTCAACTCTAATGCGACGAGCACAGTGTTTATGCACTCAGTTCAGTCCCTTGAAAACCTCTTCAAAACGCAACTCATTCCACCGCACATTAGGCTTCAACCCAGCAAACTTCCACACCCCGTCAACTTTGCGGTAATAGTGTTCATTGGTAGCATGCGAGTGACCCCGCAGCTTGACCTCGTCCAAACCATCGTCCGTGTAGACCTGGTGCGCAGCGCGAAGCTGATGATGGCCGATCACCTCGGTGTCGGAGATCTTCTCCCACCAGGTTTGGCCCAGGAGGTGCTGGGTTTTGATGGTGGGATCACCTAAGAAGCCTGGGTGGGTTATCATGGCCATGTAGTCGTCGGCAGCCATGTCGTCCCATCTTTTGAGGCCGATTTTGGTGTAATCGACCTAGTGGGGATGTCAGCATCAAGAAAGGGATTGAGATAGCTTTCGTGTAAGTTTGAAGATAAAAGGACGTACCGTCAGAGTCGGGGCAATTATGCTGCGGAGTCGATCCCAGTCCTGAGATTGGGTTAGTTGATAACATGCTTGGTTATTGAATAAGCGTGGTGTATTTACTTTGGCATCGTAGCTATCGGCCCAGTCGAAGACCAGCTTTGACAGGATCAGGTAGTCTATTATTGTCAGCGATTGTTTGGAAATTCCTGGAATCTTCTTATATACCCTGGAAGCTAATATCAAGATTAGGCTCAGCGTTGAGTTTGACAGCGGGCGACATGATTGAGCTGTTTGAAGATAAGGTTTGATGGAATCTATAGACTTGATTGTTGCGTTGTAGCGACCTGTCGGGTATATCTGCGAAACAAAGATTCTTGTAGCTAGTACCTTTCCTTGGAACTCCCGGATTCGGATAGTCACAGACGCATTGGAATGTGTCCAAGACTCCAGATGGGACCGACGCACGCAGCGACCTGCACTATTTTGATACACTTTCTTCCGCATGCGGTGATCGGAAGGGGTGTTGGATGTGCAAACAGCCTCAACGCACTCGAAGCACAGTGACTAAAGTCTAGATTCCTTCACAATGGGTCCTATCATGTGTTAATCTTCCCAAACCGGAAAATGTTACCCTTCCATGAGGGCTGCTGTCTGGGTTGACAATGCTGCGACCAAAGTACACATCTGATTTCAGCGCTCGGCGTTATAGCTGCCACTTTCCTTAAGAGCTAAATACTCTTCAATCATCTTGCCCATAATTGAGATCTTCGTTCAACCGTTTTAGCCGGTCGCATACTCCCAACATCATCCCAAGTTATTTCCACCAAACACCTCAACATGGTCCAGGCCAACCCCAACGCCGCTCCCACAGAGCTCACCGGCAAAGTCGCCCTAGTCACTGGTGGCAGCCGCGGCATCGGCTCTGGAATTGCGCTCGAGCTGGCCAAAAGAGGCGCCTCAGTAGCGATCAACTATGCCAGGGATCCCTCCTCTGCCGAAAAGATGGTCCACGAGATCAAAAGCCTCGGCGTCCACGCTGCCGCTTTCCAAGCCGACCTGACCAAACTCGAAGCCATCGAGAACCTCTTCCGAGAAGTGGTCTCCCACTTTGGTCAACTGGACATTGTGGTTTCGAACTCCGGCACTGAGAAATTCGTCTCGCTGGCCGATACTACCATCCAAGACTTCAACGATGTCTTTGACCTGAATACTCGGGCCCAGTTCTTCGTCGCCAAGAATGCCTACGATTATATCCAGCCTGGCGGACGCGTGGTGCTGATGTCTTCTATTGCCGCGGGCGTGGGTGTCCCCGGCCACTCGCTGTATGCGGGCAGCAAGAGCGCTGTTGAAGGTTTCACGCGCTGCTTTGCGGCGGACTTTGGCAAGAAGCGTTGCACTGTGAATGCGATTGCGCCTGCTGGTATTAAGAGTGACATGTGGTTGAAGAACTCATGGCGCTATGCCCCTGGCTGCGATCAGAACTCGAGTCTGGAGGAGATCGAGCAGGCTTTGGCCAATGGTAGCCCCCTGAAGCGGTGTGGAGTTCCGGCTGATATTGGCCGTGTTGTGGCATTCCTCGCTAGCCCGGCGGGAGAATGGGTCAACGGTGAGTTTGGAATGTACGAGTTGAGGACCCTTTGAGCTTTGGCTAATATGTGTATAGGACAAATCATCCCACTGAATGGTGGTGCCAACATTTGAAGTGAGATTTAGTTTTTGTTTCCAGGAGGAGATGGTCTAAGAGGTGGTATTCAAATCCAGCGAAAGGCACATGTTGCATCATGTATAGAATAAGACCTTTCATAATTTGTCCAATTTCATTGTTAAACATTGAAACACCTTGAAACGATGAAAGTTAGATGATTATTAAGCTTGTTTCATAGCAAGCTCTGTCTATTCGGTTATCAATGTCACCCTGTTCCGGGGTACCTAATTGAAAGCAAGTAAGCGGACATACCAACGGACGATCATACCCGGAAAGAACTAGGTAGCTTCATTGTCTACAAAGCCGACCCCTGGCTGTTCAAGGTATATCATGCCGATATTTGTTCGTGAAAATGCAGAATCTTTCTAGGGTTCATTATATGTGTTATTAATCTTTTTGGTAGTGATAGTAAAAGGGTATATACAGTCATCATCATTCAGCATCAAAAGAGTCGTTGGATCAGCGTCGACGGGTGTAGATCAATCTCGATGAGAATCACAACAGATAGGATGAGGGTTCCAAAAATCAGCTACGACATCCAGCTGTTAGTCGACGAATGCTTGCACCTGAATTGAAGTTGTATGCTAAACTCACCAGGCCGAGTAAAATTCCCACCCAGTTGAGCTCCCAACCTCCAGCGTGGACTTTCCCCAGAGACATGGCACTTTGCTGTCTCCAGAATCGATACGCGCCGATCAGGGCCACTATGATGGCCACACAGTGGCAGGCCACTGCGAGTGGGATACCGACTTCGTAGAATCTCAGGCGATTTTGAGGCGTGGTGGGTCGCTGGAGGCGAAAGAGCTGTGAGATTAGAACCCCTTGCATAGCAATGACCACGGAGGTGCGGATGTATGCGAGGAATGTTCTTTCGAGAGCTGCATATATTTGTATAAATGGGACTTGTCAGTTTTATCATCCTACAACTAAACTCATGAGCTGATGTTGATGTTGATGTTCTTCACATACCCAAGTGGTCGCGATTACTCTTCTGAGGCACAGTCATACTGACATTATGTGCCCAGAAACTGCAAACTTTCTTCCAGGCACCTTTGCGCTTGGGGCGAGGGCGACGCACACTTGATCGCGACGGTGTGCGGGTGGCTACCCGGTATTCCTCGCCCGAGGAGGCGGATGCCGAGGAGTAGTTTAATTGCTCATAATCCTCGCGTGTTTGGATCTCCTGGAGCTCTAGAACTTCCGCTGGAGGTGGCGACCAAGTATTCCGCACGAGAGTGTTGGCCGGCGGTTCAGGGTCTACAGGTAGCTCGGAGGGTTCGGCCATGGTCAATGTGCAGAGAGAAAAGCATTGAAGAGCATCCCGATTGTAATCTGGACTTGAACGGAGAAGAGGAAGAGGAGGGGGCAAAAACACCGGGCCTTGATATTTTCGCGTGGGATCGGAGTAATCGGCGACGGCGCCGGGTCGGCTGGACCCGACTGGTCAGGGTTCAAACGGCGGAGGGCGAACTGTGTTGGCACATAAGCAGGCCAAGCAGAGTCAGACAGGGCCAGACAGAACAGTGCAGGCTAGAAAGGTCCAAAGGGCCAATGAATTGATGGATCAATGGATCTCGGCGGGTCCGGGGAAGACGGGGAAGACGGGTGGTCGGCCATTGAGGGTTCAACGGGTCGGCGATGGGTCAGAGACCGGTTTGATGTCTACATATTGCAAGACGCAACATCGTATATCAACAGATAATACACAATGCACTCGATATACATCGGATATCAATCTCCATCCGGCCATTTAAGCTTAAAAAAGGATCGTACCTGGCTCGTTGCGCCGTTCCCAAAAAGGGCCCGCATGCAGCCAATCAGCAATCCCAAATGCGGATTGCATCATTTTCGGGCGCGATGAGGCCAGCCCCTGCCAATCGCAGCTCCTCACAGGCATCAATTTCCGGCCAAAGAACCAACGACTGCAAAGTAAAAAGCAAAGAGAATGACACTAAATGACATCCACAGGGAGGAATGGTCCAATAGGGTTACTACCGAACAAATCAATTGAGTTGATCGTGCTGGCAGGAGTTGATTGGGAAAGCAGAAAGATGGTGGATCGACATGGCTTGGACGACCATTGCCAGAAATTGGTCATGAGCAGGATTCAAACTCTCGGATTACATACGTAAGGTCTCATGTTTAATAACTAGTATTTACTGGGAGAAACCACGAAAGGCCGTGCAGTAGTGTATGTGTAGGTGGTCACTGTATCTTAAAGACGGCTTCAATCTTGACTAACATACAACATTCCATAACTGCTATACCCTTTTAGCACTTGAGAATGCTAATGATCCATCCCTAGGGCCGGCAGAGCCTGTACAAGGGGAGAAAGTGAGGGCACTACTAAGTTGTCCTAACAGAACAGTCTGGCGGAGTAAACCCAGTGCGAAAGCCTCCAGTCATCGAGGGACCCAAGCCATAAAATTGTGATATTGCTCGGTAGGAGTCCTAATGATTCTAATGATTGCCAACGCAGTGATAAAACCGCGAAAACTTACTATCAAACAAAATAAATACCGATGCAGATCCTCAGCAGATACTCCGGAGTGATACTTTGGCAAAGCCAGTTGACACCTCAGGCCAGAATACCTTCCTATCTGGGACTAGCTTCGACACGATCTGTCGGCGCATCATCGCATCAGCGACTCTTGATCGTTGCGCTTCATATACAGTGGTCACCATGCGGCGCCATCCTCGGAGTGTAATAGGGAGCTGGCCCTTTTCGACTCTTCAGCGACCGTTCACCCCATCCTGCACGCCATGGACCATTGCCAACACGCGATTCCAAAGCTCAAGCTCCGGCTCCGATAAACCATTTCCTTCCTCCGACGAATCAAACGAACATCCCCGTCGTCGCCGCCGTTCAAGGAGAGCACCTAAATCTCAGAGGCTGCCTCTCAATGTTGAATCCCTCGGGAAGCCCGGAGAGATCGTGGTGGTGCCGACAAAGACCCCTCGAAACTTGAAGCAAAGATTGCGGGAAATGCAAAATACAATCACGGAGGATGCGCAGACGGTCACTCTGGGTTCGATGTTGGAAGATTTGGAGGAAGAATTCTCCCCGTTGACTGCAAGCGCAATTCATGAACGAATTGAGAGTCATAGGACTTCCGAAGGACTGGGTCGAAAATTGAACGAACGCGAATGGGAGGCGGCACGAAACAGCCTAGCTTCGTCATTCACCTACAACCAACTATCGGAATACATTCAACAATATGACGAGTACGAGTCCCAGCCAGAAGGGACTAGGGCGAGATGGAGACCGGGTACATCTGCCTTTTTGCATGCGGACCCGGATCTACACACGGGGGTAACCAAACGGGTGGCCACATCGCAAGACTTGAAGGGCAAGGCTTTGCTGGCAGAGCAGATCCTTCGCGATTGCTGGCAGATGTCCATCCCCGACGAGATCGGCCAGTTGGATCTCCGCCTTTCGCCTGCTTTCCTCTCATTACTTCTCAAAGCAAAGCACTTTTCATTCGACGAAGTGGCTACTATGCACCATTCCAGCATTGACATCACCAGCTCCCTCGGCTTGGTGAGAATCACCGGGCGCCAGACTGCCTGCGAGTCCATGTGCGAAATCGTCCTTGATGCTGTCGCTAGAATCCGAGAGGACGCGACTGGCATTGAGATCGCCGCATCTCATCCGGGACTGAATCAGATATACTCGCCACGCTTGTTGGAATGGATCAGCGAGAGATATGGCGTTGCTCTGGAAAGTGGTGACTCGCAAGTTCCCGAGAAGATTCTGTATCTTGCGGAAAACAAAGAAGGCGCAGACAATGCACGAAGGATACTTAACTTTGCACTTCACGAAGTCACTCCTTCATCAGTACCCTTCTCCACCTATTTCCCTGCTTCGGAGCCCGCAAATGTATACAGCTACAACCCAGGGGACGCTGTTTCATGGCTGGATCGACGAAAGCAATGGTTCAGATGGGCCATGCCCTCCACGCAGTCCGCAGGGACTGAAAGCCACTCCACTCCTTTCTTCAATAGTCACCAAACTCGACTCTCGGACCACTTGTTGAGTCTTCTTCGCCAGACCCCGGTCCCAACTGCGAGTCTTGGAGGTGGTTTAACTGTGCATGAGTCCGTGACTGCTGCAGTAGGCCACTGCCTCTTTACCCGCAAGGCCTCGGTCGAAAATACAACCGTCAGCGCTTCACAGCTTGGAAAGCCATCTCTTCCCAGGACTTTCTCCACTGATATCCCTCGAATCATCAATTTCCTGGCCTCCCTTCGACCCATCACCCCAGTGGTTGGAACCCAATTCCACAACATTCGATTAATCCCGTCTTCCACATATGCCGGTGTCGCCCCGACTCTCGAAATGAAAATTGCTTTCAAATTAGGAACGCACCTGGGAAGCCCTGAAGAGTCATTCGACATCCAAAGCGTCAAGTTTATCCAGAGTTCAAACGCCGTTGACTATCTCTTGCCAGAGAACGGCCTCGATCTACGATTTACCCGTACGGTCTACCACGAGCTCTCGGGCGATGCACTTGCAGAATACGTGGAATACCAAGATCTCCTCAAGAGCATCAAATCATCTCTACGTAGTATTTTTGCTGCCACGGTGGATTCGCGCACGTCAACATCCTTGCCGTCGTTCTGTCAGGTTGCACTTCCCCGCAATCTCGTCCAGTCTGAACCCTCCTCATTCGATGGCCCCCCACTCACAGCAGAGTACATCTTACCACCCATCCAAAATATCCGCGGCGCGGCTATCTCACTCTACGACTTCGCCGATCGACAACTTAGTTACAGTTACTACGAGACTGGGCCTTTCCTGCCTGCTCGTGCCAACGACGTATCCCTGGATATGAAAATTCCAACCACTCCGTTGGATATGGATGGCTCGCTGGAGACGGAATTCCATTCCTTCTATAACGCGGCGTGCCGGATGGCCTTTGACATTCACGATACGAAGTTGATGAGTGTCCAGGATGGTGTTGTCGAGCCGGAGATGATGTATTAATATTAATATTTCCTTTGTGGAGGGTGTGTGTTTACACTTTGCATACACATGGAAGCATGTCCTGGATCTTGATCGGGGACCTTTGTACAATAGATGAATTGATGGGAGTACCGTTACAATCCCTCGTGTTTACCACAACCATATACTCTAAACGCCAAGCCGACAGTGTGCCTGATCGTAGCGTAGAAGGTCGCTCAATCTATCGATCCCGCCAAAGAATCTAAGAACAAATCCCGTCCAAACGGGCCTGTATCGTCTTTTCATCGAATCGGCCGCCTTCTCCCTCATAATTGCGGAGAACCTCCAGGGTCATCAGCCGCCTAGGGGCTTTGCGCCCAGTCATCAACTCGAATTGGGCAATGCCTTGCTCGATCACGTTTTCTAGGCCGTCGGATAGAACCCACGGTCGGCCGTTGTCATTTCGGATTCGGCGCATTTGCTTGAGTAGAGGTGTGTCCAGGGGCTTGTAGGCCAGCTATATCCATGGATTAGTATGGGTGGTGATAGGGATTGGGGAGTTTCTGGAACGCACCTCTAATACAACACCCCCGGTTGGACTGCCGAGCCATTGCATTGGCATCTCAAAGTTGGCCGGGGGTTGGTCTCCGTCGGGATCAGCGGGTACACACGAGGCAATCATGCTAGGTGGACTGGCGTCGTCTGGCCAGTCATCTTGGAGCGAGGGGAGTACTCGGACCACCTCTGCGGAGTCGACCTGAGCTGCCGCCCAGGAATTGAAGTGGCGTGCTACCTCTTCCGCTCGTGATCGGGTTCTGTTGTAGATGAAGATCTTGCGACAGCCCAAGCGGAGCATGGCATAGATGGCTGACCGTGCCATGCCACCAGCTCCAATAATCAGACCAGTCGTCTTGGCACTGATCGCGTTACGGGGCGACAAATGACGGGTGATGCAGGTCATGATGCCTACCCAGTCCGTGTTCTCCCCATACCAACCCAACACAGGGCCTGCCTGGTTGCGTCGACTGGCTTGTTCTTGGAGAGGGTACATCGTCCCATCTGATGTCCCCCGTAAGGGCATGATGGTATTGATGGCTCCAATAGCCTCGGCGTGGCGGCTTTTTGCGGCCAGTTTGTGATATAACTCCACACGCCACGGTTGAACAACGCTAGATCCGCCAAAGTTGGGATCTCGTCGGAACTCATCCAATACTGCGAGAGAAGGAGAATCGGGAATTCGATAGACATGGCCAAGGCCACAGTGCTGGATGGCTGCATTATGCATGGCCGGGGACAAACTGTAGGCAACACTCGCGCCGAGGATACAGAATTTCAGTGGGTCAAGCACGTAACTCTGGACGAGAGCCTGGACAGCATCGCGTGAAGTTATTTGCGCATCACGCTCATTCTCCGTTTCTCGAGTAATTGCAGGATGTGTCACGCTTGTGAGAATCGAGTTGAACACCTGTGATGTCCGTCCTAGACGGCCAATATTGTAGGCAATCAGAGGTGGGTGGTCTCCTGGTAGAGACCGAATCTTGTTGGCAAACTCGAGCACACTTGCATTTTCCTCCCTAGAGGTGGCTACTCGGAGGAGCCGTACTAGCTGGCAGCCAAGTTTCTCAGCTTCGTTATACAAGGACACGCAGCCATCGTCTTCCCATTTCACTCGCGATGACGCTTCGAACACGTGTTGGCCGATGATCTTGGTCTTGCCCCGAGCACGGATGATCTGGGCTAATTGAGATCGATTCTGGCCAAGATTGACAACCAAGTACTCGACTGCTAAGCGGAGAGCATGCTCCAGAATATCAAAATATATCGCAGATTGATCGCGATCTTTCCTGGCTGCAAGTGATGACGTGTCCACGGAAAGAATGATCGGAGTCCGCGCGTTACGACGAAGCACAGACACTTGCTTGCTGATCACGTTGGGCATTTCGGGACCCCAGCGATCGACGCAGAGCTCAATGGCGTCTCCACCGGACTCTAGCTCTGGTAGATTGACATTGTCGGCGATCAGGTCTGAGGACCGCACGAAGATAGCATGGGTGAATGACCGAAGTTCGGGCGGTGTTTCCAACAGCACAAATGGGGAATCATAACTCGAATGGTTCACGTCGACTCCGGTCACGAAACGAACAAACCGGGTGAGGTCCTCCTTCACTTCTTGTAGTTTAAACGAGTAGGCTGCGGAGCGAGGGTCGGGGCTTCCATCGTCCGAGATGATTCGCGTGCGGTCCTCGACGTTGTAGAATTCGAAATTGGAGCAGGTTCGATGTAGCGGGTCTCCCTCGCGCAACAGTCGCACGGATTGGTCGTCCAACCCGAGAAGTTGCTGAATGCGATCAATGTCACGAACGATATGGACGACGGGGTTTGTCCTGACGATGCGCCGCAGATGATCTTGAACAGGCCGTGTAAGACTGCCCAATCCACATTCCACCACGCAGCCTGTCCGGTGATTGTCGAGCATCATTTTCAACACCTCGATATCCCGACGTTGGAATTCCTGGCTGCCATGTGTCTTCAGGTATTCCTGCCTCGTGACGCCGGTGATTTCTTTAAAGTAATGGTCTTCTGTGATGAATCGTCGCTTTAAGGCTGTGGCTGCGACGAATCCTAGCGAGCGCTTCCCGCAGCCGCGAATGCCAACAAGCACCAAGGACGCATCGGGAGCGAACTTGCGCGGAGCGGTGGTCTCTGGAGGATGCATTGCGGGAGAGGGCGAGTTCTTGGCCGAGTCGGTGCGTGAGGTGGAGGGATTAGAGTCGACGGACTCGAGGACGCAGGATTTCCAGTCAAGCATGGCGGGTGGGCAGATTCGGTGAGACGAAGAGGGAATCTAGTTGCAAGGCACGAGTGCCATGACGGGGCACTTCATGTGCTGGCAGGTTGTCGCATTCAGGGAAGGTAGGCGAGGCGTGCAGCTGTCGGACACGGGACGGATAGGGCTGTTTGTCGGGCGCGCAGTCGGGAAAAATCAAGTTTGGGAGCTATAGCAAGAATAGGCACAGGCATACGGGCAGACGTATGGGACAATTCGGCCAGCCGGAGGGTGGACGACGAACAGGAAAGTTGAGAGCGACAGCATTGGAGAGAGAGAGATTCCCCGGATGAGGCACCGGGCCAGTGGGGCAGCGACTGGGCTTACCGCGCGTGTGATTAGCTGGCGGTGGGCGTGTCGGCAGAAACATTACCCTCTGCGGAGTGGGCACGGCAATCGAGATTTTGTGGGGAGCATCGAGGAAGGAGAAGAGTTTCTCTCTGCTTTTAAAGATTCGCAAGAATGGAATACATCTCCTATATATATATCCAGATTGGAGGAAATCATCATAGTACAGCATGTATGCACAGAATCAACAAAGTCGCACGGAACGCTCCTAAGATGCTTCCTTTCTGTTTTAGGTCTCCTTGAACTCGTAACGACCCTCACGGTCCTGCACTTCCACCTGGATCCGACCCTCCTCAATCTCTTGGCCATTGACCTCGATCGAGGCGTACATCACATCACCGGCCTTGACCTCGCCCACACCCTTGGGGGTACCCGTGAGGACAATGTCGCCCTTCTCCAGAGTCATCACGCGCGAGATCTGGGCTAGTTGCTGGGGGATGCGGTAGAGCATTAGACTCGTGGAATCGGCCTGGCGCTCGGTCTCACCCACGCGCAGGCGGAGGAAAGCATCGTGGGGGTTGGGGATGCGCGACTTGGCGATCGCTTGGGAGATGGGCAGGAAGGTATCGAAGCCCTTGGCGATGGACCAAGGGAGACCCTTCTTCTTGGCTTCTTCTTGAACGTTGCGTGCAGTCATATCAATAGCAAGGACGTAGCCTAAGGATAGTAGTTATGGTCTGTTAGTGGGAATTGACTGCGGGTAGATTGGTCCAGGCAAGAGACGCCCATTTGGGCATGTGAGGGTAATCACTCACTCTCAATCGCATCCAATGCACCTTGCTCATCCTGCGGGTCCAGATCCCGAACGGTCTTGCCCATCACCAGACCCAATTCGACCTCATAATGCAGACTGACACCCTTGGGACGGAGAACGGGGCCGCTGTTCGGGAGCAGGATGGAGGAAGCGGGCTTCAGGAAGAAGAAGGGCTGCTTGGGGGTGGTGTTGTTCAGCTCGGTAATGTGATCGCTGTGAAATGGTGGATTAGCACTGAGATTGAGACCGAAAAGTACAGAGGCAGGGAGTCAAGCTGGCAGATTGCGACAGGAATGGATGTCGCGGGGAAAGGGCCACGCACGCGTAGTTACGACCGATACACATGATCTTGCGGCAATTGGCGCGAATGGAGGCCATGATGATAGTGATTGAGACTCGGACAAGGCGATAGAGTCAAGGAGGTTCCAATGTGGAAGAGAGAGTGGTCGTGTGCTGGGGAATGAGCAGTGAAAGAAGCTGTCGGAAGTCTTCCGTGCGGAGCTTCGGTGACGGCGCTGGTGATTGCGGAGAAATGGCCGACTCCCGCTTGTATTCTTTCCCCGTTGACCGATGACCAGGAGAAGACGTTAAAAGGAGGCAATCAGACGGATTTTTTTATTTTTCACTATGACTCTTGTTTTCTCGACGTATACTATATCCCTATAAATATATATTTTAGTATTTACTATGTTGGACCTCGATTCTGCGTATCTCGGCCTGCTGGGCCGAGTCTCGGCTGATCCTCCCGAGAGGCTTCTCCGGAGGAGTCATTCAAGCATGAACATTAACTACTCGGTATGGAAGATGTGGAAGATATCTATCTTTTCCTGTCAAGTGAAAGCTATTGGTTGAATATGATTCTATGGATGATAGGATCTTTTTTGAACGTGATATTGCGGACGGAGCATAGTTCCATCTGACGATCGCGACATATACCTCCCTTGGGACTGACTATATAGCGATAGTGGTGGTTCTATCCTTGTAGCTATACAAAATGTACTAAAATCCAGAAGAATATTAAACCCAAAGATAGTATATAGTCAACACTGAACTGTAGGTGGGCATGTATGGAAAGTACACCCGAGGATGCGACTGTAGTACCATTATTACCCTAGCCTTCTCCCTCCGAGCACCGGCGATTTTCAGTCGAGTGAGCTACCTTCTGGAGCAATCTGGAGCAAATAATGGACGTCTCCGAATCCCGACGATAGCATTTTTGCAGAGTCGGCAAACTGATAACAGCAACTGCGCTAGTAGATTGTAAGGATTAGTTCGGTAAAATAAACGCTATGAAACAACCCAAACCTCATTCTGTGATTACTGTCTGACGTCTTCGCCTCATCATGAATGTATTTACATTACATCGGATGTGGCTTGTATCCAGATGGGGCTTGCTTGGCGGTGCACATTAATAATTATTCATAAGACAGAGACTACTAACTAACTAACTAGTTAACTACTGATCTCAACAGGTATCTCTGTAGCCAGTGATGAAATAACAACTGATAGGCTAAATTTGTAGATCCTAATTGAGGGGTTTGCCGACCCCAACTGCTCCAAATCTCCCATTGGCATCGTACCCGAAGCGGGGGATCCCCTCTCTCCGTTTCCTGTCCGAGAAGGTGCTCAGGCTTGTCGCCCCAAGATTCCACTTTGATCATTAGACGCCTTCCGATCGATATCGTGCCAAGTGAACCTCGGCCGAGTAAAGTGGTTCATTATAAGGGTGTGGCCACCCAGATAGCGCTTTGTTTTACCCTCCATTTGGACTTTGTGATACCCTTTCCCTACATCCTCCCCCTTTCTCCGCCCTTCTTCTCCAAAATGCCGCTGAACTCCAGGGCTGTTTACGCAAAGTCGGATGCGGCCCTTACGCCTTTTGCTAGTCGACGAAGCACCGTCCACAGTAGGAATGGCATTATTTCGTGTACCCAACCGCTCGCTGCTGCGGCGGGCCACAAGATCCTGACTCAGGGAGGAAATGCTGCAGTACGTCGATTCAGTCTTTATTGAAACATGCTCGTGTACACTATCTAGATTTGAATACTAATCGGGGATCTCCGATTGATCAGGATGCAGCCGTTGCCGTTGGTAGGTGCCTTCAATACTCGTAAGGGCATGAGTATATGATCTAATTGCTTGTTTGTGCAGCCGCCAGCCTGAACATTACCGAGCCCGGTTCAACAGGTATCGGAGGCGACATGTTCTGCCTCTTCTACGACGCCAAAACGAAGAAAGTACATTCACTAAACGGCTCCGGCCGATACCCTGGCGCAGCAACTCTGGAGGAAGTGCGCCAGAAATTGAATATCGACCCTGGCGCTGATGCGAGTATGCCCTTTCTCAGCGCGCTAGCGGCTACTACGCCGGGTGCAGCTGCGGGATGGGTTGATACCGTGGAGAAGTTTGGCAGTGGTAAGCTGTCTTTGGAACAGATCTTGCAGCCGGCTATTGAGATGGGTGAGAATGGGTTTCCAGTGTCGGAACTTTCTTCTCGAAGTGTAAGTTTTGGCTATCTTCTTTTTTGGACAATTATGCCCGGCGGCTAACACGTTGGTAGTGGCAAAAAAGTGAGCATATCATCCGTGACGCATCTCCCAATTTCCGTGAGATGCTCAAGAAAGATCCCTCGGCCAAGGATGGCGTGCGAGCTCCGCTTCCCGGAGAAATTATGAAGAACCCGACCCTCGCAAAGACGTTCCGCACTTTAGCGGCAGAGGGTAAGAAGGGCTTTTATCAAGGTCGGATTGCTGAGGAAATTGTCAAAGTTGTGAACGAGCTGGGCGGTTTGATCACCCTGGAGGACCTGGCCTATCATGCCGAGGTCGGCACCCAGGAGACGGAAGCTATCTCTCTCAAATTCACTGGCCAAGATATTATTTCGAAGCAATCCCCAGGCACGGACGGAGAGCCTAACCAGGGCGTAGAAGTCTGGGAGCACCCGCCCAACGGCCAAGGTATCGTTGCATTGATGGCCCTTGGTATTATGGAGGAACTGGAGCGGACGGGCAAGATCCCACGTTTCAGTCAAGACCAGCATAACTCTGCCGAGTACCTCCACGCAGTCATTGAGAGTCTACGAATCGCCTTTGCTGATGCAGCCTGGTGGGTGACTGACCCGGACACTGAAAAGGTCCCCTCAAAGGGTCTCCTCGACCGTGAATACCTCGCCGAGCGAGCGAAGCTATTCTCTCCTGACCGCGCAGCCGATATCATGGATCACGGTAGTCCTGCCCATAACCACTGCGACACGGTATATTTCGCCGTCACTGACTGCGAGGGCAATGGAATCTCCTTCATTAACAGCAACTACATGGGCTTCGGAACAGGCATCATCCCTGCTGGCTGTGGGTTCACCCTGCAGAACCGTGGTGCCAATTTCTCCCTGCAACCTGGACACCCCAATGCATTGGCCCCTCGCAAGCGTCCCTTCCACACGATTATCCCAGCTCTAATCACAAATGTCTCCGATGGATCTTTACATTCCGTCTATGGGGTTATGGGAGCCTTTATGCAACCCCAAGGCCACGTGCAGGTCTTGCTAAACATGCTTGCCTTCGGCTATCACCCTCAAGCGGCGCTTGATGCCCCACGGATTTGTATTGCGGCGGCTACGTCTGAGATTACTGATCGGACTATCTATGTGGAGGAGGGAATTACGGACGGGGCGATAGAGGGCTTGCGTCGACTGGGACATAAGATTGAAGTGTTGACCGAATGGAAGCGGGCTATGTTTGGTCGGGGCCAGATTATTCGTCTCCACTACGATGAGGGGTCGCTTGTATACAGTGCGGGTAGCGATCTCAGAGGTGACGGCATGGCGTTCCCTCTACTTTAGATGATGGTCTAGGATAGGATAGATAGCTATTGTGCTTGCTGATATCTACTGAATATGGTCAACTTCAGAGCAGTTCTTCTATAACGGCCGTTCTTTACATGCCGCTTTATCTTGATGACCAACATCGGTGCCACTCCTTATGCTGGAGAAACTAATGAGGGTAGTGCTTGAAGGAAAGCTGTACCAGAGGACGGAAACGGATTCCCCATTCTGAGTCCGCAAATTCCGAGCGATTGATAACAGGCTATGGGTTTCGAGAAATTGGAAAACACCATCATTCGTGGACGTGAGCAGGCCAGGTCTCCACCCATGGTAGGCCATTGGATTTCCGTGCACTCCCGACATGAATTTCGGACAAAATGCTGAGAGAGCTGGGAGAGAACGTTAACTATTCTATGTATAGGGTCTTTAGTTGTTGTCTCCTCTGAGCGTAATATCCGATCCCTATCCTACTTGTATAGATCGGTGAGCAAGGCATGCAAATTAGAGTCGCGGATATACCCGCAGCCCTCAGACTTTATCATTGGGGTATCTTATTTTGACTTTACTTTTCTGGGGATAACATGAAGATCGTAGACCCCTCTAGACCAGCCGGCGGGATCCGATTCCGCCCATGGAAAACTGCAACTATTCGCGGGCCAATCTGCGAAGAATGACCCTCACATGGATTCAGGACTCTCCCCGGAGTATAATTGCGACCTGTCGCTGAATCAACCCCTCTCCACAATACGTACAATGCGGAGAGAAAGGGGTCTCCAGATGAGTGACGCCGTCTCGGGTCATCATCCCCGGATGTTTACTCCACCAAGGGGGACCACGCGAGGATGTTGGAAAGCACTGTTCGTTCCTGTGGTGTGTGTCCCCGGACCAATCGGAAATTCTGGTTAGGCCTCAGAGTATCTTGGACATTCGGGGTGATACTTGGACTTTGAGGCAATGGAAGGTGGAACAAACAATACTTAATAACAGCTCAAACCTTCTCGAATGCCCAGCAAAGATTTTTGTCTTACGAGAATGGTGACCCTCTCTTGTATTGGGTTCCATCTTTTCATACCTCATCCCAAAGCTCGCTGATCAGTTGGCTACTTGAACCAATCCATCATTTTACATCCGCAATGTCTCAAGTACCCCTAGAAGATGGCGACGCGGAGAAACAGGATGGCACTGATGACCATTTCCGTTCCCACGGCGGCACTCCTCGTCCTAGCCATGAAGAGAAAGAAGGTGCAGACGGAGCAGCTGATGGTGCCGCGGACGGTACCACCCATCCCCCCGACAAGAAGGAGCTCAAAGAATGGGAATGCTACGATAAACTGGGCTACTCATTCCCTTCGTGGAAGAAATGGACCATCATTTCTGTGATCTTCTGCGTTCAGGTCTCGATGAACTGGAATGCCAGTTTTTACGCTAGCAGCATCTCGCTGTACGCTAAGCATTTCCATATCTCCGAGCAGGCGGCACGTACCGGACAAATGAGCTTTCTGATTGCTTATGCCTTCGGTTGTGAGTTCTGGGCTCCTTTCAGCGAGGAGTTTGGACGATGGCCGATTCTGCAGATCAGTTTGTTCCTTGTCAATATTTGGCAGCTTCCTTGCGCGTTGGCTCCGAATTTTGGAACTATCGTTGTTTGTCGGACGCTGGGAGGCCTTTCTTCTGCTGGTGGCTCGGTCACTCTCGGCATGGTTGCTGATATGTGGGAGCCAGAGACTCAGCAGTGGGCCGTTGCTTATGTTGTGTTGTCTTCGGTTGCGGGCTCCGTGATCGCTCCGGTGGTAGGAGGATTCGTCGCGACTTATTTGGATTGGCACTGGAATTTCTGGATTCAGCTTATCCTGGGAGGCTTTGTGCAAATTCTCCATTTTCCTGTGCCGGAGTCTAGATGCAGTATTCTGATCACTCGGGAGGCTCGTCGGCGACGAAAGAATGGAGACATGGTCTGGAGTGGCGATGAGTTGAAAAAGAAGCGAGTCTCCTTCCGGTACCTGTTCATGGTCTGGGCTCGCCCGTTTATCATGTTTCTTCGAGAGCCCATTGTGCTGTTCCTTTCTCTACTTAGTGGGTTCAGCGATGCCTTGATCTTCACTTTCCTGCAGTCGTATACGCCAGTATATAAGCAGTGGAGGTTCAACACGGTTGATATTGGGCTTGCGTTCATTCCGTGAGTATTCCAGTTCTAGAAGCTACATCGCCCTGTGTTTTCTACATCGTACTGACTTATCCTGCCTATTAGCATTCTAGTGGGATATATCCTTGCCTACATCTCATTCTTGCCATGGATCCATCGTCATTGCAGAGTCCAAGAGAGAGACCCGGATGGCTTGCAGCCTGAAGCTCGACTCTATTGGCTGTTATGGGGTATGCCATCCAGAAGTCACTGTAATTTCCAGCCACTAACTCTTTCACAGTTGCGCCTCTACTGACGATCGGGCTGTTTGGATTTTCCTGGACCAGTCTTGGGCCGCCCCACGTCCATTGGATAGCGCCAATGATTTTCTCATGCTTGATTGCCATAGCTAACGTGAGTCTTTGACGATTCTATTCGGATATACCTGAATACTAACGATCCAAACAGTTCTCCATTTATATGGCTACAATCGACTACATGATTGCATCCTATGGCCCATACGCGGCCTCGGCAACAGGCGGCAATGGATTTGCGCGCGACTTTCTCGCAGGCGTCGCAGCAATGTACTCGATACCCAGTAAGTTGCCAACCATGCTGATATCCAAACCATGCTTCTTCATCGCCCTGGAATTATGTCTAACAAGAAACAGTGTATCAAAACATGGGAACAACCCACAGATTGGAATGGCCATCTACATTCTTGGGATTCATGGCTATTATCTTCACGATCCCCATATATGTTTTCTATTTCTATGGACCTAAGATTCGGGAGTTGTCTCCGTTTGCGCAGACTTTGGCCGCCGACAGGAAGAAAGCTGGGCGGAGGGTTTCGCAGTGTGGTTCTGGCGACGCCGATCCTGTTCAGCGATATCTGTCAGGGTCGTCGGGGTGAGGGTATTGCTCAGAAGGGAGGGTATTCAGCGAAAGTTGAAGAGCGGTGCTACGGTTCTCCACTCGAGGTCCTGTTCAATTCAGTTTCGAGCTGGAGGGATATCGTATTACGAAATTGACTATCACTATAAATCTCATAGAAGATCCTCTGGTCAGAACCTATCTATTTATCTGATGCTATTATACCATAATTGATATGGACCATGTGATGGGTCAAGCACAACGGGGTGTCACGTCTAGATACCTCCGGTATGGTTTTCCGGGCGAACTGACACTTGGATTGCCCCAGAAATCAAAGAAAACGAAGCCCTCCTAGAAGCGCAGATGCCAATCTTGAAAGATCGTGGGTGATATTTTGAATGATGCTAGTGAAAACAAGCTAGTTCTTGTGATGAGCGTACTCTATCACTATGCTGATATTAAGGAATCTATTGGTATTTCTCGGCGGGTCTTCTGTTGTATCTTTCATTAATCTATATGATAGCATAAAACAGCAATTCAAATGCTTCTAGATCGTCGTCTATCGTTCAACGAGGCTGCCAGGAAATAGTCTTGGCGAGAGGCCCGCCACGGTCATAAGTGACCAGGGCAGTATAGTGATCCAGTGCCAGAACTCCAGGCCAGAAGCTGGAGGCAGGCGAAACCACCTGGGGCTCACTCCAGCGAATCTGGCCATTCTGAGGTGGGCCCGCAAATACAGCTTTAATAGATGCATGCTTGACCCAATCTACTTGATGCGAATCATCGTCTGTCATAAAGACGACCACCATGGAGCCATCGGCAAACGCAGAAATCTGCGGCGATCCCGCATTGTGTCCTTGGCGGGGACAGAAAACCTCATGGCGATTCTGCCAGGTCGCGCCATCATCGTAGGAGATTAATGCCTCGACATTGAACGGTCCATACCGGGTAGTCTCAAAGATCATGACCAGGGCTTCGCGGCCATTGTCAAAAGTGGCCGCGATTCCGTTCATCCCGTCACGCAGGGGATCTTGGTCGCCGTGTAAACAGACCAGATGGCTCCAAGTACTTCCCTGGTCATGCGAAACGACAAGCATGGTGCATTGATTGTTATGTGCGAACTCTTGGGAGAAGGTTAATTGCACCTCGCCTCGTCGGCCGAGTCGCATGAAGGGCTCCCAGATTCCCAATGGCGGGCTTTTCTCTGCTGCCTGGGACGCGAATTTCCAGCTACGACCTCCGTCCGTGGACCTGCAGACAGTGATGCGGAAGTGTGTAGGACCATTGGGACCGAGATCGTGATTTCGGAATGCTGCAAGGACTACCCCGGGAGCAACTTCGAGAAGGAACATGTTGTCCACATCCCCAGTCGCCCGCGTTACCTCGGAGAAGTTCTGGAAGGTGCGCCCGCCATCGGTGCTGCGGGCGATACAGAGCGCATGTTGGCCATCTGGAAAACGCGTGAAGGAGGAGAGGATGGAGCCGTCAGAGAGTCGAGCCAGGCGGGGATAGGTGCCATTGTTGGGAGGGGAAGAGAGTGGGCGCTCATCGTCGTGGATGAGCCCGCGACCTGGTAGATGGTGGCCAGTTGGGCCAGGCAGTTGGCCTTGCTGGGTATGGTGGCCCACACCAAAGGCATTGAGTACTTTCTGGCCGAAATGTCCAGGCATTATCGTAATGGTGAGATGCGTTGTGAGGGGTACAAACGAGGGTGAAACGAAACTCTGAGACGTTGGAGGGTGGACATTACGTCATGGCCGAGCCCCAGGTTATTGGAGAATATCTGTGGAGATGGTGGAGAGGGAGACGGCAGACATGCGGCATCTGAACAAAGAAAGCGTTTTGATGCTCGATATTAGTGCAAAGAAGATTATTGATGGCCGTGAAAGTCAATGGTTGTCTCGAGAGTTGAAGCAATCACCCTGTCATTGTCCTTCCTGCTTCCTATACTCTAGCGCTAGCCATCACCAGCCAAGCTCGACACCAGGGACCACATACTCACGCGTATTTCGCCAAAGACCAGCCATGGAAGAATCCAACGCCGCAGGAGAGTCTATTGTCCCGACCGGGGGTTCGGTGTTAAGCAGATGAAGACGAGAAGGTCGGTTTTTGCAGAAAGTCCAAGCGCCGGACTTATCGCCGCGTAATCTCCGGAAGGTAAAGGAGGGCGGAACGTCACCATTTGACTGCCAGGCCAGAGATTTCGAAGGTTTATAAGGAGGCAGGAATGCTCCGAGTGAATATGTTGGGTTCCGTTTTAGTACTATTTACACATTGAAAAAAAAAACATGGGCTTCTTCTACTCTCAAGTTTTTGTCCGACCTTCATATCCCACCCAGTCCTTTGATGGCCAGACGGTGCTCATCACTGGCGCCAACGTAGGTCTGGGTCTCGAAGCTGCTCGGCATGTGGTCCGACTGGGTGCTGCTCGAGTGATTCTGGGTGTGCGAAATGTCCCTGCAGGAAAGGCCGCCAAGGAAGACATTGAAGCTTCGACAGGCCGCCCAGGTGTCTGCGAAGTATGGGAGGTAGACCTGGCCTCCCACAGCTCAACCCTTGCCTTTGGCGACCGAATTGCACAGCTCCCTCGCCTCGATGCCGCAATCCTCAATGCAGCCTTGGCCACTCGGACCTTCCAAGTGGCCGAGGGCTACGAACGAACCATTACCGTGAACGTGATCAACACATTGCTTCTCGGCCTCCTCATCCTCCCTCGACTCAAGGCAACTGGACAAGAGTTTCCATCGTCCCAGCCCCGTCTAGCCTTCGTTGTTAGTGAAGTCCATGCATGGGCACATTTCACTGAGTGGAAGGACACAGACAAGCCGATGCAGCTACTGTCTGATCCTGAAAAGGCCAAAATGCCCGAGCGATACCCAATGTCCAAGTTGTTGGAGGTACTGCTTGTGCAAGAACTTGCTGGCCGGACTCGCGGCTCCGATGTGATCATCACCATGGTCAACCCGGGTCTGTGTCATTCATCCCTTGCTCGTGAGGCGGGCTGGCAGCTCGCTGTGATGAAGCTAGTGCTTGCAAGATCGACCGAAGTGGGAGGGCGCACCCTGGTGGCTGGCATCTCCACTGGCATCGAGGGCCATGGTGCTTACATGACGGATTCCACTGTGGACAATGCCAGTTTGTCCCCATTTGTACGCAGTGAAGACGGACGCCCGGCTCGAGAAAAGCTTTGGAAGGAATTATCGGCGATCCTCGAACCCGTCCGGCCTGGGATTATGCAGACCATTTGAAGGGTCTTGAATGTTGAAGCAAGGACAGGATCGGTACATACCAGTACAGAATGTACTTTGTGTTGCCAATTTAATGAAATATCCTCTGTATGATAGTCTTCATCAATGTTCATTTGTGTTCGAAATTCTGGAATACGAGACGTCGTTCAGCGAAAGACTTGAGCATTCATACTGCTACTTCAACTAGACTGGATCAAATCAAGTACTTTGAACATAACAAACTACGCGAAACTCATACTGATTAGCTTCAATAGGTACATGATCAATCCTTGAAGCTGCCTGTCTCACATTTGAGAGGGCCATTTTCTCGCTCAACTCCCCGATCAGGAGCCACCCTATCAGCCATCCCGCTTGCAACTCCAGCAGTTGAGGGCAAAGGATATATTGATCTGAACTTCAAGTAGAGTGACCGTGTTGGAGGCATAGTCTGTGGTAAAGTACTGGTCGTGACGTTTTTGAACCAGCAGATCCTGGCTGATTACCTTTTTATCCAATTTGTAAATAAGGCACTGGTACTCGTCATCATGACAGAGTCAACCTTAACCAGCCATTGGTATGCTGGTGAAGCACACAACTTTCAGCTGAATATTCCAATGGACAAGATTATTCGCATTTTTGAACACCTCGGGGTATTACAAACTTTTTTCTCTTCGTGTCTTATGCAATCCAAAAGCCGCCATGACTCCCATTCCTCTGGACTCCCAAACGCCCACCAACCAGGATCGATTAGATATCTTAGCGCGGGGCTGCCTGTTTGGTACAAGAAACGACGATCCGGACCAGAACCAGTCACCACCTTGCCAAACCTCAATACGGCTTAGAATGTCTAGATACATAGTGGACTCCCAACGGCCTCAAGTTTCTCGGGTTAACATCTTAAACTTTGCAACCTGAGAACTTTTCCGCAAATACATGAGCCTTGTTCAACATCAAACTCGACCATCGATTGATATATATTCTGATCATAACCGTGAGATCAGCAGCGAGAGGAACTGAGACTCACAAATCCATTGCCGTCCATTCCCACTGACTAGTTTCTGGTCACCACTCCACCCTGTGCTCAGCCTGAAACAACAAAGAAATATCACTCAAAATCAGTAGTGGGGCAGAACGTGGAACAAGTAGGCCACCCGGCGACCAGGGGTGGGTGTGGTTAATCTGATATCATTCATGGACAACTTCACACTACTGCGCTCTCGGGTAGTTTGTACAATAAAGTATGGATCTTCACTGAGAGCATCACGTCCAGTTTAGCTCAAACAGAGCCAAGATCCGCTATCTGGTCTGCGCCACCCGTCTCAAGTTTAACTATCAGTCATAACCCCTTGTTTAGTAGGGTATATAGTAGTTCAGGTATCGTCCTAAGAGCAGGATTGTGTCGTGTCATCATTCTTTCCTTTGCTTTTGAGGGCTTTTGATTCGATCGTTCTTTACATTCGCTCTTTGGCGGACTGCTGGTTCAGTTGTTTGTTTGAAACCTCGCTTCCTAAGTCCATCACTTGCTTCTCTACTTTTTCTGATGGCCCCCAGTAGAACTCTTCTGACGGCTGTTGCCCTGCTGGGAGCCATTGCACAAGCTGCAGGTGTTTCAGGTACTGCTGTTGGGTTCGCGATAGGCACGACTGGTGGCGGCAATGCCAGGTCAGCCGCTCCCAGCGACATCTCCCAACTTACGGGGTGGTTGACTAAGAAACTCCACGGGTCATTCTAATCGACAAGGGGATCAATTAACTCAGTAGCCAGGATAATTGCACCGACTGCAAATGCTGCATTCCTTCGTCCAACTCGTGCGGTAGCTCGGTCCAGAACGCTATTGATTTGGACTCGTCCTCCTGGTGTGGAAGCTATCCCACTACGACTTGTACTTACGACAAAGCTGCTATCGACGGCATGCATTTCGCATCGAACAAATCTATTGTTGGTGTTTGTAGTACCGGTGTTATTCGTGGCAAAGGCTTGCGTCTGGTGAATGGTGTTAGCAAAGTTATCATTCAGAACGTTCATATTACCGAGCTTAACCCGTGGTATATCTGAGGTGGTGATGCTTTAATGCTGGATGGGACTGATCAGGTCTGGATTGATCATGTCAAAATCTCTCTTATCGGTCGGCAGATGTTTGTTGCTGGGTACGAGGCGAGTAAATTGAGACTTGGTACACATTCACAGGACAACGTCAATATTGATCCTTGATGTTTCTAGGTGGATGTGTCACTATCTCCAACAGCGAGTTTGACGGCCAAACAAGCTGATCTGCCTCCTGCGATGGCCACCATTACTGGAATGTGTATATTTCCCAGGCTGGATTTTGTATTTGTATTTGAAATTGCGAATCTCCGCTAATCGCATATGTTCTCTTGCACAGTTTAGGTTACGGTAAAAACGACAATGACATTTACCGGAGAATACATCCACCACACCTCCCGCCGCTCCCCCAAGTTAGAGTTCAACAGCTACTGGCACGTCAACAACACTGGTCACCCTTTTGACGTCGGTGAAGGGACCGACGCTCTAATCGCGGGCCGCGTCTTCCAACAGGTCAAGACTCCGTTCTTGGATGATAGCTCCCCTGGCAAGACCTTCGCTGTTAGCTCCAGTGACAAGTCTACATGCGACTCTAAGCTCGGCCGTACTTGTGCGGTTAATACTCTGACTTCCTCGGGTACTCTATCCGCCAGTAACGGTCCGTGCTATCTAGCTGGCCGAGCGGCGAGTCTGGCATTGACGTTCTGGATACTGGTTGGGTTAAGTCCTCGGTGCTTAGCAACGCGGGTGTTGGTAAACTCAGTGGCTCTGGGTCTTCCAAAAAGTTCCGCCAGTTTGATGGTGCTCGGTCATGGGGCACTGTTCTCTCCTCTGCGGGCCCTGGAGCCACTCCCTGTCCGACTCCTAGTGGCCTTGCTCGCAAGTGGGCCTGGAAAACTATTGGACTCAAGCCTTCTCCTCAGCCTAGTGGCCCTCCCCCTCTTCCTAAGGAAAGCCACGGTGCCGGTATCCGCGACTTCCACTTTAGCTTCTTCTAGATTGCTTTCTTTGTGGGGAGTGCGGCGATCAGCCCTAGCATTGGACGGCCGTCTCTACTTTAGCCGCTGCCCCTCTTGAGAGCGGTTTTCTCCCCAATTTTCTCTTCTCCTGGTCAGGACTGCTATTGCAGAGTTTAACATGAGTCTTTCATTAGTCTCTAAGAGTAACTGGCTAGTCGGCTATTTATTTACTTGAGATTCTTTAGGTTATCCGGTGGCGGCCTCCTGTTCTGGGGTCGCTATTGGCCTGGTGCCTCACTAACTTGTGATTCATAAAGTACGATAACCTCTTAGATCTCCCCCCCCTCTTCTCCCAAAATGCTTTTGATACCTCTTCTTTTGGGTCTCTTCGTAGTTGCCTGTATAACCTGCAAATAGAGGTTCAGGGGTATTATGAACTCACGCCAGCAGCTTTCTGCAGGGGTGGGAATGCCCTCGCCAGGGTTCAGAGGGAAGACAAGCACGGCGCCAAAGTCCATGGTCGCTAAAATCAGACCAGCCTTGATTATTCCTCCGTTTGTGCAAGCCATAATTCACAGGGGTTGCCAGGTGGTTGGGTGAAGTGACTGGATCTCCCAACGTTCGAGGACGGACGGGGAGTATGATGGGAAATAGGGAGTCGTCTTTTTTGGCGAAATTTTCCCCACTTGGGAATTTCTTTCTTCGGTGATTTAGTTTTCACTGGTTGTATGTCCATCCGATCGGGTCTGCTGGGATGAAAGCCCCCTGCATCTCATGAAAGTTGTGCATCTCATGTTGTTCTTGAGCCGGACCAAGCTGGTCCGCCCCAATGGTGAACCCGGCACTTGCATCTACCGGCAGCCAGTTGGACGTTCTGCGGGTACTTCCATCTGGCATTTCTAGTGTTGTCGGGTATTCTTCCTCTTCCATATGATGTGAGGAAGAGGCATAGGCAAACCTATCTGACATGGTTGCATTTGTATTTGGGGTGTCTGGAGATCGAGAAGATTGCATGTCTTCGCTGTCGTGGTCGGTCTCCCAGCGGCCGAAGGAAGCATGGCTGGTTTCCGGTGTGCCAGAGGGATCGGAAATTGGGGATCCTGGGAAAGTTGGAAAGGCTGTCTGTTGCACCGATGGAGTCATGAAGAGGGCTCTTTGAGTAGCCATGAGGGAATTCCACCGTTGTCGTTCTGCATTTGGGGCTAACGGAGCGGCATAAAGTTGATCTTGATTATAGCCAGCGCTACACAAGTTAGTATTTCACAAAAAGCCTTAAACCCCTTAGATTCCACAGCTGGAAATACCCGATGGGTTTCATGAAGAAGAGAAATGACTATTTACCTCGAGTCCTCCCAGTTCTCCCACTTGCCGCCAGCGGAGTGGATCGTCAGACCAGCCTTCACCCACGACTGCGGGTACCGCTGGGTCTCGGCCATTTTGGCGAATTCGCTGTGAGCATTCCAGCCCAGCTGATCCACCACCCACGGGTCGATATTGCCTTGCACAGCAAAGGGGAACTCATTCTCGGTCGTGAAGCTCGGATACAGCTCCTCGTGGGCCACGATGGGTACCAGACCCTTCGTCTCATGGCCAGGAGCGTCCGCCGCGCACCAGGGCTCCAGTTCGTACGCTGAAGCCATGCTTGTGATTTCTGTCTTCTCCGGTATTTGGAGAAGCTCGGACAATGTGTGTGAGTGGCGAGACTGCCACAATGCGAGCGACAAAAAAAGTGATAGCAATCAACAAAAAGAAATAAACTTGCGCAAATGTATAGACTTCAACGCGATGCGATCTCCACGCGAAAGAAAAAAAAAAACAAATTCCCCGCAAACCTTGGGACATCCTGGCTGACGGTTTTTAAGTAAGGAAAAAAAGGAACCTTCCAAAGCGCAAAAGACTAAAACCGAAACTCGAAATTGCGGAGAACCTGCAAGCGACAGGAGCAAAAGCTCCGAAGCGAACAGCTCGAGGGCGGCAAATTGCAGCGCATGATCCTGGAAAATGCTGAGATCAGAAACCAGCAGCGTCAATTAACCGAGTTTCTCCCAGCTTTCCCCGGATTTGTGCCCTGTCGATCGAACCGAGCTTGGAACGGAGCAGATTCAATGTGCCAATCGGCGTATTCCATGACGGGCTCGGCAAGAAGATGTTTTAACCGACCACAACGTCCCCCGCAAATGTACGAAGTGACCGTTGATCAAGGATCAGGCACCCCAGCACGGCGAATGGGCCGTTGAGACCGGGGAAAATGGAGAAATCATCATGTGCTGAGGTGGATGTATATCGTGATGGTCCAATCAATACGTGATAACACGGAAATTAGAAACCTTCTAGCTCATGAATCGAACCCTTGCCCTTTTGGTTTCCTATATGCTTGACTCCCGTGCGTTGTCCTTCGCCCATGATGCCGAAGTACTTTAACCGGCGCCAACCCGATGCCATACCCAATATACCATCTCCCACTTACCCTGCTACTACCTCCTAAAGAATGAAATTAAACAAGATTATCGAGATCTAAGAGTTATCTAAATAGCTATATTAAAAAAAAGATCTTTATCCGCGAGGAGGTGCTGTCACCACCTCGCATCCCCACCCGCCCACTCTCCCCGCCTAAGGATGTACCCGGCCATCCGTGGAGTTATACTCGACATTGGAAGTCTGTACCCATCACATATGTTTGCCCATTCCCAGCGCACACCCCAAGATCGTTAGACCAGTAGGCCATATGAGGGGGGAGAGTGACTGGAATACCAATACTGGGGGTATAATCCACGTTTGACTTTCAATCGGCTGTTCTTGTGCCGCATCATCCTGGACGAGAGGACGAGAGGACTAGAGACCAAACATACTGATCATTACTGATCATACATGAGACCTTCCCCTCATCGTAACGTGCTGACCCCCGTAAGGTTCACGCAAGGTACATTTCACCTCCACGCGGAGCAGGGCCGACCGTGGGCCTGTCGATCTGGATCGATCGTTGATTGACCCAGGAGATTGCAGGCACACGCCACGAGGCCTGCGACTCTCCAGGTGTATATTGATAAATGCCGAGCGGGTATAATGACCTGCATCGAGGACTGCGCTGGACATTTATCACGGGTTAACAGCCGGTCGGACTTTAGCGGAGAAGGTAAGCTAACAGTATATTCTCGAGGCGGTCTACTGCAGCGTCATCCATGGATGTTTTGGAAATCGTTCTCACCCACTCGGGCTTGTCTAGATCTCTCCACATCAACCCCGCCCACACTTACCAAGATTACACTGTGGGGTCTTGGGGTGTTCAAGGATAAATACTACTATAGTCCTCGTGAAGTCTCACTGCTGTGGATTTCAGTTGAATATGTATGTATTTCTTGGCAACCTATGGAATGGGAAAATGGTGGATTCGGCGATCCATCTAGAAAGATCGGTCGACACCTGCAGTGGTGAGCTTCCAACGGTCCTTGTAGCAAAAAATAGCAGCACCTCATCAGCCACCGCGGCTGGAATAAGTCTTAGCCGTACATGGACTACGCCTTACACCCAACACTACGGTGGCTAGTAACCTTGGCCGACGGCAAAGTTGACTTGTAAGCATATGCTATGTAGCCCTGGAAATTCACCAAGATCACGGTGGTTACCCTCTCTATTATCTATTATTATCTACCCCTTGAGTTCGAGGGTTTAGAGATGAGCAAATTCAGACCATCCATTTCCATTTCCGTGTATCTTGTATCGAGCCAGGGTGGTGTGCGCCTGAGGATGTATATTTGTTTGTGGTGAATGAGATAGTTGTAGCAACATGTGCGGCACTAATACCTACGGTTATGCACAGTATAGAATATAGAATGGCAAATCAGGTAAACACCATCTCGACTCTCTATGCATTAACAACTACTTATGCTCAGCACTTCTCTCCATCGGTGCTTATACATTGGGTGGATCGGGGATCGTCGGTGCGGGGAAGGTAAACATGGGGAAACCAGGGAACCCTAGACTTCAGAATCTACACTTTCGAGAATTCAATCTATTTTCTAGCCTTGAGTACATCTGTATAGCAGCACCATATATTGTAATCATCTACACAGGTTTCACGGCTATCTTGCATTCGATAGTGTTCAGTATGATTCTTCGATCGAGTGATCTTGCGGGGTCCTCACGCATCACCAGCCGAAGCCGAGGTCGAACATCCGCTTGCCGAACACCAGCTATAAGCTCTTCAATTCCCAATGCTTGAGTTCTTTTATTGACCAAAATACACGCATTTCTCTTCAATTTTCAGGTACAAATATAGCCACATCGGCACAAAATGATCTTTGACCCAGCCCCCATCGAGCTCCCAGCCTCCTATGAGACAGTCCCAACTACGGGTCATATCAAAGTCTCGCATCATCCAGCAGGTGCATCATCAGTCACACCAGTAATCGTCGTGACGCTAAACCGTCCAGCGAACAACAATGCCTTTACGTCGCAGATGGTTCATGATTTCGAAAAGTTCTTCCCCATGTTCGATGTCGATGAGCGGGTCAAGGTTATTGTCCTGACGGGCGCCGGCAAGATCTTCTGTGCGGGCGCAGACTTGGATATTGGTTTCAGAAGTAATCGTGCACGTCCGGCTGATCACCGTGATGGGTAGGTAAACGTCTTGTGGTAGTTTTAAGCAGGGCCCCAGGGAGCTAACGACGATTAGTGGTGGGCGTGTTGCGTTGGCCATTCATCGCTGTCGCAAGCCAACCATTGCAGCCATGCAGGGCTCTGCTGTCGGCGTTGGGATGACCATGACTTTACCAGCTATTATTCGGTAAGTCCTGGAACCTCCTTTTGACAGTGAGCTTCCTAGAGACTGAAGATCATTCGTCCCAGCATTGCCTATGAAAAGGGCAAGTACGGCTTCGTTTTCGGTCGGCGAGGGATCAATATGGAGTCTTGCTCCTCATATTTCCTGCCTCGTCTGATCGGTTTCTCGAATGCCAGCTATCTCGTAAGCACTGGGGGTGTGTTCCCACCTAATTCAAAGCATTTCGGTGATCTCTTCAACGAGATCATGCCCGACCCTTCAAAGGTCCTGCCACGAGCTCTCGAGCTGGCCACGGAGATTGTAGAGAATGTCAGTCCTACATCGCAGTATCTTAACCGTGCACTGATGTGGCGCAATCCGGGAACTGCAGAGGAGGCTCATTTGCTGGAATCGGCTGTCATCTGTCACACGTTTGGATCAGAGTATGTCACAGTCAGTTTAGTTGGAGTTTGATTGTTCGCTGACACGGTGAAATAGGGATCAGAAAGAGGGTGTCAAGGCTTTCTTTGAAAAGCGTAAGCCGATTTTCCGTGCAAATTTGGATGACAACCCGCCTGTTAATGTGCCGTGGTGGAGTGAGGTCGACACTGGGCGGAACCCGAAGGCCAAGGTTGCGTCGAAGCTGTAGCTGGTCAGATCCTTGTACAAGAATGCACTGGTTATCTACTTACTATAAGATCGCACCCCATTCAACATGATCCGTGTGCTTAGAAGAAAATAAGACGATATAAACTGAGTCCCTCCTGCTGGGATGAGTGTACGACAGCTTCAGGAATATCTTACCTAGACCCAGGATTCCGCTGTATGGCGGAGGTAGTCTACGAACCAAAGTATTCCAGGATCGTGAAGAGCCAAACAAGAATTAAGAGGAGAAATGGGAGTCCGTTGATAGGTATGATACCAAAGATCATTTTCAAGTATAATGTAATCTCCCGGCTTGCCCTTGTCGCTAATGAGGTTGAAAATCAAAACACCGATTCCATAGAAAAGAAAGATAATGCCCTGCTTGGGCCAGAACCTGCCAAATGCGGGCAGCTTGAACAGTATACACACAAATCAGAAGCAGAGAGAACTGATGCCTCGTAGAAACCCAAGGAGCGAAATTAGACGATGAAGTTGCGGCGCTTGCGGTTGTACGCGCGCTGATCCTTGAGCCACTGTCGGTATCCCTGCACACTGCCAATCTTCTCGCCGTAGTAGTCGGGGACGGGGTTCGCAATTGAGTTGGTGGACGGGTCCACACGGAATCGCTTGATACGGTCGAAGAACTCCTTCTCTTTCTGTGATAGCAGATATACATTAGTCGACTTTACGCTTTAAAGTAGGTTCATGATTGACTTACTGTTGCCACAGAAGGCTTATACCGGCGGTACACCAAGCCCCAGACGCCATTGCCAACAGCTGGGCCAACCAGCCAGCCAGCAGCACCACAGGCTGCGGTCGCCATACCCAGAACGACAAACGGATCCAGACCCATCACCTGAGCACCCAAAGCCTCCAAGTCCTGCGATGAGAGAACCTGCACACCGACCGTGGTAGAGACGAGGGAGCTGATAATCGAGGAGGCCAGGGAGTAGCGACGGCGAGAAGCCCGGAGCTTGAAGAAGGAATCCCAGTCCAGCTTCACCTCATTATTGCCAGCGGCCGAGGTAGACTGAGCACGCAGACCAGCTGAGCGGCTCTGTGAAATGGTAGAAGGTCGAACATGAGGCCGGAGGTCTTGGTTCTGGACGGCACACGACGGACGAACAGCAGTCGAGTGGAAGCGAGCAAGTTGCGCCAATGCTCCTTGTGAGCCGAATCGGGAAACGGGAGAGGCACGGGCAATGCTGTTGACCGCAGAGGGGCCCATAGGGCCATTGAAGATCAAACGAACGGACATGCTGACGGAACTCGTTTGCATCTTTTGTGTCACGGAGTCGTTGCAGACCAGAGATTGCGTTGTTAGCAAGGGAAGTTGGCGGAGCTGGAGCATTGGTTACGTAAGCGTGCCCCAGGTTCCAATTGCAGGACCTCTCTCCAGCCAATCAACGCCGGCATACCTCATAGCGATTCTATACCCAAGAACTATCGTAACCGACCATGTGCCATTCTGCCCAAAGGATGGAAATCTATAGTGAGGCCTAAGGATGGAAATCTATAGTGAGGCCTAAGGATGGAAATCACTAGCTGGTACTTGGCGGTTTCAGGTTAATAGGTACGACGTAGTCTGATCATGTCCTGAGTAAGTAGAAGGCGAGGCACAGGACGAATCGCCTACGCCAGGGAGGTGGGAACCTGAAGAATCTGGCAACCATAGTAGTAAGGCTTGGTGGCCTGGAAATATCTCCAGGAGTAGGAAGACGAAGCAGAGGGAGAAGGGAAAAGAAGCTCTTCTATTTATAGGACATCGCCAACAGAAGAAACAAGGCAAAAAGGCCAATGGAGCAGGAAAATCTACATCAACTGTCTGATCAATTTTGAATCAGTCGAAATGTACCTCAGTTCTTCAGGCAGTCATCCACTCCAAAAGTGGAAAATGCCACGGAGTAATAACAGGCAAAAAATCTCAAATACTAGTCAGAATTAGGGATATACATGAACCATGATTCTATTGTATGTCCAACCCTTGAAAACAGGCGTTCGTAATATCGACTACGTCCATAACGCTCAAGATCAAAGGTCTCCACGGAGTGCTCACTCACTCCGCGCTCAAGAAGTTTGCTCATAGTCTCTCCTTCTTGATATCACCAGGGTGAGACTGAGAAGACTGAGAAGGCAGATCACTACCAAAGCCATTAACATGACCGTATAGCCGCTTCAAAGTGACGGTGCTCAGGGCCATCACGATGGCACTCAGCGAAAAAAGACCAATTCGCCCGGTAGTGGACAGCTGTTCAAAGATGGGATACGGATACCTCCAACCAGTAAGTATAGTCGTAATAATATGGGTGAACGATGTCAAATGTACTTACCATCCATTATAGTAGAAGCATTGCTCGACCCAGAACCAGTACCCAAACGCAATGGTGCCAGACAGGCCCAGCGATGGGAGAGCGGAAATTGTCCACGGTGGAGAGAGGAACAGTAGATCCACCAACATCACGATGGATGGGACTGCGTGGAAACCGATATCTGCCGAGTGGTTTCAGTGCGCGTTCCCCACTATTCTCGGCATGAGCCGCCGTTAGTTCTGTCAACGTACCAGCATGTAGGGGGATCACGGCCCAATCCGGGACCACGAGACGCTCATCGATCTGAACAATTCGGGCGTATTCGGTCAGATGTGTCAATCAGGGCAAAGTGGCTGTCTTTCTCCACTCACCAACCGCAGTCCCCAATACAGCACACTAATCAGCACCTCCATTGGAGCGCAGCACACGGACAGTAGATTCTTGATCAAGAACAACCGTCGTGATAGGGTCACATCGGCAAGTAAGCCAACGATGAAAGTCAACGTCGAAAGGCTGAGCCCAATGACTGTTAAGTACTGGAAGTGCCAGCCATATGCCTCATTTCTACAGTTGGTTAGCTATGCGTAAGTCCCGGAGAGACCGCTCAACATCTCCCTCCAAGGGAGCAGAACTTACGCCCGATTTGGGTTTTCGTGCATGCTTTTGAAAGACCATTAGCGCTGAGTTTACGTAAGAAAGAGACCCATCAGTGCTCTAGGAGATACAAGAGGTGTGAACGTACTACTTGAATGACCATAGAAAACTCGCAAGCCCCGTTGCCTGTGCATATTAGCCATGGATCCTACTGACATGTCAGAACCACGGGACGAATGGGCATACATGAACCAGCGCAGAAAGACCCCTGGAAGGGCTGGGCCACCGCTGCAGTGGATGATGGAGATGAAGCAAATGAGCCATTTTCCACGAGGTTTGTGCGGAAGACGTAAATTAATTGAGTTTCGAAGTTGGCGTAACTGGGAAGAACTAGGGAACTAGGGAACTAGAGAACTAGGGCGGCAGCCAACCTGACAGAGAAGGCGGAGGCTATCGGGCCCAGCTGAGCACCCGAGCACCGCTATGACGCTGTCAGGTGACCCGGCAAGCCGCGGCATGCCGTATCGGACCACGGGTTTTCCCGAGCTCCGGCTGATTCAGCCTTATCTTTCGCTTCCCCACACTTTCCCACGCGCGGTCCAGATACGAATCTTCTTTGCAACTTGTGCGCAGTGACTGCTTCGTTCTTTGCTCGCTGTCTGCAGGCTGCAGTAGTCAAAGTAAGTGGGCCAATTGCGGTACCCCGGATTGTCATCCACTCGAAAAGGAGGCCACGTGCAATTGTTCCCCGGATCGGCACTGCCCCAACTGTTCCCTGCATTTTCCCTTGCAGATAAGGGCGAACGACTATCTGCCATTGCTACCGCTACTGCGGGACTCTGGTTTCATCGGGCACATCTCCCTCCCACACCTCGATGTGCTTGTATACTAGGTGTGGGTGTCTGGTCGATTATCGTTTCGTCGCAACTTGGGGTCAACACAGTTGCAGACGCCGGAAGCGAATCAATTGGAACCTGCCTGCCCTGTGAAGATCTTGAGACAGATCTTGACGTGTCTGCTCTGTATGGCTGTCGGACCGGTCATTCAATCAACTGGCCATCTCAGCCTATCTATTCTCCTCGATCGTCATATTTCTGGCCATCTAGAACAGCTTGCCAATAAGATTGACTTGGGAGAATGCCTCGCCCCAGACGACCTGGCGCGCCAGAGCCTAAGCGCAGGAGCCGAAAAGGTTGCTGGTGAGTACCTCGCATGCGTGGAAGAATTAGGACCTGACATTAGACTGACCGTTCGCCCAAGGCCATGCAAGGCTCGCAAAGTGAAATGGTAAAGGAAGCAAACGTTGCCTCTCGTTGGACATCCGCTAACGGAAGATCATCGCAGCGGTGAAGAAAAACCCTCTTGTCTTAATTGCCAACGACAAGGCGAGTCGTGCGACTATAGTGTCCGCCTCAACTGGGGTGGCCGAACTAAGCGGTCTTCTGTCGATTCTCCAACTTCCATCTCCAGGGGGTATGGGGGTACGCTGATGGGCTTTGCTGAACCAATGCGGGCCAGCACCGTTGACTCGGCCGAGGTGCCCGCACCAATACCACCAGGCAACAAGAACCCCGCAGATGGGTTCATCAATTTTAGATCTGTAGACCTAGGGTCCCCTGGGGCATTATCGCCTGGCAGTGCTGCCACCTTCGGAGTCTTCGACTCCCCGAAGCCTCAAGTGCCTTCAGAAAATGGGATCTCTCCATCCCAAGGAGAGGTCCAGTTTGCCGCAACATGGGCAGAGCATTCCCCCGTAACCCCAGCGTCATCGGGGTCCATGTCACAGTATTCATTTGGACAGAACTTTCATAGCTCACTATCCCCTGCAGCAGACCAGGGAGTGGGCATTCGATCTCTTTCTGCCTTTGCGTTTCACTCGAGCTCAGTTTCACAGCCAGTATCCTTTCTTCGAAACTCAATGGACATAACCAGCCATCCCTCTGATGTACAGTCTCGCCCAAATCAGAATGATGGCCAGATACCCACGAGTCGTTCCTTGTCACATGATGATCATGGACTAAGTTTTTTACTGAACGACGTTGCTGGACAGGACGGCCCTTCCCAAGAATTGGCAGGCCATATCGAGGGTTCGACCTTGCTGCATCCAAGATCCCATGTTTCTTCTTCCCCTGGGCTTGATAGGCATACGCCATCATCGACTTATGCGCCAAGGACCGAGTCCCTTCGTTCATTTCATCAAGCTGACAACTTGTGCACTGATGCCAGAGACAGAGAAAGTGATCACCCAAGAAATGAATCCCTAGCCGCCCAAAGTAAATGGCAGGCCTATCTCACAAGCGTGGCCGATAATTATGGCTTGGATAGTGGACGCCCAGATCGCGATCTGGCTTTGAATAATGACCATGCTGCAATCGATATTAACTCTGCTGTCGACAAAGTCAGCCCACGGGGTCATAATGGTGAATCTGTGTCCCCTACATCTTTCCCGAAGCCCTCTGGCGTGCAGAACTCCGACTACAGCGGGTATTATGCGTCTCCGGTTCCCATCAACATCCCTCGATACCTGTCACCTCTTCCTTCGTCATTGCTGAAAAACCCGATCAACTTGCTGTATTTTCATCACTTCCTCAACCACACGTCCAAAATGCTGGTTCCGCACGATTGTGACAACAATCCATTCGTGTCGGTGCTCCCATCGAGTACGTTTGTCCGTCCCTCGGGGGCTCCCATGTTTCGCTTCTTGGACTAATTGAGTAGTGGCAATTTCCGACCCTAATCTGCTGAACTTGGTGTTGGCGTACTCGGCAAGCCATCGAGCCCGTTATCTAGGACATCCGGAACCGGCCAACCGAATCGCGCACTGGGTCAGCGACGTCTTCCCAGCATTGCGGGTTGCTTTGGAAGCATCCAAAGAGGAGATTACCGACAGCCATTTGGCTACGGCGATCTTGCTCTTGTCTTTGAAAATCGTTTGCCCTGGAACCTTTGAAGTCCCCATTCCTTGGCAGAGTCATCTGAAACTCGCTCGAGATTTGTTCATTGCTCGCAGTGATCGCATTGCTAAGCCTGGGAATCGGATCGGCGCTTTCTTCGCCCGCTGGCTGGGATACATTGACACAATGGGCGCTCTTTCTTGCCGTCAAGCAGGTCCACCATTGATGCTATACCACTCCGTTTTGGCAGAGTGCTGTCGCCCTCAGAGTCATGACGAATACTGCGTCGACTGTTTCACTGGATTCAGTCCCCGCACTGGGTTCTTCCTCCTCCGGCTTGCTCAGCTAGTTCAACAGTGCGATAATGAGCGTTTCGACGATCTGGGTAATTTCCAACGGGCCTGGCACCCATCCGCAGACATGGTGATGGAGGCGCAGGCGGTGCTTGGCGAATTTGATGACCTGAACGAAAGAGTCCACACCGACCCGGACCATCATTTGGGAGTCGAGTCCGATGACATGATGGCCACAGAGCAAGCGTTTCGCTGTGCCGGGCTACTTCACCTCCACAGAAGGGTACTTGACACTTCGCCTGATTCATTTCCCGTACAAGACGCCCTTCGTAAACTTGTCAACGCTTTGGACCGCATGCGACTTGGTGCTTCAACCGAAGTATGCTCGCTGCTTCCCCTGTTCACTGCTGGCTGTGAATCGCGTGATTCTTCCCAGCGGATGAAACTTCTCAACCGTTTCTTCGTGCTAGAGAAGTCGGGTATGAAACAGGTATGGACCCTCCAGACCCTTGTCTACCCTTTGACCTTGGAGTCTAACCGTTTTATATAGATCCAAAACGCTCGGCAGCTGATGCAACATTGCTGGGATGACAACCTTCCATGGATTGCCCTGGCCGAGGGAGAGTTCCTGGGGTAGACCTGGGTGTTTGCTATACAGTTTAATTGAATGCTCCATTTTTGCAGCATTGTCGGCGTTTAGTGAAGTGGCTCTGACTCCACATTGGACGTGTACATGATTCATGCCCGTTGCAGATTTCGAACAATATACTCTCTTCTTGTGTTAGCAGTGTTGCATTAACCTCTTTTCTTTCTCTCTTACCTCTGATCTCATCTGAGAACAATATATCCCATCTTAATGATCTCTTCCGAAGCACGATGGGTGCACAGGCGAATGACAGAAGCATTACCAGAGGTAGAAGTCGGCCATCCACGTGATAGCCAGTATTGCGACTTCCCCATCGGCCCGTTCCTTCACATTGATCCTCGTGTTCGGTTTGATCCCTTTTAATCCTCTTGAGTCCTTCGTCTCCTTCGTCTCCTTAGTTTCTGACTTTCCGTTCGTTCTCCTTTTTCCCGCTCTTCCATCTCTTCAACTCTCCCCCTCTCTCTATCATTCTCCCATCGGCTTCAAGTCCCCCAGGACAGAGGGCTGCCACCGCCATGGACAAGCCACGTCATTTACCTGAGGATGCCTTTCCTTTGGCTACCTCCTGGATCCTGGATCAGCTCGTCTATTTCGAATTTCCGGTGCTCCAACCCATCAGGTGCGTCCAAGATCATAGTTTGTTCACCGAAGTTGACCTCTTGCATCCGACGATGCAGTTCCTTGTACTCCAATCTTAAATACTGATACACCAAGCATTGAGGTGTCCGACTTATGAAACGATTGATTAGTCTAATCCTGTGACTTAGAATCTCAAACGCCACTTCGGCCCAGTCGTCCTTTGACGAGCCCATCATTCGTGATGTATGTATCAAAATTCACCAAGGTTCGACCGGTCTCTTGACGGTACTGATCGATTTCTTAGGGCTCGCCAATTGATTTTGATGTGAGCTCGGCTACTGCCTCGAACTCCGTCATTATTGTGAAATCGGAGCAGGTCACTGCGCTAAGCACTGAACAGTCTATCGGCCTTTTCCAACGCGATGAGAATGTCGCTGCTACCAAGGCCACCCCACCAACTGCCAATCCCTCCGTTGGGTGGCTGAGATGGGCCATCGACCGCTCCGGCGTCTTTGAGAGCCAGGAGGAGGAGGTTTCTGCCGTTCAGTATGCGACATTCCGCCATGCTCTCTACAAGGACGTCAATGAGAATTCGTTCTACCAGTGGGGTTTGCGGTATCTCCCAACTCCTGGCGAGGGTAACGTCTTCCGAACCGTGGTAATTGACAAGCTCCCAAAGACCGCCACTCTCGACCGAGTCTTGCCTCAAATCCGCGGCGGCGCGGTCTTCTCGGCCTCGCTGGCGGATACCTGGACTATCACTGGCTCCCTGACCGCACTAATCACCTTTGTTCATCAGAATGGGGCGATGAATTTCTTGCGTCTTGTTGGGCGGGACGGCTTTTTCGTCGGCATGAGTTGCGCGCGTGTGCGTCCGGTCCCGACCCCAACGTATGTAATGGCTGCGGACATTGAGACTCAGATTGCTCGGTTTGGTCGCACTCGCTGCCTGGTGGTTTCCTCACGTCGCCTCAAGGAATTGAAGAAGGAAGTCCATCGAGTGTTGAGCAAGTCCCGCCTCCGACACTACGTGGAGTGTTTCGGCGAACGGGACACCGCGGGCGAAGTCACCATTCGGTTTCACTCAGTCAAGATGGCCTGGGCAGCCTGCTTACCTCTGGTAAATGACGCAAGGTTGAAGGGCATACTTGTGAAGCCAGCCGCTGACCCATGCTCGCTGCTGTGATCTTCCGAATTTCCTCCGCCTTATGAGGGCTTTATCGATACCAATCGGCAACCCGGGATGGTGGAGCAGACAAGAAACCCACGACAGGTATTTTCAACTCTTTTGCAGGCCACATCTTGAATCTGATATTCAGTGAGGTATTTTCTTTTCATTAGTTTGCATTGCTCGTATGGATCTTGGTATGGTGTAGAGAGCGAAGTAGATAGGAGAGTAAATGGTCGCATCACAGAAGTCACCCGGAAATATTCCCCGAATGGCCTTCCCCGCCTCCGCCGGGGCGGCGGCGGCGCGGTAGACGGGGCCGCCCGAAGAGCAGCACCAAGAAGAGTTCCTGGCTCACGACATACAGAGAACGGGAGCACTCATTAGCACAGGATGGCTTGATCTGCAGTTTCTCTGGTTCAAGATGGTATACATCACAGCCCTGAATTGACTTGCTGGGATGGGAATCGTGAGGGTTAGAAGCTTGCCGCTACAAGCCTACGTCGGGACCAGCCGAGGATCAATTGCTCATGTTAGGTCTAAGAACTCAGTCGCAAGAATAGACGTGCCGGCATTTAAAGAGAGGTTATGCAGGATACGGCAAAGTCAGGGATTTACAATCGATGCCATTCCTAAGGTCTGGCATTGGGCTGGAGTGCTCAAAGGACTGTGTCTTATGGCTAGTATGTGATCATAGCTTGGCATCATGGTTCCATCCAGGCATGTCTACAAGATCCTTTGCGGGAGCAGCTCTTCGGGATTTGAGCGCATCACCTCCAGGTCTCCATCTCCACTCCTCCGCCAGGTCTTGTGCGAGTGTGTCTTCAAGCAACTCGACGATGTGCTTGCCAATGTTTGGGAGGAGCTTGAAACTATGGCTGTTGGAACAACAGGTCAGCAAGATTGTGTTCGTATTGCATTACTGGGCTCACATATCATGGATGAGATACTCACCCACTGTCCCCGGTGGCCAAGATCAAGTTCTTCCATCGCGGGTGTTCACAGATCAACAAGTTGGCATCGGCGGTATCTGTGCACCAGCACATGCTGCGGTTGAACAGCTCCTTGTTTGTGAATCGGGGAAGGAATCTTGCTATGGCTTTTCGAATCGTCTTTTCAGAGGCATCGGGATAAGTGTCTGTGGGATATTGGGAGTGGGATCGTGGAACAGAGATCATCTTTGGAGAACTAGCTCCGTAAGGTTGAAGCTCTTTGAAGCGAGAAAACCCGGGGAATTCGTCGCAGACTTTGATCACTCCATGTCTGGGGAAACCAATATTAGCAATAATCCTGCGATTGGATGCGAGGGTTGCAGAATGACTGACTCATTGGGCTCGAAGAAGAATCCATATTCACCATCATACACAACAGGTGCATTCTTGTATTCTGCTGCTTCTTGGGGCGTGAGCTGGATATGGGCAAACACCCAGGCCTGAGTAGATGGATAAATTAAGTAGAAATTCATGAGAGTACACGATTTCATCTGGCAGGCAGATTCACAATTACCTTTGAGACACATTGGCCTTCTAAATCGATCAATGTTGGACTCCAAGCACCCGCGGCTAACACTAATTTGTCGGCGAAATATTGTGTCCCATCCGCGGTCTCCACACCGACGCAGGTAACCCCATCTGCTGCGAATAGCGGGCGTTTGAACTTTCCTGCACTATGTCTCATGTTAGTATAGCAAACGTCTCAGACACTTCAGACTCTGGTCCGTTTCGCTACCTACTCGCCAAATGCAAAATTGACTCCTTGTTGACGTAGAAATTCTCCAATCGCCTTGATCGCCTTGGCTGCAGCTAGCCAGCCCCCATCGCCGCAAAACAGCCCTTTCCATCCCTATTTATCAATGGTTAACGAGCTAACTCTCACACTCTGTATGCTGGGGTTGAAATTTACCTTGACCTGCTCTCTGGTAAATTGAGGTGCTTTTGCCAAGATCTCTTCCTCGCTATCCAGCCAGATGTTCGTCTTCTCAAGCCCGATATTCGCATCAATGAGTGACCTGTGTTTTCGTCGAAGACTGGCAATTCCATCTTCTGATGAGGAGCAGTCGATCTATACAGGTAGTAAACAAAAGATTATCATACAGTCATTGCTAAGAAGTATCCAGATTCCTCGACTCACCATGCCGACTTGATGAAAGAATGGTTTGAACAAAGGGTCATCCTTCCACATATCCAGTGCCTCGAGGGACAATTGCAGGTCTGGGCCATTACGCAGGCGAATGCTCATGATCTTGTTAAGGTCATGTCCCGCCGACTGCGCGGATGGAATGGGATACACATCCAGGACAGTGATGTTGGAAGGAGCATAGCCGGAGCGAATCAGGTGCAGTGCAGTGGAAGAGCCCATTGTACCACCACCTCCGACAACGATGACCTTGGTACTCGCACGGAGGGTGGCCATCTTGTTGCAATTGACCCTAATTGGGAATGCTGAGTGTCCGGGATATACTTGGAAGGAGTTCGCTGTCAGAGGACAGTGGGAATCGGTAGGTGTTGGAGAGAATAGCTACGAAGGACGGAGGGAGTTCGGCTGAACTTGAATTGGTTCGGTTGACGAGACCATTCGGAGAGCCTCGTCATGTGAGGTCTTGGAGTCGTCAGTGGAGCAGGTCTGGAAAGCAGTCATCCATTCTTCTAATCAGCACTCTGACAAGCCGATATGCCAGGTTTGACCTTCCAACGTCGCAAGATTCCGCTCTCGATACCCCATACAGATGGCAAAGAGTCATATCAACGTCCAATGCATTTCAAAAGGCCGAACAAATGGCCGTGACTGCCGGCGATTGCGATTGGTGTGAATGTCCCCACGTCTTGCCGAGAATGGCGGATCAGCGCGACGCTAATGCTGAGCCCGTTGAACGGTTTCGCTTGGACCTTCTGTGAGCCTTGAGTGACTCCTCCAGAGAGTCGAGAACCCACAGAAGAACCCGACAATACTCGATAACGCGTTAATATGAACATATCGAGCTCTGGGAACGCGGGGAATCGACCCGCTGGTCACCCACGACTCTGGAGACATGCGATCGAAATCGACGAGCTTGTCGGTTAATTCAGGCTGATTCGGATCTACAACTAGTCCTTCCCGGTTATCATCCAAGACGTGGCGCCTTGATCCCGGCATTGGCGTACGATTTCCGCCTGGACCTTCTTTCAATTTCAACGTCGGGTTGAATTGACCCTGGTCAGGTCTCCATCGTCCTCATAGTAACTAACACTCATGAGGAGGGGAATTTGGAGAACGTGGGGAACCTCCTCTCTTGCTCCACCCAATTGAACACGAGACTCTGGAGATAAGCTTAGCGTGGTTGTGCCCAGGGATACTCCGAGAGGATGGACATGGACGTCCGGATCGGATCTCGCAGGTGTATATAAACAACTCCCCAGGCGACATGCTCCGTGAGTCTTTTCTTTGCTCCAGAGGTCGTGCGAACTACATTTTCCTTTGCTATGGTGGACTTGAAACCCAAAGATCTCCTTCCCCATGAGGCTCAAGAGGGCTCCCTTCAACCCTTGCCAACCAATGTCACTGATATTGCCCATGGTGTCGATATGGAGCATTATCGAGCAACTGTTCCCTTGTGGAAGAGAGTGTGGCAGCACAGCTTGACACAGATGATGCTCTTGAGTGTCCAAGCCTTCTGTGGTCCTGCCATGTCTGATGCTATTACTGGTAAGATATGCCGGTGACGAAATGAGTGCCTGAATCGACAACTAATGCATTATTAGGTCTGGGCGGTGGTGGGCTCGCTACGCCTCGAGTCTCAAATATTACGACTGCGATTACATATGCAATGCTTGCTATCTGTACGTCACGCACTAGATCAAGGTTCTTGGATCAAAGCCCACTAACAAAGCAATGCCACCTGCAGTCTGCTTCTTCGGTGGTCCTATAGTGAACAAGATTGGGGTCAAGTGGGCGCTCGTCATTGGCGCGGCTACATTCCCAATTCAAGGTTCGGCATACTACTGCAACAGCAAATTCGGAAACCAATGGGTGGGTTTAGGAAGTCTGGTGAAAGTTCACCATCTGGGAACAGCTGAAAATGTCTGACTATTGCTATGATTTTGCAGTATCTTATCTTCAGTGGCGCGATCAGCGGCATTGGAACAGCATGCTGGTATGTCGCTGAGGCAGGAGCCATTATGACTTTGGCCCCATCTGGTGCTCGTGGAAAGTATCTGGCCCTGTGGATCGTGTCGCGCAATCTGGGGCAGTTGGTTGGAGGTGCTATCAAGTAGGTCTCCCACTTTGGAACCGGGGCACGCATAGTCAATAGATCTTGACTAACAACCTCGATTCGTGTAGTCTATCTAAGAATCATGTCAAAGGAGCCGATGGTGGTGTAACTCCAGATACTTACCTTGCCTTTGTCATCATTGAGTGCATTGCGTGAGTCAATACCCGATGGACCAAGAACTTAAAATTCATACAAGAATATGTCGGCTGACTCTATAGGTTGCCATTTGCTTTGCTTATCGCCCCGTTCGAACGAGTCGTCAGATCCGACGGCACAAAGATTGTCACCGCGGAGACTCTCTCTACCAAGATGGAACTCCGGCGCATCGTGAAGACCATGACTTCAAAACTTGTCATGTTCTCTGCACTGTGGGCACTGTGGTCATTCTTCTACGGGTTGGTCTCTTTCGAAACTCCATGTGACTAAATAATCATGGACCAAGAGCTGATCAATATTACAGCGGTACATGGTCAACCTACTTGGGGACTTACTTCTCCGTCCGGGCACGCGCTCTTTCATCCCTTATCTCGCCTTTCTTCTGCATGTAGGCTTTCCCTTATCACCCCTAACCCCCTGTCGAATCTATTGGCTGATTTCACTTGATACTAGCGTCGGCTGCTTTGGTCTCGGTTTTATTCTTGACATGAAGCATCTCAGCCAGCGCCGTCGTGCCCAAGTTGGGCTGTACACCGTGGTGGTCCTTAATGTGGGCGTTTATATATGGTCGATCATTATGCAGACGAAATTCGACCACCATAACCCCGGCCATATCGATTGGGAAGATGGACTTTACCCGTCATCCTTCCTGCCCTACTTCTTCGTACAGACAACAGGGCCATTGTCCCAGTCATACATGTACTGGCTCATTTCATCGTTTGCAAACAATGCTCAGGGTGAGTTTCTCTAATATTTGACCCTGGCATACGCAACGAAAATTACTGTAGACTAACTGGAGGTCTAGAAAATGTTCGGAATGGCGCGGCATTCAGGTCTATCGAGGCAGTTGGTCAGGCCATTGCTTATGGAATGAATACTCAGACTACTAGCAACCCATTGGTTGGCTTGTAAGTAGCCTCGATTGCTCGATATGTTTGGCAAGGACACTATACTGACCGGTGTACTAGCTGCGTCACCTTTGGATTACTCGCTCTAGCTCTGGGGCCAATGACCATGCTCGTGAACACGACACCAGACCGCATTCCCGCCGATGTCATTGCTGAGCAGCAAGATGCGGCTCGAGAAAAGATCGAGGCTGTCTGACTGCAGGACGCTTGATTAGAATGTCACGTCAAAGGTATATATATACCTCAGTAGATAGATCCTCCGGACAAGGCGGCTTGGACTAGACGCACGATTATTGCCATTGCCATATAACTATTCACTCTTGTTCTTATAGGTCATAAGGGAAATTAGCACATGTATAAACGTAGTCAATGATCATTCACACGCCACCAACCTATGGCGGCCCGAGGCTGTCTCCGAGTGAAATGACTAGCTTTTAGTTTCCTTTTTGGAGTCCAGCTCCGTTTTACTATAGAACGCGCAGCCAATCACCACAAGAACTATCCCTGCCCCAGTTTGCAGGTTCAAGTTGAAATCTCCCATGAACAAAATGCCAAGAATCAAAGTCAGAGTCTGCCGCACATTTCCCCAGACCGTGATAGCAAGAGAGCCGGCCACTTTGTTTGCCTGGAATGATGAAATGTTCAGTAGGAGGGCTAATATTCCGTTTCCTAGCAGCGATGCCACGGTGGACGTAATTAGTGGTGCCGATTCGTCGCTGGCGTCGGTACGCCAGAGTGCGGATGGTTCCAGGTTGGAAAGTTCGCCGGCGTATAATCCGATTATTATTGTTTGAATAGCGGCGTAGATTGACATTCGGTAAATTAGTTCCAATGAGGGGAGGGCGAGTGACCCGGTCATGAGACGGTTGGTGACAATGATCTTGATTATCGATTCGTTAGACCAATCTACAAGGAATCACGGAAAACAATCACAGGCTCTACATACCTTTACAACACCCAGAAGAACGCCGATGATTGAAATAATCGAGCCGAAAACGGTAAACTGGAAGTCTCCAGATGCAGTAAGAGCGGCACCCAGAACAATGGGCACCAGGGCGATATAAGTGGCTAATTGGTAGGAGCGCGCGAAGAAAAGGCGTTCGAGAAGAACGGTGAAGATTGGTGATGTATTCCGGACGATTTGGAAGAATGCAAGGCTGACGAGGGACAGCGAATAATTGGAAAAGAAAATATTGACGCTGAAGAGCACCGAGTAGGCGACCAAGACCAAGTGATCGCGCTGGGAGAGTTTCGATAATTTGAAGTAACCGAGTTTTAGGAGGAGGAATGTCCCTAGTCCGGAGAATGTACTGTGTATGCCAGTTAAGAGCCAAGGACATGGGAACTGTATCGCGTTAGCTTTCACGTTGATATTGAAGGGTCAGCCAGATACATAGCAGGGTATCTACCGTTTGAAGGATGAACTTGTTATGGACTGTTAACAGCATTCCAAACACCAAAAGGGCGCCCAGCCAAGCATATTTAACACCAGTAGGTGTCTGGTACTCCAGTTCTACAGGAGTGTCACTGACGGCCTCCTTGTGATTGGCTTCCAGGTCATCTACGGCCGTGGAAGACATTGAGGGTCGAGGAGATGACTCGCTAAGCAGCTTCATGCCCACTTCTTCATCTTCCTGCTTTGAATAACTCATATTTTGATGAGCTGTGCGTACTGTATGATGAGAGAGTCGTGATAGCGGAATGATGACCAAATGATTTTTTATTCAAAGGAATGGACGCATCAACCAGAGCCAAGTGATGCAGAACTCGGAAAGGAATAGGAAGAAAAAAGTCAGGGGCGTTTTCAGTGTCTTATGGTCGATGTCAGAGTTTAGTATGTATTATTATGACACTTTCAGCATAACGAGCTATGGTAATGATCTAGTCTAGAGAAGCATCGTGCGTAAAAGAAAAATACCGTATTCGTCGACCTGGTTCGGGGCTGAGACAGCGTCTGTCCACTGTAAGCCAGCACAGCCCGACACAGCCAACATGAGCGGTTCAAGGTCCTATGGATGAACAAAGCTTCCAAGTGGGGCGTGGGTCTAGTATGTACTGTATGTACATGGATCGGGGCGAAGAGCCGAAATCTCTGGCATTTGCCCTCGACTACTGTACTGAACGGCCCCAACAACGAGCCAAGGGCTGTACTCCGTACAGAGATCCAGCCAACTATTTAGATGAACAGTTGTCCCCCAAATATGGGATATGCATAGGTCAATACGGTAGTCACACAATTGCAGGATCTATCGAAATTTCCAGACCCCATTTAATTAGCCTGACTCTGGACAGATCATGGACGGCTGGATTGTTGAGAAGGGGACTAGATTTACCCGATTAGGCATAAGCGGAAGCAAGCGTGGCATCGTTTGGGGCCGTTCGTTCAGCCTGGAAAAATACCAAACTTAACATACTCTGTCCATAGCCTCCTCTTATCAGTCCTCTGGCGGCTGACGTAAGATCGCGCTCGTGCATCTTGATCCTGCCTCTTTTGACCTGCTTACCCGCTCGGCAGCAGTCGATCTCTATTTTATTCTCAGTCATGAACATGATAGAAAGAATACAAAGAATAATAATGTCTGGCTATCGACTTGCCTTGGGGCTGTGGATGGCCGTTCAGGGTCCAATTCTCGGTACGGCCGGCAGCACTAAATTATTTCCAAGGCGCACAGGTTGCCAAGAGACATGTTTCGGGATTAGCGTAGATCATTAGCGGCTCTCGGACACCACACTCATCACTTTCACTTCTCCATACTGGTCCAAATGTCTCAGTATCGTGGCTGGCCTAATTGCCCGTTCCAAAAAGGTCGACCAGTCCCATCACACCCGAAGGAATGTGCTGTGTCTCGAGATGTGCCGCCAGGATTTGAGCCGATGTGAAGCCCGCAACGTCGCCGGCATAACCACCAACCACGTTGCCGAATCGAAAGGTCGTCAAGCTTCGCTAGATTTGGTGAAGAGTGAACACCTCCCCCCACCGCCCCCCCTTATACCCGGGCATCAGTACAACATCAAAGCATATACAGTGGTGTTCCACAAGTCTTCCTCCACCCTCGTCCTACCGCCTAGTCTTCCGCTTTCAGTGTAAGCTTGACTAGTCTATAACTTGTCATAAAAGAGACTTTAGTTTTGTTTATAATGAAATTCATTCAAATTCTAGCATTGATCTCTATCTCTCTCCTTGGAATCATGAAATTTGGGTAAGTAATGCAGAAAGCAGTAAGATTATTTGGCCTGCGGAATATTATGTCATCACTAGGTTGACGAAGACTTATGGAACACCACTGTACTGTAAAGCGAGACTCGTGGCATGATTGACTACTTTTAAAACACTCATGGGGGGAAGACGCATTTCACGGCCGTACACGAGCCTAACATTAAAGTTGAAATTCAACAAGGAGGATTTACCTAGTGGGCGCCGTCGAGCTTCCCGAATGGGCACAGCCCCCGCTTGCAAAAGCCTAGCGTTCGTGGTAATTTATAACTGCTGGTGAGTTGAATGAGTCGGTCGAACCAATTGCTCTGGTTGACCAGTTGTGGCGGTTTTCTGCTCCACTCCGGCGATACGAGATTTTCCAGAGGGTCCATTTCATTCATTCATTTATGGAAGGCGTCAAAATCGACCACTAAAAATAGGAGGCTTAAAAGACCCCCAACCCAGTCGAGGCCCCCCACCAGGATGTATTATTGGGGGTCACAGTATTTGTCTTACGGTCTCAAGCTCGCAGGTGGTGTACTCGGTGCTTCGTTAGTTAGTTACCCAAGTCCGCTTCGCGTAAGAAATAAGTCGGACCCTCAAAAGATAAGGCGTCGCTGGTTCCCCCCTGAGATCTTTCTCATCTTCTCGATCATTTGTGTTTTTCTCGTCCATCGCTTGCTTTTTGGGTGGTTTGTTTCACCTGTCCATTCATTCACAATGCAATCACCTTCCTACATGGCCTTGTGGCCTCGGAGGAAAGTCTACTATATCGCAGTAGGTCTGACGATAACGAGTATTCTGCTCTTATTGTTATATGGTGGGCCTTCCCTGTCCATGAGTGGCATCGCATCGACAACCTCCGCGTAAGAACCTCCCATCTCGGGTAGAAACAAAGGACTATGTTGACAGGGCTGAATAGCGATGATCTCGATTCCCCGCATGGCGATCACTCGCAAACCTCGAATTTCTCTAAACCAACAACGAAATATCCATCTTCGTCCCAATCTTCAAAAACGGAATATGACTTGCCTCCCGGTATTCTCGGGCTTATTCAGCCCCACATTACTTCGGTTACGGCGCAGAAATTCACCAGTCACAAGGGAAAGGTCTATGAACTTCCAAAGAAGGCTCCAAAGTTCACCAAGCCTTTGGGAAACAAGATCCTCATCTTGGATGTTGAGAGTCGCAATATCAGTGGCCCCGGTGGTCTTCTAGATGATGGCACGCCCACCACCGACGATTTGCAAGGCCTGACTCTTGGCCGACTGAACCACTATCTGTTTGGTAAACACATCTATCAACTCTGGTTGTCTACGACGACTGACCTCTCCACAGCAAAGCTTCACGGATACGACTACCAAATTGCGCAACTCCCCGATGACCCCAGTCTCCACGGAACCTGGAACAAGGTCCCCGCGATGCTCCAGGCCATCAAGCAATACGAATATGTCTTCTTCCTGGACGGCGACGCCATCATCATGCACCCTCATCTGCCTCTCGAGTGGCTCCTCAATTACTGGGATATTTCCGGCAATGCCACCATAGCCTTGGCCGAGGACCCCAAGAAATTCCTCAACGGCAAAGGGCTGTACCCGAACCTGAACACCGGCGTTATTATCGCCCACTACACCCCAGGGAGCGATGAATTCTTCGACGCTTGGATGACATGTCCCGATGAGACCCGCTACGCAGGCTGCGGTGTCTGGAAATTGAAACACACTCATGAACAGGCCGTCATTAATGAGTACCTGCGGTACGACTACCGCGAGGAAATCCAGATCCTGTCGTGCACAGAGGCAAATCGCTATCCCAACGACGATGATGAGTGCTCGGGCGAATTCATCTCTCATTTTTGGCCATTTAAGGAAATGATTACTGGTGCCGTGAAGGAAGCCATGGCTCAGTACTTCTGGCCACCCCTGCAACAGACCATCTCTCATGATCGAGAGAACGTTATCAAGGCTTTCAGTGTGAATGGATTGGGTGTTGAGCAAGCTAAGCCTGAGAACAAGTCGGAGGCTGGAGAGCTACATACGAATTAATTGGGATGGGTGTATCTAGCAAAGAAGGAGGCGTCGGCGTCAAGTGCGACTGTTCTCATTTTGTACATATGTATTACCATTCTTTTCACGATAAACTTCAGATCAAATCTATTTTGTGAATTTCCGATTTGCCATCATTGACCAGATGCTGCAATCATGATCGACGTCACATTTAAAGGAGGTAGTAAGCACTTTCTAAGAAGAAAGTCTGATTTTCTATTGCAGGTCACATCTGACATGGAGACTTGGGTTAGTGAACAGAAGGCAAAGACTAGGATAAAAGGTGTGCCTCGTTGATCACTTAACCTGCAAGGCTGTACTCTGTGCCTTCCGTTGGCCGTCTAGGCGTCCGTCTCTTATTGCTCTACTTTGTCTTGCTCATGATGGGGCCACCACAGAAGAAGATTTATGGGGTCATTAGCCTATAGTCTGAAATTAGGTCGCCCTAGTGTGTCATATGTACTCTTATCCGTGTTTAAGCAGCGCACCCAGACCATTATTGGGGTTCTCCACCTGGCTCCAAGTCCATTTATATTTAGTCTCCACCGTCTACCCACCCTCCTTCCTTTACATTGGAGTGCCTCGTCTATTTTGACTGCGCTACTTATTGTATACCGATCCTATGCATTATGGGACATTAAGTTTCGCCATATTTGGTCTTTTTGTCTTTTAGTCGAGCGAACCTTGGAGTATCTATGCTATAACAACGTCCCTTGCTGACGTGCGACCACATTGTCTCTCCTCTCCAACTACTGTAGAGCACATCTACAATAGAAGAATCCATGCAGAACTCTCCCCAGACATCCCCCGCAGTCAACCTCCTTGGGCTTGACTTGCTTCACTTGCTCGCTCCTGCTTGTAATAACCGAGTTGCCAAGTTCTATATTATAAACGCTTCCTCCATCCAATTGGCTCTTCTCGTCTCATCTGTGCACTTCTCCTAGCCAATTGCGAGAACAGCACACATCTGCTATGTATCCTGGTATACACTACAATTTTTCTAGATCTGGGAGCCGAAGTATACATCAACACCAGTGGTTACAACCCCCTAAACTCCGGCAAGTGGATCCCTCAACCCCGACCCCATCTCCGCATCTTCCCCCCACGGCGATCGTATCCCAATTGCGCAGTTCACGATGCTGATCCTCGGGGATATTGCCATCCAGTCAGGGAGAATGGTCGGTGATTGAACAGCTCGTGTCCCGTCCCCGCGTTATCTTCACCCCCCTGTCTTCCAAGATGCCCAATGTGCGACTCCATTGGCTCAAAGCAGCTCGTCCCTGCACAAATAACTTGCAGATTTATAAGCTCGCTTCAAAGTGCGAGACCCCGCTCTCTGTTTATTTAGACTGCTGCGACTCGGGGGGTTCTCTTTTCTAGTTTGTGTAGCTGCAGCTGGAGATTCTCATCCCTTGTTATCGAGACACGCTTAGCAACGACGATGGCGGCCACGACAGATGAGAAACCCGCTACAGCTAGCATCTCGGATACCGAGAAGGATCTCAGCTCTAGGGTGCCGGATAAGTTTACGGGCTTTGAGGATCCCGATGCTGGGTTGAGCGAGGAGGAGAGGGCGGAGATTGTATGCACGTCCGATCCAACAAGCAGGCATTCCTGCATTTCATCCCGTCGAGCGCGACAGTTACTGACTCTATCATTTCGTCCCTGATAGGACCGCAAGCTCCTCTGGAAACTCGATATACGCCTCGTGCCATGGTTGAGTCTACTCTATCTCGTCTCCTTCCTCGATCGGTATGTACCTCTCGACTAAAACTCCCTGGATCCCCGACTACGACTAAATCGTTTTGTCTCCTTTTAGTACAAACATCGGCAATGCCAAAATTGACGGTCTCGCGACGGATCTAGGCATGACCGCTAATCAGTACAATGCCACGCTGACCATCTTCTTCGTTTCGTACTCCGTCTTTGAGCCCTTAACCAATGTTTTGCTCAAGCGACTGCGGCCGAGTATCTTCATTCCATCGATTATGCTGGCTTGGGTATGATAACTTGATTCCTGTATAAGTGGATCTTCATATCACTAATTCGGTTCACTGCCTATAGGGTATCTGCATGACCTGCATGGGTCTTGTCAATAACTACTCCGGCCTCCTGGCCGTTCGCTGGTTCCTGGGCCTCAGCGAAGCCGGTCTTTTCCCCGGCGTCGGCTACTTCCTCTCATGCTGGTATAAGCGCTCCGAATTCGGTGTGCGAATGGCCATCTTCTTCTCTGCTGCTGCGCTGGCCGGATCCTTCGGTGGCTTGCTTGCTGCTGCCATCTCGGAGATGGATGGTGTCGGTGGAAAGAAAGGTTGGGCCTGGATCTTCATTCTGGAGGGACTGGTCACGATCGTGATCGGGTTTGCTTCCTTCTGGTTTGTGTATGATTTCCCCGACCAGGCAACGTTCTTGTCACCAGCAGATCGCACGCGAGTGTTGCGCCGGCTTGCGGCCGACCAGCAGTCTAGTGCGGAACATGAGGAGTTCAAGATGTCGTATTTCTGGGCCAGTGTCAAGGACTGGAAGACTTGGACTGGAGCTATCGTCTATATGGGTGCTGATGGATCGCTCTATGCGTTCTCGCTGTTCGTGCCGACAATCATCAACGAACTAGTAAGTGACGCGAGGATCATGATGTACCGGATTGAGAACTGACTTTTATCCAGGGTATGAAACACAACATCTCCGAGTGGAAACGATTTGATGAGACGTGTTATACTGACCCTCGGTGCTCCAACAGGCTTCAGCTCAATCCGCGCTCAGCTTCTGAGTGTCCCGCCATACGCTGCTGCTGCCATCCTGACCGTTACCATCGGATTCATTGCAGATCGCACCCGCCAGCGTGGACTCTGCAACATTGGTGTTTCCTTCCTCGGAATGATTGGATTCGCTATGCTATTGGGCTGCAAATCCGCGGGCGCGCGGTATGCCGGCGTTTTCCTCGGCGCCATGGGCATCTACCCAGCCATTGCAAACACCATCTCTTGGTCCAGTAACAATATTGAGGGTATGTCGTGCATGAATCGTCCTATTCCGGTGCAGCATCTCACACTTCATCTCTCTTCCAGGTGTCTATAAGCGCGGTGTATCCCTCGGCTTTATTATCGGATGGGGTAATCTCAACGGAATTGTCTCGTCCAATATCTATCGCGACAAGGACAAGCCCCGTTACTTACCCGGCCATGGGGTGGTGATGGGCTATTTGGTCTTGTTCCTCTTTGGTGGCTCGGTCGTGCAGTATCTGCTGCTGCGTCGCGAGAACGGCAAGCGCCGTCGCGGAGAGCGTGATCAATGGATCGAAGGGTTGGATCACAGTCAGATTGAGTTGCTGGGTGATAAACGCCCGGATTTCATGTACACGCTGTGATGGCTTTCCAGGGACATTACGGTTATATAGACAGAATGAGCGGGGACGTGATGACTGGACGTGGTATATTGTGGTATCATAATGCGTGTATATAATGGGCTGAAATGCAGGATGTTGAAGCAGAGAGAAGCAGAAAGCAAGAGGGAGGATGATCAATGACGCGACGGTTCCAATGGTAGCTGACGTGACATGCAGCTTGCTTCCCATCCAGACGGTGTCATTCTCGTCTCCCCAGCTCAAACCGCCCTCTCGTAGCTATTGATAATGTCCTGGTTCTTCTTCGGGCCCCGAACGACATGTCGACTAGCCCAACTCAACAACTCCCCCGTTTCCGGCTGGATCCGGAACGCATAGGCAGTGCGATACATATCATTGATGCATAGGTGATTCCCCCGAGCCATGAGAACAGCCGTCTCGGTATCCGGCGTAGCGATCGAGGGAGGTGTTGGGGGAGTGATCAACTCGGCCTCGCCCTCTCCCTTATCCTTTGCACTCTCCTCTTCCCCTCCAGAACCCTCGGGCTTCACCGTCGCATCGGCGAAATCAAAGTTGTGAAAGAGGTAGTCCGCCTCTTCAGGTCCCGGAGCCACCTTGACGAACCACACGCTAATGCGCCCCGCATCACCGTCGCGCCAGATATATTTCTTGGTCCAGCGCAATCCGGCCTGTGCAGCGCCTCCGCTGACCGATGTGGGAATCTCGCCCTCTTCACTATATAGCCAGTCGCGGTCGGCTGTGTTGGGGAGCGGGGTGAAGGTTGCGGTGCCGCGCAATTCGCCGTTTAGGTCAAGCGGGTTGTCGCTACGGAGTGTACGCGTGAGAGCCCATCGAGAACTGCCTAATGAGCTGAGGAGAGGGAGGAGTTGGCGTGAGGGTGGCATTGAGCTAGAGCTGGCGCTGGGTGATAGCGACGTGGGGGTTGTGCTGCTTGTGTCTCGAAGAGTAGTGTCGGCGAGGTGGCCGTGGCTGTGGCTGTGGCGGTGATTGGCCCTGTGGAGACTTCCCCCGGTTCTCGTCACGACACGGTCAATTCATATCTGCGATCATTGAAGCAATTATCCACTTTTTTCATGATTTCAATTATTATTCTCGGTACTCATTCCCGTACGCAGGTCTAGCAAGGTTGTCCAGGGCTACTGCTAGCCAGGCCAACTGCCTAGGCTGCCCAACCTGAGGAATCTGTGGTGCTACAAAGCCATACGCTGATCCCCTCCCGCATCTCCTTCGACCATATCATAGAGCAGCTAGAGCAGGGTCTGGATTTGTATGCCTAGTCGTATTCGTTCCACGGAGTTAAACGCACTGCTCTCGAGATAGATCCGGAGAATTGCCATGTCATGTAACCTAAAACGCATCCCTAAGTCGGAAATGACGATATTCAAAGAAGAATCGATCGATGATATTGAAATCGGCCCTTTTTGATTGGCCGGTAGAGTGTGAAGGTTTTGGCTGCAGTAAAGAAGGACCAAGTCAATCGCTTTGGATTGCGGTTGGAAATAGGTTCCTGGTATTGGTTGGTGGTATTTGACTGTATTTGATTGCATGGACACGTTTCATACCGTACTTTACATTACGAACTATATCCTACACACTTGGATGCTTCTCCAGGAATCGCGAGTGGTTGATAAGGTCTCGCTTGGGCAGTTCAGGCTTCGAATGTCCAATAATTACTACAGATGATTCCTCCTAGTAGTCTGTTAGCTATTGGGAATATCTAGGGCCCTAGTTCCAGGGGCCGGGGGTTCGTGTCTCGGTTGGCCTCCCTACTTAAGTCCATACGTTCCCAAGAAACGTTTTGAAACTAGTAGCTCTCATTATAAGAAGTCACCATATTTTCAGTTCTCATAATGCGCTTCAACGCTGTTCTTCTTGCGGTTGCTGCCGCCGGCACTGCTGTTGCTCAACGTCCTGCCAACCAGTCCATCTGTGACTATTACACCACTGCCTTGCTGAAGCAGAACAATGCCACCAACCAGTACACTCTCCTGACTCTGTTGGTCAACACCGCCGTCATCGGTAACTACACCCAGCCTAACGTGGGTATCATGGTTCCGGGTATTCTGAACCCCAATGGCACGTACAACAATACCAAGGTCAACCTGGTCCCCTACTTCGATGGCGGTCTTGCTTCTACCAACGACGGTGGCAATATGGGTGTTGCTAAGAACTTCCTGGACGGTGGAGGTGCTGCTCCTCTGATGAAGAACATGCCCGCCGATGATACGACCTCTAACCAATAGTAAATGCCTCTCGTCGATCATCGAATGAATGGACCTTCAATGCTAACGATCAAAACAGCAAGCTCCTGACTCACCTCTACGAGTTCTTCGGTAGCCTTCTCGGCTGCTCTGGGGTTGGCATGACCGGTTTCCCAGCTTACGCTGGAGATGCGAGCATGTATGAGGTTCACAAGTAAGTTGATCCTAAACGACCAACTCCCACAATGAAGATTTCATCTAACCCACGCCTCAAAGGTTCATGGCCCTCGACCCATTCCAGATGGGCTTCTTCATCGAGCAAGTCGCCCTTTCCGCTGCCTCCTTCGGAGTCGCCCAGTCGGATATCGAGGCCGCCGGCCAGGCTCTGGGCTCCCTCTTCAACTACCGCTGCGCTCCTAAGACCACCGTCATCAAGGCTCAGGGTCCCCAGTACCAGAGCGTTTGTACTAACGATTCTTGCCCGCTGGCTGATAACGCTACCTGCGCTGCTCAACCCTCCATGCCCCAGCCTCTTGTTGCCAACGCCACTCTCGCCGATGGGGAGGGTCGTATACCCTCCGGCTCTGCGACTATGTCTGGGAGTGCTTCAGGGACTGCCTCGAGTGCGTCCTCTGCGTCCTCGGCCAGTGCTACCGTCAACGCAGCCCCCCACACCGTTCCTGGGCTTGCCGGTGTGTTTGTAGCGCTCGTGGCTTTCCTCGCTTTGTAAAATCGTTTCTTCGAGGGTGTGTGTCATGGGGCGGAGGACGAGATTTATAGTGATGAGTTGGTGAGAACATGATGGTGTCAATTATATTCTATTCTATATGTCTAATTCGAGGACAATGAATTTACGGGTGATTTTTCTTTCTCTATTCTCTTTCACCTATGAACGTTATTGTTGAAGTGCCGTTCCCTGTAGTACTTTTCAATCTCTAATTGAGTTCTTCATCGTAATACAGTCTGGCTTTAGCTTGTGGACCATGGATTCGATTCCCCTCAACGGTTGGCTTTTCCATGGTATCCTAGAAGACTCGCAAGGAAGGTACCTGTTACTGTAACCACAGAATGGGACAGCCAACATAGCCACTTGTCTAGAGCTGCCGTATACGTCATAATCTGGGGAAGTCCGAATCGGGATAGCTACTAGCCAGAGTCTGCCAGACACCGCCCGCAGCTGCTCTTTACGTTACGGACAATGCCGGAGAGTTTTGTAGACCCTGACTGTCACGGACGTCTGTGGCTCGTTTAAGAATCGTGGCATGCTTATAAGTTTGGCTGGTTTACCATGGCCTATGTACTTACCCAAATTGGGCCCGTGCGATCGAGATCTTTCGTTTGTGCTGTCTCATGATCTCGTTCTCGCTCGGGACGAACGGAATCCGATTGGTTAGACGAGACGTACACAACCATAAAAGTAGCTGATCGGTAGAAATGTAAGGTATCAGTAATACAGAAGCATAAGATACTTTCTACATTTCCAAGATATAGTTCCTGCAGAGGGAGACAACTGCGTCCAGCCACCGAAAAGAGCTATCCGAAAACAATGGTCAAATACAGGATTTGGAATTCTTCGCACCTGTCGTGGCTTTTGGAGGGGGCCAGTGCAAATCAGGGAATGAGTGAACAAGTCTTGCCACGATGCAGCTCAGGGATGGTTACCGAGGCTGTTGAGGTTAGTGCCTTTGTTCAACATGGAACTTGCGTCTTGATGGAGAGAGGTATCGTGAACAGTGCGACTAGTGATTGACTCATATATCCGCCTATAGGGCCCTCAGGAAGTAGATCTTGACGACCTTGTTCATCTCCCTGCTCCTTGACTTGGTAATTCCACATAGACAATCTATCCGCGCGCTTTGCTCATTGCTGACTGTCGATTCCTCCATCAAACCATAGATATCCTTCAGCTTCATTCTTCCTCTCTTCCCGTCAGTACTCGGCTACTATCGCGCCAAAGATGAATCCCCGAATAGTCCCTTGAGTGGTGTCTTCTACTATTTGAACGTATATAAAGACTCGTTCTCTCAGCCGATCGACTCCCGCTTCGACATTATCCTCCTTGGCGGGGCATTTAGCTCGCTCTTCTCTCTTCTGTAAGTATTAGCTACACTATTTATCGGTTGATTTTCTGATACCTATGGCCGTCGCCGGACAATGCTGCTTTCTATCGCTGGAAATATCCTCAGTGTTTCGCTGTGGGTTGGCGCTACGTATTTCCGGACTTTTCTTGCCAGTCACATTATTAGTGGGTTGACGGAATAGAATATATAACTTGATAATGCGATAGCGCGAGATATTAGTGATAAGAAATAGCGAGGCTCTGCAATGGCTCTCGTAGGCGTATGCTTTAGTATTACATTTACCTATAGTCCTATCTTGGGTACTATGCTATCTACTATTGAAATGATAGCTTCGATCAAGTTTGCCGTTACGGCGGGCGTATCTCTACTTCTCGTTGTTGCTGAAACGCGATATCTCTACGTTACTTTGCTAGAGACATACCTAGGACTACGAAACCGGCTAGGTTCGAGTGATGACCCTATTTGAAAGAGTCCCTAAGAGAATATGGCCAATGGAATGGCCTCTATGAATGGACATTTTAAGCTGCTGTTGAACGGAGACCCTAAAGACACTAAAGTGAAGGGAGATACTTATAATCTAACCACCTTAAATATTGTCTATTTCCCTTTCCTTATTTCCTTTTCCCGGATTCGAATTCTCGCTCCCTTTCGTTATAGCAGCGTTTTACGGCCGCGGACCCGAATATAGCAGCTTATCCGTCTTGAATAGCCGGTTCCTATCTATGATAGGCTTGATCGCTTCTCTGCTCCAGGGCTATTCTTGGCCACCTTCGAAGCTGGGGACAGGTTGGTCGGGCTTTGGTGCCGATTTTAGTTTGTTCACTGTTTTGGTGGGCAGGAAGAGAGGGTCCACGGTGCTTATGCCACGGGAGGTGCGATGATAGCTGGAGTGGGCGTAATTGTGTTTGCTTTACTTCGTTCCTCTACATGTACGTCGCTCCGAAGTTAAGCAGATCAAGGATGAAATGATGAGTTCTTTTCTGTTGAAACAGAATGATCACCAGAAAGCTAGATTACAAGATCGTGGCCGAAGGGGAGTATATGGAATTTATAAATTATTTGTGCAAGTTGAATTCGGTCAGCGATGCCCTCCTCTTTGGAAATCTCCGCGAAGAGTCATTGAAGATTACAGTCAAGAGCCTTAGGACTCAGTGGTTATTTATCATAGTTGAAATTAGATTCGTCCGATTCAATTCATTCTTGATCCCCTACGCAGGTACTACCTGAGCTGTGGCTGTCGGAAGATATGTATACGCTCGTTCATTCCAGTAAGTAGGAGGGTTCCCGCAGAGTCGTTGTCTTCCTTTCTAGGGTGGCCAGCGTTATATATTTCTGCTTGGCGGCATAAAGGGTGTCGGCCACTCTTTAAAACCTCCTACCTCCTATAAACGCGAGGGGTATCTACTGGGCCTACCCAACTCCTGTTTCTTCAATCTTCTCATATTGTCATAGGTTTAACGTTAGTTCGTTAGTTATGCGACTGCAACTGATGACTACAATTGAGTTTACGCTCTTCCGTGGAGTCACACGTGGCGGATAGGAAGCTTGGAGATGTGTGCCTGGATTGTACCCCTTGGGGCTGGATCACGCCATCAAGTCTGCGAGTCATTCCTTCGTGAACATTATGATGATTGACTGGACAGGTGGAATAATGTCACTGTGAGTTCGGGGTGGAATTCAGGCTTCATGCTCTGAGGTTCTGACTGGAGGCGAGTCTCATAACCGAGTTTCCGCGAATTTCATTTCAGGGCAAATCCCGGCGAGCGAAGAGAGCCAATCCGGTCGAGGGGATGTCACTCTCGTTCGGACTAGTGACATTTCGGATTTACTATGGTACGTACCAGTTATAAGAAGAGGATTTCAGGCCCCCACGCGTAGGGTTGGGTTGCGTCTTTTTTTTTTTTTTTTTTTTTTTTTTTTTTTTGGTTTCGTAAAGTTACAGTTGAAACCTACGATTCAGCCAGCGAACAGTATGGAGTATATACTTGTCAGTAGATCTAGTTCATGATTAGGATCTCCTGGAGATTGAATTGCATTTCCGGCTGGCCACATCTTGGATTCCATCATCGCCCTGGCACCGCAACGGTCGGGCGGATCGGCGGGGGGCCCGCGTTTGGGTTTGACGAGGAAGGGACTGTCCCTCGTGGAGATAGATAGATCCATCACGACCTCAGCGATGAGATCAACTTGTTGACTGATCAGGCATTGGAATCCAAGATCTGTCAGGTACGGGGGGAATCAGCAGTTCCCGATGACTTCTCGTCCCCAGTATACTCTCTTCGGGGACTCGGTATCCTGTCCACCGTGGACCGTACGATTCGTCCGTCGGGTACCAACTGGACAATCGTTACCGTTTCCAGCGTGGATCGGACTGCTAATCTCGTTTATGGCCTGGTTAGCTCGGAACGCAGTGTAATGATGATAATAATAATGATAATAATAATATAATCATCTGCGAAGAAAGCGATGCAACCGGGAATCTCCTTATTACAGATTCAGGTGAACTACCATCTCGCTTTCTTCTAGAAACTCGTCCCAATTACCGAATGCAGGGCTCCCTTTTCCAGAGGCTACTCCATCCACTGAACTGGACAATCTACCGTCGTACTGTCCCATCAGAGTCCCTTCCGGTGGAGTCTTTGGCCGGCTGCAGCCCAGACCCAGACCAGGGTCTTCCAGTCAGACTAAACTTTGATTTCCAGAGTGATGATGGCGATGAGGATGATGATGATGATGATGATGATGATTTCCTAATTAACCTTCGGACCTTTTCCCAGGAGATGATTATATGATGAGGAGTCTCCGCATACCTCGAGTGAACTATACAGTATTCAATGAGTGACCCGCAGCCTAGTCATGTAGCAATTCGTATCTCATCTCATGCCGAGTATGGAAGTAGTCAATAATAATTCACTAACTTAAATTTCCTTTTTCGCGTGGTGGTGCCCTGTCACAGGACGACTCTCTCTCTCTCGCTCGTCTTTCTCTTTTCTCTCCACTTTTCATCTCCTCCTCGTCTCGTCTTCGTCTTTCTCTTCCACCACTCCCCCTCTTTTGTTGGATTCCCCTTTTTCTCTCTTCAGTCCAATTCCGGGATGGACGGTCAACCGTGAGTCCCTGCACTTGTCTATCGCTTCAACTCCCGCCCACAATCTTCCAATTCCAATTGGGATCTCCTCCCTCTCGATTTCTTCGCTCGCTTTTCTCCGTCTGCGCGACATCGCTCGACCGTGATCACAGAACCATGACTTTCTCTGCCGGCCACGCCCGCTGGCTGGGCCTCCTCTTCCTCTCGCTCTACGCCTCCACCAGCTCCGCCGCCAGCATCTTGCCCTCCGCGGCCTCCTCCTCATTCCCCCAGTGTGGTCTCTCCTGTACGATCCTGACGCAGGCCCAGACCAGTTGCGAGTCCGGCACCCAATCGACCTGGGTCTCCTGCTTCTGCCAGTCGTCCCTCCTCACCACCCTCAAGACCTCCGGCAGTCTATGCTCCTCGTGCTCCTCCTCGGATCAATCGCTACTGTCGACCTGGTATACCAATTACTGCAACTCCAATGGCCAGGATACGGGGAGTTCGGACAGTACCTCCACCTCCACCTCCACCACCGACGCCGCCACGGCCACTACGACTTCGGCGTCCACGGCCTCGGCGACGGCCGTGAAAAGCACCAGCAACACCGCCGCCGCGGACGAAAATAAGTCTTGGTATGTCTCAGATGAGCCCCTCCGCATAAACTCAGATCTCTCCCCCACATCTCCACGCCTGGACTTCCCCCGAATTAACCTCTCACTAATCACTCTTCTGGCTTTCCAGGTGGAGCACCCACTATCAATGGGTGATCATGCTCATCGTCCTCGCCATCGGCTTCAGCGCCATCGCCGCCGGAGGCGTCTGGCTCAAGCGTCGCTACGACGCCAAGCGCCCGGGCCTGTATCACGGGGGAAGCGCAGCCAGTTCCGGCGTCCTGGGCGGAAACCCCATCTCCAACTCGAATTCGGGGGTCTTGAGTCCCCCTCCGCCGGCCTGGGCGTCCTCCCCGGGCCCTAATCAGTCCCAGTCTCTCGCGAGTAGCTCGCGGACGGACCTTGCGACTCGGGGCAATGCGCCTGTGCCGGGTAGTCGCACGCGTTTACCCAAGGCGGCGAATTCAGAGGGGGATGTTGAGATTCGACAGGTCTCGTTGAGGCAATGATTGGATTGTTTATGCATTCGTTTTCGTTGATGTTCGTTTTGTTTTGTTTTTCTTCTTTATCCTCCTTGCCATCTCCGGATCTTTTCATTTGATATTTTCGAGCTTTGATGTTGATGATTCGGACATTTGTCGCTCGTGCGACGTGTCCGCGCGAGTTATTTTGTGCTTGTTCGCAGTGGAACGTCTCTATCTGCCCCAGGTACAGGTGTTGTGCTTCTTTTGCCTGCCTCTTTATTTTTTGGCCATATCTTGCATTTCTCGGCGTTCGCGGTGTGTGGGTGTATCTTTTTCTAAGCCGATGCGAGGCGAGGGTATGTGGTTCTCCTCTCCTTTTTGGTCAATTCCGGCTTGACTCGTGCAGACAAGCCCCATATGCCTTGGACTTTCTCCTTTCAATATCTATTATCCAGGATCGGTTTACCTATGGTTGAATTTTACTTGAGGTCTAATGTCCCTTGTGCTGGGCGGGTTTCGTAATTTGGTCCTTGGTACGGTACTTCTGTGGCGTGGCTTGGTCCCGTTTGAAATTTGGATTTATATCCGTGTGTTTGGAAAGAAGTATAATTCTTGGTATATGCAAGGCCACCTCGCTGTTGGGGTACTCGTGATCTCGTATAGAAAGAGGATAAAACAAACACTATAGATGGTAATGGTAGTGTACATTCCTCGGCCGCTGTGCAGATCACCATCAAGTTAAGAGATGCTAATGCTGACAATCTTCACGTCCACCTCGGGCTTTTCCTTATGTGTCTTGACATTTTCAATCTTGTGCACCACGTCCAGACCTTGGACGGCGCGGCCGAAGACAGTATGTTTATTGTCAAGCCAGGGGGTCTTCTCGGTCGTGATGAAGAATTGACTTCCGTTCGTGTTGGGTCCGGCATTCGCCATCGACAAGGTATACGGCTTGTCATGTCGCAAACTCGAGAACTCGTCCGCAAACTCCCCGCCCCAGATGGACTCGCCGCCCGTGCCGTCGCCTTGAGGGTCACCACCCTGAATCATGAACTTGCGGATCACTCGGTGAAAGATCGTGTTGTTGTAGTATCCTTGCCGGGCATGGGTGACAAAGTTCTCCACCGTGCGAGGGGCAGCGGTAGGGAATAGGCGGAGGTGGATGTCTCCCATGGTAGTGTGTAGAACAGCTGCGGTCCCAGTCTCCTGAGCCTTGGTGGGGCCTGTATCAAAGGCGCCGGCGACTTGAGTGGGCTTCTCGTTCTGTACATCACGGCTGCCCTTGGAGATTTCAGTCTCGTTGGTGAACAGGTAGAAGCGGACCTTGGCGAATCCAGTGCTAACAAGAATTGCATCACGCTCTTCGGCTTCCTGCAGGAGAGGGTTACTGCTGGCGGCCATGGACACGGTGACCACACCCTTGCGCTGGGGCTGGCCCTGATACAGAGCCAAATTCAGTGCTCGGAATGGCTCTTCTCGGCCATACACTCGCACCACGCGATTTGTATATGTGTTGATGCATTTGATTCCATACAACGAGCCGTAGAGCAAGAAGTGGCCGGACTCGTCAAAGGACACGTTGACTTTGCTCCGAGTTGCTTCTCCTTCCAATTCTCGTTCGACTGCCAGCCTGCGCCCCAATTCGACCTCCTCCAGGTGGTAGGGGGCAGTGCCTGCCTGTTGCATTTCCATGATGGTTGCGATAGACTCGTCGTATGTACGGTAAAGTTTGCCTGTCGCGAATTCGAACACGCGGATCTGTCGATCAGGGAAAGACACCGTAGCGAAATGTTCGCCAGAGGGGGAAATAGTGATCGCAGTAGCCGTGGACTTGGCCTTTTTAAACGCAAACAAGTTGGTGGACGACTTGAGCTCAAACACGTTGTCCGGCTTTTCAAATGATCCATCTCCTGCCCGCCAATACTCGATCATACCCGATTCATCGGCCGAGACGACACAGTCAAATGCATTGTTGAATGCCATTGAGACGATCGGGCTGCGGTGAACCGACTTCACCGTGTGTAGAGGCTGTGGATTTTCGCCACGTCCATCGAAGACTTGGAAGGTGCTGCTAGACTCATCGGTCACAGCCAGCAACGGTAGAGATGCGCCTCGTCGATGCACCCAGCAGACACATCGAGGCACGATTTCGAGTGTGTACATGGCCAGTAGATCTGTCACTTCATTAGCAGGTATCCCGAGAGTAAAAAGGGGTGACAATCATACCAAATGTGATAACATCAAAGATCTTGATCGTCTTATCCACACCTGCCGTCGCAAAACTGCGGCCATCGGCGCTGACGTTGACACTTCGAATCTCGCCTGGATGGGCACGGAACTCCTTCACAAATTCAATGCCGTCGGCCATTTTCTTCCAAAACTTGACCACCCCATCTATCGAGCTGGTAATCACAAAGTCCGTGAATGGTGTGACCGTGACAAAGGACAATTGGTCCTTGTGCATCAGCGACTTGGAGTACCGCGGCGAGGCGGGCAGTGCCTTGACGTACACCTTCTCGAAGGGCAGCTTTCGTCGTTTCTTCTTTGGGGCTGCCTCAGAGGGCAGTGCGGGACCGAAGTCATCGTCCGAGGAGGAATCATCGCCTGTATAAGTTGGTATACGCGGTTAGTCGACTGCGCGCAAAGTCCTGCGGAGCTTTGAAGGCGCGGGGAGGTTTGCACTCACCGTTGTCAGCAGCGTCAACCTCGGAATGGGGACGCTTGTTAGCAGGGGCCACCGCAACTTCGTCTGAGCTAACCATTTCCAACACAATTGCTCACAGAGAGCAGAAAGTAACCGTCTTTACTGTCGATGATGAAGGAGGACGAGCTTGGGGCTCATCGCGAGTGGCGGGCGGTGGGCGGCCACTCGGGCAGAAGCTCGGACCACCCAACTTTTCTCCTTTCTCGCCGTGAAACCCCCCCACTGTTGACGAAGCTGCATCTTTCAGCAGTCGACACCTTTTTCTGATCACTAGTTCGACTGTTCGTTCCTGGTTGATCATCATGGTACGTATCGGGATTGGATTACTGTGGTATTCGTTTGATCGCACGCTAACTGTACCTCTGGCAGGCGTCATTTGCCAATCCCACACAGATCTTTGCCGACGATGTCACCGAGGAGAAGGGTGAGAATGCCCGTCTGTCGGCCTTTGTCGGTGCCATCGCAGTCGGTGATCTCGTGAAAAGCACTCTGGGTCCGAAGGGAATGGATAAGATTCTGCAGTCTGCGTACGTGGCGGGGTGATACCATTAGTGGGGGATATATTGAAACCATATGCTAACGCGGCTCCCCTGCAGTTCGACCGGAGACATTCTCGTGACGAACGACGGTGCTACTATCCTGAAATCGATCGCTCTGGACAACGCCGCGGCAAAGGTCCTGGTCAATATCTCCAAGGTTCAGGACGATGAGGTGGGTGACGGCACTACGTCCGTTACCGTGTTGGCCGCGGAGCTGCTTCGGGAGGCCGAGAAGCTGGTCAACGCCAAGATCCACCCCCAGACTATTATTGAGGGCTACCGGATAGCTAGCCGTGCTGCTCTTACTGCTCTTGAGAACTCCGCTGTTGATCGGAGCAAGGACCCAGAGGCCTTCCGCAAGGACTTGCATTCTATCGCCCGCACAACTCTCAGCTCCAAGGTGCTGGCCCAAGACCGAGACCACTTCGCCCGACTGGCCTGCGAGGCTGTCCTCCGTCTGAAGGGTTCGACCGATTTGAGCCACATCCAGATCATTAAGAAGGCTGGCGGCAAGTTGAACGACTCCTACCTGGACGAGGGTTTCATTCTGGACAAGAAGATTGGTGTCAACCAACCCAAGCGGTTGGAGAATGCCAAGATCCTTGTGGCTAACACCGCGATGGATACGGATAAGGTCAAGATCTTCGGTGCTCGGGTCAAGGTCGAGTCAACGGGCAAGCTGGCCGATCTCGAGAAGGCCGAGCGGGAGAAGATGCGGGCCAAGGTGGAGCGGATCAAGTCTCACGGAATTAACTGCTTCGTCAACCGGCAATTGATTTACAACTGGCCCGAGCAGCTCTTCACCGAGGCCGGTATCATGTCGATTGAGCACGCCGACTTTGATGGTATTGAGCGCCTCGCGCTGGTGACTGGTGGTGAGATCGCCTCCACATTCGACCACCCCGACCAGGTCAAGCTGGGTTCCTGTGATTTGATTGAGGAGGTGATTATCGGCGAGGACACTCTGATCAAGTTCTCCGGTGTTGCGGCTGGCCAGGCCTGCACCATTGTGCTGCGCGGAGCTACCGAGCAGCTGCTCGACGAGGCCGAGCGTTCGCTGCACGATGCCCTGGCTGTTCTCTCGCAGACCGTCAAGGACCCCCGCATTACCCTGGGCGGTGGTTGTGCGGAGATGGTGATGTCCAAGGCGGTGGAGCAGGCTGCCCAGAACACCACTGGTAAGAAGCAGCTGGCGGTGGACGCCTTTGCACACGCACTCAAGCAGTTGCCGACCATCCTGGCCGACAATGCGGGTCTGGATTCCAGCGATCTGGTCACTCGGCTGCGCCAGGCTGTGAACAACGGCATGACCAGCTCGGGCCTGGACCTGCTGACGCCCGGCGGCGGCATTGCGGACATGCGGGATCTGGGTGTGGTGGAGGCGTACAAGCTGAAGAAGGCGGTGGTGTCGTCGGCCTCTGAGGCTGCTGAGGTATGTATTTCGACTTGTATGTTGATGGTGTTTTCCGTTTACTAATTGTTCTTGTACAGCTCCTTCTGCGGGTGGACAACATCATTCGGGCAGCTCCTCGCCGACGGGAACGGATGTGAAATGAATTGAATTGATGTGGCGATGAATGAGAGTGTATGTTGGGTTGTCCCCACATTTCGAAGGGGAGGGTTCTTTGCAAAAATAAAAGACACTATTCATCTTGTTCAAATATCCAATCCATCACGTGCCATGCCATACTACGCGTGCTGTATAAGTCAAAGTCCCCTGCTCTGGTCCGGTTGCCTTGTAGCCTGAAACAATCACGTGATATTCGCTGTGCCTGATTGCCTGATGACTCGGGCTCCTTACTATTAGTCAGCATCCCAAGACCCTCGCCAGACCCTGACCAGACCCTTTCGGACCCTGCGGGACCCTCCCCAAAAGCGTCAGCCTGGGACGGTGACAGTGTCATGGCAGAACGCAAGGTATCCAATCAGATTATCACCTATTTCTCCTCCGTACAGTACAGGACTACTGGTTGGATGACTATGAACTGCAATGCGAACGTGATTCTTGAGTTTAAATGGGATCTTCGGGCATGACGACAATCCCCTGGTCGCATGGAGATCGGCGTGGGCCCAGTTTCTGACCGATCCGAGGAATGCGGGCAGGTTCTTTGTCTTCTTTTTCTTTTTTTTGGGGTTGTGTGTTCCTAGGAGGGTTTGAGACAAAGTTATCCTCTAAGAGGTCCTGAGACCAGGCGAGGAGGGCTTCTGACCTGCCAAGGACGCATGAGTGTCTCAGTCGCTCGTCCATAGTACATCCTTGTATGGACGTGTATGTACTTTGTAGTACCTTCCGCCCACTGCCGCCAGGCACCACCCAAAGCCAGTAGTCTACCCGTCATCGGGTTTATTTTTAGAGAAGAACCCCCCCCCTGGAATGAAGAGAGAAAGAATATCTGATTGTGTCCTATCTACTCCGTACTCTCGTAGGAGATATAGTAGGGCAATATGAAAGAGTTCTCTACCGAGTATACCTTAGTAGCGTACTAGTCTCTCTGTATCCGGCAGACCTTTTTCTCCATCCAACTGAGTCTGTGGCGGAGTCTGATCCCCACCGGCTGAGCCCACTGACCAGTCCCTGGCACAGGACGGTTAACTGCCACTGCCACGGCCACACCCTCCTCCTCACACTCCTCTCCTCCGGTTCTCCCGTACACGACTCGACTGTCCCTCCTCCGCTCTCTCTTCTCCTTCCCAACCGCCCAGCCCGGTTCTCGACTTTTTCCTTTTCCCCACTCTCTTTCCTCCACCCTGAAGACTCGTCCCTGATCGTCCATCATTCCTACCTTCGCCCCCCAAACCAACACCCCCCTACTGCTTCAGCTCGCTCGCGCGCCTCTTTCGTACTCTTGCGCGGTCTCTCCATTTCGATGCCGTATATCCTTTCACTCGTTTGAATCCTCCATGATCTTTTCCCACTGGCTGGCCACCCTGTTGGGTGGCTCTCTGGCCATCCATGGCGCTCTCGCCGCCATCACCCTGAACGTCGATGATGAAAGTGAGTCTCCTGGATCTCCCCAAGTTCTTCCGACATCATGTCTATACGGCCTGCTCTTTCCCTTGCGGGCAGATTTCCCGGCTGGTAATGCTCACGAGGCGCTCTTCTAGATTCCCTCAAAACTGCTGCCAAGACGGTCGCCACCGACATGATCGATTACTACAATGCCCGTGACTCGAAAGATATTCCGGGAAAGTTTGACGGTACTTGGTGGGAAGGTGGATCCATGTTCATGATTCTCATTCAGTACTGGTGGTTGACCGGCGACTCCCAATTCAACGATGCCGTTCAGGCTGGCATGTACTGGCAGAAAGGCGACGACGATTTCTTCCCGTCCAACTACAGTCAGTACCTGGGTAATGACGACCAGGTCTTCTGGGGTCTCGCCGCCATCACCGCGGCTGAGCTGAACTTCCCCGAACAATCCAACCAGCCCTCCTGGGTGTCTCTCGCTCAGGGTGTCTTCAATACCCAGGTCCCTCGTTGGGACACCAGTAGTTGCCACGGTGGTATGCGCTGGCAGATCTGGCCATACCAAAGTGGTTATACCACCAAGAACGCCATCTCCAACGGTGGTTTGTTCCAACTGGCTGCTCGCCTCGCCCTCTACACCAAGAACGCCACCTACGCCGAATGGGCCGAGCGCATCTGGGACTGGAGTGCGACCACTCCACTTCTGAAGCAGAAGAACTGGAATATTGCTGATTCCACCACTTGCGAAACTCAATGTACCGATCATGGCGATTGGCAATGGACCTACAACTACGGTACCTATATTAGTGGTGCCGGTTACATGTACAACTACGTATGGGGTTCCCCGACCTTCCCCCCCACCCACGATCCTGGATGACAATTTCGCTAACCTACATTGATTCTAGACCAACGGAACTGCCTCCAAGTGGAAGGAGGGCATTGACGGCTTGGTGGGCACCTCTAGTCAATTCTATCCCACCCAGGGATATAACGGTGCCGCCGGGAATGTTCTGGTGGAGATCACCTGTGAACCGGTCGAAAAATGCGATCGCAACCAAATCACCTTCAAGGCGTACTTCTCCAGTTGGCTGGCCATCCTCACGACGATCGTGCCTGGCACCTCGGATATGATCATGCCCAAGCTGAAGACTTCGGTGCAGGCCGCCGTGAAGACTTGCACGGCGGGTACGGATGGCAACCACTGTGGTACCAAGTGGTATAACCAGGCCTCCGACAGCACCACTGGCCTGGAGCAGCAGCTGGCCGTGCTGGGAGTGCTCAATGCCAACCTCGTCCCGTTCAAGAACCAGGCGCCCCTGACCGCAGATAATGGTGGTATCTCGAAGAGTAACCCCAATGCCGGCACCAACACCTCGAACCAGCAGGTGCCCACGCTCAACAACATCACGACGGGTGACCGTGCGGGCGCTGGAATCCTGACGGTCATCTTTGTGACTGGATGGGCCGTTGCCGTTACCTGGATGATTCGGGGTGGTTAGACGTTGTGTTTTTGTCACTGTCATTGATTTTCGCCAGGTGAATTTTTTGGGGGTCTTCCAGTGGTCTCTACCATACCCCCCGAGCGGGTGCCTTTTCTTTGTTCTTATATATTCCCTTGACTTGGCCATGTCTGTACTTCTTTTTTTTCCCCCCTCGACACTTCCTCTTCTCTGCCTCTGAAATTCCTTCTCTGTATCTATCTGGGCCCCTTTCTCTCTCATTTTCTATGTTCTTTTTTTTTATTCCCGTCTCTGTTGCTTGACCAGAGTACGTCTTTGGCAGCGGCGTGTACGTGGTACGGTGCTACGGCGTCTGGAGACACCCTGCGATTGGGGACTTTTTACATTGTCGTGCCCCATACTTTGCTACGGAAACTCAATGGATTTTCAATTTCTCGGGCTGAGGAGGATCTACACTGTCTTTTTGTTTCTCGCTGCGGGGCGCCTAAGGCTGTGCTGATGTAGGTGCATGCTTAGTTGAATTACGCCATTTTACTCTCTGACGACTCCTGTATAGTAGTCCTGCCCGTTCTCGAGGCCATAGACATGAGTGTTTTGGCGCCGAGAACTAATCCTAGAATGAAGATTCATAGAGACATGTCCTGTCTAGTCCTTGTCATACCTTGAGATCCTTTCAATGTCAAGATAGTATCTCGATACTCTCTCCATAGTCCTCCCTTCATTGTTTCGGGTCTCCACATGCAAAGTCCAGGGGGCTGACGTGCGTAGCCCCTCGTATTGCTGATACCTCCCCCATACGGCCACTTTGCTGGGGCCAGAGTGGCTGGAAAGGGCCACTCCACCGTAAAGTACATGGGCGTTACCGTATTATTACACAAAATCCTGTGGCCTTCCGCCCCAGGCACAATTCAACTTTCCTTTCCTTTCCATTGTTTCTCTTCTCATTGTTTCTCTCTTCTCTTCTCATCCTTAACCCTTTGAAACCCCCCAAATCATTCATTTCCATCCCTCCCCTCGCTGTTAACCCATTCCGATCGTCCTCTGTGCAGCGCCTTTTACAGTATATCATTCGATCCATCTATTGTACTACACTGTGGGGGAATGATCCGCGATCCGGATTCTCGACTCGCTCCACACTGAGCCATCCACCACAGTCCACACACGCACACACGACACTCGACACTCGACCCATCCTCCCATCCTCCCATTCTCCCGGCCCATGAGCTGGTTACGGCCTCGCCCTTGACCTCCCTTATACCCCGATCCCCCGCACAGTGCTGAAGTTTCCACAATGCGGTGGCGGCTGCCGGGCGCCCGTTCGACCCTCCCCGCCAGCGTCGCCCTCCTCCTCCTTCCGGTCCTGGTTGTTCCGCAGCAACATCCAGAATCCCATGACTACTCCGTGCCCCATGTCTCCGTGCCGTCAGCGCCGGCGGGAGCAGACCCAATTCATTCTAGCGCGGCTACCATAGCCGTGCCTCCCATCGTGAAATCCAACGATGCGAGCGCCCTGGCAACTCTGGCTCTGGCAGGCTCCGGCCGCGCCGTTCGAGCCCCTCCCGTCCGGGCTAGCAGTACCGCTGCTGGCCTGGCTTCGCAGCTTCACGCGCGGTCCCTGCAGGACTGGGAGGTTGAGGACTTTGTGCTGTTGGCGACCGTCGACGGAACGATTCACGCGAGAGACCGCAAGACCGGCTCTTCTCGCTGGGCCCTCGAGGTGCCCAGCAGTCCTCTCGTGGAGAGTATCTATCATCGTGCCAATCGCTCGAGCTTTGACGAAACCCAGCCCGAGGATGACTTCTTGTGGATTGTCGAGCCCAGCCAGGATGGCAGCTTGTATGTCTACAGCCCGGGCCCCGAGGCTGGGTTACAGAAGCTCGGCTTGACGGTCAAGCAATTGGTGGACCAAACCCCTTATTCCGGTATTCAACCTGCTGTGACGTATACCGCTCGCAAGGAGACAACGTTGTATACGATCGATGCCCGGACTGGGAGCATCCTGCGGGTGTTTAGTTCTCGGGGTCCATTCACCACGGGACAGGAGTGCCGAAAGGTGGATGGCCTTGAAACGGACTCGGATGAGTGCGAGACAACCTCTGGTACCCTCGTACTCGGTCGTGTAGAGTATGCCGTGGCTATCCAGAACACCGAGACGGGAGACCCGATCTGCACGTTAAAGTACTCTGAGTGGGCTCCGAATAATCGGGACATTGACCTTCAAAGTCAATACTACCGCACAATGGACCAAAGTCATATCTATAGCATGCATGATGGAGTGGTGTTGGGATTTGATCATTCTCGGATGGACCGGCCTCGGTACACGCAACGATTCTCATCCCCAGTGGCCCGCGTCTTTGATGTGGTTCGACCTGCCAATAAGGATGCCCCGGATGCATCGACCCCCTTGGTCCTGCTTTCCCAACCACTTCAGCCTCCCGACCCCGACTACGGTACTTTGGATGATCGGGACACGCGTGTGTTCATCGATTCGACCAATGCAGGCGGATGGTATGCTTTGTCTGAAGAGACGTACCCTCTAGTCACGGGCCGGGCCCCAATGGCGCAATGTTATGACAAGGACTTTTTCCGCAAAGGGCAATTGCTTATGAGTTTGACCCCGAGTCAGCAACGGGACGCATTGGCTGGTGTGCACTCATTGAATGGACCGCGCATTACTCCATCTATTCCCCGACTGGGCAGTTCCTCGACTACAGAACTGTCCAACGACACTCCCCGCGATGTCCTTCGCAGCCCATCCGAACTAGCGCTACCTCCCGCCCTTCGGCACAGCGCTATTATCCGCAAAAGTTGGGATAACGCATTGGATATCGTCGTTACGTTGATCTTGCTGTTCATTGGCACTTTCATCTACTTTAACTCGCATCATATCCGGGATCTCGCGAAGCAGAAACTGGACATCAAGAACATCATCAACTCCAACGACAAGTCTTCGCTGTCGACTCCCGCCACTCCCATCCTTGGCTCAGCCCCGGATATCCCGCGACCGTCTACTCCAGCTCGACAACTTCCTGGCGTCACTGTTGATGTTGACCTTGGAGACAGCACTCCGGAGGGTGAGGTTACCCCTCGCCCCTCACGGGACAGCAGTGTACCGCCACTTTCGACGCCTCGCGTGCAGATTCGTGAGCCATCCCGTGAACCGGATGATGGCGAAGCGGAAGACGGCGCTCAAGACCCTGACAAGCCGAAAAAGAAACCTCGCAAGCGTGGTACTCGTGGTGGGAAATCACACCGCAAGAACAAGAAACCAGGCACCGAGGGAGATGCCAACCAGGCTGATCGGGTCGTCGAGCAAGTCAACAACATGGCTCCACAGTCTCGTCTGGAGCCTGATGTGCAAATGACTCGCACCGTCTCCAACGAGATTGTGGAGATGGATGGTGTCATTCGTATCGGTCGATTGGAAGTCTTCACCGATGTCGTCCTTGGACACGGCAGTCACGGTACCGTGGTGTATCGGGGTGTATTTGATGGGCGCAATGTGGCCGTCAAGCGCATGCTGATGGAGTTTTATGATATTGCTTCTCATGAAGTTGGACTGCTGCAGGAGAGCGATGATCACCACAACGTTATTCGGTACTTCTGTCGTGAACAGGCAGCGGGCTTTTTGTATATTGGTCTGGAACTCTGTCCTGGATCGCTGCAGGATGTAATTGAACGTCCATCTCAACATCCCGAGCTGGTGGAAGGTGGCCTTGACATGCCAGACATCCTCAAGCAAATCACCCAGGGTGTCCGCTACCTGCATTCTCTCAAGATCGTTCATCGTGACTTGAAGCCGCAGAATATCCTGGTTGCCACGTCTCGCGGTCGCACTTCAATTCGCTCTCTTCGACTGCTCATCTCCGATTTTGGACTCTGCAAGAAGCTCGAGGACAATCAGAGTTCCTTCCGTGCCACCACTGCGCATGCCGCCGGTACATCGGGATGGCGTGCGCCTGAGCTATTGGTGGATGATGACAATGTGGCCATGAGTTCCGAATCACAGCATACTGAGTCCTCAGAGCCAGCCGTTGTGGACCCGCAGACCAATCGCCGGGCTACTCGTGCCATTGACATCTTCTCGCTGGGGTGTGTGTTCTACTATGTGTTGACTCGTGGTAGCCATCCGTTCGACAAGAACGGCAAGTTTATGCGGGAGGCCAATATTGTGAAGGGTCAATTTGACCTGGAGGAGTTGAATCGCTTGGGCGATTATGCCTTTGAGGCTGATGATCTTATCCGCTCCATGCTGTCTCTTGATCCCCGTCAACGGTATGTATACACCTCGTTCGTTCGTCAACGAGGATGCCCTTTTGCTAACTCCGTTTCCTTTTCAGACCCGATGCCAGTCAGGTACTCATGCACCCCTTCTTCTGGCCCCCGTCGGATCGACTCAGCTTCCTCTGTGATGTTTCCGATCACTTTGAGTTTGAGCCACGGGAACCCCCCTCGGATGCCCTGCTCTGCTTGGAGTCGGTCGCCGAGCGAGTGATGGGTCCGGAGATGGACTTTTTGCGCCTGCTCCCTCGCGATTTCAAGGACAACCTGGGTAAGCAGCGCAAGTACACCGGTGACCGGATGTTGGATCTCCTGCGTGCGCTGCGTAACAAGCGCAATCACTATAACGACATGCCCGAGTACTTGAAGGCGCATATCGGTGGACTGCCGGAAGGTTACTTGAACTTTTGGACTGTGCGCTTCCCCAGTCTGTTGATGAGCTGCCACTGGGTGATTGTCGAGTTGGGTCTTATGGATATCGACCGTTTCCAGCGATACTTTACTCCTGAGTAGATGAGTGATAGGGTGGGGACAGTATCTGATCCATAGTGGTGTATATAATATTGAATAGAACTGATATCTTTTGTTTTGAAATGTTTCTTCGCTTGCCAGTATGTATCTGACTCGCCAGCTTTCTGCTGCTCTTTCGTGGGTCGTTGGTCATTGAGAGACCCCCCCCCCCGGGGGCTTCTCTTCCTTTGTTTGCGGTTGACTGCGTCTGCATCTGCATCTTGTTGCCTTGCACCTTTCGTCTCTCCTTCGCCCTTCGCTTCTCGCATCTCTGCATCTTCCTTCTTTCCTTCTCTCTCCCCACGCTGCATCCTGTTCGGGGGTTTTGTTTATTCGCCCACCACACCAGGCTCCCTTTTGACTTTCCACCTCACCATCCTCTTTACGCGACAGCACTCAGAACTCCATCGTTCCACCTACAGACGCATCATCCTTGTCGAACTGGTCGATCTGATCATGCCATCAGCGCCTGTCCTACGACTGACCGTCCTGGTCTTACCCCGGGAGCAGGTCTCCACATACTCCAGCTTCTTCAGAGCCAGCAACGAACAACAGCATCGAGCGGAACCTGCCAAGCCCCGTACTTTGCTGCTGGTTATCAAGGACCCCGAGAACGTCTCACTTGGCCAGCTGGCCAATCTGATTAAAGACCTGTGGGTGGAACTATGGCCAGCTGAGGGGTGAGATCTCCCGCAGCAGTCCGAATCTGAATCCACGCACTGCATACTGACCTCCACCTTCAGGCCCCTGCAAATCAAAAGACTCCTCGACGATGCGTATCCCGAGGCCGCATTCAGCATCCACTGCTCTGTCGCGGATATTTGGGTGGACAATGGACGTCGTGAGCGTGAGGGCTTCGACCAGCTTGGCACCGTCCGCGTGATTCAGGTGCCCTCGTCGTCTACACCGTCCCCGGCTCACCGGTACCAGCGGGCCCCTTCTGTCTGTCAAGATATTGAAGGCGCTGCGCGTGAGGCCAAGCGCAAATACCTCGACAGCGCTGTCAGTGCAAATGGCTCACTGACCAGATCGAGGGACACGGCCACTGAGACCCGCGCTCAGAACAAAGAACAACCAGGCCCGCAGGAACGTCCGACAAAACGGCCTAGATTGACGGAGGAGGCTGAACCTGTATCTCCCACTCCTGCTGGTTCACCTCACTCGACAACTTCATTCCCTGTATTCTACAATGATGGACGGGTCCCGTCGTATGCTCACCCAAGAGGCCACAGACGCCATCTCGGAAACAACTCAACCGGTTCTCCGCTGGTAGGATTGGGCCTGGGAATCACCGCCAGTCCAGCCAAGGCCAGAATCTCAACTTTCAATGCCGATGTCACAGCTGAGGGGAGTCCAGACCCAGCAGTAGGTCCAGGACCAAGGTCTATGCCTCCGCCACCGCGGCCACGTTATTCACTACGTGGACCTACTACCTCGTCACCATTGGAGTCTGGTTCTGAGGAGGATTCTCCTTTGGCTGGCAAGAAGGTTGCCCGGAGACCGTTCCACTCAGTTCCTCGGGAGACCTCTCGCAGCGAAGGTCCTCGGACTAGGGCGGCGAAGAAGACTGAGGGATCTGGGAAGAAATCAGAGCGCGTCGCTCCGTCGAGTGACCCGGTTGGTACCTTAAAGCTCACTCGGAGCCAACTTGATCTTCTGGAGAAAGACAAAAGAGAGCTTCAGGAAGTCAATGACTTGCTTAAGCAATCCAGGATAAACCCCGAGTGTCGCACGATTATCCAAAGAATGCGCCATGACCTAGAAGAACGAATCAAGGTCAGAGTCGCCCCCTCTCCGCATGGGGAGCAAAGAATGCTAGTATTCCAAAGAATACGCAAAAAACTTCGGACCTGCCGGAATTCGCTTGAGAGGTTCAGGAGGAATGGGCAGTTATATGAGGAAAGTGATGCACATGATACTACGAGCGAGGACAATGGCATGGACCAGAACCCTGGTGAAGGGAGTGACGATGAAAGCGAAGAGGATATGCCGAGGAATAGACCCAGACGCTCCGGAATCGAGCGGCGAGATCTATCAACCGACTTTGTTGTTACCGGAAGGGTCTTATCCCTTCGTTCACATTCCAAGAGAGCCGAGCTCGAAAATCTTCAACCAAGCCAAAAGGACAAGGAGCCAGACGGGCATGATATTCAAATTGTGGTTGAGGATACCAGAATTGCGCAGACCTCCCCGCAGACTAGCAGTTCCGTTGCTCACGATTTTCTGAATGGTGATCGTCCGGAAGATGGTGCTGCATCCGTAGAGGATGAAAGCGAGGACGAAGCGACGGACAGCGATGGCAGTGATATCGAGTATGAGTCAAAGGGTCCCAAAGTCGAGCAAAGCTCTCCCATTCGGATTCCGATTGTCTCGCAGGGAGCTTCGCCACGGATTGCACCACCCCCTCGTGCTGAAAACGGGGAAAATGAGAATGGAAACGACGTGATCGATCCATTTGCCAAGTAAGTCTTGACTTTGCACACCTTGTGACACCAAGAATTCATACTGAATAGATGAATCAGAAAGTCTGAGCCATCGAAGACAATGCTACACGCTCCTACTTTCGAGCAATCTCCTAAAAAGCAACGCCCAAAAGGCGGTCTTCTGGCAATGTTTATTGACCACAAGGCCTAACACTTTGGGCGCATTTTCTCCCTCTGGCTAGGAGTAGATACACAAAGAGTCCTCTATGACACTACACGATAGGATCACGGAGGGCACAGTAATGAAGCCGAGGGTAATGACAAGGTTTGAAGTGATGGATCTTGACTTTTGTTCCGAAAAGCGATCGCAAGAGATGTGTGAGTATTCTCAGGTCAAGTCGTGAAGCTCTGATGCCTCTTTCCTGCGATTGTATCCAGAATTAAGGTGTTTCTGTTGTATCTGGATACGCTGCTCTACCACTTCATGCACGAGTTATAGCCAATGAATTCAGGTCTTATGCAGGTGCACTCTTGACTTTTATTTTTGTGGACTATTTAAATAAGAACAAAGAGTTAGTATGTTCAGGGTACCGTAGTTCCACTCTGGTCAACCGTCTCCGCGGAACCCTCTTCCAACCATTCCTTCGGAGGAGCAGACACTTCATAGTTCCAGCCCATCGAGTCCTCAGTTGACCCAGACTGAATTCCCCGCAGGGTCTTCAAAAGCTTACCAAAGACCTCGCCACCCTGCGCCTGGTCTCCAGTCCGATACTCAAATTTGTCACCCTTGGAGCGCATCGTGATGCTTCGGATCGGTACCAGTGCAGCAGCTGTTCCTGCAGCAAATACCTCGTCGAATGTATTCAATTCCTCGTACCCAACTCGCCGTTTCTCGACCGTGTAGCCCAGATTGCGGGCGATATCAGCAACCGAGGATGCCGTGACGGAATCAATCGCGTTGCGACTAGCTGGCAGCACGACGGTGATCTTATCTCCATCACGCAGGACACCAATGAACGCAGAGGTGGAAAACTCGTCAATCTCGCTTCGTGTGGCGCTGTCCAGATGCAAGGTGATTCCAAATCCCTCCTGGCGAGCTCGATCGCTGTGTCGCAGGACCGGGGCGTAGTTGCCTCCCACCTTGGCATCTCCCGTTCCAAAGGGTGCCGAACGATCGAAATCCTCCAAGATCAATGCATCCACCGCATGAACTCCATGGTAGACTCCCGTGGGCATGACAAACACGACGAATGTATATCCATCCGGGGGACTCAACCCCAATTGCGCAGACGACCCGAACAGCATCGGTCGGACATACATGGCAGCCCCCGACTCGAATGGAGGCACAAACTCGGCATTGGCACCGACAGCCAGTCGCACACAGTCGAGGAAGAGATCCTCGGGAACTGGCGGCATGGATACAACCTCGGCGGAATGCTGCATGCGCTTGGCGTTACGGTTCGGTCGGAAGATGGTGATTTTCCCGTTATTGGAGTGTCGGAAGGCCTTGAGACCCTCGTATACTTGCACGCCATAATTCAGACCCGGGGCCATGCCGTGAATCGAGAGGTATGGCGAGTGCACGAAGCGCGGGGCGGACCATTGGCCGTTACCGGACTGTGAGAAGTGGCATTCAACATGGCCATTGACTGCAACGGACTCTGCTCAGCGTTGAAGATTGATTTGTAGGGGTTATGGAATATCTACCTTCGCGCACTTTGAAGCCAATGTCGTTCCAGTCGAGATCTGCTGGGGGAGGAGGGAACATGGTGGGCGAATTGGGCGAATTAGGAGAGTTGGAAAGATGGCACAGTCGATCGGGCGATCTGCGGGGAGTTCCAAAAGGAGGGGCCTTCGCGTGCGCTTTATACTTTGGCGCTGACTGCGCAGCGTCCTCCGTACGTACGAGAGGCAAATGGCGGTGACTAACTTAAGAAACAATCCACTCAGAGCTGAGTAATGGCTTTCTAGACGACCAGATGAGATTCAAATTTCCCGGACCTTTCTTAGGCTCCTATTCATTGACTCGCATGTCTCAACTTACCAGCCGACATCGGGGCTGACGGGCGATTCACTAAATAAGCAAAGAACCGTGGAATTGGATAGGCTAGAACGCGTACTAACTATGAATTAGGCATTTGCACGGCTCTCTAGTCAGAACTATGTTCAGTTCGCTGCGGCAGTGGCCACTCGCAGTCTCTTCTCCGGCCTTGCAATGGCGTCATCGATCCGATCTCGATCTATACAATTAACTCCACCACCACCACCACCACCACCAGTGGTGTCCAAAGAACGGCAGTTGGACAATTGAAGGAGCAAGACAGTATATCTCACCTATTCCTCCATCATCCCTTCTCGATCCACAATCATATCACTACTTGGTTGCTCACTGCGCGCCCAAATGCCTTCGCCAGAACCACCTGTAACCCTCCAGGCTCTTCGTGCTCCGCAAAGCGCCAGTAGTGATCAGCGATATTCTCGAATTGATCCTCGTATGTGAACGTCCACGACGGATCCAATTGACCCGAGATGACCAGGTCGAGGAGAAGCGGGTGATACTGTCGAATCTCCGCATCGGCTTCTGATCAATGGGCATAGCTTGAACTTATTGGGCCTCTCTCTCTCTCTGTCTCTCTCTCTCTTCGTACCCTTTGGAGAATCGATTGTGCTCTCCACGAACGGTCAATGCCTTTTGCATTAAGGGTCCAATTGGAAATCATGCGTCGTGAAGAAAAAAGTCTCCAACTAAAGGAATGTTGCCGCCCTTGCGCCGCTTTGATAATAGCGACACCGTCACGCACCTCTGCTAGCTCCAGGGCATGCTATGCAGTTGAAATCACATCGGCCAGACTGAGCAGCTTCCTTGCATCCACATCGTGAGGTGCCTTGACGCATATCAAGTCGGCATTAGGTACTCTACTGAACTCCGCCTGATTTCCTGGATATCCCTCACAGAGCTGACTATAACCCAGCATACCCGACACACAGTGTCCGGACGCAACTTCCATCTTTTAGATGGATTGCTACATCACAGAGTGAATACTCTTTTCGCTGGCAGTACTCGCAGTTTCCACATACTATCACTGGTATAATTATCACTCGATCGCCGACCTTGCGGGATCTCACTTTGAGTCCAACTTCGTCCACCAGCCCGATGGCCTCTCGTCCCATGATGTCGCCTTTTCGCATAATGTCGCCCAGGTCTCCTTCGTAGAGGTGTAGATCTGAGCCGGAGATCGTGCAATGTGTCACTTGGATGATGGCGTCGCTGGGGTCGGTGATTGTCGGTTTAGGACGAGACCTATTTCGACGTCTCCGTATGCCCATCCATCAAGCCGCTTTCATTTTGTTGGTCGGATGTGGTGCATACTCTGTGCTCATGATGGGGTTGTCAGGATGTTTGTTCTTTAAGTTCTCTGGCAATGTAGCTTACCTGGGTAATACAGCTGCCATGACTGGGGATCAATGTGCGCGATGAAGATATAGTCCACTCGTTAATAAACAGAAATACACATTATCTAATTTTTTTAGTTGAAAAAAATTACTTTCAATTGCAAGAGCTGACGGTTGCTCCGTTCGTACCTCCAAAGGGCTGATATCAAGAGGATGTTCTCGCATAGTAGATCTATTTCGGGGCATAGGAACCACAGATCGTCCACGTTGTAGTGCAATCATGTCTTACAAGCCAATTTGCTATGCCACAAAGGTATGTACTCAAATAGAGGTGTCGGAAACCATCACCGAATCATGTCATGAACCTGAATAACCACCAAATCCACCGAAGAGATTCTACGCGAAAAAATCATGGTTATGATTAAGTCTTGAGGTTCATGAATAATTTCAAGTTCTCTATATACACTCAGGGGGGAATAATATGTCCAAAAGGGAAGGCTCATGAAGCAAGACCTGACACCGCGGCGGTTCACACTCATTTCTTGGCCTTCCCCATCATCGACTTGGAAGTCCTCACTCGGAACAAGTAATACAACGCAATTGCACCAAAGATATTGAAAACAAAGTAGCACCAGAAGATGCCATAGTTGCGCCACCGATCACTGTAGTAAATCTCCCGAGCAGCCAAATACTGGTCTGCGGAGCTCATACTGCAGTATTGGCAATTGGACGTGGCGTTCTTGTTGTATACCGAGCCGCCTGCCATGTTGACGTAACTCTCCATATACTCCCAGCACGTCTGACCGGACGGGGGTCGAAGACGCTGAGCTCGGCCGCATTGCACTCCACCTTGCGACCGTGCAATGCCGTGCCAGCAATGCCGCTGATGTAGTACGTGAATGGTGAGACACGATACATGAAGATCCAGAATCCTGTTCAGACGGTATAAGTTAGATAAGATCGATCAAATGGCCTTCGCATATCATGCGTGGGCGAACTTACTAGGCAAAACACTAGGCGGTTGTAGAACACCATTGAAAATGAAAGACAGACCAAACATGAGAGTCGCAAGCATAGCACCGAGGGTGGGCTCTGGAATAGCCGACACAACAAATTGAGCCATACTAGCCGCGTAAATGTAGAATTGAACAATGAACAGCATAATCAATCCACGGCTTTCCGAGTCTTGACCAGTGCCAAAGACGGACCAGTAGAAAGATACCCAAGAGCAGACGCCGAGACAGACTTGCCAGGGAACCTCCACGAGGATCTGTGAGAGGATGAACACTTTCCAAGAGTAAATGCGTGATGGACGCTCGCGGACTTCGTACAAAGATCGCTGAGTGACGAAGCGAGGCATGATTTGGTTAACGAGAGTGTTGAAGATGGTACACAATAGGAAAATGCTGAAAAGCACATTCTGGAAGCCCTGTTGGGTGTTATCAGCTTTCCAGAAAGAGAATCCAATGAAAAGACCCGATGCGATGCCGAGAATGAACTTGGCGTAGATGTAGTCAGGTTGGCGGTAGTAGCCCTGGAAGCAACGGCCAAGAACAACCGCCATCTGCGTGGACAAGGGCATGGCGAATTCGGCAGTATCGTCGTCGATGGATGGATCATGAGCGGAGCCTTGATGCTTGGAATGAATCCGGTCAATTTCAGAAATGACATCTTGGTACTCCTGGCTCGAATTCCAAGCCTGGGGCCAATCAACGCCAAGACAGCCCTCTCCGGCGACCATGTCAAGGATGTATTCGGCAGGGTTTTCCAGCTCCTCGCACGGTCGGGCTCCCTTAGCCTCGAAATACTTCAAGAGAGTAGATGACTGTTCACCAATGTCGCCGAAATAGACTGTCTTTCCACCTTTAGCCAGGAAGAGGAGACGGTCGAATGTCTGGAACAGAGTTGCACTCGGCTGATGTATCGTTGCCAAAACAGCCTGACCATGGTTTGCAAGTCTTCGAAGGAACTGGCAGATTGTCCATGAACTCTGAGAATCCAGTCCACTTGTGGGTTCATCCAGGAATATCAGTAGAGTGGGCTTCGCAGCAAGCTCAACTCCAATACTCAGAAGCTTGCGCTGTTCAACATTCAAACCTTCACCAAGGGATCCAACCACTGCCTCCGCGAAATCCTCCATACCAAGGAGCTTGACAACTTGTTCCACATAGTCGTACTTCTCCTCCTTGGAGACGCTCTTTGGTTGGCGAAGCATAGCACTGAATCGTAGTGCTTCGCGGACCGTGGTGGTCTCAAGATGAAGATCCTGCTGCTGTACATATCCAGTGCGACGAGGGAAGTTTGGAAGTAAGGGCTGGCCATTGACCAGGATATCGCCGGACACGACTCCAATAGACACCCGCTGGGCAAGAACATCCAACAAAGTTGTCTTGCCCGCACCAGACACGCCCATCAGAGCAGTTAAGCTACCAGGTTTGACCCAGCCGTTGACATTGTCGAGAAGGCGTCGTGTTCCTTCCTTCACCGGAATGTCATAATTGACGGCCTTCCAAGTGAAAATATCTTTCTGCTCGGGCAGGTGGATCATTTCGTTCGTATGTGTCACTTCAAGCCTATTAACGATCACAACTCCGCCTTCAGCATCGTCTTCGGATTGGAGGTGTGCTGGAGCATGGCCGGGGCGGAAGACCAGGGCCTCGGCCTTTGACTTGTCGCTGGAGATGAACTCGGTGGCGACCAAATAGGCCGCGTTGAAGAAGACCATGAATACAATCAAAATCCCTGTATATCACGTTAGTAGTAGTACAGCTAGTAGGCCTGTAGTGGCCACCTTGAGCAAAAGGCAGCTTGTCAGGTACATACCAAAGTTCCGCCACAGATGGGAGTAATAGTAATCATAGTTCTGTTCGATGAATGCATCCCCAGAGACGAATCTCTCGCCAGCCATTGCACCAACGGAAGAGCAAATGAAAGATGTACCCGTCCCATAGCTAGGAATTACCGAAGTGCACGGATAGTTCTTGCCATGGAATTCATTCGCAATGAGAGCTTCAAAGGTGTAATAGATCGGGTTGATCCAGCGAATCCAAGACAGCCACGGGTGCATGTAGGGCTGAGGCAGCGTAAATCCAGTGTATACAACGATACACAGAACCAGAATACCCGCGAGAGCCATGGCCTGACCGACGGACTTTGTTAATGCTCCTAGACTGCGGAACAGTCCAGACATGGTCAAGACGGCGAAAATCAGAAACAAGTAGAAGATGAAGAACTGGGCTGGCTCCCGACGAAGGTTCGCCATGAAATATAAGACAATGCTGAAAATGGAGATTCGCACGATTTTGATCGGAAAGTCGACAATAAGACTGGCTAATGCTTCTGTGAACGGATGGACAAATGCATAACCACGCTGCTTCTCCACAATCGGCCGCTGACTGTAGAGCTGCATGATCTCGTTGATCGTGAGGAGGGCGTTCATCAGCACAGCAAAGTAACACACGGCGCCCTTTTGAAAGAAATATGAAGAGGTATCCGGGGTGTTGTAGAAGACGGATCCGATGATCAAGGACAGGATCAGTTGAACGATGAGAGGGGACAAGGCGGTAGGCAAATCGTTGAGCATACGCTGGTAGGCTCTCCGAGAACACAGGCGAATTTGCATTGGCACGGACATAATGTATGGGCTGCTAGAGCGGGTGTGTTTAGCTTGTTGGTGTACGTGGCTTTCCTTGAACTTTTGAGCATCCTCGCCATTGGGGGGATGTTGCTGATCAAATTCGGTGATTTGTTTCCGTAGACTCTGGTATTCTGGGCTCCGCTTCCAATACTCTGCAAAATCCTTCGCAGTACGAGGCACCTTATTTTCCATTCCTGGAAGGGCTTTGCGCTCATTGGGATTGGTTATGGCAGTCAAAAAGTCACCACTCACTTGACGCTCTGGTCTAGCCCATCCCATGTCTTGGAAATAAGCCACTGCTCGATCGCGGGGGCCGTAGTAAATTTGGTAGCCTTCATAAAGCACCACAACCCTATCGAATAGGTCGTACATTGATTGGGATGCTTGATAGGCCGCGACTGCATGACAAGACTGACCCATGTCGGCTGCAAGACGCAGAGCTCGAACAAATTTCAAGGCAGAAGCGGCGTCCAGTCCTCGGGTGCTGTTATCCCACGCGCCGATGCGACAGCGGGAAAGGAACATCTCTGCGATGCTGACGCGCTTGCGTTCACCACCACTAACGCCCCGAACAAACTCGCTGCCAACTTTGGTATTATAGGTGTGGGACAAGCCAAATACCGACATGACCACTTGAGTCAGAGTCTCGACGTACTCATCTCGGGGCATGTCCTGGACGCGTTGATGGGGCGCCCGGGCGTGAGCAGCAAACGAGAGGGTCTGACCCACCGTTAGATGAGGAAAATGCAAATCGACTTCCTTGTTGTACGCCACATCACCACGGTGGTGCTTGATCATCTGGTCGAAATCAATGCCTTCGAAATGAATAGAGCTGCCGGGTTCCATAGTCAGACCGCCCAAATGTCCACACAGGGTTTTGAGGAAGGTGGTGCATCCACTGCCGGGGCGTCCCAGGACCAGGAGAAGCTCTCCACCTTCCAACAACCCATCAAAGCTGTGCAGAATTCTTCGTGGGGGTGATAGGCGACCTGTGAGGGCTCTAGACGCATACCGAAATGGGAGAGTAAGGCTCGAGATTAAGGTCTCTTGAAGCTGCAAGGCTGAACCGGAGCCGCTGATGGAGAGATCCGAAAAGACCACACCTTGAGAGGGGATTTCGATGCCGGCTTCATGTACCTGGCTGAGGACATGCTGGGCCCACCGGTGGTGATCAAACTCGGGGCTATGGGGGTCTAGTCTTGGATCTTGGGATTCCTTGCGACTAACCGAAGCCGATAGCTTTTGTCCAAGCTTGCTGGAAGCGATGCGGCCCAGAGCTTCGAGCTCTCGTTCATCAATCACGGTTTGAACGCGTTCTGTGATGGGCATGAATTCCATCTCATGCTCATCCTTTTCCATGCTGGGCAACTCGGGGTCTGCCCCGTGTGATCGAGAGTGTGGAGGATTGTTGGAGGTATCAAAACAGTCGCTGCTTCCGTTGCCGCGACAGAGGGCGAGATGGCTCTCATAAAAGCATGGCCTTGGAGCATGGTCTCGACTCCGACCGGAGAAAGGATAACGTTAAAACCGCTGGAATGGAGAAAATTCGTCAAGTTATGCTTGTTGATTTCGGAGCCTCACTACCCGAGCCACGGCAGTCCCCGTCCCATGACGCACTCGGGCCAGATTCAGGCCAAATTCAGGCAGACATCGGTCCGACCGTGGCAACTTCCAACCAATCATGTCGCATGTCGGAGCTTATAAGCACCGACTTGCCGACTTGCTGGCCGTTCACGGGCCCACTTTCCTGATTCGGTAACCAATACGTATCAATTGTTGACGAAGTCCGGGGCCATCAATCCGTCTCCGTTCGACTCTCTCTTTCCAACATAATTTTATGTCATGATTTGAGATTCTATGAATAGGATCATAAGAAGGGACCAAAAGAGCAACGGGTAGCTCGTAAGTGGGCCATGGTCTGCGCGTCTTTAGTGATGACCTCCTTGGGGACTTCTCCTCGCGCGGTGACTTTGACGGGAGGCTCATCGCTATTCAACCTTACCCTAGGCAAGGTTTCTCAAGCTGTGAATCTCCTAGTAATTAACGGTCATATGTGTGTCGAGGTTTCTCGGAACAGCTGGATCGACGTGGATTGTTAGTAGGACCTAGCTTTGCCTCTGCCTTGCCCTGTTGGGCCTCCTCTCCTTCATCACTCTCGCCGACGCTGTTGAGCGTCAGTGTGATTCAAAAATGCATACGTAGTCTCTAGTCATTGCGGAACATAGCGAAGCTTATTACTTAGGCCAGCCATCGGCTAGCGATATATTTCTACTCTGACGGTGCCCTGGACCAGGTCATCATCTTCAACCTTCACGGGACCATACGGGCATCAGATGGAATGTGTAATTGAAAGTTTCCCACGTGATCTCTCAACCTCTTCATTGCATGCCATTTCTTAATCCTTATCTACTGTACGGAGTAGATCCTTTCGAGCTGCACTGTTGTGATCTCTTTCACGTGATCAACTGATCAACTGATCCTTATCTGCGCATGGTCACATGATCGTGATTGCGATCGCGGTCGGGGGAATTTCCCACGTTGTTGCTGTTCTGTTTCCCGAAAGCGGCTTAGTGCTCCCGTAATCTGACTCTTTCGCTTCCCCTCCGCCGCAACCACACCGTTTTCTTTGGTCAGTGGTAACGGGCTGCTGACGTCCTGCTTGCGGTCCACCCAATCCCCGAGCGCTCCCTACCCCCTCTCCCCCATGGCGCCAAGCTCTGGGTGATGGTCGAAGTGGATCGGATTGGAGAGCCAGTCGAGTGGTCCACTCATTTCGCTCATTTGGTAGCTGGATGGGGGCCGTCATAAGGTGCTTTCTCCCTCACCTCACTTCGTCGAGCTGCTCTTCCTCCATCTCCCTTTCACCATGGCGACTGGCACCGCGACGACGACGGCTACGGCCACCAGCTCCGTCAAGGTGAGCCCTCAAGGCGGGATCCTTGAGGGAGGGAACCCGACTCATTATGACCCCAAGAACCCGCTGGTTCTGTTTATCATTCAGGTATTTGGATGCTGTCCACCTTCGACCCTCAGATCTGTCATGGCTGACCTTCCATGAACACTCCAGGCCGTAATTATTATCGTGCTTTGTCGCCTGATTCATTGGCCCCTCTCAAAGATCCGTCAGCCTCGTGTCATTGCAGAGGTCATCGGCGGCATCATCTTGGGTCCCTCGGTGATGGGCCGAATTCCTGGCTTCACCGATGCCATCTTCCCCAGCGATAGTATTCCTAGTCTGAATGTCGTTGCAAACCTGGGTCTAGTCTTGTTCCTGTTCCTCGTGGGACTGGAGACAGATCTCCGATTCCTGGCGAGCAACTGGCGCGTGGCCTTGGGTGTTTCGGCTGCGGGTATGATTCTGCCGTTTGCTCTGGGAAGTGCAATTTCCTACGGCCTATACAACCAGTTTCATAATGACCCCTCAACGGTACCTATCAAATTTGGCACCTATCTGCTATTTATTGGTATTGCGATGGCCATCACCGCTTTCCCCGTGCTGTGCCGTATCCTGACCGAGCTGAAGCTGCTTGGGACTCGGGTCGGCGTCATCGTCTTGTCCGCTGGAGTTGGCAACGACGTTGTTGGTTGGATTTTGCTCGCCCTTTGCGTGGCCCTCGTGAATGCGGGAAGTGGAATCACCGCTCTCTGGGTCTTGCTGGTTTGCACGGGATACATGCTTTTCCTATTTCTTGTCTTCAAACCAATCTTCTACCGCTTCCTTGAGCGCACAGGAAGCCTGCAAAAGGGGCCTAGTCAATCGGTTGTGACCTTGACCTTGCTTATTACCCTTGCTTCTGCATTCTTTACGCAAGCCATTGGTGTCCATGCTATCTTCGGTGGATTTGCGATTGGGTTGATCTGCCCACATCAAGGTGGATTTGCTATCAAATTGACGGAGAAGATTGAAGATCTCGTTGCAGCCCTTTTCTTACCCCCTCTATTTCACACTGTCTGGCCTGAGCACAAACCTGGGGCTACTGGACAGTGGCATCGTCTGGGGCTATGTGATCGGCGTTATTGCCATTGCTTTCACTGCCAAGGTGGCAGGAGGCACTCTTGCATCTCGCTGGTGTGGACTGCTCTGGCGCGAGAGTTTCTCGATCGGTGTTCTGATGAGTTGCAAAGGTCTAGTCGAGCTGATTGTTCTGGTTCGTACCCGTCTATTAACCGCCCGGGCCAATTATTGGTCGTCGAGCGTTGAATCATGAAACAAGAGAACTGACTTTCGAATGATAGAACATTGGCTTGCAAGCCAAGATTTTGAGTACCCGCACATTCACCATCTTCGTGGTGATGGCGTTAGTCACGACTTTCCTCACGACTCCACTTACCACTCTCCTCTACCCAACATGGTATCAAATCAAGGTGGAGCGATGGCGGCGGGGGGGAAATTGATTGGGATGGTAACCCTGTTCAGGAGGATATCAGCCCCGATAGTGTCTCTGTGGCGAAGGAACAGCTGAAGACCGTACCTGTTCGCAAGCTGCTGGTCTATCTTCGACTGGATGGGTTGCCGGGCATCTGCACCCTGGCAGCCCTTCTAAGCCCCAACCGCGGAGCGTTGCTCTTATCGCCCCAGATTCACCCGTCAAAGAAGCCGAAACACGCCGAACAATCCGTCGAGGATGCAATCACGTCGGAGAATGACCAGGAGACCACTCTGCGCGTACATGGCGTGCGGCTCATGGAATTGACAGATCGTGACTCCAGTGTCATGAAAGTCTCAGCCGGAGAGCATGCTATGTGGGACCCTGTGGTTAACACCTTCCGCGCCTTTGGCGAGTGGCAAGATGTCTCTCTCATGGCGGGTGTGTCTGTGGTTCCAGAATATTCATACGCAGAGACTGTCATCAACATGGCTCGCCAAGACACCTCGGACCTCCTCCTTCTCCCTTGGAGCGAGACCGGAACCTTGGCCGACCGGCAAAGTAGTCTTGAAGTTGACACTGCAAGCCGATTCGCCAATGGAGCCTACACTGATTTCGTGTCCAACATTCTCGAGCGAGTTCCGGGCCATGTAGGTATCTTGATTGAGCATAACTCAGAGTCTCACTCTACCAAGCGGCCAGCCACTCAGCGCTCGACGAGTGGACTGAGCATTCAGGCTGTTGGGTCGCGACCGGCTTTTGGAAGTCGCTCTCGTCATATTGTACTCCCATTCTTCGGTGGTGAAGATGACCGTTTCGCACTTCGTCTTGTCCTGCAACTCGCTCAGAACGAGCATGTCACAGCCACTATCATTCAAGTTGCAGGGCTGCAATCAGACCCAAGCAAAGCGGGTGCCTCGACATCCGTTTCCTCCGGGACGCATGCCGGAACACCAAGCAGCCAGTCGGATATCGTGTTCTTTGAAACCCTGCGTGATTCTGTGCCAGAGGGCTTGAAAGATCGTGTCATTTTCCAACAGGCTGGTGTGCAGGAGACGATTAGTGATCCAGTCCAGCTGGCTCTGGCTGCCGTGAAACAAGACCTCGACCTCACTACCAACAAGCGAAGCAGTATTGTGGTCGTCGGAAGACATAGTGGCCCTGGTGGTTCTGGCATTTCCATTAATCTGGGACCCCATGGTGTCGGCACTGATACCCAACGAGCCCTTGGACCCGTGGCCTCGGCGATGTTACAGCCAGAGAGCACAGTTCCTGGTAGCGTATTGGTGCTACAGGCTGGTGTGAACCCTAGTTTATTTGATAATTACCGGTGATTTGGATATGGTCATGGGCTCCCCCTGATGGGGAGTTCTCCTAACTTGGGAACTTGGAATATGCCATCTTTTGTCATCTTTTGGTAGATCAGATTTTGGATGAAGCTCTTTTTATTATACATGCATGGAGACCAAGACGTGCGTAGATTACATCGCTTTTTGTTTGCGGGCAGAAGTTGAGAAATGAGAAATTAGTGTGGCATGTATGGGCCCAGCGGGAAGGATTGCTTGTAAATGCAAACTGCAGGCGACACCCGTGTATTGCCATCTCCCAGATAGCATATATATGAATGTGGTCATGCCCAAACCCAGGTATTATTCATTATACGGCCATTGTATCTTCCTCGATAGGTTCATATCCCCGATGACGTGCAACTGGACTGGTGTGAATGCTCCCAAAACCATGGGAAGCTGTACATGCGACGGGCATGTCCGGGTCGTGGCGGCGTTTCTTGGGAAGACGGGAAAGAATTGATCTCGCGAGTGCTGGAGGGTAACTCGTCGTCATTGTAAGTCTGGGCACCCTGGGCGATGGCTACGAGTTTGCCGAGGATGGCGTATTCGAGCTTAAGTTTGATACTGTAGGCGACAGGTTTGAACATTACTTGGACGGCGTAGTAGCCGACGTATTCGATGACGACAATGGCAATGTCGAGGATGAGGATGACAATGTTGATGGTGAGCAGTTGGTGAAGAATGCCATTTGGTCGGCCTTGAGGTCGGAGTTTTAGCAGCTTCACGGTCTCCCGTATATAAATTCCCGAGATGATCAGTTCCTGGATGCAGAATCCCACGAGCTGGATGTGCTCCATGGTACTGTATCCACGAGACCAGACACTGACGGGAGCCGCTGCTGTCCCGTATAGTAGCACCGTGGTAGGGATGTGAAACAGGACGGCATCCACCATGATCATGTAGAGCACACCCCATAGGATTTTGGTGTTTTGCAAGACCAAATGGAGCCGCGACCAAAGGACCATGGATTGACCCGTAACCATACCATACCAGCTGAAGACGATGAGCGTGACGCAAATGTAGGGGGACACGGGAGAAGAGAAGGACATAGCCCAGACAGTGTGGGACGATACTGGCGGAGGCGACTAGCAGACTCCAGAAATAACAGCCACGGCGGCGTTTGAAGGAGACGAAACACAGGACGATGAGTTCAATGGCATTGTACCAGGCAATGGCGGCAAAGGCCGCGAAGATCTCGGTGCGCACTGGAGTTTGGGACGAGTCGGGGTGAAGCAGCGAGTCCGCGGCACCGGGGGGTTTCGATGACATGGATGGAAGGAGAACATTGCTTAGAGGAAGATTTCGAGAAAGAGAGAGAGGGAGAGATTAGGATAGAGGTGAGATTTTAGGAAATGACGGTAGGGATGTGCGTGTGTGGCTTGCGAAGAGAAAAGAAAAATTGGGCGTTGCCCTTGCGCGAACACTACTGCGGGCGATCACGACTTGCCGATCAACAGAGATAATGCCTCGCAAATGAGATGAGAGGGCGGTGGCTTTGGGATTTTTTTTTTTTGATAATTTCTGGGAAAGGGGGCGTTCTTCAAGGTTTCGAGGGCATCGCAAGGTTCTTGGCGAGGTTCAATCTGGACCTGTGGACTTTGTCGGAGATGGAGATGGAGATGGAGATGGATCGACGGGTGGTCAGAGCGTAGGCCCCTTTTGGATGATGTGAAGTGCGGATGGCTATAAATAAGATCGAGCTTACTCCCGTGGAGGGGAATAATAATCTGATTCTGGAGACTGGATTTGGGGACTGCGAAAGCGAGGGCGTTCCATGGATGCAAGGTCCGATGTGACAGAGCATCTCCAGGGGGGACGATGGATCCTGCAAAGTCTGACCTGGACATTTCATGTCAATTCGAATAATCATAGTAGTTGAACGAGTCAAATGCGGAGGATATTGGTGGATCTACAAGGAAGAAGCAGATCCGGGGCCAAACTGCCTGAATTGGAGTGAAGACCGTAAGGCAACTTAAGTTAAAGATACAAAGATACATAGTACTGTAGGACTGTAGGACCGGGTTGATCCCTGGAGAAGATCTATAGCCCCCCTTCTTTAAGGAGCCTCCTCTGAATGCGCCATGATTTCCACGGACGACATAGTGTGGACTACATACCATTATACAGAAGTCAAAAAAATAATACCGAATTTAATCCTATGGAGACCAGACCAGATGATGCTCGTCGTCATCATTTTCAATGAATTAGCTCCTGACAGGATCTTGAGGACTTGTGCAGAATCTATCTTGGTTCTTAATTTGTCGTTTTGTAAAGATAGATATCAAGTACTTGTATGCCGGTCACGTGCCTCTCTCGATCGCATCTTGACTTTCTCGACGCTGACCAGGCCACGCTCCCTCAAACTCCAGCCAGGCCTCGAGTGAATCGCATCTGATTGATTATTATTGAACTGGCCATCCCGAGATCCTGGATTGAACCATAAACCCAATCATGAGCCCCAAACACGCTCAAGGTCCAAGCCTGGCAGTGCTGGACAATCACAACGCGATCCCAGATCGGGTGACGTCAGGAATCTCGATCGCCCGATCGATGACCAGCGACGCGTTCGCGAGGCCCTGAAAATATGAAGAGGGGCCCGCGCTCGATATGGCTGCTCAATGCGATGCGTGTCCTGCGTCTTCCTCGTCGTTGGACCTCTTCTCTGTCTTGTCACTTCGGTCCCTCCCCGCTGAATTTCCAGTGCATTCGTAGGTCTCATACACGAACCTCTCTTGCCTTCCTGCCGAAACCAATCCTCCACGCTCCAATTCGATTTCCTCATAGCTCGCCCTCCATGGCCCCTAAACGCAAAATGTCCAACTCGAATGGCGGCAGCCCACCGAATAATGCCCGTGAGAGCAAAAAGGGGAAGCCCGACGATCTACAGGAACCCCATCCTAACGCGAAGCAAACTGAGGAGTTTGGCATCGTCTTGCGCGACTTCTATCCCCCGGAAATGAGCAATGGACGATGCAAAGCCTACAACGATGGTACCATTGAGCGACCTATCGACGCACTGGAAAAGGCATGCAAAGAAACGGCCGACAAGCGCCGCGTCATGACGCCCGGCAAGGCGGCCGTGCATTGGTTCAAGACCGATTTACGTCTCCAGGATAATCGGGCGCTCAGCAGAGCTTTTCAAATTGCCAAAGATAACCAGATCCCTCTGATTGGAGTGTATATTGTGTCGCCGGAAGACATTTCGGCCCACCTGACCAGTCCTGCTCGGGTGGACTTTACATTACGAACGTTGAAACAACTCCAGCGAGACTTGGGCGAGTTGGACATTCCGCTGTACATGGAGACCCAGGAGAAGAGGAAGAATATTCCCAATCGCATTGTGGAGCTATGTCAGAAGTGGGAGGCGAAGCATCTGTGTGCGAATCTCGAGTATGAAGTGGATGAGCTGCGGCGAGATGCCAAGGTCGTCCGTCTCTGTGGCGACAACGATATTGACTTCACCCCATCGCACGATACCTGCGTCGTCACGCCCGGTATGTTGAGCACTGGTGCAGGCAAGCAGTATGCGGTCTACACACCGTGGTTCCGCTCGTGGTTATGCTTCCTCAAGGAGAACCCAGATTATCTGGAGCTGTCTGAAGACCCCGGCACCAACCCGGGAAATGCTAGAAAGCAATTTGCCGACCTTTTCGACTGCACGATCCCGGCCACACCAAGCAATAAAACCCTGTCCGATGTGGAAAGGAGACGATTCGAGAAGCTTTATCCGGCGGGCGAGCATGAAGCTACTCGCCGTCTGGAGAAGTTTCTGAAAGAGAAGTGCGGTGACTACGACACCAATCGAAACATGCTCCCCGGACAGACCACCTCCGTTCTAAGCCCCTATTTCGCATCCGGGGCGTTGAGTGCTCGTACGGCCGTGGTGACGGCGAAGCGGGCCAACAAAAACCACTTGGACCGGTACGACCAGGGCCACATGGCATGGATCAGCGAGGTGGCATGGCGCGACTTTTACCGGCATGTACTTGTGCATTGGCCGTTTATCTGGTACGTTGACTCAGATCTTGCAAGGGTTGCAGTGATTGAAAATCAAGACTAACAACCCACGCAGTATGAACAAGTGCTTCAAGCCCGAAGCCACCAATATCGAGTGGGAGTATGATGTGGATCAGTTCCAGGCTTGGTGCGATGGTAAGACCGGATTCCCGATTGTCGATGCTGCTATGCGACAACTGAAGCACTGTGCTTGGATGCATAATCGCACACGCATGGTTGTCTCATCGTTCCTATCCAAGGACTTGATGATTGACTGGCGCCGAGGCGAGCGGTTCTTCATGGAGCATCTAATTGACGGCGACTTTGCGTCCAACCATGGCGGGTGGGGATTCGGATCCAGCACCGGCGTGGACCCTCAGCCGTACTTCCGCATCTTCAACCCGCTGCGGCAGAGTGAGCGATTCGATTTTGATGGAGAGTATATTCGCACATGGGTGCCGGAGCTGCGGGATATCAAAGGCAACGCCATCCACGAACCCTACGGTCGGGGAGGCGGGGCGATCGCGCAGAAGAATGGGTACCCCAAGCCGATTGTGGAGCATGCGGCGAGTCGGGATCGGGCTCTGGCTCGGTATAAGAGTGCGCTTCAAGGGTGAGGGAAGAAGGGAAGAAGAGAAGAAGAGAAGAAGAAGAAGAGAAGATCGTTGAATCACTGGAACTGAGTGTCTAGCACGGTCTTCTCCTGTAGCAAGGCCCCAAGTCACGGGGTCTGGGGATTCTGGTCATGTGCTTTTAGGATCTTAATCATAGTCATAGTCTTATGTAACTACTCATAGTCATACATTTTCATGACAAGAACCTGCGAATACGAAGAAAACAAGGCCAAATAATTATGAAATCAATCAGAACGGTCCATTCAGTCCATTCCAAGCGACCCTCGTGAGTGGTCGCCAGCGTAAGACACGGCGCCACCTTTTTCCCCGCGCTTCCTTTCTTTCCCCAAACTCTCTCCTCCTTCGCTTCTCCTCAAATTCCTCCCTCTCCGAGGCCTTCCTGTCCTTTTCGCAACATCCACTGCATCCGCTCTCCCCTTTGTATCTCTGTCTCCCCCCCTCCCCCCTCCTTCAAATGATGTCCTAAACCACCTCCCGTCATGGAATCCCAGCTCGGGGACCCTGATGCGACCCCTGGTCCGGTCGACCTCCCCAATGGCAAGCGCCGCTGGCGGCGGAATCGAGTTGCGTGCGATTCGTGCCACACTCGTCGGGTCCGATGCGACCGCGCGTTTCCATGCTCTCGGTGCCTGCGCAGCGACACGCTCTGCGAATTCACTCGTGAGCGTCGCAAGCGCGGGCGCATTGCGCGTGCGAAATTGGTGAATGGGTCGTCGACTGGGCCGGGTGAAGGGCCGCCTCCACATTTTGTGCCTCGGACGGAATCTCACGACCAGAAACCCCCGGCCTGCCCGCCCTCTCCCCGCAACAGCAACACAGCTCCCCGGAATCAACTTTCCAACATCGGTCTCCAACGACCAACAATATCAGTTTGTCGGCGCCGAGCGTGGATGGGCCACACTCGGCCGTGGACAGCTCTCGATCGCAGCGACCAGCGTTAGCACCGGGACCGGGACCCCGCCCGGAAGGGAACGCCACAGAAGAATGGCTGTCGACTGCACATTTATCGCCGGAGTCCTATGATATTCTGGGGGGTGTACATGGGGGTGATGGACCACTGCCCAGGTTGTGGGATATTTGGACTCCTGGGGATCTGGCAGGCCATCATCCTTCCAAACGCCATTCGCAGATCCCGCTGGTACCTGCGCAACCTCATGCAGGACCGGGAGTGCCCGCCAGCAAACGGCCGAAATTGAAGTACCCCGTACTCGAACCAATCATGCCTTTCCTAGAGTCCAATCTCCCACGCCGGCTAGTATGCGATTTACTCGAGCTCTACTTTACAAGCTCATTTTCGACTCATATGCACCCGGTCTGCCATCACATCCACTGTTACGTCCTGCGAAAGGCTTCGTTCTTGAGTACCGATCGTCCGCGACCCAGTAGCCCAGCCTTGCTGGCGAGTATGCTCTGGGTCGCGGCGGTCGACGACCGGGCGTTTTCTTTATCGATTTCTCCTCTGCAACGCCGGAAGATTTGTCAATTCCTTTGTGCACTGACAATCCGCTTGCTTCGACCCTTGATTCACGTTTCATTCAAGGAGCAAGAGCCGTCCGAAAATTCCAACGCCCCCCAGGACTATTCAGCGGCAGCGGCTCACCATCCGTTCGAAGGAGTTGGCGATGACAAGGGTCTCGTGGGCCCTGCGGGATCGTTAGATGATGTGATTACCTACATCCACGTCGCGTCGATCATCTCGTCAAGTGAACAGAAGGCCGCGAGCATGCGATGGTAAGTCACAACGGGGCAGTCCTCAAGCGCCTCATAATTACGTCTCATCATTACGTGGCTATATTCTTGTGTGGCTGATTCTAATTGTACAGGTGGCATGCCGCATTCACTCTAGCCCGAGAGCTCAAATTAAATCAGGAAATCGAGGTCATGCCCAATATCGACAGTCACTCGGATGGGTCAAGTCCATCCTTTGGCTACCCCTTGGGCGGTTGGGCGAGTTCCCCTGCGGGTCCTGTCTTTGATTATTCGAATCCCTCCCGACCGAGTTTGAACTGCGTCTGTGAGGATAAGCATGATCCGCACGGTAACCCACCTGTCACCGAAGAGCATCGCGAGGAGCGCCGACGCACCTGGTGGTTATTATATATCATGGACCGCCACCTCGCTTTGTGTTATAATCGACCGCTGGCCCTTTTGGACGCTGAGAGTGAAGACTTGTTGCTACCGTTGGATGAGGCAGCTTGGCAAGCCGGCAACATCCATAGCAACAGTCCCCGGGCGGACGGTCCTCAGTGCAACCGCTCCGGCGATCGCAACAAGCGTCGCGTGTTTCCCAACTTCATCTGCCATGATCACTCCATCCTTGGATTCTTCTTACCGTTGATGACCATCACCGGCGAATTGATTGACTTGAACCAGGCGCGGAATCACCCTTCGCTCGGGCTGCGTCTACAAGGAAAGGAGGCGTGGGAAGTGCATGTGTCGGAGGTCCTGCGACAGCTTGAGATCTACAAAGCCAGTCTGACGACTTTTGCCGCTGCTGATCCAGAGAACTCGCTGGCAGCTCAATATGCGAACAAGGCCGATCAAGCGAATGATGCGTCCTTGTCGCAGGCCTATTCCTGGCATACGCAAACCGTGATCGCATATTCATCGTACCTAGTCCACGTCCTCCACATTCTGCTTGTCGGAAAATGGGACCCCGTCTCCCTCATCGAAGACAAAGACTTTTGGACCTCATCTCCGGCCTTTGCATCGACCATCTCGCACGCCCTGGAGGCGGCAGACGCCGTCCAGCAGATTCTCCGATTTGACCCGGACATCAGCTTCATGCCGTACTTCTTTGGTATCCAACTTTTGCAGGGAAGTTTCCTTTTGCTTCTGATTGTGGAGCGTCTCCAGAAGGAAGCCGGAGACGGCATTCTCAATGCCTGTGAAACTATGATCCGGGCGACCGAGTCATGTGTGGTCACTCTGAACACGGAGTATCAACGCAGCTTCCGGCAAGTGATGCGTAGTGCAGTCGCACAGGCTCGCGGTCGACCAGTCAATCCTAGTGAGATCCGGCATCGTCGGAAGGCAGTGTTGGCGCTGTACCGATGGACACGCAAGGGCACTGGTCTGGCTCTTTGAATGAGTGGTTGTCTCTTTTTTTTTTTTTCCTTTTTCCCTCTTTTCCCTTTTTGTAGGGGTGTTTTTGTATCACGAATGGGGATGACCCTGGTGGTGTTTGGGAGTTCATGGGGTTGATCTTGTTCTTGCACATATTGTAAAGGCGTCTATACTCCTCACGCGTACTCCTCGCGCGATCATTGAGCGCAGAGGTCAGTGGATGTATAATAAATTAACGTTTCATGAATTTCCCTCGACGATGCCTGGCCTGTTAATACCGTTCGGACATAAGGATCTAGACTAAAGGGGGAGACCATGTGTAGCATGAGGTTATAGATCAGAGCTGGACCGGGGATAGTGACAGTAGAGAGCTATACAACAGCACGACTAGCTCGAAAATCTAGCCATGATCGATTTTACCATCTCTGAATTGATCAATGAATCCATGAGCTGACCAATAATTCAAGACTGACCCCATTCAAGGCTCATTCGGAGTGTAAAGCACGCCATGCCCGGCCCGACCCACTCGGCAGATGTCAACGGTGCAATTGTACCTGTGCATTAAGCGATGGTCGTGGGATTGAATTTAATTTTCCATAGAAATTCATGTTACCTAAATGGTTTCACTTGGCCTGCTTGGTTACTGGTCTCAAAGTATCGCCTCCTAACCAAGTAACATTAGCCTAGGATTCTATACACTACGGAATATACCATATATCATACAGTAGAACCCAGGTACTCCGTACTTTCTATCATCTCGGATCTAAAGTCCTGCTCGGCAAATACCGTACTCCGCACAGTCCGTTCACCTGCTGCACCATCGAGAAGAACAATGGCATCATTGGCGGGAGTTCCCCACAGGGCACTAACTCACTAACTAGTTCTAGTTCTAGTTCTAGTTCATCCTGCACTTGACTTGCGGCGGTCGCGATGACGCGAGGTTTGAGCTTGTAGCTAAAGCAATAAACAAAAAAAAGAGCAAAGGAGCATAATATATGAAGGCACGATCCCTCCATCCTTTGTGCTGCTCGGAAAAAAAGAAATCTATCATCAATAGCACAAAATCGACTGATCTACAGTACCAAGTCCGCGCGATATTTCGCGGGTTTCTGCACTTTCCCCTCGTTCAGCCCCCTCCAAACCCCTCGATGAAGCTCCTCACTGCCGTTGCTGGCTTGGTGGTCGCCGTCGAAAGTGCGGCTCTCGCTCCCTTGGGCTCTCAGTTCCAGAATGCCCCCCAGTCAGTGCTGAGTCTAGGCGAATCAAATCCCTCGAAGCCGCCAAATATTCTCTTCGTGATCACCGACGACCAGGACCTCGGGCTGGACTCGATCTCCTATACACCGCTGATCGAGAAGCACCTGCGCCAAAAGGGCACCTTCTTCCGTAATCACTTTGTGACAACCGCCCTCTGCTGCCCCTCGCGTGTTAGCTTGTGGACTGGTCGTCAGGCGCATAACACGAATGTCACGGACGTGAACCCGCCATACGGTGAGCGCCCGCTCGAACTATAGCTCGATCACTGCATACCAGAAGGCCACGGCTGACCTGACCTTTCCCTCAAATCTAGGGGGATACCCCAAATTTGTGGAAAGGGGATTTAACGATAATTTCTTGCCTGTCTGGCTCCAGGAAGCGGGCTATGACACCTACTACACGGGCAAGCTCTTCAATGCTCACACGGTCGAGAATTATCACAGTCCCCATGTCAATGGCTTTAATGGATCCGATTTCCTCATGGATCCATATACCTATTCATACATGAACTCCACCTATCAGCGACATAAAGAGGCTCCCGTGAGCTATGAAGGACGCCATACGACGGATGTCATTACCGAGAAAGCCCTCGGCTTCCTCGATGATGCGTTGGACGGCGAGCGGCCATTTTTCGTGGCCGTAGCGCCTGTCGCACCGCACTCTAATGTCGATCCGCGGAGTATAGAGAAGGGCAAAGTTTTTATGACCGCCCCTATCCCCCTAGAGCGCCATGCACACCTCTTCCAGGATGTCAAGGTGCCTCGAACCCCCAATTTCAATCCCGACGAGGTGCGTCCTGGCCAAACTCGAAAATGAAATCTATCCCGATCTAACGAGACTTTAGCCGAGCGGGGCCAGTTGGATTCGCAATCTACCTCAGCAGAACCAGTCCCAGATTGACTACAACGATCATTTCTACCGTTCTCGCCTGCGTGCTTTGCAGGGCGTGGATGAGTTGGTCGACTCGCTGGTTTCCCGTCTGGAGGAGAGTGGCCAACTGGACAACACCTACATTATCTATACTTCGGACAACGGGTTCCACATCGGTCAACATCGACTGCCACCGGGTAAGACTTGTGGCTTCGAGGAAGATATCCGTGTTCCCCTCTTCATTCGGGGACCCGGGGTTCCAGAAGGCTATGTACAGGAGTCGGTGACCACGCACATTGATCTAGCACCTACCATCTTCAATCTGGCAGGAATTCCACCCCGGTCGGATTTCGATGGCACGGCCATCCCTGTGGTACCTAATTTTGGTGGAGCTCGGCACGAACACGTCACAGTGGAGTTCTGGGGAAGGGCTGTCATGGAAGGTATTCACAGCGAAATTGGTAGGTGATCCTATTGCCTCAGGCTCAGCATGAGTTCCCTTACGATTTGCTACGAGTGCTCACATTTTCATGTGTAGGTCCCGGCGGATCAACTATGATTGCAAACAACACATATAAATCCGTCCGTCTTCTAGGAGAAGGGTATAACCTCTATTACTCGGTCTGGTGCAACAACGACCATGAGCTCTACGATCTTTCGGTAAGTCATCATATGGAGGACATCTATGTTTTTATCTGTCCCGCTAATAAGCTCCTAGACGGATCCCTATCAATTGCACAACCTGTATCCCCCAGCAACCAGGAAGATGGACCCCTTCTACTTGGTCGCAGCTTAACGCAGACTATTAATCGCCTTGATGCGCTACTACTTGTGTTGAAGTCCTGCCAGGGGGTGACTTGTATCGATCCGTGGAATGTTCTCCACCCAGAGGAGTCAGTCCGAAGCCTCCGAGATGCTTTGAGCAAGGAGCACGACTTATTCTATCAAGTGCAGCCACGGGTATCGTTTGACTGGTGTGATGCAGGGTACGTTATCGAAGCTGAAGGCCCTCAGGAGCCACTGACCAGTCGGTATGGTGTCTCATGGGATGTTTGGGTATAGGATTCTAGATGATGTACGGGAATAGCTCCATGTATATAGTTAGTGCTGCATTAGAGCATTGTGCACCATGAAAGATATTGGCAATTTAAAATCATGATTTTTCTACGTCTCTGTTGGATGTCGACTTCTCTACGGTAGTTCTAGCACACTTGAAGGTGTCGAATTGCCGTCGATCGCGATTGGCCCTCGCATAGTTCTGCTAGTTCCAGAGGTGCAGGCGTCCATCAGCAATTGCCGGAAGCCAGAGAGCTCAAATAATCGAATCAAAAGAAAAAGAATCAACCACGAGATAGCAGCCAACGAGAATCCAGACGGTATGGTCTGTTCTGTCAAAGAAGACGGGTCCTTGGTGAGAGCTCGTCAGCCGATCGACGATTGCGCCATCCGTCTCCGCCGTGTCGCGACAGCATTGGGGCGCGCCACTTCGACACCAAACCTGTTGATTCGATTTATTTTGTGGAGAGCTTCCGTCGAGATGTTTTCATTGTCTAGCGCCCACGCAATCCTCTTCGACAAGCGACGAGTGACTGTCCTCACTGTTCTTATAAAATCCCCAGTCGCCCGCGAGATCTTGAAGCTAGACCAACGCATCAAAACATAGGCAAGATCTACTTGATACCTTCCTAATTATACTTTTTCTTCATACTCTTTTTTGCTTGCCCACGGAGCGGTTCACGGTTACAACTTCTGAGCCGAGGCTCTTTTCCTGTCCTACCTTGTCCACGATGGCTGGATCTACGCTAGATGACAGGATATCCGATGGAGATATTGTATCCGAGAAGCATGTTGTGGAAGAAAAATTCCTTGACTCACCACCCAGTGAAGTTGACCAGGGCATCGTGAAAGACTGGGATGGTGAAGAGGCCGCTGTGAAGCGCAAGTCAGTCGCGATACCTAAATAATCCATCGTGTGCAAGGGTCTTTGACTAATATTTGCCTCTATAGAATTGATTTTATTCTCCTACCCGTGCTTGCTGTCGCCTTCTTCTCCCTCCAAATGGACCGCGGCAATATCAGCGCCGTCTTGACATCAACCATAACGAAAGACTTGAATATCACTACCAATCAGATTAATATCGGTTCACAGCTCCTGTCTGCTGGAATTGTGCTCTCTGAGATTCCTTCCAATATCATCATGCAACGAATTGGACCTCGGGTATGGCTGTCTGGCCAGCTGTTCGCCTGGGGCCTCGTTGCGACCTTCCAAGCCTTTGTGCAATCATATCCTGCATTCTTAGTAACGCGGATTTTGTTGGGCTTCTGTGAGGGCGGTTTCATTCCTGGTAAGTGGATCAGCAGCACTTTGAAACTACGGGGCTAACGCGGGAACTCGCTTCTATGCAGGCGCCTTGTACTACCTATCGACCTGGTATAAAAAGGATGAAACCAGTCTTCGAACAAGCCTGTTCTTTTATGGGCAGATGTTTGCCTCTGCGACATCGAGCTTGATATCAGCTGGTTTGTTGAACCTTTCCGGTCGCCACGGCCTAGAGGGATGGCGCTGGATTTTCCTTGGTATGATTAACTCAATTCATTGCCTCTTAGTCTCGTCTTTGGCTCGTCATGGTTCTCTTAAAGTCTGGTATTAACATTCCATCAGTCGAAGGACTCATTACACTGTTCGTTGGAATTGTGTTCACCCTCCTAGTACCACCCAAGGCGGGTGATGGTCGGCCTCTGAGCAGCTTTGGTCGCTGGAGCTATTTTACCGAGCGCGAATCGCACATCATCCGAAATCGTGTGCTGTTGGATGATCCTCGCAAGGCCCACGGTCATATTCAAATCTCCCGCTCCGATATCTGCAAGACCCTCACACAGCCACGGATCATGCAGCATGTATTCTTGACCCTTGTGGCCATGTCAGGCTTCCAGGGCTTGACGCAGTACACTCCTAGCATGATCAAGTCAATGGGATTCAGTGCAATCCGCGCCAATACCCTCGCTGCTGTACCTGTGTATTGCAGTATTGTGTGGCTGACAGCTTTGTCTGTTTCAGCGTATGTAAATGTTGCCCTTGGACCACTATGACCACTTCAAGCTGATCGACACTTAGGGATCGAACAAAACATCGTGGCCCGTTTGTCCTACTTGCTATCACCTGGAATGTTATCTCATACGCGTGCCTGCGAACAACGCGATATTCCTCCTCAAAGTGGCATCGCTATGGTGTGATCGCAGTAGCGAATGTGTCTTATTGCAGTATGCAGTATGTTAAGTATCTCCAAGCCCTGTCCAGACTTGACGACTAATGAGATAACAGTATTCTGAATGTGGGCTGGCTATCGGTCTATTGCAGTACACCGCAAGAGCGCAGCGTTGCAATGGCCCTAGTCGTTATGGCGGCCAATTGTGCAGGAATTTCAGGCTCGCAAATCTTCCGCACATCGGATGCACCCAAGTACGTACATGGCCTCACCGCAATTTGTGCTTTAGCGGGGGCATCGTGGGCTCTGGCGGCGGTTCTTTGCGTGCAGTATTATGTTCGGCGGCGCAAGGAAGTCACAGAGCCTGAGTCAAAGTCAGATGCCGTGGCTTAAGGTGCGTCTATCACTAAGTAGATCACGAATTATGAGTGTCGGGCGGTATTGCAGGTGATGAATCCAAAACCATCTATTCCCAGAACCAACCTCTGTGCGCTAGTAGAATCAGTATCCCTCCTTTAGTGTAGACGGTCCCATCCCATTTATCATGTTAGGGTTTTAGGAGAGATTGGAATGATGGTGGTGCGTAAGCGCCAGCGTACCTAGATTGTTATTTTGAGCATGGTAAATCATCGCAGGCACAAGCATCAGCTTCTACAAAGATATGATATGCACTTGGCGGAGTCATTAGTTCTTTTAATTGGACCAATCACATCCGCCATTTTCCAGCCTGTTGCGGTCCTCCTGAGCCCCACTCGCATCGAGGGGTTCATGGGAAAGACACCACCAACCACCCTGACCGTCTCAGCCGCACCTCGCCGGAGGACGGGGTTGAATGTCAAAGTTGGACTATTCATTGTTGCCTTCGCAATCCTTTAAGGAATGGAATGACCCTGGGCTGAATTGAGCAAGCTGATGACCATCATTTTCACATGAGTGGGACCAAACCAGACCGACAGACGACTTGGTCTACTCAGCACAACTCTTGTGGCACTCGCCCTACGCTGAAAAGACTTTGGGAGGCTCTTTCCCATTTTCTTCAGCTGCAGTGAGGCCCCCCACATGAGCTTAATAAGCTTAAATTGCGAGAAAGACCACCAAATCCCTCGGCCATGCCTTCGAAGGATATGGATTCGGCCTGGAGCCCCGCCCTGGATTCCGCTCAAACTCAGCAAGCGGCCCAGTCTTCCTCGGACTTTCTATGGGTGGACTGCCAAGATGGAAAGTCCCAGGATGCCGGGGTTGCCCGCACAACGCAGGCGTTTTTACAGACGAAATATCATAAACTGCGTCGCAAAACGCAGTTACAACAATTGAAAGCCTCCATGAAAGCACTTCCGTCTTTGCGACCCCCTCTACCTCCAGCCTCCGAAACGGATACTTCCTCGCAGAAAGAATACAAAGAAGACTGTATTATGACCAAAGCTGGCTCTCATCAACTACCGATCAAGCCGAATGACCGCCGAATGCATCAATCGCTTCAATTGAAGGTCGAGGATATTCTTCCTGCTGTATCTCCACGGGTAAGACAGAGCGTGGACTTTTACTTCGACTACTGTAAGTGTCGATGCATACCTCTCATCAGAAATAAGCTCTTGAGCGTACGAGAGTCTATAGTGCTAACTATAATGATAGTCAGAACTCAAGGTTCACGCAGGTGGTACCCTATGGGCCAAAGTGAAATGTTGAAATGTATACTCCGCAACTCATTCGACCAACCTTCGCTAATGGAGGTCATCGTATCAATGAGTGCCTTTGACTATGCCATGAGCTTCAAAGCACAAGAGGCATCGAGTCCCGTTGTGCATCGATCTCTGCAGGACGCGTTTTATATACGGTCTCACGTTATCAGGTCCATCCAAGCGTTATTGAACAAGCCAAATGAGATCTTCTCCGAATCTGCCGTGCTATTGATCGGGCACCTGTTTATCACGGAGGTTCGAGAAGTATCCCTGAAAGGTCTTCTAATGATGTCGAATCTCTGACCGTTCTTTTTCTAGGCCCTGGAGGGGAATGTGAATGCGGTCGACGCACACACTCAAGGTCTCGTGAGAATTGTACATGCTTTAGGAGGCCTCGAAAACGTAGGGGAGTGGCCTTTGGCAAATATCTATTCGTGAGTGAGGCAAAACCTTGATGATGTGTTACACTCACTGAACATACTGCTAGATGTGACCCTATAAGAGGTCTTCTGAAAGAATCCCCGCTAGTCTTCGATATACCGATGGACTGGGAGATGAGAGCTTTTTCCGCAGTCGCTGACCGGGCAAGGCCCATCCGCCCACTATATCCCGTGCTCGGTACTTGCTTCTTCAAGTCCCCTTGGTCTCAAGCCATTCATCCTCGCCTGAGAACAATTATCCGAGTATTTCAAGATATTGTCTGTATATATGAGGAAACGCTCCGCTTCAACGCGGATTTGCGTCTGAATGACCACAACTGCGCCCTGCTTTTGGCCAACCGACTTCATGCAGTGCCGTACGATTTTACTATCTCTCCTTTTAACGAGACAGTCCGACTTGCGATCACACTCTACATTCTAACAAGGGTATGGGAATTCCAACCAAAGGTAGAAAAACTTGTGCAAAGTCTACACGATCGTGTGGAGGAGAACGTGGAATTTTTGGAGAAGTCAGCGCCCGATCTTTTCTTCTGGATGCTTTTCAACGGCGCCTTTGCTTCGGCGGGCTTTACATGTCATGTGTGGTTCGTCACACGTCTTAAGGATCTCGCTAGAGAGTTATCCCTCAGTAAGTGGGAAGACGTGGCAGGGTTTCTGGAGGGGTTCTTCTTTGTCCGTCGGTCTAGGAATGAGTCTGCCAGAGTGTTTTGGCAAAAGGTGGTGGTCGAACCAGACATTGATTGTGTGGAAGTAGATACAAAAATTACATCGCCATAACTGGCTGCTCATTTGGCATCCAAAACAGTCCAAAGTTTGAACCGGGTCAACCGTGACTAAGCTGATGGAGTCTCATGAACCGGTATGGTTGATGAGCCTACTGCTAGGGTGCACGGCAATTTCGGGGAATCCAGTAGAAGTACACTACGGAATGGCATCGCTCGGTAGGTTTGAGCATCACAGCAGCACCCTGCTCCCCCTTTCCACCCCGTTCAAGCGGTGAGCTCTTTGTGCTCAGTCATGTCAGACTGGTCTTCCAGCCCATTGTTTTCGATTCGCTGGGCCAGGATACTAGTCTCAGTGACTAGATGCTCACTTTTGGTGGAGTTGCCGATAAACCAAGGACTCTCAGTGAAGAGTTTATTCATCTCCTCCAGGGGCAATTGTTTCGTCTCTGGGAGCATGGCCCAGAAGAAGATGGAATTAGTGAAATTGCCGACCTACAGTGAGAATATTAGCTGCCAGTGAAAAATTCGTAGACTATACAACATAGAATCCTAGGACGAGAGGAGCGGGTTGGTGATTACTTACCACGAAGAGGATGTAGAATTTCATCCATAATTATGGAGACAGTGAGCTTAATTCCTCACTCTCTGACTAAAGATCTACGATTGTCTCAATTTGAAGAACCTTTGAGAACATTAAAAAGTGCAGAGAACGCTCCTGATTTCGCATGTATAAAGAGCCCTCCTCTCAACCTTTATTTTGAGTTCGTCAGACTATACTGAAAGCATTATATTGGCACATAACTATCTTGCCTGGAATTCTTGGATGATGATTATTTCTTACGTTTTATTTTTCGCCGCCACTGCGGCTGCATTGACGCTTGATGTTGCCTCGTCTGGTGGCAATCAGTCCAGTTCCCTTCTGTATGGGTTACTGTATGAGGTAAGTCTATTATTCACCATTTGCTTTTGAGTTCAAGTTAAACTGGGAATAATACATCGGGTGCGAACTAGTTGCTGGACCTGGGAATGGGAACATGCAAGATAATGGCGCAGACAACGACGACATGATGGTTCAGAATTGCTGACCTTGACAGGATCACACTTTCGCTTGGCCTGTCGGCATTGCTGACAGGATTTCATGATCTAGTCCATCGATGTACTTAGGTGGTAGGGTCAAATGCAGATCAAAGAGGAAGTGATTCGAAGACGCGGATATAGATTGTTCCACGGCCCGCATCATTTGGCTCCCCCGCGAAAGCATGGCGATGGAGGAATAGATGAAACCGTGGACCCATGTACTGTATGGCACGAACTGCAGACTGGCAGTGATATCTAAATCATGGCCGAATTCAAAATTCTCTCATTTGCATTCCCCCCTGATATATAATAATAGTCAATGCGGACTAAAAAGGGACGTCTACGCTGGCCACAGAACGAAGCCTTCCTCCGCCGATAACCTAATACTTATGGAATGATTGTAGGCTCCTCCACGTCCTAATGGGATAACGAACCCTATGTGACCGCAAAGGAGGCTGCTAAACTGCTCGAGGGCTAGAAGTGTAACCTTAGGATTAACGAGGGTGAGGACTGAGTGGATGGATGCCTGAGGTTTCCACATGCCCCTTTTGGTCCGAGGAATTTGCCGAACCGATTCACGTGGACTGCCAGCCCCGTTGAAGCCACCATCGGCCGCAATAACCCTTCTTGTCCTGCTCAACCCGACACATTGGCATGAATGAAGTTCTTAGGCCCTCTGGCCGATGATAAGGAAGGAGAATGGACCTTGGTTTCAAAGCGATGGGACCGACACTCTACTTTTCAATTGGCGCGGCAGAGTTGTATCCGCTAGGGAGGGCTCTCTCCAGGGCCTGTTTGGTCCAAGCTTGTGAAACGCAGGGCCGTCATTGGTGGACATTTACTTTCCCCAGATTCTCCGCATACCCGCCAAAAGCTTCTCCAAATAAATTCAAGCTAAGGAGGACGGGCGAATTTGTGATTGATGGAACCCTATGCTCCTGCAGTACTCGGTGCCCGGGAGATCGAACCTGAGGAAATGACATGGCTGGAACAGGGAATATATGGAGATTCTTGATGGGATGAGGATTGTATAAATTCGGGGGTCCTCCACCTCCTCCTCGTCGCAGGATCGTGGATCATCCAGAAATTCCCCTTCTTCAAAATGTTGAGTTATATATCCCTTATTCTTGCGGCGTCGTTGGCTGTCTCGAACGCTCTTCCGGGCACTCCGGCGACCCACAAGACCTGTTCAGACCCATGGGCAAGAGTAACCCCTGCCAAGGGCGCGGTGGTGGTCGACAATAGCGCCAGCCCATACCCGGGCTCTTTCTCGACCGTGCAGGCTGGAGTTGATACTCTGAACACAACAACTACGCACCCTCAGACCCTGTTTGTATTTCCGGGGACCTACGTCGAGCAGGTCTATATTCCACGTCTTGCATCCAACTTGACTGTTCAAGGATATACCTGCAACTCCAAGAGCTACGAGCAAAACACGGCCACCATTACTTATAACCTGGCTCTCATTAACACTACCAGTGATGACAAGACCGCAACTTTGCGTCAGTGGAACCCCAACACTAAAGTCTACAACATGAACATTGTCAACACCTTCGGCCATATTCCTAAGAATGGTCAAAATCTTGCCGTCTCCGCGGAGACTACCGGTCAGGGTTACTACGGTTGTCAGCTGATCGGCTACCAGGATACTTTGCTGGCAGAGACTGGTAAGTGGGTAGTGTTCCGAGCCCTGTTGACAGGGAGGATATATTAAGTCAGCTTTTATCCAGGTTCCCAGCTATACGCCAAAAGTCTGATTGTCGGTGCCGTTGACTTCATTTTTGGACAGATGGCTCTGGCGTGGTTTGAAGGAATTGATATTCGCACCATTGCTACCGGATGCATCACTGCTTCCGGCCGTAGCAGCGCCAGCAACCCGTCGTGGTACGTGATCAGTCGTTCGAATGTTTCAGGAATCAACGACACGATCTCGGCTGGTACCAACGACCTTGGTCGTCCTTGGGGATCCTTTGCCCGTGTAGTATTCCAAGAGACCTATCTGGGTAATGTCGTCGCTGCTGCAGGTTGGAAGGAATGGTCGACTAGCACCCCAAACACTGGCAATGTTACTTTCGCGGAGTACAACAACTACGGCCCTGGAGCTGTGCTAGAGGAAGGCCCTCGGGCCAATTTCAGCGAGCAGTTGACTGACCCTATTCCCATCCGGTCTATTTTGGGCGAGAACTTCAAAGATGAATGGTGGATTGACACTAGCTATCTTGACCCGAGTGATTTGAAGGCCCCCAACGCCCACACTACCTGTCTGGAATCTAAGTCCATGGATACGACTGCTAAATCCACAACCACCAACGCCGCTGCGACGACTACCACAGTCTTGACGTCTCCGACCGGTGCAAGCTCCTCTCTGGCTACTACTCTGACTACCTCCATCACTACCGCATCCTCGACAACTTCTATTATTGCAATCTCCACCTCGGCTGCTACATTGACTACCTCCACAGCTTCCTCTGCTACCTCAGGCACCTCGTGCGTCTGTACTGCCTATTCTCAGATCTCGGCTGCCGTTGCCTCCTGTACAAATATCGTTTTGTCCAACATCGCTGCTCCCAATGGATCGGCTATCAACCTTTCGGGACTTCAGGCCGGTACCACCGTGACATTTGATGGGCTGACAACATTCGGGTTCACCAATTCCTCGAGCTTCAACCCCATCACAATTAGCGGTACGGGTATCACGGTCACTGCCAACCCGGGAGCAGTCATTGACGGTAATGGTCAGGCATATTGGGACGGCCAAGGCTCGAACGGAGGTGTTCCCAAACCCGACCATTTCATTGTTGTTACAAAAGTAACTGGCAACTCCGTCATCAAGAACCTGTACATCCAGAACTGGCCGGTCCATCTTTTCAGCATTTCCAGCTGCTCCGACCTTGTTTTCCAAGATTTGATCTTAAATAACACCGCAGGTAATGCTCCAAACAGCGTAAGTGGTGGGTTGGCTGCTGCTCATAACTCGGACGGCTTCGATGTCAGCACTTCAAGCAACATTGTGATTCAGCGCAGCGTCGTGTACAACCAGGATGATTGCGTGGCGATCACCAGCGGAAATAATATGACAGTCTCTAATCTTGAATGTCACGGTGGTCACGGCCTCTCCATCGGGTCCGTTGGCTTGAAGTCTAATAACAACGTGACCAATATTATGGTAAGGATAACACTTGCCCTACACCGGGGCACGATTAAGGAGGCGAATGAAGACGAGCTCAATACAATCAGCTCTAAGCTATTGTTTCCATTCCCGACTGTCTCCTGTTACGACTACCCAATTTGTGCGGCATAGACTGACCTGAAATATCTTTACTTGCAGTTCACCGATTCGTCTGTCGTCGACTCCCAAAACGGCTGTCGGATCAAGACCAACTACAATGCAACTGGCTTTGTTGCCAACATCACCTATTCGAACATCGCCCTTGAGGGCATTTCAATTTACGGCATTGATGTTCAACAGGACTACCTGAACGGCGGTCCAACTGGAAATCCATCCAGCGGCGTCCTCATTGAGAACCTTCTGTTCCAGAACGTGACTGGAACTACCACCTCCACTGCACAAGACTACTACATCCTCTGTGGAGATGGGTCTTGCTCTGAGTTCACCTTCACTGACGTCTCCATCACTGGTGGTTCAGTTGCAAGCAGTTGCAACTATCCGGCTAGCGGATGCCCAGCCTGAGAGTAGGCCTAGGTGGTGGAAGCCCTCGCAGTCGTTTCAAATTTCTTCTGTACCATTCTGCTTCTAGCTTCCTCTCCTCCTTCGCCATCTCTTCTTCCTTCCTGGCTACAATTGACCGATTTGCATCGCGAGTAGTCAATATACCAGTTGCACTAAGCAATTTGACCTGCCGCTTAGTGTATTTGCGTTTTACTAGCGTCTGCGCGGCCCTGATTCGCTGAATTGTATCCTGCGTTATCGCCAGCTCCTCCTGCTTCTCCCGCTAGTAGGCGAAAATCTTGGTAAGATTCCGCTACGCCCTATTAGATAGGGCACTAAGCTCCTTTATAATCTTCGCCTAGTTCTTCTCTAGTACCTCAATAGATTTTAGAGGGCTATTTTCTATACTAGAAGAGGAGAGATTTTATAGTAGTAGTAATAGTGTATACGAGCCCTATAAGCGAAGATCTGGTACATATAGATCAGGAATCTCTAGTTGATTCGCAAGATTCTCAACAATCTTACTACTATTAACTAGATAGATACTACGGTCTCTAAAGGATTCGCGAATAATTCGCTACGTAAAGGCCTTCTTGCGAATTAGCCCGATAATCGCGAGGAAATCCGATTTCCTATACGGCTTACCACCCTAGAAAGCTAGCTTATTATTCATCAACCGAAATTACTACTTATAATTCAAAAAGGGCTTTCCGTTAAGTAGCTAGCAGATATACGTTAAATACGACATAAATACAAAAGGGATAATCGAATTCTCTTCGCAAGTCTCTAGAAATTCGAATATAAGATACGCGCTATAACCGTCGAATATAAGATAGCGCTTTTCGCCCTATTTCACGCGATAAGAGGTTAGACGAATAAAATAATATAGCTAGGATAGGGCTAATACATCAGAAATCCAGCCATTCGGAGAAATAGCCGTCATCGTATCAGGTAGCAGATTTTCGCTACCGTAGAACTAGGCCTCTATAGGATTTTTGCTAGTTCCTTTGAAAATAAAGAGCGGATCTATATACCAGCTATCTATAGCAATACACTCTAAAGCAGTAATATTTTCGCCTCTTTCGGTCTCTGCGAGATCAGGGCAAGATAATTTAGACCCGATAACGTTTCTTGATCGCCCTTATGTTACGAACCTCGAGGCGCGGGGAGGCCGCAGCTAGTTGGGGGGCAACCGAGACCCAATCAGCCCCTGGACGCATTGTATTAGCGTCATCACGTGCAACTCCTAACACCCAGGCATCTCCTCAAGGACCACGGGTAAAACAATCAGGCAGGGAGCCACAAACGGCCTGTGCCTAACCATGACATCGTATACCCGCCTATACGCTCGGACGGTTAGAAGGACGCCAGGGACAGCCGCACGCACAATCAACACGTGATCCCCGAACGGTAGATACTAGGTGGGTCTTGGCACTAAAGGACGGGTAGATCATCTACCATAGATCTACGACCCATCTACTACAGCATCTACAGCCATACGAAGGACTGGATATATAAGGACACTCATTCAGTATCATATATTTAGTTCTTCGCGATCAATTACACATTATTACTTGGTTACTACCTTTAGTACTTTACACTTCACAGTTCACCTTTAAGACAACCCAACCTACAAGTAGGGGAGCTCACTTAGTAGCAATACTTAGTGACTAACTTACTTGGCGCGCACTTCTAGCACGTTCTGTAAGATACTCGACAGGATCTATTCCGTAGTAAGGCTTCGCGAAGCAACGGTACGATCGAGAGATACTCTTGGAATCCGTAGTAGAACTAGGTACGTATAACCCTTTGAAGCTCTACTTATAGTGACCAGTCGGCTACGCGTAACACATTGATCGCCCTGTCTTTGAACCGTGAAGCATAGTTATCATAGCAGGAAACGATAGCACCGCAAGCAACGTCTCCTCGAGCTCAAAGACCTTAGTGTCTCCTAAGGAGCTCTTGGACATAGTTGCTTAGCTCTAGGAGTATATCGCTAACCTAGAAGCAAGATAGTCGCAACGCTCCGTGAAACTCCCGTAGCCGGAGTTCTTCGACGGAAGTCGTGCGAAATTACGCGGCTTTATCACGCAGATAGAAATACAGCTACGTATAAACCCTTAGATCGTAAATAAGGACGATAAGGTAGTCTTCGTCTCTACCTACCTTCGCGGATAAGCTTTCGACTAGTTTGAGCTATTTATTCGCGAATACTAGGAGAAAACCGATAAAGACGAGTAGAGCGACACTACTAAGGATATATTTAAATCCTACAACGTATTCAAGAAGAAGCTTGAATAGACCTTTAGAGACATCGACGCTATCCGTAGTACGGAACGACGCCTATAACGTCTCAAGCAAACTAGATCGGCTAGCGTATACGCCGCCGAGTTCTAATAAATTATCTCCTACTTAGACTAGGATAAGGATACCTACATCGCGATCTTTAAAGATAGACTTAAGGACGATATTAAGGATAAACTAGTTCGAATCGAACGACCTAAGACCTTTAGTGATATAGTCTCGATAGCAGTTCGAATTGATAACCGACTCTACGAAAGATACCTCTAGCAAAAGGAAACACGCTAGTAGAGAAGCCAAGGACAGCGGTCCTTCGGGCACGCACGCCGCTACGAGGATAGGCGAGGATAGCAACGATAATAGCCGAGGGAGTATAGCGACCCCTACGGACCACGACTAATAGAGCTCGACGTAGCGAGACTCCTAGCCGAAGAAGAAAAGCGGCAAAAGGACAATAACCTGTGCTTTAATTGCGGTAAGCCAGGATATAGGGCGCGTGAGTATAATCGACATAATAACGTAAAGCTATAGGCGCGTAAGCGTAATAACGAACGTAACAACGCAAAGCTATAATAGTTACGGGCGACCTAAAACAACGAGGTCCGACCCTAGTAACTACGAGCTACTAACGATAGGGACGTAGCTAACTAACAACCGACTCTAGAAGAAATCATACGAGACTATAACCTGATTAGTATAGAGTACGTAAAGGAAGACGTCCTAGAAATTAATTAGGAAAATATTAAGAGTTAAGGATAGACCTAGCACGGTCCCTAGAATACTATCGACTCCTAGGAACTATCCGACGATTCCTAGGACTAGGGTATAGGGATCCTAAAGATACCTATCGAAATTCCAGGAACCCTAGAGATCCTAGAAACTCTACCTCTAGTCCTAGGAGTAGATACTACTAAACAGCCTTAAACTAACCCTAAGATAATTGCTTAGAGAGAATTAAGTAACGAACTCTAGGATATAATAATAAACGTATAAGATACCGATAAACGACTCGCACGAGCTTACGATATTATCGATCGTATATACTAGCTACAAGAGGGAGACCCGGGCAAGGAGGGAACTATCCCCGAATAGATACTAAGTAACTTAAACTATCTATACCGCGATACACGGTGCTTATACTAAGGGTACGCTCGATACCCTAACCACGATCTTAGGACTATATCGGCCTGCTACGACGACAACTATATAACGTACTACTAAGGAAAGATTGATAGAAGCCTAGAACCTAAGCCGCTACGATAGGAACGGACTCTAAGATAGAGCCTAGAATACGCAGGACTCTAGCACGGAAACTAGAGGATAAATAAGGAACAACAACTCGTAGCGATAGCGTAGGGACACTATATAAAAGTTACTACTAATATTATGCTTCGACTAACCTTAGTAATAATCGACTTAGGAGCAGCAGGGAACTTTATAAGCCTACGTTATCGAAACCGCTACTTAATCTCGGGTATCGAGAAACCCCGACTAACGCTAATTATTAGTCTAAACGGAGAAAGTTTAGGACTAGGAATCACGTACGAGAGCGGACCCTTACTAATAGTTATTAGGAACTACTTCGAGGTAATTAACTTCGATATTACTAACCTCGGAGAATACGATATAGTACTTAGCGTACTATAGCTACGTAAGTATAACGCTAACATCGACTAGTAAGCAGGAAAGATACTCTTCGATAGATACTTATATTGATAGATAAGCAAGTTATAGACTAGATACGAGCACCTAGCACTAAAGAGACCTAGCTCCGGGGAAGCAGGTACTTATAGAAACCCTCACGAAGGCGAACTTAAGAGGAGTTTTCGGCTAGGAGATAGGCCTAACGACAAATATACGGTCGATATTAATATTATCGCTATACGAGAATAGCGATCGGATATAACGGATAACGAATTAAGAGAATACGTCCTTATTAACCACGAGGAACGAGCCCTCTACGCAACAGGCGTATTAGAGGAAGAATACAGGATTCCTGAGGAATATACAGAGTTCTAGGATATATTTACGCTACTACCGAATAGTGAGCTACTAGAGTATAGCCTGTTCGACTATAAGATCAAGATCAAGGAAGGCGAAGAACTAAGGTTTATGCTAATTTATTTACTATCGTAGAAAGAGTTAGTAATACTATAAGAATATATCACGGACAATCTTAAAAAGAGAAATATTAGAAAATCGAAATCACCGGCAGGATACCTAATCTTGTTCGTACCTAAGAAAGGGGGGAGCTTCGAATATACGTTGATTACTAATAACTCAACGATATTATAATTAAGGATCGATACCTATTACTATTAATCAACGAAATTCAAGATATTATTCAGGGAGCGAAATATTTTAGCAAATACGATATTACTAACGTATACAATCGACTTAGAATTAAGGAAGGAGACGAGTAGAAAACGGTATTCAGGACTAAGTATAGATACTTTGAGTATATAGTTATACTATTTAGACTCACTAACGTACCCGTATCGTTTTAACGCTTTATCTTCACCGTCCTAGGAGAATACCTCGACAAGTTCGTTATCGCGTACCTCGACGATATTTTGGTATTCTCTAAAACTAAGGCAGAACACATCGAACACAACAAGAAAGTGTTATAGAAGTTAAGGGAAGCAAAAGTTATACTTAAACTCAAGAAATACGAGTTCTACGTCTAGGAAACGAGTTTCCTCGGATACACTATTAGTCCC